TTCTTTCAATAAATTTGAATTTTTTGATTTTGGAAACGTGTAATATCTCAGAAGCCGTTGCAGCACAAACGATAATTTTACCTGCATAAATCAGCACAAACAAAGCACTAAAAAGTAGACTAATATGGTCCATTTTGGAGCAGTTTGGGAATTTGATGTCATCATGCAAAATTAAAACGTGTAATATCTCAGAAACCGTTGCAGCACAAACGTCAGTTTCACCTGAACAAATTAGCACAAACTAAGCACTAAAAAAGTAGACTAATATGGTCCATTTTGGAGCAGTTTGGGAATTTGATGATGTCATCATGCAAAAATAAAACTCATAATATCTCAGAAACCATTGCAGCACAAACGTCAGTTTCACCTGCACAAATGAAGCACTAAAAAAGTAGACTATTGTGGTCCATTTTGGAGCAGTATGGGGGACGGTGACCTCTGAATGACCTATAAAATAAAGTTTAATATCTCAGAAACCATAGCTGCACAAACATCAATTTTACCTGCACAAAGCACGAGCGAAGCACTAACCGAGCAGTCTATTTGCCTGCACTTTTGAAGCTAACGGGGGTCAGCTTCACAGAGCTCCGCCTTTGTGGTTCTGCAGCTAGCACCACTTGGTCGGGCCGCGTGCACTCCGCTACCGATGCTGGGCGCGTGCTTCTGTCCCCAGCTATGGCAAGCCAAAACCGTCACAATACGCCACTTTCCCAACCCGTCTAGTTAAGAAATGGCGAAAAAAACGCCGTTTGATGTGCCAAGACGTCGTAAAATACGGCGAAAACTCTGCCAGAACGCCGTAATTTACGCCGTTCTGAACGGTCCCGTAGAACGCCCGTAAAATACGCCGTTTTTTCCGGACATTGAACGCCGTTTTTTACGTCACCCTAATCCCAGACGCGTTCTCTGTGTGGGTGGCGTAAAATACGGCGTTTGGTACGGACATTGAACGCCGCTTTTTTCGCCGTTCTGTGACATAAAACGCCGCTTTTAACGCCACTTTGTGACAGTTTTAACGCGTTTAAAATTCAACTTTACTCTCATTTATGCAGAGCCCTCCCCATGGGTTTCTCATCCACTTAATTTAAACTCCAGTGACCCAATGAAAGACGAGGAGGTTGAGGCAGCACTAATTCATCCCAGATTCGCCGGGCTGTCGGGCTGTGCGGATTGCTGTTTTCTAATACAACTCGGCTCTGTTTCAACTAATTTCACTGTATTGAAAAAGCCTTGAAATGTAGTAATATTATCAACAATGTGTCAACATTATTATTTTTTCTGTCCACCTGTAAAAGGCAGAAACGCTGTTTCAGTCAGACCTGATGATTACTTAAAAGTGTGGCTGCCGTATCAGTCTGTCCTCGTGGCTCGTGAGTCCAGCTGAAACATCAGTGCTCTTTCTGTCCAAAACTCCATTCTTCTTAAGTTCATCCACTTTCAGTATTTACTATTGTGACAGTGTGTGTGTGTGTGTGTGTGTGTGTGTGTGTGTGTGTGTGTGTGTGTGTGTGTGTGTGTGTGTGTGTGTGTGTGTGTGTGTGTGTGTGTGTGTGTGCTGTCGCAACGTCCCGATTGATCATGCGCCCTGCCTACTTGGCCAAGGGTTATGTTCCTTTGGCTGACTGGTTAGAGCATATGACTCTCGCCCGGGAGTCTGGGGATCGAATCCCGCCCGAGCCCTCGTTTATCCACCTGGCCACACTATTGTTTTTTTTTTTTTAACGACTGTTATACTTGTCTTACAGGAGCTTCTGAAGATGTTCTGTCTTGCTTCTCCATCATCACTCTCCAGCTCCTCAGACCAGCCACTCCAGAACCTTCCCAGATCCAGGATGAGACCACTTTAATTAAAGTTTGAAACATGTCTGCTTGTTGTTCTCCTATAGAAGCCTTAAACTAGAATTTGCTAATGAGCTTTCTTGGCTAAAATATGCTCTTAAATGTTTTTATTTACATAATCAAGAAACACGTTTTTCATTGCTACTTCACCAAGACATGACTGAAAATGTCCTCATGATCCTGAAACGCTGGTTAAAACAAATTACTTTTAACCTCTTATAAAACAAACGTGTCTGTTGATGATTATGCCACTATACTGAAGCACCTGCATACTTGCTACCGATTTGCTAACTTTCTGTAATATTTGATATTTAAGTTGAAAACATGAACTGCTGTAACACAAATTCCAAATGTTCTAGTTGAGCACTTGTTTCTAATCAACTAATCATTATTTCTGTGATTAGTCAGCTTTTTCCTTTTCAATAAACACATGGAAAAATTACAATTATCTTACTGAAAAATGGTTTAACAGTGTTGCACATGTATAATAATCTGCACTGGTTTTCACAGTTACGGCATTCTTCAAACTATAATAATAAAATAAAGTGAAAAGATATTTACAATTGATTACTTCAAGTTCCTACTATTTACATTTTATGCATCGATACTGTAAATGGCTGTTTACTAAGGCATACAGAGTCAGTGCCTGTACACAGGTAGTTTGCTTGTAAATCTACATGTTCTATATGATCCTGTATTCTTCATTAATGCTACTTACAAATCCACGAGTCTGTAGAATTGCCTTATTTATTTGAGCAGGTATTGAACAATCCTTTTAGTTATTAACAAGTTGAGTGTGTGCTTAAGAGGAGTTTAAAAGTGTTAGCCTTAGAAAGTAGATGAGCCTCTCCCACAAACCACATTTTTTAAATTTAGGACTTTACGGAGTGTGCTGAAAGACAACAATGAGGCTGATCATCTCCATTTTTACAGGAGGCAACCCCCTGCTTACTAGGCAAGAACCCATATGAGAACATTCCATGTGCAGCTAAAGATCTGTAAACTAAATAATGTCTGGAAACCACCAGGGACCAGGCCCAAAAGCATCACTTCAAAGACCTGACAGTCTGATCTGCTTTGTGTCATAAGGTGCAAACACGAGAAACCTTTTTAACATCCAGAGATTCTTACAGAAGGAACAACTCCAGCTGATATGTTGCATTCATTCGATGTCTTCCTAAATCTATATCTAATTATAAATTTGTAAATATTTTTCATAAATTGTAGTGCTCAAAACCTAAAGAGACAGTTGCTTCAGTCGATCTGTTCTGCTTCTGCAGCCAGACACTAAGCCAATCCAATAAAAGTACAGGCACTGACTCTGTATGCCTTAGTAAACAGCCATTTACAGTATCGATGCATAAAATGTAAATAGTAGGAACTTGAAGTAATCAATTGTAAATATCTTTTCACTTTATTTTATTATTATAGTTTGAAGAATGCCGTAACTGTGAAAACCAGTGCAGATTATTATACATGTGCAACACTGTTAAACCATTTTTCAGTAAGATAATTGTAATTTTTCCATGTGTTTATTGAAAAGGAAAAAGCTGACTAATCACAGAAATAATGATTAGTTGATTAGAAACAAGTGCTCAACTAGAACATTTGGAATTTGTGTTACAGCAGTTCATGTTTTCAACTTAAATATCAAATATTACAGAAAGTTAGCAAATCGGTAGCAAGTATGCAGGTGCTTCAGTATAGTGGCATAATCATCAACAGACACGTTTGTTTTATAAGAGGTTAAAAGTAATTTGTTTTAACCAGCGTTTCAGGATCATGAGGACATTTTCAGTCATGTCTTGGTGAAGTAGCAATGAAAAACGTGTTTCTTGATTATGTAAATAAAAACATTTAAGAGCATATTTTAGCCAAGAAAGCTCATTAGCAAATTCTAGTTTAAGGCTTCTATAGGAGAACAACAAGCAGACATGTTTCAAACTTTAATTAAAGTGGTCTCATCCTGGATCTGGGAAGGTTCTGGAGTGGCTGGTCTGAGGAGCTGGAGAGTGATGATGGAGAAGCAAGACAGAACATCTTCAGAAGCTCCTGTAAGACAAGTATAACAGTCGTTAAAAAAAAAAAAACAATAGTGTGGCCAGGTGGATAAACGAGGGCTCGGGCGGGATTCGATCCCCAGACTCCCGGGCGAGAGTCATATGCTCTAACCAGTCAGCCAAAGGAACATAACCCTTGGCCAAGTAGGCAGGGCGCATGATCAATCGGGACGTTGCGACAGCACACACACACACACACACACACACACACACACACACACACACACACACACACACACACACACACACACACACACACACACTGTCACAATAGTAAATACTGAAAGTGGATGAACTTAAGAAGAATGGAGTTTTGGACAGAAAGAGCACTGATGTTTCAGCTGGACTCACGAGCCACGAGGACAGACTGATACGGCAGCCACACTTTTAAGTAATCATCAGGTCTGACTGAAACAGCGTTTCTGCCTTTTACAGGTGGACAGAAAAAATAATAATGTTGACACATTGTTGATAATATTACTACATTTCAAGGCTTTTTCAATACAGTGAAATTAGTTGAAACAGAGCCGAGTTGTATTAGAAAACAGCAATCCGCACAGCCCGACAGCCCGGCGAATCTGGGATGAATTAGTGCTGCCTCAACCTCCTCGTCTTTCATTGGGTCACTGGAGTTTAAATTAAGTGGATGAGAAACCCATGGGGAGGGCTCTGCATAAATGAGAGTAAAGTTGAATTTTAAACGCGTTAAAACTGTCACAAAGTGGCGTTAAAAGCGGCGTTTTATGTCACAGAACGGCGAAAAAAGCGGCGTTCAATGTCCGTACCAAACGCCGTATTTTACGCCACCCACACAGAGAACGCGTCTGGGATTAGGGTGACGTAAAAAACGGCGTTCAATGTCCGGAAAAAACGGCGTATTTTACGGGCGTTCTACGGGACCGTTCAGAACGGCGTAAATTACGGCGTTCTGGCAGAGTTTTCGCCGTATTTTACGACGTCTTGGCACATCAAACGGCGTTTTTTTCGCCATTTCTTAACTAGACGGGTTGGGAAAGTGGCGTATTGTGACGGTTTTGGCTTGCCATACCCACCGCTCTGCTTGGGTCGCTCTGGGATCCCACATCCGGCTAAAGTGTAAGCATGCTAACACTACGCGGCTAAACCGCTTAGCCTCGTATAGATATAGATGATATCAGTTAAATGATCGTGACTGTTATTTATTTGTATTCAACTCCGTTTCCGCCTCTCTTTGTTGCCTTCGCGTGACGCTCAAGCGCGCTCAAGCGACGGTTTATCAGCTGCTCAGAGGAGAGGTCGAGACGTCACAGCCGTTGGTTTGAAATTTTTGGTTGTCATACATCACAATAACCCTGATTTAAACCTGTTGGTGTAGGTTGTAAAAACACCTTAACGACACTTTCACTGATTCATTAACAATTTTGATTATTGGTAAAGCAATGCAAATATCCAAAATGCTATAGTTCCATCTTGCTTGTCGACGTGTGTGTGTGTGTGTGTGTGTGTGTGTGTGTGTGTGTGTGTGTGTGTGTGTGTGTGTGTGTGTGTGTGTGTGTGTGTGTAATTGATCTTTTCAGTAGTAAGATTATCCTGAATCATGAGATGTATTGATTTTTCTTTCATCTGCTTCAAATGGGACATAATGGGAAAATGTGAGTGGTCTTAGGAACTGTCTGCTTTTCTTCCATTTTATTCAAGGAAGGGTCTCAAAAGGGAACAAACCCAAGAGGGACGCCTGGACAATCTTCCCTTGAGGGACATTTTCCATCTCTTTCTGCAGGATCTCAAGCTTCTCCGATCTTTTGGTCCATCTCTCGCTCCAGCACCTCTCATGATCTAAAAGCTCGTGGACAGAGAACATCAACAGAACCACATCATCTGCAGAAACCAAGAGATGTTCCTAAACCAGACTTTGTTTTCCACAACGCCCTGTTCACAAACATCCCAAACTGGATTACATTTAAACTATTTTTCACTATAATCACAAAATTGACATTGATTTCAGCTTTTAGACCCAGAATATCCTCGTCGATGATTGTTTTATGTAATGAAACTCTAATTATATCACCAATATTAGAATTTAACCTAATTTCAACAAGTTAAACATGTCGCATTAATGTTCTAAAATTCTAACGATCTCGTGAAGTTACAGTTCTGTTCTCATGCGTGTCGTTTACAGAGTTCTTGGATGAAATGATGCCACCATCACTGTAGTACCAACGAGAGGAACAAACAGGGTCCGATCATGAGAGACGAAAGGGAGCAGCCATGTGCCGAAATCTGTCCAAATACGCCATCTTCTTCCTCTTCCTAGCGCTGTCCGGGCTAATCTTCCTGTTGCGTAACATCCACATTGTAGAGGTCAGGAGGGAAGTGGGACATGTGAATTTTAATTGGTAGCTTTTTCAGATCACAAGAGAATCTGATATGATTTTCCTTTCTATAAATGGATTATTCACTACGTTTTTATTTTTTTTATTCTTCAGAACTGGAACTGTCGCACGATTTCAGCCCTTTACCAGCTGCAGAGCCAGGTCCATTCGTCCTTTTTAACACGTCTTCCATCTTTCAATGAAAACCAGACCTTCTGCGCCCATCTGGGCCAGAAACCGTCTCCTGAGGATGAGCTGGAAGAGCGCTACCTATTGGACTCCATTGAGTGGCCCGGTCCTCCACCTCGCTCAACGCCGCTCAGCCTGCGCCAGACCAGCGACCCAGTTCACAGTTTGTTCACCATCCTTCCCAATAATGGGAGGAGAGAGTGGCACGTGGGAGAGCAGCTGGAGGCCCTCGTCCAAATGCACGACTTCCAGGGTCGCCCAAAGCACTACGGCGGGGACCTCCTCCTGGCTAGGCTGCACTCTCCAGGGCTCGGAGCGGCTGTAGCTGGGACTGTAGTAGACCACAAGAATGGGATTTATTCTGCTTTGCTCCCGCTGCTCTGGGTGGGTTCTGCACAGGTGGAGGTGACTCTGGTGCACTCCAGCGAGGCTGTTGCTGTGCTGAAACAGCTGAGGGAGGAACGGCCCGATCGGGTGTTTTTTAAGAGCCTGTTCCGCCTCGGCTTCTTGTCAGAAACCACCGTGTGCAACATGTGTCTGCCCGCCGACCAGCAGCCTCTGTGCAACTACACGGACCTGTACACGGGCGAGCCCTGGTACTGCTACAAGCCCAAGATGCTGAGCTGTGACACCAGAATCAACCACGCCAAAGGAGGCTATTTGAAACACCTCATCACCAACAAGGAGGCGCTGCTCTTCCAGAGGTCGGTAGGGTTATTAGTCACTACTTACATTCTTTATTTGATTATGAACATTTATGTTTATTTTTCCTCTCAGTGGCGTGAATATCAAAGTTCAGATCCATGCATCAGGAGCCGACAGTATCAACGTGCTTCCTCCGAAAGGTAACGTCTCAACTTCCTCTTTTCACTGTTTTTCATCAATTTTATTTAATTTGTCAAACTTTTTTATTCTGTTTTAGATAAGTTTGAAGAGGAAAGCAACTCCTTAAGTCCAGACCACATCCAGCTCACCCCTTCTGGATATTATTTTGAGGACTCGTGGAGGCCGCTGGGTGGAGTTTTAATGCGTCACTTCGATGAACCGGCAGCCATTGCGTTGTGTCTGAGGAACAAGGTGATCAACATGTACGGAGATTCAACTGTGCGACAGTGGTTTGAGTACCTGATCACTTCTATACCAGGTGAGCTGGATTTGGGGCTTTTTTAAAGAGCAAGTCACCCCCAAATCAACTTTTTTTTTTTTACTGATAAACTGTATAAACTAGTGTCTAATCGTGCCGCAGACACATGTAGTCAATAATTTGGCGCTTTGTTGTATCTTAGTTAAAATTTTAATGTTCTGTATAAAACTGTCAGTTTTGCGCCATCTTCAGGTAAAAACTCAGCTTTGCATTCAAATTTAAATCTGCCATCACTATTGGCTAAGAGGTACACTATGACGTTAGCTGATACATTATGATGTCACAATGTCGCTGTGAGCCTGTGTGTGTATTTGTTAGCGGCTCTGCCCTCTCGGTCTGCCAGGCAACAGCATTTGTCGCAATTTTCAAACAGGAAGTGGGAGTCGAGTAAGACTCTGGTAGGGGGTGACTTGCTCTTTAATTTGATTTCATATTCAAATAAAAAAGTAACCCGATGTTCTTCTATTTCATCCAGAGATGAAGGAGTTAAATCTACAAAGCCCTAAAAACGTTGGGCCCTTCATGGCTGTGGACATCAATCATAATATTATCTTGAAGTACCGCTGCCACGGTCCCCCGATTCGCTTCTCCACCGTCTTGTCCAGTGAGCTGCGGTACATTTCCAACGAGCTGGACGGCCTCTCTGGAGGTCCCAACACCGTGGTGGTCCTCAGCATCTGGGCTCACTTCAGCACCTTTCCTGTAGAGGTCTACGTCAGGAGGCTTCGCCACATTCGGCGGGCGGTGGTGAGACTTTTGGGCCGAGCGCCGGGGACGCTCGTAGTGATCCGCTCGGCCAACCTCCAAGCTTTGGACCAGGAGGTGAGTCTGTTCAACAGCGACTGGTTCTCCCTGCAGCTCGACATGGTGCTGAAAGCCATGTTCAAGAGCCTGAACGTTCTAATGGTGGATGCCTGGGAAATGAGTCTAGCTCACCACCTCCCGCACGCCCTCCATCCTCCTCCAGTCATCGTAAAGAACATGATCGACATGGTTTTGTCTTACGTTTGCCCAGAGAACTCGAGCCTGAAATAGAAGCACAAACCAGTGGTGAAAGTTTGTTGTTCAAACCCCTCAGACTTTATTGTGTGTCCAAATGAACAAACAACAGATATAGTGATCCCAAAGCTTCATCTCCTTTAAACTCCACCCTTTGTGAGAGATCCTCTTGCATTTGGTTTTAGTGCCAAACACTTTGGCACGATGATCGTTGTTGCTGCTCGCTTGTGTGTGTGTGTGTGTGTTCACCTGGGGCTTCTACACAGCTCAATGACTCAAAATAAACCACAACTCCGTAAAACACTGGAAAATACATTTTTATGTCCTCTTTTGGTTTAAAATTAACTTTATCAAAATATTTGAATACAAGCGGAGTTTCTATCCTTTGAACATGTTCGTTTTTCACCTTAAAAACGTTTTCTTTACATAAAACCTCAAGAGCAGAAGGCCCACATGCTTTTATTATCTTTAAACTGTTCTGTTGGGGGAACACTGAACCTAACCATCTGTTTACATGGAGACACAATGATTTTGCACATTTTTAGCCTTAAAAGTTTAGCTTCTTTTAGAATTCACCCCAATCTTTGTCCCAACTGTTCAGTCATTTAGGATATTTGTCATTTCTAAGCAAATAAGGGCTTAGAAATTATTTACCTGGAAGAAATTAGGGATTAATAATTTTCTGATATCAACTGGAGATTGCGTCTGTGCTATTACCTTCCTGTAAGACTTTGCACAGGGAGAAATAACCCATGTTACAGGAACGAAGACGCTTAAGTCAACCAGCAGGGGGGAGCAAATCTCAGAACTGAAGAAATTAAATAATTTCCACACATTTTTATTTAAAATTTAAAATTTCATCTTCAAGCATTTGTTTCCAACACCAAATTCTGCACAGCATGATGGAGTTTGATTTTCTCAGAGTAAAATAAAAGGTTCATAAGTAATTTAGGCAAAAACAAACCACACAGCAAATGTTTGTACAAAGCAAAAAGCAGAACACTCAACTGTGTAAGAAAAAAATACTTAAGATGATTACACTTAAATCTCTGAATATTCCTTCTTTAAATGCATTCACCAAAACCTCATCCAAGCAAAAAGCAGAGCTTCAAACAAGCACAAGTTTATCCTGCAGGGAGGTTTTAAAACAACACAAATACTAGAGGAGTGCATCAGACTGAAAAGATGGTGGCTGAAATATTCTCTTTATAATCTGGGGATGTCCTGAGATCACAATGGAAGAGGCACACAGGGTTTGATATTTATGTAATGAAGCATCCCTTAAAATAAGATGTGGAGTGCAATTTAAGCTACGTGTTTGATCGCTGACGTGGATAAAATACAGAAACGATCATTTACCATTTGCTGATATGTAAAGGACTAATGTTTGCTTGCAGAACAGAAAAAAAAGTTTAGAATGATGTGAAACTTCAGACTAGAGGACACGTCTAGAGACAGGTTAGACATCCTGGACGTTCATGGCCTCCTGAGGCCAGCTGTAAGTGTCCAGAGTGAAGGAGTCGTAATCCGGACTGTAGATCTGAGACAGAACAAACGCCTCCTTGTCTTTTGGCTCGGGATACACCGAGGCATCGTTGTGTTTGTAAGCATGGTTTACGACCTGTCAGTGAGGAAAACAGAGAATCTCTCAATTTAGCAAGAAAGGACCAGACACCGACAGGAGGAGTAGAGGTCACCTACCTTCACCGCTATTTTGAAGGACACCTCTCTGATGGTGTTGAGAGGAGGGTAAAGTCTTCCTTCAGCCAGGTTCTCCTCTGTTACCATATCAGAAATGGCCTGACAGAAACAGATGCATCATAACTAAAGATTGTAGAGGCGGTTTCCTGTTTGCTGCATCACAAGAGAGCTGCTACCTCTGCAGTAGTGAGGAAGATGTCATCAGAAATGTGGCGCACGCCGCAGGCGATAACTCCCAGGGCCACTCCAGGGAACACGTAGGCGTTGTTTCCCTGTCCTGGGAAGAAGGTGCGTCCGTCGGGCAGCGTCACCTTGTCGAACGGGCTCCCGCTAGCGAAGATGCCTCGGCCCTGATTACAGAAAGTTTTATTTATGGATCAGAGTTGAAGAGCATACAGGAAACAAGAGCTTCACCTCTGTGAGCTTGTAGCACTGCTCGGCCGTGCACTCAGCCTTGCTAGTGGGATTGCTCAGAGCAAAGATGATGGGCCTCTCGTTGAACGACGCCATGTCTTTGATGATCTTCTCAGTGAACGCTCCTCCAATCGCAGCCACGCCTTCATAACAAACCCCAGAGTCAGTTTTCCCACAGCAGTGACCCAAAGGAGTCTGGTTAGGAGGATTACACTTCTGATTGTTTTGTTAGTTTAATTTCGTCGCAGCAAGTCCTTCCTTAGACTTACACACCTTAAAATCAACGCTGAAATGTTGGATAAACACGATAAACTATTCAACAGTTCATCCTACGAGCATTTATTTGTGTCTCAACCCATTTTTTAAATTATTGTTTCAAATTAGGAGACAAAAGCTGGTTAGCTGATTTGAAGCAAACTACTCGTGAGGAGAAACAGCTGAGGAAATAAAAATTCACCTTATAAATTTTCACTGTTTCCACAACTGGACAGGAGTTTTAAATATATGTTTAAATAAATGAAAAAGAAAAATGTGGGTTAAAAATGCATGAAACGGACTAAAACGATGCAGACATATTCCACTGGTGCTTCCAGTGATCTCACCTATAATGGCGGTGGGTTTGATGGTGTGCACCACCTCCTCCAGCGTCTTCAGGTGTGGATGGTCGTGAGCAAACTCCGCCTTCTCGTGGTTCAGGTGGCTCCTCCCCTACATGAACGGAAAGCGTTAAAGCACCTTGATGATGACCTTCCTGCAGGATGAGGCACGTTAGCAGACGTTCTACCTTTACAATCAGGCCTTTAGAGTCGACCATCCAGATCCTCCTAGCAGCTTCTTCTCTGGTTACGCCCTCTTTGGCCATGGCCATCATGAGCAGGTGGGCAATCCCTAAAGCGGCCTGGGAGGGGAGGAAAAGAAAAAATGTCAGCATCAACGCTTCTGCTAGTTTGGGGGTAATCTTGGAGGGAGGCTCACCTCGCCGGCTCCCTGGAAAACAAAAGTGTGGTCTAAAAGTTTGTTCTTGGTGATCTTCAGGGCAGCGAAGATTCCTGCCACAGCGACGGACGCCGTGCCTGCAGGGCAGAAGTATTAAAAACCGTTTCACGTCACGCTCAGTTAGAGCTGAGAGGAATCTGAGTCATGCACTCAAGACTCCACCTTGGATGTCGTCGTTGAAGGTGCAGTATCGGTTCCTGTATTTGTTGAGGATCCGGAAGGCGTTGCTGTTGGCGAAATCCTCAAACTGGATCAGGCAGTTCATCCCGTACCTGAAGAGGAGCAGAGCAGTTGGAGATACGAGACAACCAGAACATCGGTGTGGGCTTTCTGATGATTATTACTCACTTGTCCGTCACTGCCTGCATGAACTCATCGATCAGCTCGTCATACTCCTTCCCTCTGATCCTCTTGTGCTTCAGTCCGATGTACAACGGATCATCCAGCAGGGCCTGGACTCAAATATGAACGTTTGTAAGATATTTGTAACCCACGTCTGGGCTTTACCCTTTAGCTGAGCTTGGCTACGAGCGTAAATGTTTGCCGAATTTTCACCTGATTGTCCGTGCCGACGTCCAGCAGCACAGGGAGACACTGCTGTGGAGGAACGCCGCCACAGGCCGTGTAGAGCGCCAGCTTTCCTACGGGAATTCCCATTCCATAGCCGCCCAGGTCGCCGAGTCCCAGGATACGCTCGCCGTCGGTCACCACGATGGCCTGGATGGAGCCAAACACACAACAGTGTGTGTGAGAACGACCAGGTGTGTGTTTAACTTTCTTACCTTGATGTCTTCTTCAGGCCAGGAGTTGAGCAAGGTGGCGATGTGTCCTCGGTCATGGATGGTGATGAAGAGCCCTCTAAATAACCAAGAATGACTCAATCCGTTATCCTGAGACCGTTCATAACAGAACGGGCGGGTGCAAACCTCACCGCGGCCTCCTGAAGGTGAGCCCGTACTGCTGACAGGCCAGACCCACCGTGGGGGTGTACACGATGGGCATGAACTCCTCGATGTCAGAGGTCAGCACGCGGTAGAACAGCTTCTCATTTCTGTCCTGCAGCGTCATCAGCAGAATGTACCTGAGACAGAGAAGCCAGGTGTTAACATGTCTCAGATTTCTCTAAGATAAAGGAATCGTGACGGATTAGATGGAGAAGTTGATTAAAATTTGCCGCGTTGACTGGTTTACAACCACTTTAATCCTAATCCATGCCCGAAGAACACAGGGATTAATGTGTGGCACCATGAGCTGATCTGACAGTTGCTAGAATTGTAGATTGTGTAATCCAGATGTTCAGCTCTTGGATACTTCCTTAATGCTAAACAAAAAATACTCGGAATCATCCAGCAGATGGCACACGCCAAGGACAATTTCACCCGGCCTGATGCGACTGAACATCTGCAGCGTGACGCTCGTGAAACGCTCCTTTTTCAGATGCTTCTGTAGGGGAATGTGTGACACTCACTTGTCCAGAGGGTTCGCACGCGTCTCATAGCTCTTCATGACGCGCAGCACTTGCACGTCCTGAGAGAGGAAGCAGGGGGGCAGCAGGCCGTGAATGCCCAGCTGCAAGCGCTCCTCCAGCGTGAACGCCATTCCCTGCAGGGTGGAAGAAACACCGTTATAAACACTGTGGTCTCTGGGAGGAGCCCATAAACTAAATAGGAAAGCAGAAAATCCTGTGATTCATTCCTTAGTCACCACTGAGTGGTTAGTTATGACTCATACCCACATATGGGGACCTCTAATCATCATGGCATGAGGAAAAAACAGTGGAAAGCCTTTAGATGTAGAGAAGTTGGCAACGACTTTACAAGATAATCGATTGTGTTGCATCTTGACTTTGTCAGGATATGATGTGGTTTTGTTGTCACGGAGCTTTTACCCCTCCTCCACCGTTTCTGCATTGGCAGGGTTCTAGAGTGTGTGTGTGTGTGAGCTTTAAGCTATTTATTCTATCCAATAGAGCGGGAGCCTGAACCCACTCCCCTGTCAGCTCCGCTTCTTTAGTTGCTCTGCCTCCCTGATCTGATCTATTCTCACCCAGGAGAAAAATACTGGACCAGCATCAGGAGAAAACACTTCTAATCTAAACAACAACAATTCTCAGGGAAACTAGTTGTTTCAAACAACTACTCGGGAACAGCAAAAGTCATCCGGGAGGAAACCTTTCAGGAAGAATATTCACAGGTGGATGGAAAACTTGTCAGCATTAAGAGGATTATTCACAGATGTTAATAACAGATTAACAGGGTTTATTATAACAAGCAGATAAAAAGATGCTAAAGTCAGACTTCTAACCATACAGCACATATGTCAGACTCAAGGCCTGCGGGCCAGATGCGGCCCGCGGAGCATTTTTATGTGGCCCACGAGATAAATATCAAAAATATATTTAAACTGGCCCGCTGGCCGGTTTTACCGCAAAGACTTCAACTCCCATGATGCTTTGCGGCGTTAGCGCGGAGCTGACGCGCCCCCTCCTTTGTGTTTTTTCCAGCGCCTGCTGCCGGTGTCTGCAGCTCCGCTGTCTCGGACAAACTACACTCCTCTCACTCAGCGCTGAGTTCACTAAGCTATTTTCTGACGTTGAAGCCCAGAAACGGAGATTCTAGCCGCTCAGTAATGTGTTCACGACTGAAAGAGAAAGTTTTCCTACTAACGTCCAGACAGAGCCGATATAACTCCAGCGAGCAGCGTCAAGCTCAAACCAGCACGACTCTCTGTGGCTGTGTTTCCTCCCCGACACACAACAACGTGGTCAAGCTGCTCAGACATGTTCATCAGCACAAACCTGTGTGAGCACCTGTTGTCATCTAATGTTGTCATTATCATGATGAAGATAAACAAAACAACAGGAGTCGTCTCCTCAGCTCAGATCAACCCCATGATTCAGGTATCTGGCTGGAACAGGTGAGCATCACAGTAAACCAGTGGAGCAAACTGAGCTTTAAATATGTTGGTTTTCTGCTCTTTTTCTGCTCCAAAACATGAAAGTTAACAGGTGAGATGTTGCATTTTCATTTAAGATAAAATGGTATTTTTATTTTGTTGTTGACCCGTGAGAAAAGATTTAACCTACAGTAAACAGGAAGTGGAAAGGCTGCAGATAGATGAATAGAATAGAAAATCCCTTTATTGTTCCTCAGTGGGGAAAGCTAGACGTCACCGCAGCGATGACACTTATTACAGGAGAAAAAAAGGAGAATAAAAAATAAGAAAAATGAATAAACAAGAAAACATAAATCCTGAATAGATTTTAAAAATGCTGATTATACCACAAGTAATGAATACCACTGATGCCTTTTATCTAAAACTGACTTGCTCGTGTGTAACTTGGTTATTCCACATTCAGTGTTAATGCAGAAATATGTTTGTTTCCAAATTTAAAGGTTCAAAATTGCATATATGTTGATAAAGAAAATGTGCAAATTTGCCGTCACTTTTTCAAAAAATATTAAGTTTGGCCCTCAACTCCGTCCCAGAGTTTCATTTCGGCCCCGTGTGAGTTTGAGTTTGACACCCCTGCCATAAAGGCTGTCATACTTGTCATATGAGGATAAAAGAACATAAAACGAATAGAAATGAATTAAAAAGGTGGCATCTGCTGTGAAATTAACCTTTATCCATGCCTTATCACCATTACTGTAAGCTTACTAACGCTGTTGTATAATTTTATAGCCTAATAGAGAAAAGAACAGTAGGGTGCAGACTTTGACATCAGTTTAATTGCTGGAGTCAAATGAGTTTGCAGAAACCATGAGGTGCAGTCTAACCAGAGACAATACCACCTTAACCTGTAGCAGCTGCTCACTTTTAAAATCAGATTACTCCAAACTAGGCTGAGAGGGAGAAGCAGAGGCTCCGCTTCCTGACTATTTGACCCCCGCTGACCTCCGAGTCAGAATGCTGACTCTGTACAGAAGAAAATGAGACCGATTTCTGATTTTTTTAAATGTAAGCCATAAGCACAGCTTTCATCTCCAGGGCAGTCCTGCTGTCCTAAAGCTGTCAGAGATAAACAGTTGCAGAAAAGTTGGGAAGAAATTTTGTTTGAAAAAGCTGTCAAGTTGCTAGCACGTTCCACCATAATAAAACACACTGCATGTGTCAAGCTTTGTCGGCACAGTAACTTGTTAATGGCCTCACCTTGTTCAGGTGGGGGTTCCTGGTGATGTCATAGCCCCGCTTCCTGGTGTACACGCTGCCCGATTTGTCCGTCCCGGAGTGGCAGACCCGCACCGCCTGGACAGCGGCCCTGTCAGCCTCCAGCACCCCGGCGGGGTGAGCCGGAGAGGCGGCCAGGGCCCTCATGCCGCCCGCTGCTGAGCGTCGGCACAGAGACAAAGCGGCTCTTCCTGAGAGGGAGTTCATGCTGCCTGCAGACATCCAGAGTGGAAAATCACAACTCCTGCTTGTCCGTCTCAGTCTGCTGGCGGTGAAAGTCGCGTTACAGTTTGGGAAGCGGACACATAATCCCAGAGATGCCCAACATACCGTAAATGATACAAGTTCGTCGTCATTTAGTCTGTAAACAACCTGATTGAAAACATTGTACCTCTGCTAGCTTAAAGCTGATTAATAGCACGCAGTTTTTAAATGGGTGTTACGGGCGCGCGCACAGACCCGGTTGTTTTGTAAATCATACTCAATAATAAAGACTAAACAATACACCGGTGTTAACTGTGTCCACATATGAATAATACTGTGTAGCTGCTTCATATCTGCTAGCTCACATTAGCTGTCGCTGCTTTTACCACAAACTTTTTTTAATGGGAAACCCGGCTACAGCTAGCAACCGAAGCTAATAGTTTAGCCTCACCTGGTGAACACAAAAAGCTGCAGAACACCTGGCTTCTATTTTCAGAGGAGGTAGCTATATACCTCTGTCCGCTGCCGCCGGTGGTTGTTTTACAGGCGGCGAGGCTAGACAGCTGATGCAGGGTCCTTGGACACTGGTAGTTTCACTTTCCTCCGGTGTGGGTAAGCCCGCCTCTCTGAGCTCTGCAGCCTCCAACGAGAGCAGCTTCCCGGTCCAGGAGGCCCAGCCCACAGATCATCGCTGGATTCTGCTTTTCCACCACAGAAAATGTCGCCGTCTTGTGGTGGTTGTGGGACACTACAACCAATATGTGTTAACCATTATCTTTTTCTACGGTCACTGGTTAAAAATCAAAATGCAAAACCTTTTTACAATGTCTTGTTAAAATTCTAACAAAAATTACTTTTAAAGTATTTACAAAACATAAACAAAATAAAGACATTACCTAAAGGCAATCATTTATTAAGTTACAATAGAAGACAAAATTTCAAAACAACCATTTTCTAAAAAAATTCAATTAGACATAAGGCGTTTAAAATGTATTTAATCACGATATTGTAATTTTTCCCACTTGATTTTTATTTAGTTATCTATTTATGTTTTTTAACTGACGACCTTTTATGACATATACTACTACTTATCCACCTAAATGTTTATAAACGCAATATTTGTATTTTTTAGAGAAATGTAATTTACAATTTACGTCTATTTTATTGTTCCTAAATAACTGCAAGTGTGACAACCATACCTAAATGCACAAGCTGTTGATCGAAAAAACATTTTTTTCTAAACACAAAAATCACACTTCTCAAAAATAGTCTGTGTTGCACAATATTTGCATTTTTCCATTAAATGGAAGACTATTTGTTTTCCTCTGTAGAAAAATCGATTTTATTGGGATTTTTTTACTGTTATGAAAACTAAAATCTGCCTGGCATGTTTTGTTTGACTGTTGTCAACTTATATTAGTTATGCATAAGACTGTTTACAGATTGAAACTATATTAGTCAAATAAACTAGACATTAAACTGATTCTACAGTCAAATAAAAATACTTAAAAAATCTAATAAACACAAAACATCAAACTGTTTATTGTAGCATCTCTCTGCTGGAAATTCTTTATACTGTTAAAAATTTAATAAAACTTATTTTATTATATCATTTGCAAATTTCCATCATATTATTCATCTCTGTGTAAAAAAAGACCACTTCATTTATGTTGCATCTAAAATGTTTTATTACAAACACATTTTTTTATAACTATTCATATTTGTAACAAAAGCACACATTAATGAAAATCACATTCATATTTCAGTGGTTCACACCACTGTGAACAATAAGGACATCAAAAAGTTTAATAACCTATCTTTCCCACAGATATTTCTGTAGACTATTCTATTTGTTATTGCTGCCTTAAAATGGTATTTGAAAGTACCGTAAAGTAAAAACATACACAAAAAATAGCAGGTAGGAACAATCAGATACATCGTTTTGCTAATTAGACAAACATTTTCGTTGTAATAAAACTATAAATACAATAGTTGCACAATATTAGATTAGTTATAAACTTCCTCATTTTCACAATAAGGAGGGAAAAACAAGAAATGTTTCAGATGACTACGCTGGTACTGCTATGGGAGCTTCTATCCTAAGAAGAAAAAGGGGACAAAGTTCAGACCAGAGAGCATATGAAGCGATATTAATGAACACATGCAAGTTGACGGAAAATACAAAATGTCAAAGATGCACAAAAAAGGGTTGAAGACAGAAAAAAGCAACATGCATGCAGGTTTAAGAAGAATACACAAATGATTTGTTTGCCTTGCAGAGCTTTACAAACAGAATTGTGAGTAAAAGCAGTCCGCTGCCACTAGGGGCATATTTATGTAGAGCTGTCTCTACAGCATTCTGGCAACACGGAGTAGGTAAATATTCTCTTTAGTCAATAAAAAGTGATGCAAATGCCAAATTATGTTAAATAATTCAAACATTATTGCTGCAACCAGACAGCCTTCAATGCAGATTTTAATGTTATCTTTTACTTTGGAGCATGTTTTGAAACACATCAAAGGACGACCTTTGTGAAGCACAGCAGGAATTAAATTACTGCATTAACACCTCGCTGCGGGTAATATAATTTCTAGGTTAGGTCAAAATCTGGCATTTTGAGTAATTTTCCTCCATAAAAATGAGCCACAGCACGATTCTACAGTTTCTGTGGTTTATAAACATGAAAATGTAAATTTTTTTGAGTTTCCCCAAATTTAAAAGTTTCTTACATTATATCTGAGTTCTAGATTTGTTTCTTAATGACTTTTAGTTTGCAGCAACCGTGCAGATGTCTCTCTCTGCTTCTAATCCACTAGCTGTTAGTAAACCCATGAAAGACGATACTCACAAAGGTAAAAGATAGAGGAAAGGCAAAAGCAAAACGGAAAATCAAAGGTGGAAACAAACAAAAACAGAATTTTAACAGATTCATAATTCAGGATCTTACAGAGAAGCGGTCGTAGTTCCGGCGTCCGTTACTGCGTCCTTGCTGGGGCTGGATGGAGAAGTAGCTGGGAGGTTTCTCTGGCCATTCCTTTCCTTTACCTCCTTTCCTCTTCTCGCTGTCCTCATCATCCGAGCTCCAGGAGCCTTTCCGGTGCGGAGGAGGAGAGTAGCTCCTCTCTCTCCGACCTGCTTTAGCATGCACCTCCTCCATCAGGTCATCACGGAATTTGGTACGTGGCCTGGACCCCCCTCCTCTCCCACCTGAACTTGCTCTCTCGTACCTTGAACCCTTGTGTGCTGCTCTCCCTCGCCTGTTGTCCCAGTCTGAATCATCACTGTAATCCCTCAGGATACCCTGTCTGGGAGGGGATGCGTCTCTGTATCCTCGGCCATCTCGGTGGACGCCTCCTCCAGATCGGTTGGTGCTCCCGCTGGAATGGCTGGACATCCTGGGGTAACCTCTGGCTCCGTCTCCACCAGAGGGCCCCCTGCGGGAGGGAAAGCTGGGTGCTCGCTGGATGATGGGAGGAAGAGTGATGACCCTTCTATCCTCACCCTTCACTCCAATCTCGTCCAGCGCTGACAACATGCTTGGTGGTCCGGGGGCATAGGGCACCGCTGGAGGAGAGGGCTGGGGCGGCACGTGTGACTGCAGGTGCATCGCTTGAACAGCTTGAGGAGCCATTTGGGGGAATCCAACATCCAGCCCTCTCACCTGATTCTCCAGGTAGTCCAGCATGTTGCTGTTACCTTTAGTGCTGCCATGCAGGCTGCTGTGGACGTACTGTTGCTGGGGAGGAAGGGGCTGCTGCAGGGCCATGGGTAGGAGCTGAACGGGACTCATGGCAAAGTTCTGTTTAGTCGGGTAGTCAGTGACTGAACCTGAAAATGTTGGAAAAAGTTATTTAATTAATCACTAAAAAAGGGGAAAGTACACCCTTTGTCCCAGTAAACTAAACTAAACACACCCCGGGTAAAATAACAAATCATTTAACAAAGAAGTCGCCTCGGGCTTTTGTGTGACGGTTATTCACCTGAATATATCAACGGCACGCCCTGGGAGGAGGCATTAGAGTGGATGCTTGTATAAATAGGTTGACCATTCATCCAAGGAGCCATGGCCTTCTCAGCTTCTTTCACCATCCGGTGCCGCATCACAGCTGAAACCAGAGCAGAGACCCAAACCGTTCACGCGATGGAGCCAAGAAGCAAAAACCAGTCGACTCTGCTTCCTGTTGACGCCTCTAACCTTTCTCCGGGCAGCAGCACGTCCGAGGACAACAGGGACAGCGGACGTAGCAGCAGCACTTGTGAGGGCAGCACTGACAGCAGCATATGCAAAAGAGCATGAGGAGCAGGATGAAGCCGATGATGATCAGCAGGACAGTCAGCCAGTCTGGACCAGGAAGTGGGGAAAAACTAATAAATCAGCCTAACAATACACCTCAAACAGAAGACTGACCCATAGCAAAAACGTACGGAACACGATGAGCCTGACTTCACGATCAGAGTCTCCGACTGTGTCACCAGTAGCATCAATAGTGCAGAAATACATGCCGTTATCCCACCACATCACTTCATTTATGACTAAATCAGCATCTGTTGACAGAAAAAGAGATAATTAAACTCATAATCCAGCCTCTTGGGTCAGCATGTAATAAATAAAAAGGTTTTGTCTGAAATGAATAGAATTATGAATTTATGTGGAAAAAAACTGAATGTTGAATGTAACACAAAACATTTTTAAACTTTAAGCTAGAGCTTTATCACTGATGTCAGTGATTGTTGAGCAGTGTTGGGAGTAACGCGGTACAAAAGTAATTAACTACTGTAATGCATTGCTTTTTGCTGTAATGTGGTAATGTAAGGCATTACAGGGAAAGAAAATGGTAATATTTACTCGGTACAATTGTCAGTAACGCGGTAATTACAATGCATTTTAAACCCAGAATCAAGATGTGGGTTTCCTAAAAATTCAAATTGCGGGAAGCCTGAAAAAAGATCCAGTATCTACATATATGACGTCATTTATGGACTCAGCTTTGCGGGCATTCTATGAGCAGAGAGGACGCAGCGGTAATGGCTCAAATACTCCAGCTGCGTCCTGCACACGGTCGCTGTTATATTCACAAAATCGCTCCACCAAAACAAAGTTATTCGTTTGCGATCGTTTATATCAGCCCATATTCTCTGGTACTTCATGTAATTTTCAGCTGAGTTCATAATCTGTGCGCCGGTGATTTCAACTCATTGCTGCTGGAGCGCAGCGCGAAGCTTTTTTATTTATTTCTTTATATTTTTTTTGCGTTCGGTAGATCCCTTTGGCTGATTAGTTAGAAAGTAGGAAATCTAGGAAACTGTTTTTCTGGAAGACGGTGAAAACATGCAGCATGCAGGAAGGTTAGAGAGAGAAAGGGCGGGAAATTATTCACATAAAATCAAGAAAACAAAACAAAGTGCTTGAAAAGAAAAAAAAAGTAGGTAGATTTATCCCCAATACACATTTTTACCAGTGAAAAGCAATAATATACATAAGCATTTAATATTTATACATGTGATAGAATCAGATCACCCCAGAAGTCAGTCCCACATCCAGGGCCGTATCAAGGCATTTGGGGACCAAGGCAAATATAGGCTTGGAGCCCCCACCACCTCACTCCCTGCTCAGTTAATATAAGATGGCAGCATGCTGAGAGTACAGATTGTTGTTGCTTTTATTTAATAAACAATCATTTTAAAGCACTGTTATTATATCTGACTGTTTTTAACAGCAATCCTAGCTCAGACACCACATCACTTTCCACATATATGTCATGAGCTCACTGAACGTCACATTACCAGATTCATATTGAAGTTGTTTTGGTGAAAGATACTTCAAGTAATGCAAAAGTAGTGTAATGCCTTACATTTTAAAATCAGCAATATTGTAATGTAATTAATTGCTTTAAAATGAGGGTAACAAGTAATAAATAATGCATTACAGTTTTGAAGTAACTTGCCCAACACTGTTGTTGAGTTAGAAACGTGGCCGGTTTCACATTTGACACCACTCTGCAGCCCTCTGCTGGCCAGATACTACACTTAACAGTTTGTGGAGCGGGTAGGTGTTCTAGGGGGCGCTCTTATACCTGCATTACGGCTTTTGGCTATTTTCTGTGCAGTTCGCTTTTTCAGTTTGCTGATAGTCAATAAAAAGCACAAGAAGAAGAAAAAGATAATTGCTTTACTGTTGGCATTGTGGCAGACCCTGGAAGTAAGAGAGCAATGTCTTTGGAGGTGAAGCAAACAGCTAAAACCAGTGAAAGCATCAGCATGGCCTACACTAGTTTGAGGAAGCTAAAAAAGGCAATGAAATCACGGACTGGTGGTGACCTGGCTTTGTTGCTACTGGACTTGTAAGTAATATTGTTTGTCCAACAGTGTGGATCGTTTTTATTTGTAGCTTAATCAGTAAGACTTGACTCATGTTAGTGTTAGCTTGTTGGTAGTGCTAGCTACAGCAGGCTGCTGCCGGGTTGTTTACGGTAGTTGTAACGCCGGGGACACACCGGCCGCGGAAGCGCCGCGAAGCACCGAGAAGCGAATCGCTCACGAAATTCGGCCGCTGCTCGCCGCTCCTCAGTTCAGATCAGACGCGCCCCAGTCGAGGCGCGCCTCGGCTCAGCTGTAGTTTTTCTTTTAAACACTTGGTGTCCTCCATTTCCTCTCTGCCTTTTCTCAGCTCTTTTCCTCTACGTTTGAGTGTTTGTGTGCGTGTGCGTGTGTGTGTGTGTGCGCGCGCACGCATGTGTTTGTGTGTGTGTGTGTGTGTGTGTGTGTGTGTGTGTGTGTGTGTGTGTGTGAACCTATGGTATGAGTTGTTTCTGCCAGTTGAATCTCTTGGAACCCGCTCCAATTCTGCAGCTGTATCCTAGCAGTTTCTTCCGACATGGGTACGTAAATAAACGTGTTTTTCGGGGGTCGTACAGCTCCTTGTGTTTCTCAACTTCCATAATTAATTTAAAGTCATCCATCTTAACTGCTTGCCTCAGACTTTCTGCCTCTCTGTCCTGTTTGCTCCGGTGAAAAGACACCCAAAACCACACCCCCCTTCACGTGGTCACACACGCACTCAAGTTCGATGTGTGTATGTGTGTGCGTGTTCGTGTGGTTTTTCTGCAGTGTCTGTTTACGAACACATTTGACTATTGCGGAATTTTATTTTGAAATGCTTTATTTTGTTAACTTTACCGGCCTGCCTCTTATGTCTACGTTTGACTTCCTGCCAGAATTGACGCGATTCACTCGTGGCTCACGAAAAAAATAGAGCCAACGCCGAAATGATCGCTGCACGGCGCGGGCTGGAGCGCCGGCGCGCGGCGATTCGCGGCGCTTCGGCGGCCCATGTGGCCTATAGACTAGCTTAACAAGGGCGCCGAATGAAGGCGGTCCCATTTTCGCGGCGCTTCCGCGGCCAGTGTGTCCCCGGTGTAATTCCACTTTCAACCAGTAGGGCGGAGGAGCAGGAAGCTGCTCTGTGTTAGAGGAACAAACTTACTGTTCCGGATAGTAATTTTGCGATTTCTGTAATCTGCGCTCAGTGTGGGTTCGTTGACGCCCCTCTTCTGGATCACAACACGAACGATACGTTGGCTGTCTGAGCAGTCGTTGGTAGGATCCTGGCCTAGATTCAGCACTGCCTGATAAGCTTCAAAAAGACAGAAAAAAATAGCGTTTGTGTTTTTTACTTTACACAAAAGCTTTAAATTGTTTATTTTTCTTAACATGAGTAAAGATTTTACAAGTCCTTCCAGGGACAGGCTTACCTGTGGAGTAGTAATCCAGTATCGGGTCCTTACAGAAGGATTTGTACTTCCATGTAACCATTACATCCCGTTGGTTTGCAGACGTTGTGTAGTCGCAGCGAATAATCACAGAGGCGAACAGCATCGTCCTTCTCTCAGTCTGTGGGACGTTCACCTGAATGGCCAGAAGCTCTGATAGAAGAAACATAAAAACATTAAGATGATATAGCCTTTAGCCCGTCAATCCTGTTAGACTTTAACTCTGTTTCTCTAAACAGAGGCTGTTCAGAAAGCCATCTAAGCAGACAATTTAACAAACATTTCTTTAGGTCTGTGGTTGTATGTTGGACAGATAAGAATCTGACCAAACCGGTTGTCAGTTTACTTCACACACTCTGCCGTGTCATCAGAAACAACACAGGCTGTTAGTTATCGCCTGTAAACAGCTTTTTAAAAATGACGGGACAAATAATAAAGAGTCAGTCAAGGTGAATGGGAAAGTTCAAACGCTTTAGTCATTATGTAGCGGCTTTTCTGCTCTACAAACAACATTATTTCAGAATTTGTACAGTCCTAATTTCCAACAACATTTTTAACTATTCAAAATGTTTCAATCAAAAATAATGCATTAACTATCTATTTAAAGCAATTAAATAAATAAATAGGCAAACAAAAAATATCATCATCCAGCACCACCTGAAATATGTTAATACTACAGATAAAAATCACCAGAACATGTTTTAATAAAAACTATAAACTGATCTGAATAATCAGTTTGATGAAATCTCTGAGTAGCCGCCTAGAGTGTGTGTAATTTTTTATATTAAATTTTAACAAATGTTACCAAAAAAAGATAATTCATGGATTAAATATTCTTGATCTACTGGATTGAAAACAATAATTAGTGTAATGTTTGTAGCGAAATATATATATCAAATTTTGTATAGAAAAGAAATACAGATGTGACGCAAATCAACAGTATGAGTTTGTAAGGGAAAAGTCACAGGTTACTTATTGTAGCATCCAGCAATGATCAGTTTCACCAATATATTTGACCAAAATCATCTGCGAGAACAGAGTGGAGTTTCTATTCTGTCTTCTAAAGCCCAGAAGATTCTGCAGTGCATGTTGACATTTCAGGGGGACAAGATTTTCAGCCTGTGTCCCCAAACAAAGCTTTCTTTTGATAAGACTGCATGATTGCACACTCTGAATGAAAAATGAACTTTTGCAACTCATAAGGTAAATAATTATTAAATAATCACATGGTTGAATAAACAAATGTTATATGAGTAATAATATTAATGTTTGAATAATATGTGCCTAAATAAATTAAGTTGAAATGAATATTGTTCTGACAATGATCCATTTAAATATTTATGATCAGTAATGTATGATTTAACAAGTTAATTATTATCTACACTCATACACAAGGTTCATAAGACATTAATTACGGTTACGGTCACCTCTCACGTAAGTTTAAAGATTATTTATCCACAGAGTTAGAACATCTTTGTATCTGATGGAGGTGTGGTTCTGAGGGATGTTTGGTAAACCTACAACATGTCAAATTCTGATTCGCCAGAAATCATGACATGGGGATTAATAAAACTAGAATGAATTCCTGAGTTATTCAGTTTCCAGCTGACACCTCGATTCGGCCAAGAAAGAAGCCCTTTTGAAACAACCTCCTTTGACCTTAGTCAAAACCTTGCCACGACGCTGCAAACACAACAGCTCGTTCCAGAGCAATTGCAACTCTTAAGACATCCATCTTGGATGCCTAATCTGCAGACCCCAGGTTGCATCTCATGGCCGGGGAAGAGGAAGCTACAAGTCTCTGAGGATCGTGGTCTCGACGTCCAGTGACCTCACCACTCTGACCGCAAACCTCCGGACCGCCGGGAGCAGGGGCGGATTTAGCAATTTGGGGGCCCAAGGCAAACACAGACATGGGGGCCCTTTACACTGAATTTTCGACAATCTTACCTTTAACTGGATTTGCGAAACGCTCCCCTCTTCTGACATGAGTTATTTTCCCTTTTTATTAGTCCTCCTCCTTTTTCCTGTATTTCCCTCCCTTTGAGCGCTTTCAATATTTGCTCTGCTTTCTTCTTCCTGTCAGTGCTCCTGTGCTTTAGCCTTAGTTTTTTTTTTCTATTTTCCAATTTGGTCTATGTTTTCCTCCCTTTAAACATTTTCTATTGTCTTTCCTTTCTGCTTCCTTTTTACATAGAAAAACGACGTCAATTTCAGAAGTGAAGATAAAAGCTTTTATGAAGCAAGCTGCTTCTTTCTCTTATTGGAGCCACCAGGATAACTCCATTTCATGCTTAATGTTTTGACTATCGCTTAGAGTTTGTTACGAACGCTCCCGCCTCTCTTCTTATTGTTATTTGTGGTCTTATGGCACTTGGCAAACAACAACTTTGGCGCATTACCGCCACCAACTGGACTGGAGTGGAATGACTACCAATCACTTCCTGTTTGTGCATTACCGTCTTAATAACCCTCTTATGACCATAATTATAACAGGGCTGCCTGGTATTTTTTTAATCTTATGGCTGTAAAATTGTAATAAAAAGTGCAAAGTGTGTGTAACTCTCTCCTTTTTTCAGAACAACCTCAGCTTTCAGTGTATGGTTTGTATTTCCAAACCACTTTAACATTTCACGAAAAGAAACGTGAAGCCACTTCTCCTCCAGCTTCATTGGCTGCCAGTCAACTTCAGGGTTCATTTCAAGATCCTGGTTCTGGTCTATAGGGCCTTACATGGACAAGCACCATCTTACATTGGTGATCTTCTTAGTCCCTACACCCCCAGCAGGTCCCTGAGGTCCAGTGATCAAAGCCTACTGGTTGTGCAGCACCAGGCTAAAGACCAAAGGTGACAGATCATTTGCTGCTGTGGCCCCCAGACTCTGGACCTCTCTCCCCCTGAGCCTGAGATCAGTGGACTCAGTGGTCTCCATCAAAAGCAGCTGAAGACTCACTTGTTCAAGATGGCTTTTGTATGACCTTCTTCACCACTCTCTCTTTATTCTGCCCTCCCCACCTATTCCACCTTCCTCAGGATCCACTGATTTCCCTCTTTCCTGCTCACTCTCTCTCTTTCTTAACATTTTTTCTTTTGAATCCCAATTGCCTATTTTTTGCTCATTTTAAATATATTTTTAAACATTTTCTAAATGCTTTTTTATATATGTTTAAATCCCAATATATATAAACATATATATTTGTTTTTTTTTTGTTTTTGTGAAGCGCCTCGTCATTTTTATCTTGAGAGGCGCTATAGAAATGATATTTTCTTCTTCTTCTTCTTCTATTTAGAATTCATTTCTATTAAAGCCTTTAAAAAAATCAGCTTAAAAGTGAAAAAAGCAAAAAACGGATTTGAATTTTTTACAGTTATTACTGAACAGGAACTTCAAAATGACTGGGCAAACAATTTAAACTTTGAACTGTAATGCATCTATTCTTAAAGAAATTTGAACCTTGGTGTCTTTTAGCAGTTTTTTAGACCATTTATTTTTGTAAACTTTCAGACGTTTTATTTGATGTGGTAGGCCTTGAAGCAGTTTCTCTCCAGCTGCAGGCAGAGTCCTGCACACCTTACACCGCCATGGGGTGCTTCTCTGGCACACCGTGCACTGCTATACCAAAAACTTTTGTTTTAGCAAAAATAATTATTTATGGTAAAAAGATAAATAATGCTGGAATGAAGCTGAATCTTACAATTAGCAAATAGTTGAGGGTTGTTCAAATAAAAAAATAAAGACTGAACAAACATTCATACCCTGGTTCACCGGAGATCTGTCCTTCTTCATGGTCACTGTCTTCAGATATAAGCCTTCTGGGACACCTAATGGATCGCGTTTATTTTATTTGAGGCATTTCCATAATTTCATTCTGGCTTTTTATGCTAATTAGCTTCCCCGTTCCGTTATACGCTTTCACCGCGGCGCTGCGCTCCGTTTCAATCAGGCTTTACAACAGGATTTCCCCTCGTAGCAATATTTACCCTAACTCAGATTGCTTCTTGCTATAGATCGTTGGAAAGCTGCTTTTATGTACTTTTAGGAACCGTTGGAATTTCTTGGATCTGGTCAGCCATTCAAAAGTTATAAAACGGAGCATTTTGGATGACAAACTCAGCACGTCTCTGAATCTGTGTTGTGATTCGATGGGCTCAAGACAGGGAATCCCGGTGGTTACCGTAAAGTCTTGTATATGCACGAAAAGCCCCATTTTTTATCTTTTCAGCACTTTTGAAATTTTAATGATATCTTGAACGGTTCAGGAATTATGGTAATGAGAAGTGCGCATGTCCAATCCCGTCTGCGGCGACAGGTTGGTAATAAGAATATTGTGGCATTAACAGAGGGGTGCCAGCGGTCAGGGCTAGGGGCCCCCCAACACAAGGGGGCCCCAGGCGGCCGCCTACCTATGCCTAATGGTAAAACCGCCTCTGGCCGGGAGCAACTCATACAAGGGTATGGCAGACCTGAATACTGGTGTCTGATGTTCTCTCTAAAACTCTCTAGTTTATAACAGACCAAATTATTTTACACCCAGAACTCACAGTTTCTTCCAGATACAAAGGTTCATCGCACATCATTATTCATAACTTGTCATGTATTATTAGTTTATGTAAAATAAAGTTTATTTTAATTATATAATTGCCTGTCTGAGTTAATATGAAGTGTGTTTATGGTCACTGAATAAGCAAAGAATCCTAAATTCTTCTGGTTAAACATTCAAAGTTCAATCAGGTTGATATTCTATATTTATATAGAATCATCACATCTTATTGATCATAATTTAACCTCCCAATCTCCTTACATTACATTATTTTATTTAGAAATTTCATTTTAGAAGGAAAATACTTGAACCTATAAAAATTCCAATCCAATTGAGGAAACCTGGAAATTGATGATGTTTCATTATGTTTACCTCATTGTAGCCATGTTTTGCATGGAGCTAGGATTGAGCTAGGAAGTTACAAGTTACGAATCCAAAGTTACATGTGATGAAACATGTTCGAAGTTACAAAACTTGGTACAAGTTACGCTGAATATTGTCCCAATCCTAGCTCCATAGTTTTGTCTCATTTAGTGACCTTCAGACTTCTGTAGGTCAATAAAGTAAAATCTTACTTCAAAACAAAGACAGTAATATACACAAAAATAACAAAAACCTGATTATTTTTTATTCTGCTCTTATTCGTGAACTCTAATCTACACCAGCAGAGTAAATACGAGACAGCAAGGACCTCGTCCTGTTTGCACCTGTTGATTATTAACTTTGTTAGTTTCGACTCTTTTCTTTTTTTGTTTCACAGTTTCTGTGCATAAAACGATGTGATATTACCTGTACCACAATTAAAATCAGAAAGCGTTAATAACCAGACATTACCTGTTGGCAGGTAGAGCAGCACAAACACCATCAGTATCAAATTTCCCATCTCGTTGTTCTTTATCTTTTACTGCGGAAGCTTCACTTTTTCTCTTGAAAACCTCTAAGCTCCAAAATGTGTGCATAAAAGCGTCATGAAGGCGCTGACGATCAAAGCTTTTCTCCTAAAACATGTTCGCCAGGTTGTTTGTTAGTTTCCAGCCGAAAGATTAGCCCCTCCCCCAGTCAGATTCAGGTGACATCACTGGCCCCGCCTCTCTGGACAGGTGCAGTGGAGGGAAAAAAAATCCCCCATATTTGGCATACCGTTTTATTATTTAATCAAAACGTATCTGTCTCTGAACATAAATTAAACTTCTATTAATAAAATGCTATTCGTATTACAATTAATCATGATCTATTGATTTATTCTTACTGTGCCGCCCCTGTAAGGCAGATAAATTTACCTTCTCGTGCGTGCGTACGTAACTTGTACCGGTAGACCTGCCATAAACATTCTCAACTGTTATATATTCTGCATATTGGTTAATCTTTTCTTGCTAAGCCTGAAAGAGCACATGCCTGTAAGTCATACATGTTTGCTCTGTTGAGCGTATTTATTATAGTTTTATGTAACAGTTGAGAATCTTGTGTGAGGAAGTTTTATCTCTAGTAAAAACGGTCGCGATGCTAATGCGTTAGCCCGTCTAGGTGATTTTACATATATTAGCATTGAGCTAACTTGATTGTTTTATTATACCTTTATGGTTTGCACATCAAGTACATGAAAGTTCATTATTAAGTGTTTATTAATATAAAATACATCACAAATGTAACATTATTCATTTATTGTTTTTCTGTATTGCAGTTTTACAGTGCCTTCTACAGTAAATGTCTAAAACGTCCCTGCTGACTCCTGGATGTTTTATATTTGACCTGCTATCTGCCTTGCTAGAATCCAGCTTCATCGTCTAGTGAGGGCAGAGTAATTACATTTATAGTAGTATTGAAACAAAGTTTAAGATCTAAAAAATTCGGATGTATTTGGAGCTGAATTCCAATTCTTAAAATTCAAAATACAATTTTTAAAAATGATAAATGACCCGCACTTATGTAACGCCTCTCAGAGTAAGGACTCCACACTACAGTGTATCATTCATCCATTCACACACACTGGTGGGGATGAGCTACGATGTAGCTACAGCTGCCCTGGGGCGCACTGACAGAGGCGAGGCTGCCGAGCACAGGCGCCACTGGTCCCTCCGACCACCACCAGCAGGCAAGGTGGGTTACGTGTCTTGCCCAAGGCAGCAGAATTCTCTGTCCGGAGCCGGGATCGAACCTGCAACCTTCCGATTATTGGACAACCCGCTCAGCCTGTTGAGCTATTGCTGCCATTAGGACCACTGATGTTGACCTAACTTTTCTTTTTGTCAGACATTCTTTTTAACATTCTTTGACCTCCATACACAGGTGAAACCAGTTTAGGTTTAGAGGAAGAATACAGAAAGCTGCCTTGGAGATTTCAGCTGTCTGTTTCCACAGTTACGAACATATTAAGGAAATGGAAGACCACAGGCACAGCTCAAGTTAAGGCTCAAAGTGGCAGACCAAGAAAAATCTTGGATAAACAGAAGTGAAGAATGGTGAGAACAGTCAGTCAACCCACAGACCAGCACCAAAGATGTACAACACAATTTTTCTGCAAATGGAGTCACTGTGCATCGTTCAACTATTCGATGCACTTTACACAAGGAGGTGCTGTAGGTGAGAGTGATGCAGAGGGTTAGTTGAACCTTTCGTGTGCTTTGAATTGTCGGCAATTATTCAGTCATGAAAATAAATGGTTCAAAAAAGATTTATTTATTTAAAAAGTCTCTAAACAGTGCAATAACGAACAAATTCAAGGTGCAGTACTTACAGTAACAAAATAGAGCAAATGAATGTAAAAGTACACAGTAATCCTGAGTCACAGAAAACTGGGGGCCGCTTGTTTCACCAGACTATTCTGATATTGGCAACCAAAACAAACAAACATATAATAATAAGTATCTTGGCACTGTTTTATGTCAATAAATGAGTCAAACACTGTAAAATATGCACAAGTACAAAAGTATAATTAATGCATGATCACAAAGATAATAACCACAGAGCACGGGTCTCTTTGTGCACATGTAATTCTCTTTAATTCCCAGTGAGGTTATTTGTTTCAGTGAGGTGAGCCAGGCTTCATGCAGCTGGTGGTGGAACCGTTAGTGTCTCCTGCGTAGCTGCAGGACAGTTTTAATGAACGGACTGCTGTGCAAACGCCTCATCACACTATGAGTGAATCCCTGCTCAGCGCAGCGCTCTGTTAGAGAAACACATGAGATGTTAGAGGACTGACATGGGTCACATAGGTCATGCTGCTGGTGACTGAAACAATGGTTTAGTAAGACTTTATATGGTTAAAATACAGGGAGGAGGGTCAAATGTTATGTTTCTAGAAGTGAATTTATAGTAAATGACTGTAAAGGAGAAACAAAAAAGTAAAAAAAAACAGTGTTAGAACATAAAAATATACATAACACTTTAAGACATCTTCAGAATCACACTTTATGTTTTATTTTTTCTAACTAAATGTCCCCTAGGGACAAACACTTGAGATTCTCAGGTAAAAACTTTCTACTGAAAGTTCATTATAACATTGCATTACCTTTTCTGTCCACTTGAGGGCATCGAAACTAACCACAAAAACTTTCTGTTGAGCTTTTTTTTATTTTCTCACAAACAAATAAAAGGTTTCAATTTATTTAATGATGTGTTTAGGACACAAAAGCCCCCAAATCTATATTTATATGTATATATAATTATGATATAATAATAAACCTCTGATTCATTGGTAGCCTTTCAAACTTTATTTAGGTGGGTCCCTTTGATTTATTTTTCTTCTGTCCCTCTGAGTTTATTGTTTCTTATTTTGGTTGTCAGGTGTTGGTCCAGCTGCATATTTTGATAATTTTGTGTTGTTTAAATACTCATTTTGTGCATTTTACTAATCTTTGTGTACATATTTAGTCTCTTTAAAGTAATTTAAAAAAATAGCATTATTGTTTAACATCTCCAGTTATTTTACATTTCAGTGGTGGCTGAATTTATCCCTTTCAACTCTGTTTTCTCTGTCATTAAAAACATTTCTTCACCTCTATCTTTTCATTTCTTTAGACTACACTGATGTTTTTGACCACTTTAGACAAAAAATAGCCCTTGTTAGTGTGTCCAGAAAAGTTTTTTGTTAACAATAGGAAAAATACTGGACATTTCCCGTAGTTAATTCAAGGATGTAGAGGCTCTTTTCCTGCAGAGCTGAAGAGGAAAGAAGTCCTTGTCTCTGCTATAAGTAACTCACCAGGTTACGGGTCCTGTCTCGCTCCTCTCTGAGCCCCTGTAGCGTCTGAGCGGCTCCCAGGTGAGGACGAGTGTAGGAGAAGGGCCTCAGGCCGGGCTCAATGGTCCTGGTTCTTTCTGATCTGGGTAGATCTGCTGTACGGTACCGGTCTGAGGTTGGGTCAGCCCTACGGTAACGCCCCGCCTCCAGCTCCGAGTATGGAGGTAGAGGGTCCTCGTCATCTGGACGGTTGCTTGGTGACCGGCTGTAGTAACTATCACTGCCCTTTCCTCTGGAGCTGCCTTTAGAAGGGGTGTCACTGTCCTCCTCCTGTCTCCCAGCCCCCATGTCCCCTCCTCGTCCTCTCGCTTTATTCTCCAGCACACTAGTGAGAAAGCCGTCATCATAACTTTTGCTCAAGGCCCTTCGAGATGGACGGTCAATGTCCCATGTGTCCCTTCTCTTTTGCAAAGGGGAGGGGCTGCGGCGGCCCCATCCATCCTCTTCATCCTGGTAGAACCTTCTGGGAGGGCTGTAGTCGTGCTTATAAGTCCGGTCTGGAGGTTCAGGTCGACGAGCTCGAGAGCTGTAGGATCGAGCAAATTCCTCCAGCTCATCCAGAGAGCCGGTGCGTCCTCTTCTGCCCAACGTCTTCCTCTGCAGGTGTTCTGAGCGAGGATTCCACCTAGGCATGAAACATCCTGTGTATTACTCCATCCAAAAGCAGTTAACTGATTAAACCTGCATTCGTTTGAATAAATCACCTGCGTTCCAGTTCATCATCTGACTGATTGCCTCTGTTTTGTCTGGAACGTCGACTCTGAGTGTGAGGAGCTGGTCTCACTTGGTCGTCTTGGTCCGCGATAGGTGGAAGCGCCTTCATCTGAACTGCCTGATAGTTGTTCCTGAAATCTGTGTTTCCTCCGTCGTGAAGTGAACTCAGCTCTGACATGCTGCTGGCTGGTGGACAAACACAAGACTGAAATGACATCTGAGAGTCATGGTGCAAAATTCACATTAATATAACAGTTGGCATCAACAGAGTAAAGCACTGCAGCATTGCACACAAGAGGAACGAGAGGAATGGCATCTGCTGGGAGGGGCCCGAGGTTTGAAAGTGTTCAAACATCTTGGTTACAGATGACTGCAAAAATATCTCAACCCAAAGTTTCTTAAAATACCTCAAAACAGCCTGATCAATCCACAAGTGTTACAAAACTATTCAAATTCTGCAACAATTTAACAATTTGCTGACATTAACTCAACTTTGGCTTTTATTTAACATCAAACTGTGAGGATTTTGACAAATCTACTGATTTAAACCCCCAAAATGAAGGGTTATGAAACAAAACTGATACGTTGCAGAAGAAAAGTATAAAAATGGACCAGAACATTGCAGCATGCAATGAAAAAATCATTCTCCAAATGGTTAAAAATGTGGCTCCAAATCAACTCTAGAGTGGTTTGTTTATAGTGTGAATGGGATCCAAATTCCCTCTGACACAATAAACATCAGCACACTGCAAGTTCGAGCCAAATGCCCTCCTGTAGCCAGGTTTGCATTCTGGGATGCAGAAGAAGGTCCTGGCTAGCCCAAAATGAACCTGAGAACTCATGTGGAATAACAATGGGCAGATGGCTAGATTTATCAACTCTCATGAAAAAACACGAGAATTTTAATTATTCCTGAACAGCCAAGGGAGAGGGGCTTTGTGTTTCATCTTCAGGTTTTGCTGTGTGAAAAGAAACCGAACCACAGGAAAAACTAAAAATTAACAAAATGATGGACTGATTGGACCACAGGAAACAAACCAGATGTGTGACATTGTCCTAAATGTGCTTTCACACCAGCAGTTTGATCCAGACCAGAGTCCATCCCCTCAGATAACTATTTTTTCTTCATCCTCTGCACATATTCCAGGTAATGGCACCCAAAATTACCAGGCAGTTTGGTCACATCTCAAAGGTGGGATGTGAAACCAAATCAGTCACAGGGTTTTTCCTAATTTCCTGCCCAAATGAACCCAATTGACAAACAGAATCAGTTGAATGTTAAATAATGGGATTAGATGGATTATACACAGAAGAAACACACAAACATGCACACTCTGGCTTTCACACGGATCTAACAAGCTGGTCTAATGCTTGTAGGCTTACATTTGAGAGAAGGCATTTTGCTGGGTGGAAACTCAGCCAGCTCCTTCTCTATGTAGTAGAGAACTTTCATGGAGTCCTGATTTGAGCTCGTGGTCAGTCGGTAACTACTGCACACTGTGGATATGGATACACACACACACATCCATACACACACATATACACACAAGAACAGGCAGGGATTTGCAAAAGTAAAGCTGAGTGTGACGCATGCTTTTAAGAGACACAAATGACTTCATGTGTTACATCACAAACATACATGACAATAGACACATTTGGGAAGGATGAAAAGGGGTGTCTCTGGTAAAAGGGCACAATGTTTACAAAAAACCCAACAGAGTATATATTAGTTTGGTGAGTCCTTAGGGAAAAGTTCATGACCTCCAAGTGGAAGAGTATAAGAACTATAATTCACCTCCAGCCAGGTTATTTTCAGTTGATGTAACTGTAGAGATCTTTGCATCCAGATGCGATGATGGAGCAAGAGGGACAACAGTAGGTACACCAGGAATGTAGTATGGATACACAGGAATCGGAGCAGGCTGTTGACTCTTGGCCATCTTCCCTGCCTCGTACACTGCATAATTTAAAAGTAACACCTTGAACAGATTGCTTGTTTGTGCAAAAACAAACATGCAAAGAAGGAAAACAGGTGATCTTTAACGTTACTCACAGTGTCGTGGGCAGCAGCAGGTATCGGGACAGCAGCAGCAGCGGACATAGCAGCAGCAAGAGTGAGGACAGCACTGGCACCAGCAGATTCCCCACAACAACAGGAATAAGATGCTGCCCAGGGCTACGCAAGCCACAAATGCCCACTCTGGTTTATTAAAAGCACAGAAAAATATATATGGTAAACAACAGATACATTCAAAAGAACACTATTCACCACCCGAACAGCACGATTTTTTACACAACAAACAAAAAGACCAAGTTTGATATCCCGGACAAACCCCCAAATTGTCATAACAGGGCTTATAAAAATCTTTTTATCACTATTTTGATTGTACTTTCATGATGATCATTGTTCTTCTCAAACAAAAGGCAACAAAGCCGCTATAAATACAAGCAAGTAAGTAAGTACACACCAAAAAACAAAAAATCATGCAGGTTTTCACACATGCTAAAATTACAAGTGATGGGTAAATGTATCATGGAGATAGTCCATAATAAACATTTACCATTTTGCTTCAGATACTTCCCTACATGTAAACAGTTTTTATATTTTGCTGTTATTAGGGTTGTTCTACAATTTATTATATTTTTGCTTTCATTGTTAATGTATTTTGACAGTCAAACTAACATGCCAACTTCCAAGATTCAGACCAAGATATCCTGAGGAACAAAACGCTAAAATACCTGATCTCTAAAGAACTTCTTAGTGACCACATCTCAAACTTCTACTGACAACACATTTTCTCGGGGGGGGGGGGGGGGGGGGGGGGGGGGTGTCAAGAAACAAAATCCCCCTAAAAATCTTTCTCTATGCCAGGGATTCCCTAAGTGTGGTGTGCGCACCCCTGGGGGTGCGTGAGCTACCGCTAGGGGGTGCGCAAGGTGAAAAGTGTAATGGCTGCGGAGCTCAGAGAAGTCTGTCATATGTCACCATTAGCGTAGCCAGAAACTCATTTGTGGGTGAGCCTAAGAAAAAGTAAGTGGGCCCAATAAATGCAACTGAAAAGTTTTTTATCACGGAAGCGGCAGCGCATATTTTGCTTTTGTGTGTGTGTGTGTGTGTGTGTATGTGTGTGTGTGTGTCCTCCGCACATGCCCTAGCTTCATAATAATAATGTGCCGAGCTTCAGCACTCTGACCTGCACACGCTGTCAATAGCAAGATATGTTCCGTATTTGATAATTTTTAACGAGGTTGGAGAAATCTGAAGGTGGTGAGTCATTCTGGCAGATTGTAATTAACACCCTATCTCATGCAGGTGTTCTGACATTGTAAACCTCACACACAGAACATTGTGGATGTAACAAAATAAATCAAGAAATGATTCCCATCTGAGCATTTTAGCATTATTATGTTATTTTATTAGCACACTGACTGTGGGACAGCATTCTAAACGTGTCAGGCTATTAACAGCGCACTGAAGATCTGAAGTTCAGAGTGCGTCTGTCAGAGGTCAGACGCCTTCCAGCGGAACCACGGCTCACGGGTGCACAAGTGAGCACATCTGGGCTGGGCAGAAGTAATTTTACAACGTTGGTTTAAATAGCGCCAATAACGAGACGCGGTGACTGGAGCGGCTCATGGAGCTGTGTCGCACACACACACACACACTGATTCAACAAGTGCACTCTGCTCTGTGCCGTCAGACTGAAGGCAGAAATGAGCGCTGCCGCTTCCGTGATAAAAAACTTTTAGGAGGTTGTATAACAACGTTTTTCATTCAAGGTCATATTAGCTTCCATTTTGGGATGACGTATGAAATTCGAGTACGCTCCAGCCATATGACTCCTCAAGAACCTGACCACAACTCCTGTTGCTGCAGCATTTGTTATTCCAGTCCGCGTGGCAGCGGATCGCAGATTCAGCCACACCATAAAACAGCAATAAGTCGGTCTGAGGCAAAAGTGAACCTCATGGCTATAGCTAGGGCTGCTCAATTAATCGAATTTTAATCACAATTACGATCTGAGTTTTGAACGATTATGAAAACAAAACAGGCCGATTATTTGCTCCTCCCACTTGCGCTGCCCTGAGTTGCAAATGAAGCGCTCCTCCCACAGTGTTGCCAACTTGGCGACTTTGACGCTATTCCTAGCAGCTTTTCAGACCCCCTTCTTGACTTTTTAAATCTTAAAAGTACCTACTACCTAGCGAACACCTCAGAAACATCTCTGGTAACTCTTAGCTACTTTCTGGATAACTGTCGTCGACATTTCCTGCAGGTTAGCTAAACACTCCGCCTGCGCTCCGGACCGTTCTTCACAACATTAGGAAAGGGAATGATGTAGTGATGTGCCAGTCGCTAAAGAAACCTCTCTCAAAGCCAGCTCCCTGATGGAGTAACCAGAGTGAGTGACACACACACACCGCACCTGCGGACTCCTGAGCCACTAAAAACGGCTAAATGTGCGCGTGCTAAACACACATGCAGCTTGCTACTGATTGCTGAGACCGGGTTGGGGGGTGGGGGGTGCAGCTGTGGTTGGGACAATTATTACATTAACTGATGGACTTATAAATAAATAGTTTATAAATAAGGTAGAAATAACTTCCTCACGCTGATAAATAATAACTAATCTCTCTGAGGACATGGTGCTAGTGCACTCTCCTACAGCACCTTGACACGACTCAATAAATGTTATGCAACATTTTGTGAACATCAATTTATTTGAATTTATTTGTTATAAATGCCACTGTATAATTCTTGCTGTCAGTATTTGCAAGATATTGGTATTTGGGTCTGTACTGGTTAGACTTACATGAGTTAAACCAAGGTCTACAGCCCTTGGGTCATAGACTATGAGCTATAAGTATATTGGTCTTTTTATACTGGGAATCAGGAGTTATTTTAGTGATCATCTTGTTTCTTATTTCTTTTTGTCCTGATTGTGCCTTGAGCAGTTTTATGACTGAATAAAAACAAATAAAATCAACATAAATTGAAAAATCGTCCTAAATAATCGAGATCTCAATTTCAGTCACCATAATCGTGATTATTGTTTTCGCCATAATCGAGCAGCCCTAGCTATAGCTTTTCCATCTTTTCCCCTATAGACATTTGATTACGCACAAGTAGGTGGCCAGTTCAGCTTTACGCAGAGCAGAAGGAAGGAGAGCGCTCTGGTTAAACGTTCCTGCTTTAAGAAAACCGTTAAATTGCATTGTTTATGTGCTACCTGGGCACTCTAAATATTGATTTAAAATTAAATGAAAGGAAATTGTAATGGTATTGAATGTTTCTTAATCACTATTTCAAAAATATATAATACATAAACATAAAAATGCAAGTGATGGGGAAAAAGGTCGATCAAATTCTTTTAACCCTGTCTGTCGAGAAACTGTTTAGCGTGACGTCTGATATATACATATATATATATATACATATATATATATATACATATATATATACATATATATATATATATATATATATATAAAACCATGCCCTGATGTGGGGCTGGGGGTTGCGTCAACATGGTCGGGACACAGAAGGCGCCTAAATAAGTTTGGGAACCACTGCTCTAAGCTGTAGCATACCTTATCATTTAAATCATGATCAGTATGAAGAGTTCGATTTGTTAACATAATGTTTATTCTAAAATCTTGACTTTTAATTGATCAGTGAGAAATTAAAAAAGGGGGAATTAGAAAAGCTGGAAAAAGCAGAGCGGTGAGGAGAAGATGCAGCTGATTGGCCGTACCTGGCATAATCTGCAGATCAAACTCAGGTAGAAGATCGTTCTGCTCACCTGTCCTGCCTGCAGAGAAAGGGAGAGCACAGGTGAAGGATGACAGAGGGGGCAGGAAGCAGAAGCCAAAAGGTCAAGCAAATCTGGTAGAAGAGTTGATGATGATTGGTCATGCACTATTAATCAACCTGCAGCTGAAATGCATCATAAAGCTTTAGAAGAATACCCTCACATGTGCATCAGTCAGCCTCATCTATCTATGACTCACATTTTCTTTTCTCTTAAACAATTTTTCATGCTAAATGCGTCGGCTGGGGGCACGATTGCAAAGTTCCCTAAAAGTGTCTTCGAAGATAATTATCGATAAAATACAACACATCTATAAGTGTGTGTTTTTAAAAGCAGTAGAAGTTGTCTCATTTTAGCAGCAGAGTGATGTTTCTGCTGGTGTTACACATGGATGAATATGCATGCTGCTCTATATTATACATGCACACATGCAGCTAATTGTCAAAAACAGACAGGAGAGGAGAAATGGGAGGTTAGGGAAACTGGGCCACAGCATTTCTAGGACAGGAATTTAGTACGGCAGTTCATCACAAAAGGGCCAAACTAAGTAGTGTTGTATAGTGAAACAATGTGTCTTTTGTGCTTTATGTTAAAAACAAGGAGGTCAAAATAAATGCTGGTACTCGGAAAACTGTTGCATATGCAGTCTGAGCAACTACCGCAGGTGTTTGTGGTGTTTCATGTGCTTATTATGAGATCTTTAAGGACTGTGATTAAAGACCAGCGACTGATCCGTCTGACTGTAACCAGAAACTTAACAGCACAACATTGTGTGCTGAGTAAGCTGTTATTCAGGTGAACAAAAAAAAAAGGTAATCCTGCTACCTTGGACTTGCACACTCAGACACATACCTTCTGTATCGAAGAGTAACCTGAGAGCTGAGGAGTTTGCGTATAAGGTCACCAAGTGAACCACAGAGAGGTTTAAACAAAAAAGACAAAAAATGCCGTCTCTGGCTCAGCTCAGCACAAGACTAGCTGCAGGAATTAGTGAGTGTTATGGAAATTTTATATTTCATTACCTTAGTCCTATTAACAGATCTATCAACTGAATGTCCTGAAAGCACACACACACACACACACACACACACACACACACACACACACACACACACACACACACACACACACACACACACACACACACACACACAGTGTTCTGCTGTCCAACCAGAGATGGAACTCATGCAGTTCTTCAGACTAGGGATGTCCCGATCTGATCACATGATCGGAAATCGGCCCCGATCACGTGGTTTCAGACTGATCGGGAATCGGGCTTTACTTCCCGATCCAAGCCCCGATCCGGAGTAGGATACTGGGTTCAAATTACAGGAGAGCAACTTGGTTCTCCTTAATGGTTGTCAGGCTCCCCTGATGCCCTTAACTTACACACCCAGAAGGAGCACAAAAGAGATCCAGTTTCTACCTATATTATATTATTTACATGGACTCACAGTAGCGGGGATTCTTTTGAGCAGAGATGCAGAGAGCGGCAGGCAGACCGCTGATCAGTCATGAACTCCAGCTGCGTTCTGCACACGGCCACAGTAACATTTTCTATGTCTCTAAGTGGCGTCACCAAAAATATATAATTAACAAACAGTCATTCGTGTCCGCTCATTTTCTCTCTGGTAAGTTCTGTCTGTATTTGAGCATGACCTGTGGACGCGCTCGCGCTGCAGCACTCGTCACGGGCGCAGCGCCATTTCTATGTTGATGGGCAGTGCAGCGCACACTCCGCTTTTTTTGCGGTCATTAGATCAATTTGATCTCCTAGTTAAAAAGTTACTTGTGAGGTGAAAAAGAAGGAAGCAGGCAGGAGTTTTTCTTGAGGACTGGGAGATGCAGGAAGATCAGAGACAGAGAGGACAGGAAGATGGGAAAATAAAAACCAAGAAAACAAAACAAAGTTCTTAAAAAAATAAAATGTAGGTAGATTGATCCCACTACACGTTTGTACCTGTATAAAGCAATAACTTACCAGCATGTAGTATTTATATAGTTGATACAATTCAGATCATCTTCAAAACTCCGTCCCATGCCCAGGGACGTATCTAAGCATTCTGGGGCCGAGGCAAAATAGACCCCTGCCAGGTATTTTAAGTTGAAGTGCTATCTGTTTTTATATTAGACTTTTTAATATTTGCAATAAAGTCCAAAAGTGACGAATTTATGTTATTTATTACTTGATTGTTCAAGCTGCCACACAGAAGTGATCTGTTGTTAAAAAAAAAAAAGGTAATTAAATAAAAAATAAGGTACATTCTGGAACTGCTTCTTCTTTTTGTTATGTATTAAAAGTATCGGATCAGGACTCGGTATCGGCAGATTCTCAAAATCAAATGACTCGGACTCGAAGGCAAAAAATAACCTGATCGGGACATCCCGACTTCAGACTGCTGCAGATTTCCCTGTTCAAATGCACATCATCCCTCTAAAGTACACAGCTACCTGAACAATAGAGTCTCTCATGGAGGATAAGGGCAATGTAAAGAGCCAAACGCCATTTTGGCCGTTTCCATGGAAGCTACTATACAGACATGAGGGAATGCAGCTCTCTAAAACGTTTACAAGCAACAGATGGGATGAGCCTTTCTTCAAATGTTTAAAATATGAACAAATAAAAAAAAGGGACTGGAGAAAAGCAAGAACAAAGACATACCAAGCACCAGTAACTCTATGTGGTCCTCGTTCCTTCCCTCCAGATCGTCAGCGATGGTGACTTTACAGAAGTAGACTCCACTGTCGCCCCATTGCAGCTCCCCAATACGAAGGTCAGCTTCTGGAGAGAAAAGACAGGATTTTTTAAGGAAACCTTGTGTTTTGTGAAGGTAATGATTGGAGTAATGTTGGGTTTAGTCAGAGGTATGAGTTTTGTGTGGTGTTTTATAAAAACGGAGACTTAACTGTTTACGATGGAAATGTCTCTGCCTTTGTAGTGAGCTCCCAGAGTCAGGGAGGCTCCTTGAGTCGAGGCAACAAGCCGAACTGTGCGGCTGCTGTCGGAACAGTCCAGGTGGGCTGTGGCTGCCTGATCGGTGGTCTTAATGCCCAGACTCTCCGGCAGGCTAAAGGAGTCTTTTGATCGGTCTCGACAGTAGGACTTGTACCACCAATGCACCATCGGAGTTTGTTTGGAGGCTGTTTGGTAATGACAGTGGAGGGCCACAGACTGGAAGAGCATCCTGATCTGCTGCTTCTCCTGCACAGCAACATGCACGCCATCACACACACACACTAAGACACACACACACACACGCATGCATGCAGAGAAAAAGAAAATGTTTAGAAAGAGTTTACAACAAGAAATTATTGCTTATTAAAGACCTTTGATTTGATGACTCCTTCATACAGATTTTTGATCTAATAAAAAAACATAACTTGCACAGAGCAACATAATCTAACTGACCTGTAGGAGATCAAATATTTAATCATTTTTAATTACTTTTTTTATGTTGTAACAATTGTCCTTGTTTTATGTATGTGATAAGGAAGAAATTTGCATTTTCCTGTTTAGAAAAATGTAGAATTCCAAAGTGGGGGATACATTTTTAAAATTAGCTTCACAGCAACACAACCCAAATCATTTTAGGTAATTCTTCCATCATTAGTGTCATTCTGTAGTACATGTTGCAAAACATGCTCGAATGAGAAAAGGAAACCAGACGATGCACCCAGATTTAAACAGGAAACAGATCCAGCCTCATGCAGCTTTGAATGGTGAACTTTTCACAATAAATGGATGCTTTTTAAGCTAGAGGCTGAAATATGACGATGAACGCTATCATGCTGTTATTTACTGTGCTATCGTAGTATTGTGTCTACCCTCAGTGGCATTGAGAAAAGATCACAAGGCTGAATCTGCCAACGGCTTAAGACACAATCCACTGAAAAATTTTTAGAAACAGCTGTGGATTGTCTTCATCCGTGTTGATGATTCACCATGAGAAACTGTGATTTGCATCATTTCAAAGCTGAGGCAGAGATTAGGTGTGTGGGGGCTCCTGTGCTGGTCGGTGCAGGGGTCAGGAGGTTAAATTCCTGTGTCTGTGGGGGGGCTGGGGAGGCTCGGGAGGAGAAGTGGGGGAGTTATCATCATACAGGGAGGAGATCCAGAGTCATATTAGCTCTAGGTGGGGCAGGAACTTGCTCTAAACAGTCCCCCCTGACAGGAAATCAACACAAAAGCTTAAACCTCCATGCAGCCAGACTCTGCTTAGGGCCAGTCAGAGAAGCAGCGGTCAACAAACTTATCGTAAAACAAACATTTATTCTAATTCCTCAATGATGATGTTAATTCCCCACACCAGTTTTATTTTGTGTATCTAATTCTAAGTCAAACTGATCTTATACAATAAATTTCAACCCCACATTTTTATATCAGAATCAGCTAAACAAGATTACACTGCCGGGGTTTCTGGATTCTTACTAGCGATGTGGTCTCCCTTTGTTTCTTTTTTATGGAGCAGACCATTGTTAAGTCTCCCCTCCTCCTCCTGTCCCTCTTGAGAAGCTGGGAAGGGGGGGGGGGGGGCACAGCCAATGGGAGTGTCCAGCCTCATCCAGCTGGATGTGAATAGACCAATTAACCACCAGAGATTTAAACCAAACCGTTAGCTCCATCAGCCATCAACCTGAGGTGTGAGAAGGCTTGTGTCCCAAACACACCTTCTAAATATTGTTTACTGTGACTGTGGGTTAATGAGCAGGTTCACCACCTGCATTCACTGGAGGCCTCATTTCAGGATTAAATCAGCCAACTGAATCAGTCTGAGGTATTCCAGGTCATAACTCTGTTGCTTCCTGAAAACCATCAGCCTTTTCCTCTCCAACGCCTTCACACTTCCTGTCTTTACTCCTGCTGTGCATTCCTCCGCATTGACTAAGGCCACTGATAGGACTGAATTTAGTCTTCATTCTGATATAAAGGACTTCTCTCTGGTTCCACAAAGCTTGCAGGAAATGGATCAGGTGCAGAAATCACTTGGACACGGATTCAACAGAATATTTGTGTAGGAATCAAGTAGCTGGTCATTTCCTTTAAATGTAACATGGAAAATGTGTAAAATTATAACAGTTGTCTTACCTGTGTGCATTTAAAAAGCTTTACGTGTTTGAGTCATATCCCAAACTAAAAAAGCATGCTGTTTATTATTATTATTATAAATACACATAAATTCATTATAATTGAGAAGCTGATACATGCAATGTTTGCTTAACACCCCCACCCTTAAAAAAGCTGCTTAACTCAGTTGTTATTAAATATGCAAATAAACAAATAAACAGAACATAATTGCCACGTTGATGCATTGTGAAAACACAATAAACCCTAAAAATATATTTTAATCAGGTGCAGAGCAAAAGGCAGTTCGTCTCATTCGACTTTGTGATGATATAACAACAAACCTCTCAGAGGCCAGCAGGATCAACCTGTTGCGCCGTAGCTATCGAGAAGACATGTTAACGGTTTTCGGTAAGTATTTTTACTCACCCGACGCTGCCAAGAGAATCACCAGGCGGTAAAAGTTCATTTTATTGTCTAATTTCATCTTAAAATGTGTTTAATCCGCATGTTCTTCATGTAGTCCGCTGTGAGCAAACCGGAGTCAGACTAACGGGACGGAACCACTTCACCGGGGAGGTGAGTCTTGCAGGGGCGGATCTACCGCTCTGGTTCCAGGGGGCAGTATTGCCTCTTTTTACCAGGAAAAACAACAATTCTGGAAACATAAATTAAACTTCGTGTGTTTTTATTTTGGGATATGTTCAAATAGTAACTAGTGTAAAGAAATTATTTATTAATCAGATTAATGTTTGCAACCATTCAAACAGTTTTCGAACCAAACAGATGGCAGTGAACCGTGTGCGCTTGTGTTTCTGTATTCTCTGATTTCTGAGGATTCAAATAAAATGAACCCAGTTTCTGTTTGCGAAAGAGGTAAATGAGAGTTAGACTACATTTGCTGAAATATAGAGCAAATAATCCATGGTGGATATGTCACTGTTAAAGTCAGTGTGTCGTTGTGCAACCACTAACATGCTCATGTAATCTGTTTTTCACAACTGGTCATTTTGCAGAAAACAAAAAATGAAAATAGCAAAAGTTATCCCCCTGTGCAATGCTGCACTTCATAACAGGCCAAGACCATTACTGTCACATTTCTTAAAGGTGTCTGTAATGTAGTTTCCTAAAAATGTTGGCAAAACTAGTAGGTTGGATATAAAGTCATTGAAAAACACGGTGTCAGACAGTCAGTAGGGTTTTACAACAAATAGATCTACACCCACATTTGTCTGCCAGACATAATACACAAATATAGATTTAATATAAACTCTTTCTTTATTGATAATATTTATTTTTCCAATTTCCTAACAGCAGGATTTTTGTTTTATTTTGATAATTTGAGTTGAACTATTATTTATGTTTAGCCACAACCAAATCCAAAAGTTCTGCCAACTATTTCTAGAAGCAAAAATATTTCAAAATATAAATATTATTAAATTTTATATTATGTTATTGAAATATTTTTAAAAATTATATATAAACAAATGTTAAAGCACAATCAGAATGACTGTATATTTTAAAACATGATTCTTCTGCATCCTTTAAAGCACATATGTCAGACTCAAGGCCCGCGGGCCAGATGCGACCCGCGGAGCATTTTTATGTGGCCCGCGAGATAAATATCAAAAATATATTAAAACTGGCCCGCTGGCCAATTTTACCGCAAAGACTACAATTCCCATGAAGCTTTGCGGCGTCAGCGCAGAGCCAACGCGCCCCCTCCTTTGTGTTTTTTCCAGCGCCTGCTGCCGGTGTGTGCTAGCCTAGTGAACTAGACCACATTCTCGCTTTGCAAAGTTTGGTCTAGGCATGCTCCATAGAGCTCCGGGAGTTGACGTCACTTTTCCCGGCATGCAACAGTTCAAATCGAAACGGCGCCATATTGGCATGCAGAAGTCGGCAGCTGGACTATTTGTTATTGTCAGAAAACTCAATCAAACGGGAAATATGGTAGATTCCTGTTGTGCCCCAGGATGCAGAACAGATGCGGACGACATAAGGAATGAGCCATCTACAGGATTCCCCAAGATCCGGAGTGCCGCAAACGTTGGATCATTGTAATAAAACGCGCTAGTGACCGGGCGAAAATGAAACTGTGGGATCCCGAGAGTAAAGGTTTTCACTTATGCAGCGACCACTTCATATCAGGTACTTAAACCAACGTTTCCTCAACTGTGTATGGTATTTATTTTAAATGCTTTTATTATGATTCTTAGTGGGCTTCCTAAACTTATTTTGGCGTGGCTTTTTCTGTCTTATTACTCATAGCAGCAAGTAAACATCACGTAAAACGTTGCCTCGTGAGTTCTGCGTGCTGCCGTTTCCGTGTTTTATGATCACAGCAATTAACCGGCTAAGCTGTATTTAATTTTTAAGCAATGGTTGATCAATTGTCAGATCACACACCGAGACTACTTACGTGTAAATCTGTTATTTGTCCGTCCATCCATCCATTTTCATCCGCGTATCCGGAGTCGGGTTGCGTGGGCAGTAGCATGACTTCCCTCTCCCCAGCCGCCGGAGCCAGCACCTCCGGGTAAATCCCAAGGGGTTCCCCGGTCAGGTCCGGTGTTGTGCCGGTAAGAAGCCCGCTCCGACAGCTTCTGGCGTCGGAGCGGGCAGTAGAGTCGAGAGACCCAGACCTTCGCCCCAGCTCCTCCGGCCGGGGGAATCCCAAGGGGTTCCCCCGGCCAGGTCCAGTTGTGCCGGTAAGAAGTCCGCTCTGACAGCTTCTGGCGTTTTTAAAAAGTATCCCAGGGGCACGGTAAGGGTCGGAGATGTTTAGTCTATTTAATTTCTGACTATATAAAACGATTTCTTCTGTTTTAAAGTGTGAAGTAAACTCCGACGAAGTAAAATCCAAGCGGATCCCGTTCATGTTCATGGTTACATCCGTGTTTGTTTACCTTTTTTGCATGCCAAAATGGCATCCACAAACTGAGAGTCATGTGGGGTCCGGAGCTCTATTGGAACCTCAGCAGCTCCTACCAGGACTCTGGCTAGCCAGTCACAGCTCTCTAGAGGGGTTTCAAACACATAAAGAGCTGTGATTGGTCCATAATGGTGGGCCAATCATAGTGCTCTATCTGCTTAGTGAACAAATCACAGAGCTTTATCCGCTTTGTGGGCCAATCAGGGCACTCTATATGCCTGGTGGGTGGGATGATGCAACAGAGTGAAACAAGAGTATGTCACATTCATTGTCCAGTGGAATGCGGAGATCATTTGAAAGACAACGGTAGAACCCGCCCCACAACCGAGACCCGTCAATGGAGCGTGGCCAGACTAAATAATACATTTATTTAGTCTGGCTTGCCAGGCTAGGTGTGTGCAGCTCCGCTGTCTCGGACAGACTACACTCCTCTCACTCAGCGCCGAGTTCACTCAGCTGTTTTCTGACGTTGAAGCCCAGAAACGGAGATTCTAGCCGCTCAGTAATGTGTTCACGACTGAAAGAGGAAGTTTTCCAACTAACGGCCAGACAGAGCTGATATAACTCCAGCGAGCAGCAACACGCTCAAGTCAGCATGACTCTGTGGCAGCTGTCGTTGTGTTTCCTCCCCGACACACAACAACGTGGTCAAGCTGCTCAGACATGTTCAGCAGCACAAACCTATGTGAGCACCTGTTGTCATCTAATGTTGTCATTATTATGATGAAGATGAACAAAACAACAGGAGTCTCCTCCTCAGCTCAAATCAACCCCATGATTCAGGTATCTGGCTGGAACATGTGAGCATCACAGTAAACCAGTGGAGCAAACTGAGCTTTATATATGTTGGTTTTATGCTCTTTTTCTGCTCCAAAACATGAAAGTTAACAGGTGAGATGTTGCATTTTCATTTAAGATAAAATGATATTTTTATTTTGTTGTTGGCCCGTGAGAAAAGATTTAACCTACAGTAAACAGGAAGTGGAAAGGCTGCAGATAGATGAATAGAATAGAAAAACCCTTTATTGTTCCTCAGTGGGGAAAGCTAGATGTCACCGCAGCGATGACACTTATTACAGGAGAAAAAAAGAGAATAAAAATAAGAAAAAGGAATAAACAAGAAAACATAAATCCTGAATAGATTTTAAAAATGCTGATTATACCACAAGTAATGAATACCGCTGATGCCTTTTATCTAAAACTGACTTGCTCGTATGTCATTTGGTTATTCCACATTCAGTGTTAATGCAGAAATATGTTTGTTTCCAAATTTAAAGATTGCAGACACCGGCAGGTTTAAAGGTTTAATTGTATATATGTTGATAAAGAAAATGTGCAAATTTGCCGTCACTTTTTCAAAAAATATTAAGTTTGGCCCTCGACTCCATCCCAGAGTTTCATTTCGGCCCCCTGTGAGTTTGAGTTTGACACCCCTGCTTTAAAGGATCATAGTGGTCCACAGCGCCATCTAGTGGGGCCCAGCCCCACTGGCCCCAGATGCAGGGACGATTGTCTCATGTAGCATTATTTATTACAAATACTTGCCTTGGCTTGGCAAGCCATCCCATATAGATGTGAACATATGCAAAGCCAAATTATTTTGCTTCGACACATAACAGTCAAGATCCTAGTCTAGTTTTACTTTTGTGTGTCTTTTTAATTATTAGTTTCTATTATTTGTTTTTGTTTTCTGTGTCACTTTCAATGTACTGTTATAAAAAATAAATAAATTATATACACTCTAAATTCAAAGAGTAACTAAAAATGTTGTTACATTTTCTCTTAGAACTTAATTATTTTCTTATAGAGAGTGCACCCGTCCCCGCTCTCTACTGTCCACTCCTTGTTCCCTACTCGACTGATGTCAAGTTGTTGTTATTGCTGTTGTTAGCCTCAAGGGCAATATGCCGATTATCACTTGTAAGTCGCTTTGGACAAAAAAGTCTGCTAAATACATAAACATAAATTGTCATGAAAATGGAGAGGAGGTTGTAGGACCCAAATGCAGAGAATCCAGAAGGCAACCAGGTAAAGTAGTAAATAAATCCTTTAATGGATAAGCAGGATGATTACACGAGCACAAGGAACAGCCCAATAAAAACACAGCACACACACACAAGGAACCAACAGCTAACACTGGACAAGCTATGCTGTAGTTTTTTTTAAAACACAGAACAGTTTTGTTACCTGTTTTCCCGCTACGTTTTGTTTGCGGCTGCAAACTTCCTCAACTTCCTCAGGCTGCATCAATATAAAAGTTCTTTATTTACACCCCAAATAGGACATTTAATGCAAAACCATGAACACAAAAAACGCCTAAAATATTTAAAATGGTCAATTATAATGCAGTACATTTCATAGCAGAATGGCAATGAACACAAAGAGCTGCAACACAAATTTACCTGTAATTATTAGTTTACAAATCAAGTTTTTAACACACTGGAATCAATCAATCAATCCATCCATCCGTCCGTCCGTCCGTCCATCCATCCATCCATCCATCCATCCATCCATCCATCCTAATTTTTTTTCAAGACTTTAAACTTAACTGCATGTAGCAAATGTTGAAAGATTTTTCAGCTTCTAATAAACCATTCAGTAAGTCAAACTGAACATTGGTAATTCTTGTGTTGACCCTAAGATGGTTTCATCAATCATCTAGATTCTAGATGATCTTGACTTCCATAGCGATCATGACGGTTGTCAAGATGATCACGACTTCCGTAGTGGTGGCGGTCATCAAGGCGATCTCTACTTCCATAGTGATCATGGCGGTCATCAAGGCGGTCTCGACTTCCATAGTGATCCCGGCTGTCTTCAAGGCGGTCTCGACTTCCATAGTGATCCCGGCGGTTGTCAAGGCAATCTCGACTTCCATAGTGATCACGGCTGTCTTCAAGGCGGTCTCGACTTCCATAGTGATCATGGCGGTCATCAAGGCGGTCTCGACTTCCATAGTGATCCCGGCTGTCTTCAAGGCGGTCTCGACTTCCATAGTGATCCCGGCGGTTGTCAAGGCAATCTCGACTTCCATAGTGATCACGGCGGTCTTCAAGGCGATCTCGACTTCCATAGTGATCCCGGCTGTCTTCAAGGCGGTCTCGACTTCCATAGTGATCCCGGCGGTTGTCAAGGCAATCTCGACTTCCATAGTGATCACGGCGGTCTTCAAGGCGATCTCGACTTCCATAGTGATCCCGATGGCCTTCAAGGCGATCTCGACTTCCATAGTAATCCCGGCGATCTTCCAGGCAATCTCGACTTCCATAATGGTCACCGTGATCATCACGGCGATCTTGACTTCTGTGGCAGTGTTTCTGTTGCTCTTCCTGATACTGATGAGAACCAAGATCACTGCCCTTCTCATCATGTATCTTTTTACTACTAATGTAACTATTTTGATCATCCTCATCCTTTTGTATCAGTATGCTATCTTGGCTTTGATGAGCAACATATTTGTCTTCAAACTGCTCAACCAGATTTTTCTCAATCTTTGACCTATCATCCAAGTACGGCTCTCCAGACTCCAGACCATCTTTGTCATAAAACACCATATCCTTAGGAGAACTAAAACACAAAATGGGAATTAAGTATAATAATACAGTGTCAGCTAACTTGCATAAAAGACCTTGAATATACATTACATACTCTTCAGCATTTTCTTTGCTTTTTCCCTTCTTCCTGCAGCAGCCGCAGAAAATGATAATCCCCAGAACCACTATACCTGCAACGACTCCTCCAATTATGCCTGCAGTAGACCCAAGTTTCATACTGCCTGGGGGCAGAAAGTGCAAAAAACTTAGAACAAGACTTTGATTATTGATCAGGCAATGTTTGTATCTTATTTTCATCTGACAAACGCCTAATGGAACCGAACACAGCAAGAAACTATATATATCACAAAGTGTGAACCCGAATCCACACTGGAGGCATCAGTTTACTTGTGTGCTTCGTGAGAGGGCCAATCCACAATGGAGGAGTGTCTCAGATGCGGCACAGCTTCACTGCCGACTTCCATGATGGATGCACAAGATCACAAAATCCTTCTAGACTTCAAAGGTCACAGTTGTTTTATTCCATCTTCCATAAAACCAAAAAGAGGAAGCAGATCATGTTTGGCATCACTGTTTGATGTCACATGCTATGCCTCTCCACTGCCAGGATTAAAGCCATTAAAAACACACTGTTGCACTTCTCGAAAGATGCTGGGAGTAAATAAACCATTAGGTCATATGTATTGTTGTAATGTACATAGATAATAAATTACATCTCTGCCATAGTATTTTATTTAGAAAATTACCAGACGTTTTACACTGATATGACTTTCTGTCTAGCCCTATGTTAATTTCGGATATTGACACGTCCCAGAAACAGCTTGCGGAAAAAATAGAACTCAATCCTATCTTACATGGTACAGTGTGGCAACTCACTTCTGGGACATGCCTGAAATGCACACCACAGCTGGTTTTGATCAACCCATAGACTGTAATGGATTCTATTTGAAGCAGAAATGTTCCACGCCGTTGATGCCTCCACTGTGGATTAGGGGTAAACCACCTGGTAAAGAAACAATTCTGTGGATAGAACTGAATAGAATAGAATAGAATAGAATAGAATAGAATAGAATAGAATAGAAAATCCCTTGTAGTGTCACGCCAGTGTTCAGGTGAACACCCAGGTACTTACAGGAGTCCAATACCTCAATGTCTTTTCCCTGGATGTTCACCAGTACCAATGCAGATCAAGTTATGAGAAGAATCACACATTATGAACTTAAATGAACTCACATATAGAGTTCACAGTTAGCTGGAATGTGTTGTGTTGGAAGACTCACTTGGCATCACAGCTAGGGTAAAGTTGCAGCTGGCAGAACCAATTTCATTTGATGAAAGGCAAATGAAAAACCCAGATGAGTCTCTTGAAATATTGAAGAGTGACAAAACTCCATTATCTGCAACATAATCACAAAAATGAGTCGGAAACCTGTAAAATGCATGTGTCATGTATCAACACTCATTTGGTAAAATGCATACTTTGAGTTGTCTTTGGCGGAAATTCTCTGGGAATGTTTTCCACACTGTAGGTTGCCCACTGATAGACCGGTTGAGGGGAGCCCTCCTGGGACTTACAGGTGAGTGTGATGTTGTGGAAATATTCTGCTGATCCCTGAAGGGTGCAGACTGGTTGAGAAGGAGGTTCTAGTAGAGAAAGAAATGGACTGACTTCACTAAGGCAACATGAACACTGCATATTTTTCATATAATTATTAATACACTGTATGGCAGTCATGTTCTCTTCCATATAAAAATCTGTTTCCTTACAAACAGCTCAAGAACTCTTGGTTGCCATGGTCAGGTTCTGTTACTGATGTATGTCTGAACCTTGTCCTTGTGTAATCTCTCACCCAGAACCAAAAGGAAGGTGGACGCAGCTGTTGTTCCTTCATCATCCTCGAGTATTCTGATGTTGCACTGGTAATGACGATTGTCCTGCATTGTCACCTTTGTTAAGTGGAGCGTGCTCTTTCCCTTAGGAATGTCAACCTCCACAGAGGCTCTGCCTTCATAAGAGGGTGAAATTCTAACTGGATTGTTCAGGATGTAGGTGGCCACAGGTTTCTGGATAAGTAAACAAAAAAAATTCACAGTGAGCATTTTAATGTTCATAACAAAACACTCAGAGTATTCTGACATAACAAATGGTGTAAAGATAGAGGTTTAGTGGACTGTGTGGACTGTATTTCTGGACTCTTTCTCCTTATGGTTCCTAATCAACACAGAACCTGTGTTTTACAGGAAATGTTTGTTCTTGTGTCACTAATAGTGCAACAGTCACTGATTAAATTAAAACCTTTAGTGCTGCCACATTGATTTAGAATTGAATAGATTTGATTGATCCCACAGTGGAGACAATGACTTGTTACAGCAGTACAAACACTGAAGAGAATAATTTAAGGAAAATTAATAACAAAGGTACATATATATATACACATAGGCAGTAAGCTATTATTGTAACCTTCAACCATCGAAAAACCACAAATAAAACTGAAAAACTTGGGTTCCAGAACTATGCAGCATATTGTAAAGGACACAGACTTACATTGTCAATCCAGTATTGCACAAGCAACACATACTGAGTATTGCACTGATGTTATTGTGTACCTGCACAATGCCAGTACCAGTTAAACGGAGAAGTTATACACTCTTACTGCAGAGGGGGTGAATGACCTACGGCAGCATTCAGTTTTACATCTGGAATGTCTCAGTCTGCCTCTGAAGGAGCTGTCCATGGTCTCCACAGTGTAACCATGAGCGTAACAGTGGGTGGAAGGTTTTTTTTTATTTTTAAGATAGAGGTAATCTTCACCACAATCCTTTCACACATCTCCGCAACTAAATCCATTGGGCCACCCAGAACCATGCGAGCTTTGTTAACTAACTTTCTACTGCCTCAATACACACTACAAATGCAAAAAAAGAAAAAAAAAAGTCAATTTGTATTCTGTCAGTATTTGTTTTAAGAGTTATAATAAACCATTTTAAAAGGTTTTGACGCCGCAATTGATTGCCAAGCTCCCACCCACCAAAATGGGATCATTTTTTCCAAGGCACAAAGCAAAGATATGCCAGAGGCTATTTCTCAACTGGCTTGGAAACACCTTGGGATTTCCCCCAGAAAAGCTGGCCCAAGTGGCTGGGAAAAGATATGTTTTGGCTTCTGTGCTTTGACTGCTGCCCTGTAACCCTGGAAGATTAGATCTAAACGAACAAGTTACAAAAAAAAATCAGCTCCCCTCAGAGTTGTCGTGATGACATATTAAACCTAAATTTTTTTTAAAACAGGCTGTAAACATGTTCATTTCTGCTGTGAAGTTGGCATTTTTAACTTGGGGCAAAGGAAATTTTCTCCTTTCTGAATTCTGACCCTAGTGGATGGGAGGGAAACACTGCAATTTTTCTCACTTTTGGTTGGCTTCACTTTTGGCAGGCAACGTTTGCCCCTTGGTTTGAAGACTTTTACGTTCTGCCTGCATGTGAGACTCAGAGTGACTAATGATTTTTCACAAATAAAAAGTAAAAAAAAACAACTTTTTTTCAGTTAACCTGCTTTTAAATGGATATTTCACCCCTAAATGAATTTTAGTTTGTTGCCATGTTCCCCAGAGTGGGAAAAAGCATTTTGTAACCAGCCCAGTCATGCTCCTAATCTGGAAGTCTGTTTGCTTTAGCTTAGCATAAACATTGTAAGTGAATGATGACAGCTAGCATTTCATGTGAAAAAGTCTTGAAAATTACTCAATAATGATCCAATTTTTTTCTTGGTGACCTTAATAATCACATAAACTTCAAATGAAAGTAATAAGTAACACAAGGGAATTAAAGGAGCCCATTTGGACTGGAGACTACATTATGACAAAGCACCGCTGTTAGCTGCCTCTGCAAGAGACATACTTTGTCTGTCATGTATTCTGCCATTATTCACAGGGTATAAGCCTAGTAGCCACAGCAGCCATCTCAAATTGAACTGACTCCAAATGCTAATCAGTGCTAGATATTGCTATATTCATCGTGTGAAGATTTTCTGAAATTTTAAATAAATCGAGTGGTTGGTGAAATATTCCGCTAAAACAAAACAAACAAACAAACAAACATGCCAGTCAAAAGTGGGCAGTAATTACAAAATAGAAAGCAGAAGTTAAAGATTAAGACTTCTTCCTCTGGTTCACCTGAACAGCAGTAACCTTGTGTACACAAAGCAGATCTGACTCACTTCCATATAAATAATCTACAGGACAAAGGTCACAAACGCTTCATGATCACATTGATGAATGAACTGAACACATGTCTGTTTCAGTTACACTGTAACAAATAAAAATTAATCATCTTTTACTTGTGCTTGCAGCTGTTTTCATATCTCACCAGTGGATCTCCAGTAACATCTGGGTGAGCATCCCATGTGAGGATAAAGTTGCTCTCAACAGGAGCAGCAGGGATAAAAGAACAGACCAATGCCACTTCTCCCCCCTTGGTGACTTTGTATTCCTTGTTTTGAATAGACACTTGCAAACTCCAGCAGCAAGGAAGCACTAGATTACAAAAACAAATGTACAATAACAAAGAATAAATTTTGTTTTAAATGATTCTGGCTATTTAAATAATATTCAGGTGAAAATATTTCTAATCAATCCAACATTGTAACTTCCAGATGTCCCTTCAGTAAATGGTTATTTTACTTCTAGTAGCAGGAAGCTGAATTAATGGTTAACAGCAGTGATCGCACCTTCAAGGTGTGGCAAACACTTTTCATAAATGGAAAACATATAAGCGTAAAGCCTACCTGTGAAGAAAACACTCAACTTCTGCCAACTCAGCTGTCTTCTTGATATCATTTTTGTTTATCAATAAGGTGAAAAATAAAATGTTTAAAAAGTGAGACAGATTGGCTCTATGGAGGAGCGGGAGCCCGTCTAACCTTCAGGTGAACTTCCAGGTGTGGAAAATTTCATTCCAGGTAATAAGTTAACAATCTGAGTCACGTGTCACTACAGGTCCAATGACAGGTCTACTTTTATTTATGTGTGTGTGTGGCCTGAATTATCCACAGTTTATCCTTTTGTTATATATATGTATCATATTTTAACACCATAGTCCCATGTTTTACAGGTAGCTACTGGATATGAACAACTAGTGCTGCTGATCAAAGATGGTCCTGATTGCAAAAATGCTGTGGAATCGCTTTTTTAATGACATAGCATAAAATAACTTCAGGCAACTTATTTACAATCCAAAAGCTAACATCAGCGTCATCAAGGAGCCTGGAGAATGTTCGCGTTCGTGACCTTTATGGTTTGCGCATGCGCACTTCGACGTTCGTGGGCGGTTGGACCGGATGATACCAGTTCTGACCAGTGTCCGGTACAAGACAGCGGCCGAGCTAATTTTGCTATACATCATTTAAATGTTTTTTTTTTTTTTTTTTTTTTTTACTGTTTGATGACAACGCTAACTTGACAAGCTAAGTATTTTGTTATTAAAACGTTTGGTTTTCCTTTAGGTCCGAGCAGGACAAAAACGCTAAGTAAGGCGTCTCTTTTTGGCTAGTTGCTAGCTCAGAAGTATACAGAATTCATTTATTTGATGGTATTATTCCTTTTCACGCAGAGGTTTAATGTCAAAAGTTACCTGGTGTAGTCAACCAAATCTTCTAACAGAAAAAGATAAAAAAATAAATTAACAATCAGATTGGATAATACTTGCATAACAACATTGTATAGTTCTCTAAACAGCCATGCACTTTTTTATACTTGGATTATTAGGAAAGAGAGATGGACAGGTATGCCATATTGAAAAAACGGAAGCCCCAGCATCAACTGACACTCACCGAGGATGTAAGTGAAGGGTGAAACTTTTGGTGTTGTGTTCATAGCTCCTGGGCAAGACAAGATCTCAAATAGGCACAAGAAATAAACATTTGGAAATACATTTATTTTTTTTCCACTATAGTTGTTTCATAAAGCAGTTTTGGTGATTTGAAATTGTAAATTTTATGGAAACGTTTATATTTATTCATTTTACACTATTGTTATTTCACAGATTTAAATCAGACATTTTAGCATATATGTGTCAATTTTGTCTCTTGGTTGTAAATTCACATCTTTAACCCTTTCTCATATTTTATTAAAAAGCTGTCAATATATATATATATATATTTGCTTCTAAACTTGACATCTTTCTAGGAGCTAAAAGAAGAAATAACAAAGGTCCTGACTACAGACAACCCCCATGCACCACAAAATATTGTCCGATTCAATTTTAAGGTGAGAAAGTTAAAAGAACCTCAGATTCAACTTCAGCATTGTAAATTCACGATCAAAAATAGACATTTTCTCTATCATTGTTTTGTAATAGTAATATTATGTCACTGTATTTGTTTGCAACAATCTCAGTGTGTTTTTAGTTTATACCACTTAATTGAAATTATATTATACTTTTGGCATCTTTATTAAAGTTTTTTTTAATTCATCTCTTAGAAAGGTGCATATGAGAAAGTCAGTTTGAGTCACACAGTTGTTCTATTTGAGATGGAAAGCAACACTGAGTCTGAAGAGCATCGAAGACAGATGATAAAGCAGGGTTTCTTTAAAGGTGATGTGGCTGCTGAATTGTGAGGCAGTTTTTTATTTTTTATTTTTTACCAATTTTTAAATACACATTATTACTCTTAAAAGGTGGAAAATGTGGAAAATATGACTTAAAACTAGGATTTTGTAGCTTTTATTGCTAATTTTCTTTCTGGTGTGTATATTTGCAGTCACTAGGTACCACAATGGAACAAAATAAAATATATAGATTGCATATGAAACATTTTGGCTTTATTACATCACGTTATAATTATGTGTTTTGACAAGTACAGAAAATGCAGCAACCAGTGCGGGAGTAGAATCCCATAAGGATGACTTGAAAGTCCAGGTAAATTAAGAAATTATTCCACTGTTCTGTAGTTGGCAAATGTTATGATGTAGCCTAATGTTTTTTATATTAAAAGTTTGTGTTCCAACAATCTATCAAACACATAGACATGTGATAACCTAACATTAGATCAAGAGTACTCCCTTTACTGATTTGTTTCAGGCTGACAAGGACAGAGTGGAAGGCAGTGTGGCCTCCAAAGCTGACACGAACAAAATAAAATGTAAAAATGAAGCCCACTTCGTTGATAGAGCTACTCAGACTCTAAACTTTTCTAAGAGGGTAGGAATGAGTAGTATGTTTTCCATAATGGTTCTTTTTTTAATCTAAATGAAAATAGTGTTTTTATAGAAGTTTATAAAGAAAATGTACATGTCTGTTTTAAAAGGAGGTGTGTTTTCCTTTCTGCAGGAAATAGGTTGCAGCCCTGAACATCCTTGCAGGACTTTCTCTGCTACTGCTAATCAGGTTCTCTGATTTATGTTGTGATATTTGGTATCCCTGGTGTGTTTCTTCATCCCATGCATTTGTGAATCTTTGTTGCCATGTTGACTTCAATTACCCTAATGTCTTGACAGTGGGATATCTATGATGCCTACCAACATAGGCATGAAGAAAGCATAAAACAGGTAGTGAGAAAAAGCCAAATTTGTTGCTTGCTAATTTTGCTTACTTGACCGAACACGCTTTCAGTATTAGCTTATTCCTTTTAATGTAAATTAACCTAAATTATTAGAGCACATATTGTGTTTTACACTACAGGTCACATTCATTTGCACGCACACACCTGTAACCCCTATTGACAGAGTTTAGTCTCTTGAGCAAACTGATTCTAATTGTTGACAAATTCTAATATTTTTCAATTTTAAGGCTAACAGAATTACAATGCTTTTCTATCATTTTCACCTGTTTATGTTCATTGTGCCAAATGACATTTTAAATATAGCCATGCTTATTGATGTCACAAAGTGGGTTGGAGGTTTGGACCCAAAATGCAGGAACTCAGGATGACACAGGCAGGAGTCGGTGATATTAAAGGTAATATTCCTTTATTAAGGAAGAGCCCAAAAACCTAGAGCCTAGAAACAAAACTAGCAAAGGACTGGGGAGCACAAGCGGAAGTCACACTGACATGAGACAATGGACCAACAAACACTTGCCCTTTTTACAAAACAATGCCGTCAGTTTGCCGCAATGCCGTGGTGGCATCAGAGATCCTAACGGTTGTTTATAAGATCAGACCTTGGTGGTAATGTGGTGCAATCGTGACAATTTTATAAAAGATTAGATGATGGCGGCATAAAGGGGGTTTGGGGGCGGTCTCTGCACTGCCGCAGACTTCCGTTTATCTTGGACATAACTTGCTTTTTATTGCGATTGAAGCTGTTATTGTTACGTTTTTTTTAACAAGCAGCTCCTAAAGGTGTCTGCCCCATCAGTCCCTGTGCAGTCTGGTGATCTGAGGTTCAGCTCTAACAGAGAGGCTCATGGAGCGCTGAGGCGCTCCAGTTTGCCATCTCAGCTGATTTTGTTCAAAAAGCAAACCTTATTGCCTGTGTTTACTTTCATTTTCAATAACTCCCCACGTCATCATGACATCTGCCTTTGTTGCGCCAGGGCGCATACGACAGACCATTACCGCAATATTACTACCAAGTGAGGTGGAACGAATGCCGCAAAATGCACGCAACTCCATGCCGGCATGACACGTTTATAAGACATACCATTGCGGTAATATAACACAGATTTGCCGGCATGGTGTGTCTTGTAAAAAGGGTTACTGAGAGACAAAACAGGGCTATATACACAGGGGCTGGATGATTAAGGGAAACTGAGAGGAGAAGCAACAGGGCAGGGGAGAAAACCAAACCCAAAACCTGTTAAAGTTACGTAAATAAACCTAAACACTGTAGAAATAAGACACAGGAGAACTAAAGATAAACTAATGACCTAAAAGAGTTACAGAACTAAATACACTGGAAGGCAGGGGATGATAATACCTAAATGGGGAAGGAACACAATACACTAAAGGGAGATACGAACTAGATAATCTAAACATACAGAAAACTAAAGATAAGTGAACTGATAAACCTGAAACTGGAAACACTCGGGTTTTAACGTAGGAACTTAAAGAGACCAGAACCAAAAGAAGAGGAGATCTAATACATGGGATCTTAACAATACTGTAGATGGGTAAACTAAATAAGACGTGAAGTGACTAGGGGGAGCATGAGGGAAACCTGGAAGGGGGCTGGGGACCACAGGGACACAGAACATGATAATTGAATGTTTTTGGGATGGCAACATCCATAAGTTTTCATTTCTGTTACAGAGTTGTTATCCTGCCGCAGTAGCCAATACAGTCAAGATACTGGAAAAAATGGTCCACCAAAATGCAGTTGCTGATATAGTACAAGGTTGTTTTTCTATTTAAAATCTGTCTCAATAAGTTTTTTTTGTAATGGATGAATACAATTTGTTGTCCTTTCTTCTCTTCTAATTGCTCTCCTCTCCTGCTTTTTCAGATTTTGCATGCTTTGAGGATGAGGCTGATAGGTTCAGGGGCCAGGAGGGCGTCCTTCTGCCTCTGTGGAAGTTTCAGCATAAAAAAGCCAGAAGATTTTCTGTTACTGCCCTCTGCTGGTAGGTTGACTCATCATCGACTTTGCATTAATGTCGTCTGAATGGAGGTTAAGTGTCTCTGTTGTTTTTAACCCTCAGGCTTCACTTTAAATTTCATCCTAAAGAGTCATTAGAGTACAAAAACAACCGCTTGTAAAAGTGGCCATAAAAACGTATACATTAATTTTTTTTTGCTTTTTTTTTTCCATAGATCTGTTGAACAACTTGCCCTGCTCAAACATAAAAAAAATTCAATCATTTTGAGGCTTTTAACCCTTGAAATGCCCGTTTGAATACTCAAAGTCATTGATGTAATTTATGAAAAAATCACAAAAACTGAGTTATTTTCTAAAAAAAGACATTTTTTTGCCTGGGGTGTTTACTACAAATTAGTCTTGATTATGTTATGAAATATCTAAAATTTTGAATTTTTTGCATTTATAGTTTTTACATGGCAACAGATTTAAAATGTACTATACACTCGAGTCATTAGAGGACAAAAACTTCCATTTTTAAAACTGCTTTAAAAATGGTCCAGATTAATATTTTTTCTGCTTCTTGGATCTAAATCTTGTGATCAACTTCAGTTCTGATCAAAAAAATCAAATATTGAATATGTATCTAAATTTTAACCCTTTATATGCCTGTTTGATTATGTGATGCTCATTTTTTCATGAAAAAAGCAGACAAAAGAGGAGATATTTTACATAAAACATATTTTGAGTGACTCAAATCATTTTTTTAATCAGCCTTGGATATGCCAAGAGTCTGGCACATTTTATGCTTTTTTAGTTTTTGTATAGCACCAGATTTAAAATTTACCATCCTCTTGTGTCTGTTATGGACAACAACGTCCCATTGACGTCAATGCAAACCAGTTTTTGATCCTGTATCATCTGCATCAAATAATCATGCTTTCTGTGATGTTATGGTTTCATTTTGGACAAAAGTAGTCAAATTTATGATTTTTACTGTTCACCCCCATATTCAGTCATTTCTCCATATGATGCTCAGGCGAGAAAGTTTACACATTTCTTTAGATCTTCTGCTGTTTTTATTGAACCCAGGGCTGAAGATGTTCAACAGATCTATGAAAAAAAAGCAAACAAAATATTAATGTGTACATTTCTTATGGCCACTTTTACAAGCGGACGTTTTTGTCCTCTAAAGTCTCAAGTGTATAGTGTTTTTTTTTCATAGTGTCCCCTTAAGGTTGGTTTATGCTTGACGCGTCCGCGAGGTCCGCGCGGCGAAATTGCGTCATTTTAACAACCACGCCCCTCCACCGCGTGTCCGCACGGCCCAAAATTTCCGCAACTCGCACCTAGGAAAATTTCTAACCACGCGGACGGACGGACGCGGAAAAACTTGGCGGACTGGCAAGAACTAGTATGGCAGAAGTTCATAAATACAGACATTTGTATGATTCAGCTCTCAGAGATCACCGTGATCAACATGTTGTTAATAATTCTTGGAGAGAAATAGCTCGCACTGTTGGAAAAGACGAGGACGCTGTTAAAAATGCTGAAATGCCATGTTGTAAACAGTAATTTCTACTTCTACTATGGTGTAGTGTTGGATGCATGCCGTAGAGCTCCATGCTGCCCCGTTCAGTTTGGGAGAATATTGGCTCACCGCAGAGACGAGCCGCACGAACCATAAACTCTGCGAGTTGTGAAGCGCGTTTCATCCGCGAGCCGCATCACCGCGCGTAAAGTGAATGCGTCAAGCATAAACCAAGCTTTACCCCCAAATTCCACTACCTCCGCTCCGCTCCGGCACGAACTCCGGAGCAAAATCGGTCCCGTTGTAGTCAATCAGAGCAATTCCACTACTGCGGCCGTGCTGCGGCAGTGCGGCGCAATGCGCCGCCCTCTATTCCGGCATCTGGCAAAAATAGAATCGATCCTATTTTTGCCGGAGCACCTCCGCAGTCAATGGACAGAAATCACAACCGCCCAAAAGGAAAGGGAGCAAGCACAACTTCCGTTATTTCACAATAAATCGATAAACAAAACGTGTTTTTTGTTTCATATGCACAGGTTTAACATCTTTTAACAACTATCAATGGCGGTTGAACTTTAAAGAGCAAGTAACGTCTAAATTAACTTTTTTTGCTGATAAACTGTATAAATGAGTGTCTAATAGTGTTTTAAATGTGTGCATTCTTTATTTTAGCATTTTGGTGCATTTTCTTTAAAAATTAAAAATTCTGTCTAAAAACCACAGTAATGCGCCACTTTCAGCTGAAAACATAGAATTTGAGTCATTTTGAATAAATTTTAGCCAATGGCTAAAGAGTAAAGTACTACGTAAACCAGTAGAGTACTGCGTAGCAGCTCCGTGCCAAAGTTATAAAAGCAATGAGCGTCTCTGCCACGCCCTGTGGCGAGTGGGAGTTGGATTTGCAAGTGAGTGTAGGAGGTCAGCGGTAGTTCAGCATTAGCATATAGCATTAGCATATCCTAGTCTTAGCATATCTTTTAGTGTTATAAATACTTATTTAATGTTAGATTTGGCTGTTTGATATTGTAGTTTAGTTAGTGTTTGGCTGTTAGTGTAATTGGGAAAGTATTTCGGGTTTAGTGCTCCATATCGTCTTAGTATTGGTGAGTAGGTGTAGTGTAGTATGCTTGCGGTGACTCTGTGGGCATTTTACCCGCGATTCTGCACGTCTCCGTTTGAAGAGGGAGGCTGCCCACCGTGGCTCTTCCGCGATTTAGATGCAGCCCACCGACTCTGCTCCCCCACCACGGTGGGCTCCAGTCTGAGGTGAGTAAGCTAAATAAACGTTTTAACATCTTCTAAAGACAATTCCCTACCTAAATGCAAAGTTTGAGAGACGTGGTTCACTTCCTTTAGCTAGTCAGTCGGCAATTCTGCAACAGTGGCTCTAACTGACGCAGCACTTGACAGACAGCATTACAGCGTGAAATCCAGCTTGTGAACAGGTTCTGTAAGGAATTCTGTTCAGGAGGTCGCATTTCAGGCTCTCCACATCATGTGTGACTGACTTTTACGTTATAATGATCACACACTAGGAATGTTATAAAGCGCCTATATGGGACAGTTTCTTTTGTATATTATCTGACTTTATAAACTCTCAACAACAATGTGCTTCTATTTTTTTTCAGGCTAAATCTACCCAAGACACTGGCTGTCAGACTGATTTAGCTGCAAGAATGCACTTGTCCAGGCTGATGTGAAGCTTTACCGGCATAGCAAAGGTGAATTATTTTTAATAATCTTCTATGTAAACATTTTATTATTACCTTCTAGTTTTAATTTGTTTTACAGATTATTGTTACACGTGATTTTATGCTCTTTTAAACATTTATAAATGTGCTGCTTCTTTGTTTTTACATAGCCAGCCAGAATGGAGTTCACAGCCGCAGTGTGTCTGGTGACCCACGGGGACCATGATGAAAATTCATCTTCCAGAAGGTCCCAGAGCAGCGGCCACACCCCCTGAAAAGACCAAGGTGTGAGGTGTCTGCTGTTGATTCCAGCTTCCACCTCAGTGACGGTGCAAGCTCAGTGAACTGTTCAAGGTAAAAAAAAATTAAAACATTTCAGAATTTTTAAGATATTAACAATTAAATAAGTATGTGATTACATCATGACGGAGGCTACTGATTCTGCCCCCGTGACACTTGGTGGTGACGTGTGAGCTGATTCACCTGGAAAACAACTTTTACATTAAATATTTTGTTTTTGCTATCAAAAGTAAATTAACTAATAACCTGCATTATTGCAGGACACTCAGCAAAATATGGACTCTACACCATGAGGCAGGCACACGTTAATAACTCTATAACAGCACATAAGGTGAGCAACACCACATATTGTACACTGTCCTGAATTTGTTTTCTTTCTGCATCTCATTAGCCTGGCTGATCACCTGATAACTCCTGTCATCTGGTTATGACAGCATGAGGATGTCCTCACACACCTGTAACCTATCAGCTCATCTGGCAGAATAGAGAGAGAAGAGACAACACCACATCTCCTGTTCCTGGAAAGCCTTCAGCCATCCTTCGATGACTGAGAACCTCCATCAGCTCTGTCTCCTGTCTGCCTACAATTATTATAATAAATATTGTGTTTGACAAGTTTTTTTGTGCTGCCAAATATCTCATATAGATTCCAGTTTTGATATTTTAATGGATATTTATAAATTACATTAATTGAATTATCACAATGCATGTTTAACTAGCTCTATTGTGATGAATTAAACTAGCACCTCACTGTTAAAAGCTCGTTTTAATTTCAAGCATGTTTAAGTATTTATGGACATGAACAAAAACAGGAAATATATAAATTGAGATTTATTTAATTAGTATAACAAATAAGGAGGAAAGAGTCATTGAAAGGCACATTCTTCTGGAAGCTCCTGATCCTGATGGCACCAGCAGAGGAGACCACCTGCAGACACCAGAGACCAGCTGCAGACACCAGAGGACCTAGAACCAAGAGAGCAGCTGTTATCAGTAAATAAATAAATCAGGGCAGTTTTAGTGAGCTGAACACATTACAGAATAATTTTCTCATGGGGTATTTTCATAACTTTATGCAGCAAACTGTAACTTGAGCCCAGAGCTACCGGAGAGCTGCTATCCAGCACGTTTCAGTGGATTTTCCTGCTTTAACAGGTTAGATTAGCTGTTAAGCAGCTCAGCTATTTGTTGCTGATTAAAACCAGGTGTGCTGAAGCAGATAAACCTCTAAAACATGCTGAATACTAGCTCTCCAGGGCCGTGGAGACAAACCCTGCAGCTAATCCAATGCTATGGCTAACGGCTACTTACGTTCAGAGGTGGTTCTGTTGGGTCGGTTCTGGGAGTTACAGGCAACTCACAAGCTCACAACAATAAGGCTCAGGTCCGCTTGTCTCCTCCAAATAGACTTGGTCCCTTTCTTCTCGAGTGTCTGGGTAAGGAGGGGGAGAAACATCCTCCACTTCTAATAACTGCATAGAGTGAAGGGAGCTAGCATCGTCTAGTTAGCCGTCGTCTTCGTCACTGCCGCGGCTCCGCCCTCTCGGTCCTCCAGGCAACGCCTACTAATGTTGCATTTTTTAAAATTGATACGTGGGTAGAGAAGGACTCCGAGGCTCAATTGACCCGCTCTTTAAATGCACAAAAATAAGCCATAAACACAGTTTCCACTATCAAAGTAGTCACACTTTGTTGATCCAAACCCTGCTGATCTCTCAACACAAATGATGGGCAGATTAAACAGTTCATTTCGATGCTTCTCCCACACAACGGGTGTTTGGATCTAACTTCCGCGTTTATTGCTCGGACTGTATCGCAAGATCTCGAAAATCCTGCGCATGCTTGTTTGAGCACCTCAGGTCTCCGCACCGGAGCGGAGCCGTTGTAGAGTGGGTACCAGTAAAAATTGAGTTCGGAAGCGAGCGGCTGCTGAAGGCGGGGGTGGAGCGGAGCAGAGGTAGTCGAATTTGGGGGTTAGTCTATTTTAAAAATTCCAAATTGAATTTCAAAATTTGTTCAGAGAGAGATTTAGCGACAAAATCTTGTACCATATGCACAAACGGTGGTGAAATGGCGTCAAAAAGAAAAACAAAAAACTGCCCAAATGGACTAAAATGTCCCTAATGCAGCCTGAGGGTTAAATGTATTTGTTGTCTTGGAAAGAGGAGCATGTGTATGAGTAATCTGTTCTTTACAGGAGTAGCAAGTATCCCCAACTGTTTGCTGTTGGATTGGGGTCAGGTAAGTACTAAAAATAGCTGATTGGTAAATTTAATCAATGTTTATTTTTATCGTATTTGTTTTTTTTAATTCATTGATAATCTCTTCATTGTCATTCATTTCAAGTGGATTACATTAGTAAACAAGAAGGAGGCCTGATTATCTTGTACTCACTGAAGAACTCCTTTTTACCTGAGCACATCTTCCCCACAACATCTGGCGTCAAGTGCCTTGACATCCACCCACAACATCCCAGTCTGCTGGCTGTGGGCTTCTATGATGGCTGTGTGGCCATTTACAGTATGGGGAAGAAGGGCTTGAAGCCTGTTTGCAAGGGAACTGTCCCAGAGCCTAGCTCGTTCACAAATCCTGTCTTTCAGGTAACAGCGGGGGGTGGGGGAGCAGGCATGGACAGATTCACATTTTCACAAGATCTCTCAAACCACCACGTTTCGAGTGGGAATGAACTTTGATAATTTTTTTTAATTAACCCAGGTGTGCTGGCAGAATAATGAAACAGACAATAACCACAGATTTGTTTCTGTGGATGCTGATTTCCGAGTGTTGTCTTGGACACAGATCAAGGTTAGCCACATCAGCCATGTTCGTAAATGTTATGACTTTGCATGGCTAATTAATTGCTTTTCTTTATTAAATATGCTCTGAATATAATTATGTTTTTGTTTCTTCACACTTGTCATAGTTTTTTGTTGTTGATTTGCTTTTACCATTTGTATAAACTATTTATTTTTGTGTCTGTGTGTTTGCACAATTGTAGCACGAGCTCTTCTGCACAGAGATGCTCAGGCTATCACTGACAGATGATCCCTCTGATGAAGAACAACTGCAGAACCTGCGTATGGCTCACAAATGTCTTCATTCAAAATTCAGCACTTCAGCATTTGATTTCAGTGTTTATAAGCTGTACTTCTCATCTACAGCTGGTGGGACATCACTTGACTTCCATAAACAGATTGATCATGTGTACCTAGTTGGCACAGTGCAAGGAAAAATACACAAGGTATGTAAAATGAGTTTTGCTGTGCTGATTGAGCTATGGGACACATTTTGTTTTTCCTGTACTTAACCTCCCTTTATATTATTAGATGATTAAAACATTTACATCTTTCTTTAGCATTATGTATTTTGGTCGATCTTTTATGCATCAGCTATGAAAAACACACATTAAAGCCTTTGTTTATTTAACATTTTCATCAAGAATGTCCTTTTATTCTCTAGTGCTCCGAGTGTCACTCAGACAAGTTCTTGATGACCTACGATTCCCACAGCTCGGAAGTCTGCACCGTGAAGTGGAACCACTTCCATCCAAGGGTTTTCATCTCTTGCAGTTTTGACAGGACTGTCAAGGTCTGGGATGATACCATCAAGTAAGTGTCCCACAAACTGATTGAATGAAATATAAAATGCGTGTAGAGCTGAGGGACAAAAACATTGTGGGGCTGCATTTACAACAATTAGTAACATTACAGATGTTTCAATTTAGTTGCTGTTTATCACCTTAAAAAGAAAGATAACTGTAGAGGTGTTCAGGATGGAGCCTCTAGGGGGCGCCGGGTGACTGAGAGTGAGAGAAAAAAGGAATGGGTGCTGAGGCGGGAAGAAGAATAAAGGAAGTCTTGTGAAAATTAACGAGTGGCTCCGTGGTCTTCATTTCATCAATTAAAGACTTCTACATGGTGTCAGAAGAAAAGAAGGACCTATTGTGATTTGGCAGAGCAAGCTTAGTTGCAGAACGAGGGTGTAGGAAGATGACGGCTCAGATATTCTCCATCGCACCTCCGGGTAATTTCAACTTTGAGGAGCCCAGCTCCTGGCCGCAATGGATAAGACGGTTTGAGAGGTTTCGGCGGGCGTCCGGACTCGATGGAAAAGCGGAGGATTATCAAGTCAAATCCCTGCTGTACGTGATGGGGGACAGGAGCGACGACATCCTCGGCACATTTCCGCTCTCTGACCAACAAAAGGCAGTTTATGCAGACGTGACAAGAGCCTTTGGGGAACATTTCATCGGTAAGCACAATGTTATCTATGAACGGGCCAAGTTTAACAGTAGACAGCAGCAGCAGGGCGAGTCTGCAGAAAATTTTATCACGGATGTGCATAAATTAGCAGAACACTGTAAGTTTGGAGCTTTAATGGAGGAAATGATAAGAGACCGCATCATGGTTGGAATAAGGGATTCCAGGCTCTCTGAGAGACTGCAGTTAGACCCAGACCTGACGCTGGCTAAAACCATAACCCAGGTCAGGCAGCAAGAGGAAATAAAAAAACAACAGCAGCTGCTGCGAGGGGGCCACACCGAAAGTAAAGGGGCTAATGTGGATGCCATAAACACCAATAGAGGGAGACCATACTACAGACAGACACCTCCACGCAGGCCAGAGCAGTTCATGTCCATTCCAAAAGCCTCAGATAAGAGTCATTATGAAGAAAAATGTAAGAGATGCGGCAAGGGCCCGCAACACCCTTGGAAACTGTGCCCAGCCAAGGAGGCGGAGTGTCGGAAATGTAAAAAAAAGGGACACTTTGCTGCAGTTTGCAGATCATCACAGAGAGTGGAAACATTAGTGGAGAGCGACCCAGAAGAGGACATAGCTTTTATGGGGTCTGTTAATACTGATGAGACTGAGGATGAATGGCTGAAAAAACTCAGTTTTAATGGAGAAAATGTGACGTTCAAACTGGATACAGGAGCTTCAGTCACAGCGGTTCCAGCTTCTATGTATTCCAAAGTGCGGGATGGCAGCTTGCTAGCACCTTCTAAAAAGATTAAAGGTCCTGATAACTGCCCTTTAAAAGTCCTGGGGGTCATGAGAGCACACATAAAATCCGAAAAAACAGAAACAAGACAGGATGTGTATGTGGTGTCAAACCTAGTGATGCCTTTAATGGGACTCCCTGCCATAATAAAGCTGAACCTGATAAAGCAGGTAGCTTCAGTCCAGCAGGAGAAGCAAGAAAAATGCCATCAGTACAAAACTATGTTCCCAAAAGTGTTTACAGGCCTTGGGAAGCTGGAAGGGGCATATAAAATAAAACTGAAAGAAGGAGCGGTCCCCTATGCTCTCTCAGCCCCACGCAGGGTCCCTTTACCTATGAAAGAACAAGTAAAACAAGAGCTAGAGAGGATGGAAGCAATGGGGGTTATAAGGAGAATCGAGGAGCCTACCGCATGGTGCGCCGGGATGGTGGTGGTTCCCAAGCCAAACAAAAAACCCCGCATTTGTGTGGACCTCACTCGACTGAATGAAAATGTGTGCAGGGAACGTCACATTCTACCTGCAGTGGATGATACGCTGGCTCAGCTGGAAGGGGCAAAAGTGTTTTCTAAATTAGATGCAACATCTGGGTTTTGGCAGGTGCCTCTACACAAAGATTCCCAGCCATTAACAACTTTTATTACCCCTTTTGGCCGATATTGCTTCCAGCGACTCCCTTTTGGCATATCGTCTGCACCAGAACATTTTCAGTTGAGGATCTCGCAGATCATCGCAGGACAAAAAGGAGCGTTGTGCCACGCGGATGATATTCTAGTGTTCGGCAAAGACAAAGCGGAACACGACGAACGGCTACAGCAGGTGCTTAAAAGATGTGAGAAGGCTGGCCTAACTCTCAACGAAAAATGTGAGTTTTCGGTGGAGAGAGTGAAGTTTCTAGGACACAACATAAGTGCAACAGGAATCGAGGCAGATCCGGATAAAATAAGCGCCATTGAAAACATGCCCGAACCACGAAATGTGGAAGAGGTCCGCCGTTTCCTGGGGATGGTGAATTATGTCGGCAAGTTTTCATCCAGCCTACCAGCCCTCACGAAACCTCTGCGAGACCTGCTAAAAAGTGACAGCACATGGACGTGGGACGCTCAACAGAGGACAGCATTTGAAAAGATAAAAAAGGAACTGAGTTCTCCCCCAGTGCTGGCACAGTATAGTCCCACAAAGGAAACAATGGTGTCAGCAGACGCGTCCTCATATGGACTCGGAGCGGTTCTTTTACAGCGGCAGGCGGACGACAGGTGGAGACCTGTTATGTATATATCACGGAGCCTGACACCCACAGAGGTACAATATGCCCAGATTGAAAAAGAGGCTCTTGCTGTAACGTGGGCCTGTGAACGACTCAGCTCATACCTGCTAGGTTTGGAGTTCACAGTGAGAACCGACCACAAACCTCTGGTCTCCCTGTTAGGTTCTCGGGCCTTAGACGACCTACCACCAAGAATCCTAAGATTCAGGCTCAGACTGCTGAGGTTCAACTACAAAATTATTCATGTCCCTGGCAAACAGCTTGTCACAGCAGATGCTCTCTCCAGAGCTCCTCAAGGACTGGAGGACAGAGAAGCCAATAGCAGCTTGCAGCAGGAATGTTGTATGTATGTTGACCACATCCTACAACAACTTCCTGCCACAAAAAGTAAATTGGCTCACATCATGGACGTTCAAAGCTCCGACAGCGTTTGTAAACAGCTGAAAACATTTATGGAAAAGGGCTGGCCCTCCAACAGGAGGAACGTCCCAGAGCACCTTCTTCCATTTTGGCCCGAAAGGACTGATATTCATCTGGCGGAGGGCCTGCTTCTCAAAGGCAAGAGGATTTTGATTCCAGCATGCATGCAGACAGAAATGTTGGACAGGTTGCATGAAGGGCATCAGGGGGTGACTAAATGTGTGGCACGTGCACAAGAATCCCTGTGGTGGCCGGGGATAACACGACAGATCAAAGACATGGTGGAAAGGTGTGAAATCTGCTGCCAGTTTTCACAAACAAAGACAGAGCCACTGATGACTACACCTCTACCACCACGCCCTTGGCAAAAAGTAGCGGCTGATATCTTTCAGTGGAAAAACAGTCATTATATTGTGGTCGTGGACTACTTCTCCCGATACATCGAAGTAGCCAACCTCCCATTCCTCACAACAGCTACAACGGTGGAGCGGCTGAAGGTGAACTTTGCAAGATTCGGTGTGCCGGAATGCCTGGTGACGGACAATGGCCCGCAGTTTGCTTCCTCGGACTTTAGTCTGTTTGCCCAGGACTATGGTTTCCGGCATGTGACCAGTAGCCCTCGTTACCCTCAGAGCAACGGGGAAGCAGAGAGGGCCGTCAGGACGGTCAAACAGCTGCTCAGTAAAAGTCCAGACCCTCAGAGGGCTCTCTTAGCCTACTGAGCTACACCGTTAGCTCATGGACTGAGTCCAGCGCAACTGCTGATGGGGAGGCGGATAAGGTCCACAGTTCCCACCACAGCACAAGCGTTGAATCCAGCCTGGCCGAACCTTGGAGCCTTCAGGAAAAAGGATAAAGAGTTGAAGGAGAGGCAGAAGAATTCGTTCGATAGGAGGCATAAGGCCAAAGACTTACCAGTTCTGATTCCGGGCCAAAGAGTGTGGATTAGAACATCACAGTCCACAGCTACGGTCCAGTGTCCGGCCTCAAACCCAAGGTCTTATGTAGTGGAAACCGAGCGAGGGAGTTTTAGAAGAAACAGGGCTCAACTGACTGTACTCCCTGAGACAGAGCTGCCCTGCTCTGAGGAGCCGGTGTCAGACCTGACACAGAGACTCCCGGGTACCACTGTGACCAGGTCGGGAAGGGTTTCCCGCCCACCAGAGAGACTGGACTTGTGAATATTTTCATTTTAGTTGACCCCTACATTTAAAAACAAAAGGGTGATGTTTCTAAAACAAAGGTGTTTATGTTAGATTATATTGTTAAACAAAAGAGTTCAAAATGCTTGGTTGTAAACACTGGACTATAAGTCAGGTTTCTGTTAGAATGATACTGTTATGTGTAAAGTGACCTTGGGTGTCCTGAAAGGCGCTTTGAAATAAAATGTATTATTATTATTATTATTATTATGTTGAGTACAAGGTTATCTTACAAGTAAAGAGTTTTTCAAGCTAAAAGGGGGAGGTGTAGAGGTGTTCAGGATGGAGCCTCTAGGGGGCGCCGGGTGACTGAGAGTGAGAGAAAAAAGGAATGGGTGCTGAGGCGGGAAGAAGAATAAAGGAAGTCTTGTGAAAATTAACGAGTGGCTCCGTGGTCTTCATTTCATCAATTAAAGACTTCTACAATAACCATTTTATGATTGTCTAATTTCTTCACCAGTCTGACTTAATAATACAACCCCTGACAGGTGGAATAAAGCATTGATTTTTCATTACAGTAGCAGATCAGGTTTTGCATTTTTGAAAATATTGATTCTTAACAAACAGAAGCTCTGAACTTAGTCGCACATTAAAATAAAAAAATGTTGTATTTTCCTTCAAATTCTCCAGATTTCAATCTATTCAGACATTTTTAGTATTTTCCTAAACAAACAGTTGTGTCCATTGAGGTCACATCCTTGCAGGCCCCATGTGTGAAATCCATTGAGATCATGATGAAAAAATGCAACTCTTTAGCGCCATGCAGTTCAGAGAAAGTATTGCAGCTACGGTGGCTCACTCATGAGTTTGATTGTACAGTATAATCAATTTCCAACATGTTTAGCCTAGGGCTGGGACCAAAACTTATATCTCATTATCTTTTAGCTGAATTCTGATATATGATATATATCTCGATATTTTTTCTCCTGTAAAATATTTACAAGTTAACTTACTTCAAGCTGTCTTGAGAAATTATATACATAAATCAGTAGATTAAATGCATAAAAATGTATTGATTATTGTGAAACTTTAACCCTAGTGTAGGGCTGTCGCGGTAACCGCAAAAATGAAATATCGCAATATGAAGAAGCCCACCGCGCTGCATCATGGGCCACCGCGATTACTGAACTTGGTTCAACTCAATGATGCATGTTGAGAAGGATGGCTGCACTGGTATCAAAACGAAACGTCACTTCGCTCCTTTGGGAGCACTTTGGTTTTCAGTACGTCAGCTGCTGCGCAGCCAGAGTCCTTGGCCGAGACAGAGCTGCCACCAGCGGCAAAAAAATAATAATAAACGCTCGGAGACCTGCTGAAGTCCCGGACAAGCACTGCTTCTGCAACCGTCCCGAAGAGAGTTTGAGCCGAGCTGGAGCTCACTCGCTACCTGCAGGAGGAATGCAACCGGGAGAGATTCCCTTTGCTCGCCAGAGTCGCACACAAGTACGTGTGCGTTAGTGCAACGAGCGCACCATCCGAGAGGGTTTTCAGTGTTGCTGGAAATGTTGCCACCCCTCTCAGATCCTGTCTCAAACCGTATATGGTTAACATGCTGGTTTTGCTTGTAAGTAACAAGGACGTGACCGAGCTATAAATCACCGTCATTCGTGTGTGTGAAAGTGAAATTATAGTGCGCCCGCCACCCGGCGCGCGCGCGCCCGGTACATGTAATTTTTTTATGCTTGATTTTAAACAACTAAACAACATGGGGACTTGTTTCTTATTTGTTAGATGCTGCAGCCAAATTTGCATTTAAAAGTTTAACCTCCTGAATTTTGTTGTCTTTAAGTTCAGTCGGACTCCGACTGTCGGAGAAACAAACGTTACTGCGATCTGTGTTGTTACTGCCCTTTGATCTGCATTCAGTAAAGTGTTATTAAAGAAGGCACGGCAATTTTAACCTTTTTTAAATGTGTAAACCTTATGTTTAGATAGTACTGCAATAAAAAAAAGAAGTGCTGCAATAATATCGCACACCGCAATATTAAGCCACCCTGAATCACCGCAGGAGGAATTCCTCAACCGCGACAGCCCTACCCTAGTGCCAATTCTCTACTAGGGTTGTCACGGTGTGAAAATTTAACCTCACGGTTATTGTGACCAAAATTATCACGGTTTTCGGTATTATCGCGGTATTTTTTTTTTTACGTGTTACATTTTCAGACAACTAAATAAACTCTGTATATCAGGAAAATATTGTCCTCAGTTTGTGTCTAAATTTTGCCTAAAATTTGTTATTTTGTAATTATATTGTTTATTTGTTTACATTTTCCCCTTTAGTCTTTAAAATACCAATATTTACCCATAACTTCTTATTTATTGTCTGTTTGATGTCATCATTTTAAAAATATTAGATCAGATGATACTCAGTACTCAAGCAGCCTTCTACTCAGATACTTTTTTTTACCCTTACTTGAGTAATAAACCCTATATCAGGAAAATATTGTCCTCGGTTTGTGTCCTTCCAGTGAGCTTTGCAGATTTTGGAAAATGTCATCAGGCAGTAATTGTTAAATTATCATTAACAATGACAATTAACAATCATTGTTAAATTCATAATTATTCTCGGAGAGAGACCAACTCTTATCTGCCCCTGGGAGCCCCATAATGCATAGCGTCATTTCAACATGGGGGTGTCCGTTACACGGTTTATATGCAGGTAGCGGCGCTGCGGCTGCTTTATATAGCGACTCGTTGCATTCTCCCTCAACCCAAATCCTCGGATCACGCACTTTAGCTAAAACGCTAACGTTAACTTGCCTTGCGTTGACTGTAGAGTTGTGGGTGATGGTCATGAGATTTGAAGCGTTGCTGCCTTTCACAGACACTTTTTCTGCACGTGCTGCAAACAGGATAGCCGTCTTCTATCAACTGTCCCTCTGCATTCTTCAAATATCCAAAAATGCCTGTACTTCCCACTAGGGCTGTAGCGAAGCCTCGACGACGTCGACGGCTCGATTCTAAAAATTTGTTGACGTCAGATCTGGAAGTCGACGCACCGCGCCCACTTGTTGCATCCCCAGGAGTTTGTAAATAGAGGTGGAATCTGCCTGTTTTTCCTCTAGTTCGCCCTCTTCTCCGCCTTCACTAACATCTCCGCCAAATACCGAAGACCCGGAACAATGTCCGTCCACTGCTAGATTATTTTCCTGTTTTGTCCGCCTTTGTCTCCCGGCAACGGACAACAACTTCCGGGGTCAGATGCGCTACTTCGTCTCCACCGCAGATGTAGAAAATCACCAAGAGCGTTTCTCCCTTCATAAAGGAGCTTCTTTCGGACATTAGGAGAGCTGTTTTGGTGGTAGCAGTCTCTCCTCCGTGCTGGTCTGTTTGCTGCTGGGTGTTTTTGGTTTATTTAAACTTGGTAACTTGAACTTAACGTTGGTAAAGCTACTGTTAGCATCTTCACTAACAGCTTCTTGCGTTGGGATAAGCTGTTACGTTTTGGTTTAGAGTTCATCTTTTTTGTGGTGCAGATCTCCCTTTTATTACATTTAGAGTGTTGTGGGTTTTCGGTTTAGTTTAAAATATCACCTTGAGTTTGGTTTAACCACCCAGTTTAGAGTTTGGATCCCTACTTATTTGTACTTTGTTTTAATTCCCCACAGGCAGAATTAGTTTTATTATTCCCAACCTGTGGATGGAAAGATTTATGATTTTTGTTGTTGTAAATAAACCTGATCATTATTTTAACTTTTAAATCCCATGTTATTGTCCCCTCCTTTTTGCACACGAGCCAAACTCCCCAGGAAGAGTCGTAACACCACTCCCCTCCCGCACATAAGTGACCAAAACAAAGCAGCATGGAGACACTCCGTCTCTCCGACCACCTCTCAGGCAGCAGCCTGCACTCCCAAGTTCTACACGTCACCAGAACATAACCAACCGCAACACAATAAAAGCAGTGTTATACAAAATGAAAGGCCCATAGTGTTTATTCTCTTACAGTAAGAATTTATCAATTTTTTGAGGAATTTATTTGAGATTTTCTGGTTTTTGTTAATTGTGCAATAGAAAAATAATCATTAGATTAATTTTCTAAATAGTCATTAGAATAGTCGACTATTCGATAAAATAATCGTCAGAATAATCGTTTTAAAAATAATCGTTTACCCCCAGCCCTACTTCCCACTTTGTCTTCTTTGAGGGATAATAAATGTCCTGAGTGCTGCCGTCTCCTCCTTTGGCCATTATTTCAGCTTTAGCTTCAAGAAAGTTTTGGTTGTAAACAACAAAGTGCGCATGTGCCGCCGGCAACTTCAGCAGATGATACGGTGGCTGGTAAGGGTCACCACGCCTACACCGCAGCCACGGTAATCCACTGAGATATATATTTTTTAAAACAAGACTGTTATTATTATTGTCAACTTTTTTACCGGGGTTTACCGCTACACCGGTTACTGTGACAACCCTACTTTTGAGTAAAGTATGATGGCGCCAAGATCATGACTTGTAACATTTTTATAGCCTTTATTTGTATAGTGCCTTCTTAGGGTTCTACAACCCCCCAAGGTGCTTCACAACACCCAGTTATCCACCTATTCACACACACATTCACACGCTGGTGGTGATGAGCTACGATGTAGCCACAGCCACCCTGGAGCGCACTGACCGAGACAATGCGATGTTAGGGTTTAATGTCTTTAAGTAAAGTCAATCATAAGAGGAGATGTCATCTTTCTCTGTCATGTTTTTGTGTCTGCAGAGATCCAGTGTTCACCTTTGATCTGAGGTCACAAGTTGGAGATGTTGCCTGGGCTCCATACTCCTCCACTGTCTTTGCTGCTGTCACAGTAGATGGGATAGTAAGAGTCTCTCAGTACTTTGTCATTTCAGTTCAGAATTGTAGCTTTAATTTGTTTGGGTCTTTTTTGTTTGTTTCTTAAAATGTTTCTTTTGGAGATTATGCTTGCTTTAAAGGGATACTTTGCAACTTTTTTATATTTTTAAATTATTTTCATGAGCCAGTATGTGCTAAAATGACCCTTTACACAGTTAATGAAAGTTCATGAGTCCAAACCCCCCTTCAGACAGGCCATGAAAATTGGAAATGTTCGGGACACTGTCCTTAAGACCTTTGTGTCTGAATATAAACATCCGGATAAACTTCTCCGTAAGTAAACCGGACAATGCCCCTAGTAACAGGACCGGACTTGTCACGGACAGGGTGGCTGCTTTAGACTGGTGAGGTCGAGTTCCGGACAGGGAGGAGGAGGGGTCCGGGGGACGCTGTGCGCACCTAGATACTGTAGCTCGCTCCTGTAGCATGCAACGAACCATGGCAGCTCTCCTCCTACGGTACAGTCTCCTAGACGCGCGATGGAGCGCTTCACACCACTTCTGTGATTCCTTTAATCATTGAGCTTCATCATCCAGGTCTCTTATGCGTCTTCGTGTGCGCAGAATTATGCTTAACATAAGTCTGATCAGTGAGAGGAATTCTATTTCTTCGTCAGCCATGTTTGACTGAATAGCTTTGTTTGGGTAAATGACGCATGTATGCCCGCCACACTATGTTTACGCAAATCCGGGTACAGCCTTCCCACCCCTTCCCCCTCCCCCTCAGACATCTGGAACTTTTCCCTGCTGTGTGAAGGCAGCCAAAAGGACAAGTTCAGGTACAAAAGTGGTGTGTCAGAAAACACAGTTTTGGTTAAAAACCGGACTGAATTGTCCACACATATTCCAGAATGCCAATCTGAAAAGGGCTCATGAATGCTAAGTTTCATTGTGATGTAGATCTGACTGGCTTTTCTAATTCGAGCATTTCCTCTTCTATTTCTCTATCGACAGCTAATACAGGAGGTGGGGTAGACGTTATTTTCATGTTTAAGCCCAGTTTTTTCTTTTGCGTCAGCTCCCCACGGGAGAGACGTTTTGCTCTCGGGCTTCCCCATCTCCTTGGGAGTGTTGCAAAGCAATTCCCTGCCAGGACAACAGCGCTGTGGCTGCGCAGTTGCGCAGTGGTTAGAGCTGTTGCCTTGCAGCAAGAAAGTTCTGGGTTCGCTTCCCAGACTGGGATCTTTCTGCATGGAGTTTTCATGTTCTCCCTGTGCATGCGTGGGTTCTCTCCGGGTACTCCGGCTTCCTCCCACAGTCCAAAAACATGACTGTTAGGTTAATTGGTCTGTCTAAATTGTCCTTAGGTGTGTGTGTGTGTGTGTGCGCATGATTGTCCTGTGTGTCTCTGTGTTGCCCTGTGATGGACTGACTCTGTCCAGGGTGTACCCCGCCCGATTGCCCATTGACCGCTGGAGATAAGCATCAGCCCCCCCCCCCCCCCCCCCCCAATTTGTCCAACAATTGTACAAATAATATCCAAAAAGAACGCACAAACGCTACAACTACTGGTCTAAGTTGAGAGACTGAAAATCACGGAACAGTTTGAAGGCGAGGCCGAGGCTCAGGCTGAGGCCTTTCCCCGGAGCTAGCTCTGCGGTCACGTGGGTCTGATGTTCATTAATTATACAGAATTTTAGGCTTTTAATACACTTAAACAGAAGAGTGAGAAAAAATTTCACCCCCCTCAGAGTTGTCATGAGTGTAAACTAGATCTATTAAACCTAAAACATGTTTTGCAACCAGGCTGTAAACATGTTTATTTCTGCTGTGAAATTGGTATTTTTAACATGGGAGTCAATGAGGATTTGCTCGCTTCCTACACCAGCCCCCAGCGGATGAGGGTGGAACTGCAATTGTTGTCACTTCATTGTTGGCTTCAATTTCATACCAGTTTTATGGGGGCTTGCTCTTACATCAGGAAGAATCCGCGTGTTTTGACTCGAGCGTTATCCGTTCTTTCATAGTCCGTTGTCGAATTGTGATCGGCTGACGCTTTTCCGGTTCGCACTTCAATTTTTTTTACAGGAACGGTCCAAAAACGATCTCCTAACACATGGATTTTCTGCTTCCTGATCATGTGACGTATGCAGATGAAAATCGGCTTCAGAGCTGAGATGTTTGTTCTCTCGGTGCGGGGGCTCGTTCCGATGCCCAAACAGTAAAAAATGCAAATGACGACTTTAGTCGTCATTGGCAGTGAACGGTTGGATCTAAAATGACGAATTTAGTCGTCAATGGCAGTGAATGAGTTAATGTCTTTATTCAATGCATTTTGTGTTGCTTGTATTTCTATTTAAAGGGACTTTATGGAGTTTTGAATTTTTATGCTCGCGATTGCCCCCTCAGGCCAAAAGCGTAACGGCAACTTCAATAGTAGGCTCGTGCACGAGGCGCGCATGCTGTACGTGTACACTCCTTAACGAAAATACAGCTGAGACAGTCCCGCGTGTGTGTGTGTGTGTGGCCCGGAGGACAGTGGACAGGAGAACGCGCAACTAATTAATTAAATAATTTGGTTCTGTACCTTTCTCTTCAGCACAGCTGACAAAGGTTTATGATGGGTCAGTCCTCCTGCATGCTCAGACCATTCCCTTCCCTTGCTTGAAAAATTGTTCCAAAATGAAAGTTGAACCCACATCTTTTTATCTGTGAATTCAATGCCGTTCGGCGAGTCTCAAATAAAAAATTGGGCATCTTACTGTAAAAAATATACCATTAATGTAAAAAATAAACTACATAAATTACGTTCACATCAAGAATCGAACCTGGATATTCTGCACGAGAGTCCGACGTCTTACTAGGTGAGCTAAATAGCCAGTACGTCTTTTGTATCCGTAACTTTTATATCCTAGATGACAGCTGAAACAACATTCAAAGAACGGTTCGGAGCGAAAATGGCTATTTTTTTGCTAATTTGCAGGAAATATTTAGAAGAAAGTAGCTAAGGGTCCTCAGAAATATAGCTAGGTTCATCACTAGGCGTGAGGAACAGCGACAAAGTCGCTGAGTTGGCACTACCTCACTCTCTGCTGCTAAAGCTACTGATAGCAAATGCTACGGGCTATGCCTGAGCATGAACGCGCATGAAGCAGCCTGCTCGACCCGAGCAGCTCTCTTTTTCTGTGATTTTACAGAAAAACAGGCAATCACAGTAAAAATGCCAGGGCTCATTCTACAGCAGTGGTTCCCAAACTTATCTAGCCGCGCACCCCCTTCTATGTCCCGACCATGTTGACGCACCCCCCAGCCCCACATCAGGGCGTGGCTATATATGTATATATATATATATATATATATATATATATATATATATATATATATATATACATATAGCCAGATATATATAAATATATATATCAGACGTCACGCTAAACCAGGGGTCGACAACCTGTTCCCATCAAAGAGCCATTATTACCCGTTTCCCACAGTAAAGAAAACACTGGGAGCCACAGCAGCCGCGGCGTTGTGGGCGGGGCCTACCCTCAGACAGCAGAGAGCTGCTCACAACAGGTGACAGCAGCCAGTACCGGTCGCTCGTGTACGTCAAAGTTATCTTTCATAAGAAGATAATCAATAAAACGATTTATATAAAGTGGATCCAGAAGTTGTAGCCCGTCTCTGCCTACAATATTTTGATATTTTTCACCCTGTTGGTGGTTTTACTGAGCAGGTGCCACTTTTGTCATACGTTTCTTTTTAAAACATGTTTAGACTGTTCAGAATACAAATCCATGCTCTGTCACGTTTGATTGTTGTAATTAAACTTAGTAGGTGGGGAAGGTCAGAAAAGGATCCGATCAATTTGTTTTTCCCTCATTTACAGTGACGGAGACAACGGCGCAGTGTGCGTGGCTCTGGTGTTAATCAAGTTAAATTATATCTCTTTGCAACAATTTTCACAAGAAAATAGAACAGTCAAAAGCAGGGCTTGTGTTGACCGGACAGTTCCCGTATTTGGCCGTTTATTTTGACGGAGAAGGAATAGAAAGAATTACCCCGACGCATGCAGACGAACTGACATTTTATTCGTTATGCACATCGCAGATGTAGCTAAATCACCCAAGAAAAGAGTTCCTTCTGGACATCTGAGCTGGACACCGCTCAGCGCAGCTCACTGTCAGCGTGTACGTACGGTGCACAGCGAGCTGATAATGGAGCGCGTCGCAGAACCAGAGCGCATGCAGCAAGATTCCTCCCACTGAAGCGAGCGTTTTCCAAACCCTGTCTCTCAGAGAGACTTGTCACTTAGAAAATGTTCCCTGATTATGAAACTTTGGCTGAATAGCGCTTGTTCCTGTCTCCAATGTGGCAACGCATCCATGAGCCTGTCTGAGGACAATCCCAGAATCTCATATCCTCTTCAGCTCATAAGCGCATATGATTACGCACAAGCGTGACGTGTCAACCCGGTCTCACAGTAAGACCGGGCTGGACCTGTTCAGGTTTACGCAGACAATCTTTACATTTAGAATTAGCTTACAGATGTAAAATTTATGCAGTAAAATATAAAGCTTTTTATTTAAATATCCAGTCATTATTTTACAAGCACAGAGAGTCGCATCAGATGGATGGAAGATCCGCATCCGGCTCCAGAGTCGCGGATTGCCAACCCCTGAGCTAGGGCATATGCGGAGGACACACACACACAAGCAAAATATACTTGTTTTCAATTACGTTTATTGGGCCCACTTACATTTTCTTAGGCCCATCCACAAATGAGTTTCTGGCTACGCTAATGGTGACTTTTGACAGACTTCTCTGAGCTCCGCAGCCATTAAACTTTTCACCTCGCGCACCCCATCGACATGTATACCCCCTAGCGCACCCCCTAGTGGCAGCTCGCGCACCCCCAGGGGTGCACGCACCACACTTAGGGAATCCCTGTTCTACAGGACCAGGGCATTGCAGGAGAATGTATGAAGAAGAAATTTATTATTTCTATACATGTTTTGGCTGTCAAACTTCCATAATGCCCCTTTAAAGCTTTTTAGATTTTACATTTTATTGATGAACTATTTTCTTTTGTTGTATTTATTTTTGCACTGATATAAGGTGTACTATATTTTCATATGCTTATCTGCTGGTCACACTAAATAATTCCAGAGTGTTTTGTGTGACATGTTTCCTGACCAGTGTTGCCAACTGTTTTTGACTGAAAGTAGCTGAAGTTCCCCCAAAAGTCGCTAGATGTCGCCAGATGACGTCACGTGCTAATTTACATATTGATGACATCATCGTGCCATATTGGCTTCATTTTCCCCATAGCATCTAAAAGATATCTATATATATATAGATAGGACTAAAAGGGAGGAAAATAAAAACTGTTATGTATTTAAGTTATTAATTAGAATGATAAAATGGCCCAAATTGCTTTGATATGTACAATAAATTCCAAAAGTATCAATAAAGTGGCATTAAGACAGATATGATGCGATGATCCAAACAGTTCTGTTGTAGGATATAACTCAGACCTCTTGCTCTCCTCATTCTCAAAGACGTTTTCCTAAAAAGCAGTTTTTTTACACTTCCTAGTTTGTGTTTTCTCTCCATCGTGATAATAACGGCGCACCGAGCAAAAGGGAGCGGGTGTCCCATAGTATAACCATCCCTGTGCCACTGAAGGAAATTCAGATGAGCCACAGAGCTGCGTGTGTAAACGGGACGGTAGTTGAAACTCCAAATGACTTTATTTGCCAAATGCAGGAAAAGCCAAAGTGTCTGACGGCTGCAAAACCAGAGATCGCAGGTTGACGCCTGCGCCATCTCTAGTAGAAGCGGGAGCCTGCAGCAGACGTAAATCGGCGGACTCAGCCTCTGCATCTGTACCGTGTCAGCGAATCAGCCCGGCCGATAACGGTTTATGATTGGTCAGTCCTCGTGCACATGTGCAGATTATCGTTCTCTTTCCTTACTCCCGGAAGAACGGTTCAGAGTGCAAATGGTTTCTTTGTTGCTAATCTGTAGGGAATATCTACAAGAAAGTTCTACAGAAAGTAGCAACGGGTCCTGAGAAATGTCGCTAGATTTTTTGCTAGTCGCTTTTTGGAAAAAAAGTTGTTGAGGGGAGTCAAAAAGTCGTTAGGAATGGCAACACTGTTCCTGACCAATGTGGTGAGTGGAGTTGAAATGTGAGTGGCTTATTTGTGTGTTTGTCTGTGTGTCATGGTGATGGGGATGTCAATTTCTTTAGTGGGTCAAAGAAAGTTTCACATACTGACTTGTCTCTTTCAGGTTCATGTATTTGACCTCAACATCTGCAAATATGAGGCCATCTGCCAACAGCGAGTCGTGGCCAAAGAGAAGACCAAGTTGACCTGCATTCAGTTCCATCCAGTCAATCCCGTGATCATTGTGGGTAATAGCCAAGGGGGTGTGAACAGCTTCAAGCTCTCCCCTAACCTCCGCAAAATGTCCAAGGTAAGAAGCTCTCCAATATTTTTAGTGCATATCAGCCCTCAATATAATACCTGCAGCATTCAGAAAGATCTCAGTCTGGTAGGGATGGGTACCTTTGACATTTGAATCGATCCGGTACTAATTCCCGGTACCTACGGATCGATACACTTTTGAGTGTTTATTATTTTAATTCTCTTTTATAATTAAATATATATTTTTCTCAATATATAACAATATTTGATAAATATCATGATAAATAACATTCAACTGTTTGTATTTTAACATCGTTCTTGTAGTTTTATAAGCGGATAATTAAACAGAAGCAAACATCTTTACTGTGAACTAAATTTACTGTGTATCTTCATTCCTTTTGCCGTCTTTTTTCATTTGATTTTTCCTACTGGGAAGTTAGAATTTCCGAGGAGAAAGCGAACGCACCATTAGCTGATAACAACGGTGGCAATGGAAGCTAACATATCAAGCTAACATTATCTTTAACAGTTTATTTAACTGCTGGAGCAGATTAAAACGATGATGCCTCACACTTAGATTGTTGTCGTTGGTTTCAATCTTCACCCAATCACCCGTCGCATTTAGTAAAGTGAAGCCAAACTTTAGAGCGCGTTCATGTTTTTCTAGTCGGAAATTCGGAGTTCCGAGGAGAAAGCGAACGCACCATTAGTGAAACGGAAGCTAACATATCAAGGTAACGTTATCTTAAACATTTTATTTACCTACCGGCGCAGATTAAGATGAGGATGTCTCACTTAGATCGTTGTCTGTCGCTGGTTTCATCATCACCCAGTTACCCATCACATTTAGTGAAGTGGACCCAAGCGTTAGCGTGCGTTCTTTCTACCCATGCTGCTCTGTTTACAACTCACTCGCAGGGACCGACGACATAACGCTCTTGCGCATGCGCAGCTGTCTTGGCAAGTTCTCGTTATGAAGGATGGGTAGGGATGCACCGATCAGGTTTTTTGTTGCCGATACCGATATCAAAGAATGCTGATCACCGATACGATCACTGATACCGATCACGTGGATTGGCCAGAAATTTTCTACAACATAATGGGTGCTACAAACTACATAATCTGGGAATAAAGGAAATGCAACCTAATCTAAAATGGTCTGTATTAGGGTTGTCACGGTCTCGTCTCGTCTCGTCTCGTCTTCCTCCGCTTATCCGGGTCCGGGTCGCGGGGGCAGCATCCCAACTAGGGAGCTCCAGGCCGTCCCCTCCCCGGCCTTGTCCACCAGCTCCTCCGGCAGGACCCCAAGGCGTTCCCGGACCAGATTGGAGATGTAACTTCTCCAACGTGTCCTGGGTCGACCCGGGGGCCTTCTGCCGGCAGGACATGCCCGAAACACCTCCCCAGGGAGGCGTCCAGGAGGCATCCTGACCAGATGCCCAAACCACCTCAACTGGCTCCTTTCGATCCGGAGGAGCAGCGGTTCTACTCCGAGTCCCTCCCGAATGTCCGAGCTCCTCACCCTATCTCTAAGGCTGAGCCCGGCCACCCTACGGAGGAAACTCATTTCGGCCGCTTGTATCCGCGATCTCGTTCTTTCGGTCATTACCCAAAGCTCATGACCATAGGTGAGGATTGGGACGTAGATCGACCGGTAAATCGAGAGCCTGGCTTTCTGGCTCAGCTCCCTCTTCCCCACGACAGATCGGGTCAGCGTCCGCATCACTGCAGACGCCGAACCAATCCGCCTGTCGATCTCCCGATCCCTCCTACCCTCACTCGTGAACAAGACCCCGAGATACTTAAACTCCTCCACTTGAGGTAGGACCTCTCCCCCGACCCGGAGGTGGCAAGCCACCCTTTTCCGGTCGAGAACCATGGTCTCAGATTTGGAGGTGCTGATCCTCATCCCAGCCGCTTCACATTCGGCCGCGAACCTACCCAGCAAGAGCTGAAGGTCAGAGCTGGATGAAGCTAGGAGGACCACATCATCCGCAAAAAGCAGAGACGAGATTCTCCTGCCACCAAACTCGACACACTCCACACCACGGCTGCGTCTAGAAATTCTGTCCATAAAAGTGATGAACAGAACCGGTGACAAAGGGCAGCCCTGGCGGAGTCCAACCCTCACTGGGAACAGGTCCGACTTACTACCGGCTATGCGGACCAAACTCACGCTCCTCTGGTAAAGGGACTGAATGGCCCTTAACAGAAAGCCACCCACCCCATACTCCTGGAGCGTCCCCCACAGGGTGCCCCTGGGGACACGGTCATAAGCCTTCTCCAAATCCACAAAGCACATGTGGATTGGTTGGGCAAACTCCCATGCCCCCTCCATCACCCTTGCAAGGGTATAGAGCTGGTCCACAGTTCCACGGCCAGGACGAAAACCACATTGCTCCTCCTCTATCTGAGATTCAACTATCGATCGGACCCTCCTCTCCAGTACCTTGGAGTAGACCTTTCCAGGGAGGCTGAGGAGTGTGATCCCCCTATAGTTGGAACACACCCTCAGGTCACCCTTCTTAAAGATGGGGACCACCACCCCGGTCTGCCACTCCCTAGGAACTGCCCCCGATGACCACGCAATGTTGTAGAGACGTGTCAACCATGACAGCCCTACAACATCCATAGCCTTAAGATACCCAGGACGAACCTCATCCGCCCCCGGGGCTCCGCCGCTGTGTAGTTGTTTGACTACCTCAGCAACTTCTGCCCCCGAGATCGGACAGTCCATCCCCAGGCTTCCCAGCTCTGGTTCCTCCTCGGAATGCGCATTGGTGGGATTGAGGAGCTCCTCAAAGTATTCCTTCCACCGTCCGACTATAGCCTCAGTTGACGTCAGCAGCTCCCCATCCCCACTGTAAACAGTGTGAGCGAGTTGCTGCCTTCCTCTCCTGAGGCGCCGGACAGTTTGCCAGAACCTCTTTGGAGCCGATCGATAGTCTTTCTCCATGGCCTCACCAAACTCCTCCCACGCCCGAGATTTTGCCTCGGCAACTGCCACTGCTGCACCCCGCTTGGCTATCCGGTACCTGTCTGCTGCCTCCGGAGACCCACAGACCAGCCACGCCCTGTAGGCCTCCTTCTTCAGCCTGACGGCTCCCCGAACCTCTGGTGTCCACCAGCGGGTACGGGGGTTGCCACCACGACTGGCACCGGCCACCTTACGACCACAGCTAGCAACAGCCGCCTCGACAATCGCAGAGTGGAACAAGGCCCACTCGGACTCAATGTCCCCCACTGCTCTCGGGACGTGGTCAAAGCTCTGCCGGAGGTGGGAGTTGAAGACCGTCTTGACAGGTTCTTCTGCCAGGCGTTCCCAGCAGACCCTCACTATGCGTTTGGGTCTGCCAGGTCTACGCGGCATGTTCCCTTGCCATCTGATCCAACTCACCACCAGGTGGTGATCAGTTGACAGCTCCGCCCCTCTCTTCACTCGGGTGTCCAAAACATACGGTCGCAGGTCAGATGATACGACTACAAAATCTATCATCGACCTGTGACCTAGGCTGCCCTGGTACCAAGTGTACCGGTGGGCATCCTTATGTTCGAACATGGTGTTCGTTATGGCCAAACTGCGGCTTGCACAGAAGTCCAATAACAAAACACCGCTCGAGTTCTGATCAGGTGGGCCGTTCCTCCCAATCACACCCCTCCAGGTCAAGCTGTCATTGCCCACGTGAGCATTGAAGTCCCCCAGCAGGACAATGGAGTCCCCTGATGGAGCACTATCTAGCACTCGTCCCAGGGACTCCAAAAAGGGTGGGTACTCTGAACTGATATTTGGCCCATAAGCACAAACAACAGTCAGGACCCGTTCCCCGACCCGAAGGCGCAAGGAAGCTACCCTCTTGTCCCCCGGGGTAAACCCCAACACACAGGCAGAGAGTCTCGGGGCTAACAAAAAGCCAACCCCAGCCCTCCGCCTCTCACCCGGAGCAACTCCAGCAAAGTAGAGTGACCAACCCCTCTCCAGGTCTCGGGTTCCAGAGCCAATGCAATGTGTCGAGGTGAGTCCGACTATATCTAGCCGGTACCGCTCAACCTCTGCCACAAGCTCCGGCTCCTTCCCCGCCAGCGAGGTGACGTTCCATGTCCCAAAAACTAGTTTCCTTGTCCGGGGATTGGACCGCCAAGGCTCCCGCCTTGGTCTGCCACCCGATTCACATTGCACCGGACCCTTCATGTTCCTCCTGCGGGTGGTGGGTCCACAGTTGGACGAGCCCATGTATCCGGTTCGGGCTGGGCCCGGCCGGGCCCCATGGGCGAAAGCCCGGCCACCAGGCGCTCGCTCACGGGCCCCAACCCCAGGCCTGGCTCCAGGGTGGGACCCCGGTAACCCTCCGGGCCGGGTACTCCGACTCTTCGTTTTCACCACCATGAAAGATCCTTCGAACCGTTCTTTGTCTCGCCCTTCACCTAAGACCAATTTGTCATGGGAGACCCTACCAGGGGCACTAAGTGCCCCAGACAACATAGCTCCTAGGATCATTAGGGCACTCAAACTCCTCCACCACGATAAGGTGACGGTTCAAGGAGGAGGGTTGTCACGGTGTGAAAATTTAACCTCACGGTTATTGTGACCAAAATTACCACGGTTTTCGGTATTATCGTGGTATTTTTTTTTTAAACGTGCTACATTTTCACACAATTAAATAAACCCTGTATGTCAGGAAATATTGTCCTCAGTTTGTGTCTAAATTTTGCCTAAAATGTGTTATTTTGTAATTATGTTGTTTATTTGTTTACATTTTTCCCCTTTAGGCTTTAAAATACCAATATTTGCCCATAACTTATTTTATGTCTGTTTGATGTCATCATTTTAAAAATATTAGTTCAGATGATACTCAGTACTCAAGTAGCCTTCTAATCAGATACTTTTTTTACCCTTACTTGAGTAATAAACCCTATATCAGGAAAATAATGTCCTCGGTTTGTGTTCCAGTGAGCTTTGCAGATGTGGGGAAAATGTCATCAGGCAGTAATCATTGTTAAATTCATAATTATTCTCGGAGAGAGACCAACTCTTATCTGCCCCTGGGAGCCCCGTAATGCATAGCGTCATTTCAACATGGGGGTGTCCGCGACACGGTTTACATGCAGGTAGCGGCGCTGCAGCTGCTTTATATAGCGACTCGTTGCATTCTCCTTCAACCCAAATCCTCGGATCACGCATTTTAGCTAAAACGCTAACGTTAGTTTGCCTTGCGTTGACTGTAGAGTTGTGGGTGATGGTCACGCAGATGTGTCATGAGATTTGAAGCGTTGCTGCCTTTCACAGACTCTTTTTCTGCACGTGCTGCAAACAGGATAGCCGTCCGTCTTCTATAAACTCCCCCGGCATTCTTCAAATATCTAAAAGATGCCCGTAATTCCGACTTTGTCTTCTTTGAGGGATAAAAAATGTCCTCCTGAGCGCTGCCGTCTCCTCCTTTGGCCATTATTTCAGCTTTAGCTTCAAGAAAGTTTTGGCTGTAAACAACAAAGCGCGCATGTGCCGCCAGTCCTGCAACTTCAGCAGATGATACGGTGGCTGGTAACGGTCACCGCGCCTACACCGCAGCCACGGTAAACCCACCAAGATAATATAGTTTTTTTTTAAACAAGACGGTTATTATTATTGTCAACTTTTTTTTTTACCGGTGTTTACCGCTACATTGGTTACCGTGACAACCCTACCTGATCGGTCTGCTTTGATCTATTTTGAAAACTCCGATCAAAACCGATAGGGGCACTATCGGCCGATTACGATCAAATGCCGATCCATCGGTGCATCCCTAAGGACGGGTACCGAAACGAGGCACCGTTTGAAATGACGTGAATCGGTGCTCGGTCGGTACCTTAAAAAGTACAGAATTCGGTACCCATCCCTACAGTTTGGAGAAGTAAGAAGTGAGGGAGTGAACCAGAACCTGATCAAAAACAAAATTCCGTTGCCTAAAAAAATCTCAAAATCTAAATGTTGCTATTTCAGCAAATGCTTTAGTTCTGCCTCTTAAATTTGAACTCAGTTTGAGAAAAGTGTTAAAACTGTGAGCCTGGTAAATATGATCTTCTTAGGTTAAAATAAACAAAAACAACATCTTAAAAGTTAAGTTGAACTGCTTTTTAGTCAACTGATTTAGTTTCCTTTCTGCCTGTTTACTGCTTAAGCGTATGGCTAAAGTCAAGTCATGTTTGTGTTTGCATGTCTCCGTTGGACCGGCGCAGGCTCGGGGTCCACAACCAGAGGTAGACAAGATGGAGACGTGTCTAACCTACAACCCTGACCTACCTTAACCAGACTCTCTGGACTGTGTGTGTCCACTTTGTCCTCTCTGAGTCAAAGTGTCTTTCTGTCTGTTGTGTTTGTTTTTAAACCGGCTGCTGTTCAGCTTGGTTCCAGTTTAGATCATTTCACTTTGCTTTTCAAGTGTTCTGGATCTCTAGGAAGATAACAGGATTTTAGACTGACCTTTAGTGAGTTTGTTAGTTAGTTTTAATTTTATTTCTGCCCAAACTTTGTTGTGCCACAGGATTTTTCAAATGTGTTTTGCTGGGGAAAATGTAAGTAAGTTAAAGACAAATTCGTCAGATACTAAATTTAAGTGAGAATTAGAATGAGAAAATGTGAATTTCTCAACATTTGTTAGTTTTTTTTATCTATATCTCACAGAAATGTTTTCAGTTTAGAAATGATTAGAATTAAAACCAGTAATATTTAATTGGAAACAATGCAATCAAATAAACACAGTTCAGACTGAAACTTCAGCAAAAGATCTTTTTACTAAATGGTTGTCAAAAAGATACATTGCAGTTACAGAAAATATCATAAATAAAGTACTAAAGGTTTTAACAGTAATTCAATACAATTGTAACTGTTTTTCACTTCAAACTTCATTAGTTATTTAAATGACACCTGCAGGTGGCAGCATTGTATTGATGTAAAAGGAGCTTTTGTCCAACACATTTGTAGTCACTGCTAAAAATCTCATCAGTAAAAAACAAACTTGAGGCTCAGCCTTAGAGATCAGGCGAAGGGTTCCATCATCCACGTAATGCTGGAGAAGAGCTCCTGCTCCTCACTGAGAGAAGGCAGCAGACGTGGTTTGGGCTGTATACACTATCCAGGAATAGATCCAGAACTTGTTGGAGTATCCATATATCCTCTGGGACCTTGGGGATAAACTGAAATCCAGCACAAAGCCTTACTATAAAAAAAGGCAAGGCTCAAATTTGAGTGATTGAGATTTGACTCGCGTTGTTGCAAAATAAAATAATGATCAAACCCAGGTGGTATGCAGAAAATGAGGAGCTTGATCAAAGGTAAAGCGATATTGTGTTACATTACTTTGCAATAATTAATGTGTGATGGCATGTGAGCAAATCAAATGTTGGTCAGATTATTGTAAAGCATCAGAAAATTATATAAGAGCGTCTCTGTCATTTGAAACAAGTGGCAGCATGCTTTTGGGAGGGGATTTGTTTCAAAATGGAGGAAATATGCAGAATAAGATGCAAACACTTGATCAGTCTGCATCAAACCAGGTGATGTAGTCTAATGGGTTCACTAAAGATGTGCAGCTCAGCTCAGTGGTCAGTTTGGAGGAAGTGGTGAGATCATAGGGAGATCTACTCTTACATATTGGAAAAGTGAAGTAGTTTTCTATCGTCAACAAATGGTCATGTCTTAAGAATTTTCTCCTTGAATTGTTTTATGTGGAAGAAGACAGAGAAAGCAAAATTTCTAATATTTAAATGTAAAGTTTCTTAAAAAAACAAATAGGAAAATTTCCTATTAATTCTGCTAAAACTTAATGTCCATAGTAATATAACCATAATTAAAAGTTAAAAAACTAATTTTTTTACTAAACAGTGTAAGAAAATAACATGAAATAGATCATTAAAAGTAATTAATTATTCTAAATAAAAATGTCTTTAAAAAGACTGAAAGTTTAAGGTTTTCAGGTTATTAGTGTTTCATTCAACTGTTGTTTAAAGTTTTTAATATTCTCTCAGCTAAGTCCCTCGAGCGCTTTTCTACCCGAGGGAAAACAAACTAGATGATTATTTAAGTATGTAAATAAGATAACACCTCTCTTTCACTGCCCATGTTGTTTTGTGTGTAGTGTGTGAGTGCTCGTGCGTGTGTTTGCGACTGTGTGAATGTGTATGTATTTGTGTGCGCGCGCTCGGGGCTGGATTTCGGGTTAAATATTCAAAATGGCGGACGGAGGAGCAGCGAGTCAAGATGAGAGTTCAGCACCAGGTAATGATTACAGCATTTTACATATTCATACTCATATTCAAACTGCGTTACATACAATTTATAATAACAATAGTGATGAAACGCGGAGGGAGCTGGAAATGAGGAGGATAAGGGGCGATGTTTGAGTTTACACACAAATGTAGTTTGACAAGAGGGAGGAAACGAGCTGTTGCAGTGCGACGGTAAAATACATGGAAACATGCCTCCCCCTTTGTGTGATTAGACGGATGTACGCCGCTACATATTCATACATCTGCCGACAAATACAACTTAGCATATTTTATTAGTAATCGCCGTCGTGACACTTGTTCATGCGGAACGCTTATATATTATTTTCTGAAGGCAGTTTGATTGAAATGAGCATGCTAGCTTGGTTAGCTCGGGTGCTAACGCTTGGCTTTGTGTTGATGCACACTGGGGCTTTTTTCTCAGAGCTTTGCATATTCATATTTCACCGGCCGGGTAGTGGCCGCCACTCGTTTGTTCTTCTTTTTCTACTGATAATATTCTAAACAACAAGCACGGCTTTTGTCAAACACCGTGTCAGGTTGGTGTTGCTCAGCTCGACGTGATTTTTTTTTACGGGAGAGCATTTTGCCTTCGGTCTTTTGTGCTCGGCGCAGGAGAGCCACAGCAGCCTGTTGTTATTCATGCAGGCCTCCCTCAACCAGAGTGCGGAGTTCAGCATATTCCACCATCATAAATACCACACTATTATAACACACGAGTAGCGTTTGTTTGATCTAATGAAAGACGTTCAGTTAGCTTCAACTGAATCCGATACTTTCGGTTCATTTTACATGATTCACTTAATCTACAGTTTGTGCTGCTTACGATTGTAATAGTCTTTCTCGCCGCTCTTAGAACAGAAGTTGGATCGAGCCTTTTATTAAGTGATAGCTTTCTGGCTTCGATTTATTTTGCCTGGCGAATTTCAACATATAATTAATCTGTTCCTGACAAACACCGTGTGTACGTTATTCCCCTTTTTGTGGTCGAAGTTCGTTGAGTTCAAAGCCTGTACCTGTGTATCCCCCTCAGGCAAAGGGTGGGGTGGTGAGGCCCACTTCCGGAAGGCAACAGTAATAACAAGCAGAAGGTTTTTTTTTCTGTTCTTATTCTTAACTAGTTTCATGAACAGACAAGTCCCAACACGAACAGAACATTTTTACTACATGTAGTTAACGTTTCTGGCTTACTCTAAACAAACCAGTCAGATGTGGTAACATTAGTGGATTATTCTATGCATAGATTCGAATAGACTTTATTAATCCCACAGTGAGGAAATTCATATGGACTGGACATCCCTTTAAAAAAGGCTTGGTTTGTTGCAGCTAACAAAATATTAGGTGGTATGTTATTAAATATACTAATAAATGAGAGTCAAACAAATTTTAAACAAGATTAAAATATGATTAAAGGAGTTTTTATTGTTCCAGATTTAGGTGCATGTGTCATGAAAACACAAACAGTTTATGTAGCTGATTAACAATTGTCATTGTTGTTTTGTAAAAGTATTTGGTGTTTTACTGACTACTCAGGATCACATCTGAAAGCTGCTTTTGTTTTTTCCTAAAACATGTTCATTCCCAAAACCTGCTTAAATTTGTTTTTATACAGAAGGCAAAGATAAACTTTGACAATTTTAAGAAAAACATACAAATGCATGTACAATTTATATTATTTCATGAGGGAAGTGTCCAATTTTTCAAAAATTAAGTCTTTTTGTTAGCATCTTTCAGATGTTAGAATATTTGCAGATTTGTGTGTGGGGGGGGGGGCTGATTTATTACACTGAGCTTCTCAAGAATGTGAAATAATTCTGTCTTCCTCAAACTGAAGCTACTTTTCTCATTTAATCAGTTTTACAGTTCCACCCTCATTCTAGCCTTGTAGTTTCATCATGAATATTCATTAATGTAAACACAGTTGTTATGAATAATGCAACACTTGCTGTAATAAATTCAGGACATGCCATCTCAAAGTACTGAGAGGACCTGCATGCAGGCTTCACTCAGACAAGCTGCAGCTTATTTTTTCCCCTTTTGCTTTGGATGAAGAAATTTTTACATAATCAGTTTTGTTGTTTCCTCAGGACTTAAAGAGGAAGTAATGTCTAAATTAACTTTTTTTTGCTGATGAACTGTATAAATGTGTGTAGTAGTGTTTTAAATGTGTGTATTCATTATTTCAGCATTTTGGTGCATTTTCTTTAAAAATTAAAAATTCTGCCTAAATACCACAGTATAGCGCCACCTTCAGCTTAAAACATAGAGTTTGAGTCATTTTGAATACACTTTAGCCAACGGCTAAAGAGTAAGATACTACGTAAACCAGTAGAGTACTACGTAGCAGCTCTGTGTCAAAGTTATAAAGCATAGAGAGTCTCGGCCACGCTTTGTGGCGAGTTGGGAGTTTGATTTGCAAGCGAGTGTAGGAGGTTAGCTGTAGTTCAGCATTAGCATATAGCATTAGCATATCCTAGTCTTTAGCATAGCTTTTAGTGTTATACATACTTATTTAGTGTTAGTTTGGCTGTTGGATATTGTAGTTTAGTTAGTGTTTGGCTGTTAGTGTAATTAGGAAAGTAGTTCGGGTTTAGTGCTCCATATCGTGTTAGTAAGGTGAGACGGTGTAGTGTAGTGTGGTTGCGGTGGCTCTGTGGAGTTGGACTCCTTTCCGCTGGACTTAGAAGTTAGGCGCCAGTGGTTGCGCGCAATCGGTGTCTGGAAAACAGTCAGCTCCCGACTGGTGCTGTAGTTTGCAACCATTATTTTACCCGCGATTCTGCACGTCTCCTTTTGAAGAGAGAGGGCTGTGCCCACCGTGGCTCTTCTGCGATTTAGATGCAGCCCACCAACTCTGCTCCCCCACCATGGCGGGCTCCAGTCTGAGGTGAGTAAGCTAAATAAAAGTTGTAACATCTTCTAAAGACAATTCCCTACCTAAATGCAAAGCTTGAGAGACGTGGTTCACTTAATTTAGCTAATATCAGCCTGCACTGCCTTAGGGCTGATTTGTCAAGTTCACAAAATGTGGAACGGGATGTAAGGCTAGAATCAGCAGCGAATCGGAACATATCTCGAAGCCCTGGCCGACGAAACGGTCCACATGACTATTACTGTCAGGCTCGGAGAAAATTCGGGTTGTTTTTGTGTCAGTCGGTAATTCTGCAACAGTGGCTCTTAACTAACGCAGCACTAGTTGACAGACAGCATTACAGCGTGAAATCCAGCTTGTGAACAGGTTCTGTAAGGAATTCTGTTCAGGAGGTCGCATTTCAGGCTCTCCACATCATATGTGACTGACTTTTACGTTATAATGATCACACACTAGGAATGTTATAAAGCGCCTTTATAGGACAGTTTCTTTTGTATATTATCTGACTTTATAAACTCCCAACAACAATGTGCTTCTATTTTTTTTCAGGCTAAATCTACCCAAGACATTGGCTGTCAGACTGATTTAGCTGCAAGAATGCACTTGTCCAGGCTGACGTGAAGCCTTACCCGTAGCAAAGGTGAATTATTTTTAATAATCGTCTATGTAAACATTTTATTATTACCTTCTAGTTTTAATTTGTTTTACAGATTATTGTTAAACATGATTTTATGCTCTTTTAAACATTTATAAATGTGCTGCTTATTTGTTTTTTACATAGCCACCCAGTTTAGAGCTCACAGCTGTAGTGTGTCTTGTGACAAAAGGACCATGACGGAAATTCATCTTCCAGAAGGTCCCAGAGCAGCGTCCACACCCCTGAAAAGACCAAGGTGTGAGGTGTCTGCTGTTGATTCCAGCTTCCACCTCAGTGACAGTGCAAACTCAGTGAACTGTTCAAGGTAAAAAAACAATTAAAACATTTCAGAATTTTTAAGATATTACCAATTAAACAAGTATGTGGTTACATCATGACGGAGGCTACTGATTCTGTCCCCTGACGCTTGGTGGTGACGTGTGAGCTGATTCACCTGGTAAATAACTTTTACATTAAATATTTCTTTCTTTGCTATCAAAAGTAAATTAACTAATAACCTGCATTATTGCAGGACACTCAGCAAAATATGGACTCTACACCATGAGGCAGGCACAAGTTAATACTTATAAGAGCACATAAGGTGAGAAACACCACATATTACTGTACACTGTCCTGGATTTGTTTTCTTTCTGCATCTCATCGTAAGCCTGGCTGATCACCTGATAACTCCTGTCATCTGGTTATGACAGCATGAGGGTGTCCTCACACACCTGTAACCTATCAGCTCATCTGGCAGAATAGAGAAGAGACAACACCACGTCTCCTGTTCCTGGAAAGCCTTCAGCCATCCTTTGGAGAACCTCCATCAGCTCTGTCTCCTGTCTGCCTACAATTATTATAATAAATATTGTGTTTGACAAGTTTTTTGTGCTGCCAAATATCTCATTTTGATTCCAGTTTTTATATTTTAATGGATATTTCTAAATTACATTAATTGAATTATCACATTGTTGCATGTTTAACTGGCTCTATTGTGATGAATTAAACTAGAACCTCACTGTTAAAAGCTTGTTTTAATTTCAAGCATGTTTAAGTATTTATGGACATGAACAAAAACAGGAAATGTATAAATTGAGATTTATTTAATAAATATAACAAATAAGGGGGAAAGAGTCATTGAAAGGCACATTCTTCTGGAAGCTCCTGATCCTGACGACACCAGCAGGAGACCAGCTGCAGACACCAGAGGACCTACAACCAAGAGAGCAGCTGGTGTCAGTAAATAATGAAATCAGAGCAGTTTTAGTGGGCTGAAGACATTACAGAATAATTTTCTCATGGGGTAGTTTCATAACTTTCTATGCAGCAGACTAACTTGAGCCCAGGGCTCCTGGAGAGCTGCTATCCAGCATGTTTCATTGTTATTCCTGCTTTAACAGGTTAGATTAGCTGTTCAGCAACTCAGCTATTTGTTGCTGATTAAAACCAAGTGTGTTGAAGCAGATAAACCTCTAAAATATGCTGAATACTAGCTCTCTAGGGCCGTGGAGCTAGGGCTGCTCAATTAATCGAATTTTAATCACAATTACGATCTAAGTTTTGAACGATTATAAAAACAAAACAAGCCGATTATTTGCTCCTCCCACTTGCGCTGCCCTGAGTTCCAAATGAAGCGCTCCTCCCACAGTGTTGCCAGCTTAGCGACTTTGATGCTATTTCTAACAGCCTTTCAGACCCCCCTTCTTGACTTTTTAAATCTTAAAAATACCTAGCGAACATCTCAGAAACATCTCTGGAGACCCTTAGCTACTTTCTGGATAACTGTCGTTGAAATTTCCTGCAGGTTAGCTAAACTCGCCGCCTGTGCTCCCAACCGTTCTTCAGGACATTAGGAAAGGGAATGATGTAGTGATGTGTCAGTCGCTAAAGAAACGGCTCTCAGAGCCGGCTCCCTGTAGGATTAACCAGAGTGAGTGACACACACCGTACCTGTGAGCTCCTGGGCCGCTAAAAACGGCTAAATGTGCACGTGCGGCGCGCAAAACACACCCGCAGCTTGCCCCTGATTGCTATGAGACCGGGTTGGAGGGTGGGGGGTGTAGCTGTGGTTGGGACAATTATTACATTAACTGATGGACCTGTAAATACATAGTTTATAAATAGGGTAGAAATAAGTTCCTCACGCTGATAACTAATCTCTCTGAGGACACTGTGCTAGTGCACGCTCCTACAGCACCTTGACTTGACTAAATAAATGTTATGCAACATTTTGTGAACATCAATTTATTTGCATTTATTTGTTATAAATGCTGCTGTATAATTCTTGCTGTCAGTATTTGCAAGATATTGTTATTTGGGTCTGTACTGGTTAGACTTAAATGAGTTAAACCAAGGTCTATAGCCCTTAGGTCATAAACTATGAACTATAAGTATATTGGTCTTTTTATACTGGGAATCAGGAGTTATTTTAGTGATCATCTTGTTTCTTATTTATTTTTGTCCTGATTGTGCCCTGAGCAATTTTATGACTGAATAAAAACAAATAAAATCAACAGAAATTGACAAATCGTCTTAAATAATCGAGATCTCAATTTCAGTCACGAAAATCGTGATTATTATTTTTGCCATAATCGAGCAGCCCTATGTGGAGCCAAACCCTGCAGCTAATCTAATGCTATGGCTAACGGCTACTTACCATTCAGAGCTTGTTCTGTTGGGTCGGTTCCGGTAGTTTCAGGCAACTCACAAGCTCAAAACAATAAGGCTCAGGTCCGCTTGTCTCCTCCAAATAGACTTGGTCCCTTTCTTCTCGAGTGTCTGGGTAAGGAGGTGGAGAAACGGTCTCCACTTCTAATGACTGCTCAGAGTGAAGGGAGCTAGCATCGCCTCGTTACCCATTGTCTTCGTCACAGCCGGTGCTCCGCCCTCTCGGTCCTCCAGGCAACGCCTACTAATGTTGCAGTTTTTAAAATTGATACGTGGGTGGAGTAAGACTGAGGGGAGCATTACCACTTCTTAAAATAGTTTGGTTTGAGGCATTTCTTTCTTCACTGACTATTGCCATGAGAAAGAATACTCACTTTGAGGATAGAACTAAAGGCTGCTCGAGGTTAACATGAAGCAGGGAGACTTTCTGGATGCACTGTAAGCTGTGTTGTTGTGATAGTGAGCACCATGTTGTTGCTAGTGCCTGCGGTGTTTCTGACAGAAGACCACCAGTTAACACTTTAAAGATTATTTGTTAAAGATTTTTTTTTCTATTGACCAACTAATTCATCTGACCTAATGTGCAATAAAAGCCTTAGTGGGGAAAATGTATAACATTTAAAATTAGTTCTTCAGTTGCATGACTAGATGGGGTTAGTTGTATCGTTGTTTTCAGGGTATCCGCGGGTCCTTAAAAAGTCTTAAATTAGCTTTTCCAAATTTAAGGTCTTAACAATCCTTAAAAATGACTAATAATCCTTAAATACAGCTTTCAAAGGTCTTAAATGACCAAAGACCTAATAAACAAGATTCTTTTATTTCTATAAACATTTTCCTGAATTTCTAGTTAGTGTTCAGCGTTTTTTGTGTATGATGTTGGCAAAAGCGGAACCGTACACATTCAGTTAGTTGTGAAAGGGGGCATTTTTAGATGAGCACGTTAGCTGGTTAAGCTAGTGGGAGCTTGCGCCATGGGGAAGTGCAAGTTTAATGGTAACTGGATGGCTAATCCTACGTTCGCGACATAGGTTAGCACCGGTTCCAGGCAATAGCTGGAAATTATAGCTTAAATTTAATTTTAAAAATAGCTTAAATTTGGTCAAAGTGGCCTTAAAAAAGGTCTTAAAAACTCTTGAATTTGGCTCCCGTAAACCTGCAGATACCCTGTGTTTTACATGCCATAAATAACCTGGAGTTGCAAATGCAAATATCCTCTGAATGTAAATATGTAGCAGTGAATCATGTAGCTAACCTCCACCTGTACTCAGTGGAGCTAGCTGAATATTTCTTCTTGTGGACCCTAAGAAATCCCCCCTTAATGTGGTTAGATTAAATTTTCTACCTAGTCTATAGACAGTTGCCTAATGACCACCCAGGAGAGACACTGCAGTAGCTTACAGAGGTGCGGAACACATTACTGTTCATCAAATTACTCCACATCCTGTGTTTTGCTTATTTGTGGGCTCAGTCCAGTGTTGCAGCTGTTGCTGTCTTTTGTCAGACTGTTTCTGGTTTAATTAACACACATTTTAAACATCTTAAATATTCACAACGATGCTGCATTTAGCAGATAACCTTCATGTTGCTGCAGCAAGATGGTCTGTTATGATCATTCATTTAGGCAATTAAAAACATCTGGTTGGTAGTTAGATGCACCCAAATGCGGCTGAGTAGTCTGATTGTGTTCTGCGTGTAGCATAAAGGTGGTAGAGCTGAATGAAGATGTGCCCATTAACTTTTGCTCCTTCTCACGTTGAATCTCTCAGCTCGCATTAGCGTCCCGGCAGCATTCAGCCAGCCTTCCTATATTACAGTGCTAATGAGATAACGGTTTAAGATTCTCTACGAAGAAGGATATTTGTGTAATGCATTGTTCCACAGCAAGGTTTTGCAAGCCGTTCAACCAAGGAGCTGCTGTACATGTGTTGGATGGAGTGTGCTGCTGATAGCTGCCTTTGCATCCACTTGCTCATTAGTTTCTTAACCTCTCAGGAGCTCCTCGTGGAGATGACGGCTTCTTCGATTTTAATTTTACACGTAGTCTGACATCTATTAACACTTAGCAAAGTGTTGCATTGGGTGGAAATGCATTTGAATAAATGTCAGTTAGACCAAATGTTTGTGTAAAGCTTATACTGTAGTAGATACTGAAGGCATTTTTAAATATCACCCAATTAATGGAAAATTAAATTATTTGGCTTTAGTTTTGTTTTCTAGTCAAAAGTAAAATTACGTTTTATTTTGGGAAATATAGAGAAAACATTTGACCAGTAAAAAATATGTTGAGTGTCTAGACATGATGACTACATAGGAGGAGCAAATAACCAGCTCTAGCACTTAAGGCTTCTGTATTTAAAAACATTGACATCAACAGGCTTTCTTTGGCGTTGGGTCAGCTAATATGCAAATTTATTTCATTAGACTGTGGGATAAGTGCACAGGTTGATGGGAGCTTTAGTCAGGAGTTGTTGTGGATTTAGTTGGAAAGCCCCTTCCTCAGTAGACCCTTAAATAGCCTTGCATTCCACTCCAGTTGCTCTGATTCACTGGAAACCTGTGTAGCCTCCCTCCTTCATAACTGGGCTGCATTAGCATTAACTGTCAGTGCATGCTGAAAATGAAATTAAAAGCACCCCTAAATGAAACACTAATGGAATGTAAAGCTAATCTAAATATGTTAATCCCTGAACACTTCATAAACATAGGCTCCAGCAGCCCGCCACCCACTTTCTGCAGTCAGTCGCTGTGGAATGCTTTAGCCACAGGGTTCCAGCAGTAATGACAAGCTTGTGGAGGATTAATGTGGAGTTATTTTTTTTCCAATTGAGTGACTCCCCCCTCTCCCGTCCTCCCACATCATACCCAAGCCCCCTGTGCTTTAAGCAGTTCGACCCGGTCTCCATGACTCCTTGGCGGTGTTCTGGGTGAGCGGTTACAGGCGGTTTATCAGCGCGGTTCACCCCGACCACTGCTGACAGACCTCATGTTGCATTTTGGATACCTTCAGTCCTTTACCTGCTCTCTTAGCTAATTACTTTCTGGACCTAAGCATGCACAGTAATTGGGCTTGTGCTGGCATCTCCCCTCCCTGTGCTGCACCAAGTGCTAGTTTGAGCACTTTTCCCCTCTCTCTCTGTCGTCCTTATTCCCCTGTTTTTTATCGTCCTCCAAAAGCCATCCAATTAATATGCTAATGAGCTAATACATATTTATAGGGGTTTAAATTATGCAGAAAGCTTTCAGAGTCTGGTGTGAAATGTGTTGCTCGCAGGACTTCAAAGCCTTGCATTGCTAACGAGGCAGGGGCAGATTTGCATATGGCTTTAATCAGCTGAATACTGATTATGCTTCATTATAAAGTTGGAGGAGGGAGGTGGCGATGTTGAAGGAGGCCGCCAGCTGCACTTGTCGTTTGTTTCATTCCAGCAAGTGAGGGAGAGAGGGAACTTTTTCAGAAGTACAGGCAGTCTTGGCACACTAGAGAGAGACGGAGTGCAAAGAAGGCACAGTGCAAGAAAAAGGGGCTGAGCCATAAGAAAAGAAAAGAGGGAGGCAAGGAGAGCTGTTTGCCTAAACCCTGTTGGCTTTCCCAGTGTTCGTATCCCAGTGTTGTTCAGCAGACCGTGTGGTGAACACCGCCACCGTGTCTGTGTGCGCCTGTGGTTGCATTGAACTGTGCTCACTGCTGACCAGCGGAGAGTGAAAACAGGGAGGGGTGGGAGGAAGAAGCCGGCGCTGGACATCCTGTCGGTGGGCTTGCCCAATCCAGGCAGCTTTACTTGACAGGTTCAGCAACCATGCTGGAAAATACAGGTGGAACGAGAGCGGGTGAGTTTTTCATCAGGCTGTAATGGAGCTCAGCGGGGATTTTAGTCGGTCGCTTTAACATCCAGATCTCACTGGATTTGTGTTACTCTATTGTAAAATCAGCTTGTATGTTTGCTCTGTTTAATTCAAAAACTGGTTCTGCTGCTTTGAGGGGCGAATGTGTCTAAAGGTCTGATTTAAATATTAGGAATATCATGCAAAGCTGGGAGGTTAGATCACCAGTAGGTGTGACTGTATCTCATTATGTATCCTTCTGGCTCTTTCAGATGTTAAAGTAAAGTCAGAAACTAAATGTGAAATGGAAATTGGTGACGGGAACCCCGGTGAGTGACCTGAATATTCTCCTTCCCCTTCACAAAAGAATGTTGAATATTGAAATACATTCAACAGGTTTTATAACATTTATGCTGCATAAACCAAATGTATACATAAACCAGCTTCCCACTGTGTCTATAGACTTTTAAATACCTAGCTGTATTTATTTATTAGTGATATTTTGAAGTAGGCGCATCACAGCACAGCTTTTCCCTAACTTCATGACTGTTTTTATCCTCTTGTTTAAGAATGAATACAAATGTGATGATTCCCCACATTTAAATAAACAGATAAATGCAGCTGTTGCATATGTTTTCTTTTAAAAATGTTTTATCCAGTTTCTTTTTCCTGAAGTAATCCTCCACCAGGTTGTTGACGTTCCTTGTTTTCTCCATCCAGCTCGTTTCATTCGGTTTTCCTTTTCCTCAGGAATCCAAACCAATGGATTGGACTTTCAGAGGCAGACGGTGCCAACCACAATTGCTAATGCACATGCACAACTCCTCTCACAGGTAACGCATGCACACAGCAACACTATCGCCTATCTTCATTACTCCTTTTCCTGCTTAATTAAAGCAGCAGATGTGGAGCAGATGTTTAATTGCAGCTGCACATACATATAGATATGGAAAGAAAAATCATGTGACTACATGTAAAAAATGTGCAGTCCTTTCATGTTCACACAAATATTCACAAGCTTTAGAGTTCATTTAAATGAGCCAGGCACTCTGTGTCGCCTGGCAACTAGGCAGATTAATCAACCCTGTATGCTAATTAGCTGCTCTGCGGTTGCTCGGAAACAGATGGCCAAGAATATGCAAATCTATGCAGAATTTACATGCACTGCATAACAGTTATTTTAATTAGCATCTCGACTCTCCCCTCCCTTCACTTCACTCTTGTCTCTGAAGGCTGCGGCACATTTTAAACACCCACTTTATTGCAGCCTTTTTAATTTAAATTCCTCTCACTGCTTTAAGACTAAAGGCACATTCAGACCAGGCACAGAAATTAGATTTATAGTTTCTTATTTTATGGAGGATGTTCTTTATGAAAAATTCTCCTGAAAGGCTTTTAATTAAAGCCACTAGCATCTTGTTCTTATTGCTAGAATAACTGCTATGACACCAAAATAAAGCGCCCCCCCCCCTCTACTTTACCTTTACTAGTCTAAGTTGGAAGACTCTGGTGCTCTTTCGACCTCCGTCCAGCAGAGCATACTGCCTCAAACCCAGCTAATGTTGGCCGGGGGACAGATTGCTGGAGTAAGTGTGTGTCCCCCCTCTGCTCTTGGTTATGGCCTGCTCATTACATGCATCCCATAATTCCTCAACCCGACTCAAAGGCAGCTGATGAATAGGTGTCTTCTCTGCCTGCTTGCCTGCTCATCCCTGTGGTTTTTAGTTTACATCCAGATTCCCACACAACAGAAAACGTTGTGGCGTGTTTGAAAAATTCATCATTGAGACATGTGACACTTTTCATTTCTACGTTTCCATGTTTTCTTGAGGCCCTGTTGTAGTTGAGTGGACAAAGCGGCTGCTGCTGTGCAGGAGGGAATGTTGCATGTAGATTTGTGTTTGCACGACATCAACATGCTCATTTGCCTGGCCCAGATGCATGACTACGTTTTCTCATAAAGAGAGAGCCAAAGTTTCAACTAAACTTCCATACCTTTGTGAAAAGTTGAATTCCTGTGTACCTGAATACTTTGTCATGAGAAATGGGGAAAAAAAATCAGGTGTAGAGCAAAGCATAATTTTCAAATGAACTTTTCGCGGGTATTGAAGTCTAAGGCTGGATGGTCTCCTTGATTTGTGTTTATATCAGGAACACAGTAACACCTGTTTTGTGTTGTTCAGTTGTCCCTGACCCCGCAGCAGCAACAGCTGTTGATCCAACAGGCCCAAGCTCAGATCCTGGCTGCAGCCGTGCAGCAGCATTCAGCTAACCAGCAGAACAGCACCACTGGGGCCAACATCTCTGCCACCGCAGCCACACCCATCACCCAGCTGCCCCTGTCACAGCCCATACAGATTGCCCCTGTAAGCCAGATTTGTTTAAACGTCAGTTTCTGTAAATCTCAGTACATGGTCTTTTTCATAATGTGTTTTATTTTTATTTTTTCCTGCAGCAGCTTCAGCAACAGAATCTCAGCCTACCCCAGTTTGTACTGGTTCAGCCTGGCCACCCAATCGCCACGCCACTGCAACCCACCCAGTTTATCATCTCACAGATGCCGCAGGTCCAGCAAGGTGAACAAAACACTCAACAGCAGAATTGGGTAGAAAGGGTTTAAATGAATGAATGAATTGTTGTTTAAACTCTTTATGTTTTTGTCCCTGAAGCCCAGAGTCTTCTAACTCAACTACCTCAAAGCCAAGCTAACCTCCATCCGACTCAGCCAAGCATCACTCTTGCAACTCAGGTTTGTAACGATGCAACGATCTTGTCTAAACTTTAAAAATGCGTTGACGATTTTTTCCCAATAAGTTTAACTTTTATGGATTTTCTCAGGTTTCCTCCTGTCTTTTAAGGAGTTTCTAAGCAGTCATATTTGTTCTGTTTCCACTCCCTCCAGCCTGCATCTCCGTCCCGTACCACGGCAACCACAAATATTCAGACCCTGCCCCACAGTCAGACACCACCCAAACGCTTGGACACCCCCACCCTGGAGGAGCCCAGCGATCTGGAGGAGCTGGAGCAGTTTGCCAAGACTTTCAAGCAGCGACGCATCAAACTGGGCTTCACACAGGTTCTTTTCACTTTAAACACCTGTTTTCACATGTAGATTTGTAGAAATGTATGAATGGTTGAGCTAGTTTTATCGCTTTAAGTATTCCTTATAATAAAAATAATCTCTATAATGTTGCTAACATTTTTTAAATAAAATATGATTTATGAGTAAAAAGTCATTTTATGCCTCATTACTTTAACTTGATAACTGACATTTTGTACCAAAGCTAGACTGCAGGTCAGAAATTGAGTTCCTGCATTTAAAAAGTATTGGTTGGAATCAGTTTGCTAACTAATTAATCCAAACTTTACAAAATAAGGGGAAGGTTTTAAAGTGACATTTGGGATGGGATGGGTTTTTTTTTTTTTTGGTTGAACAAATGGGAAAAAAATGAATATGTAATTCTGAAAAACAGAGCAGAGTTTTTAGGGTGTTAATCAAAACCAAGAGACCAGAGGAAGTTTAATAATTTATAGGACTCATATTTCTCTGTCTCTGTTTCCGTCTGCCCCACAGGGAGACGTCGGGCTGGCCATGGGGAAGCTGTACGGAAACGACTTCAGCCAAACTACCATCTCTCGCTTTGAGGCCTTGAATCTGAGCTTTAAGAATATGTGCAAACTCAAGCCTTTGCTGGAGAAGTGGCTTAATGATGCAGGTTTGTCCCTGAGCCCTGACTGGGCTCTCCTGTTAGGGGGCAACAGTCAGAGGGCATCTATAGAATAGAAACTGCTTGGTAAATGCTATAGATACCTCTTCTTTACCTCCCTTTCCTTCCTTTTTTGTCGGTGCTGTTTGTGCAGAGAACCTGACTTCGGACCAGGCCTTGTCCAGCCCCAGTGCCCTAGGCTCCCCGGGCATGGGCATCGAGGGGATCAACCGCCGGCGGAAGAAAAGGACCAGTATCGAGACCAACATTCGAGTGGCCTTAGAAAAGAGCTTTCTAGAGGTTAGATACTCATATTCCTGAAGTCTAGGGTGCATTTAGTTTGTGTTTACGGACAAAATTCTTCAGTAGACTCCCCAGTGCTGACAGGGAACCTCTGGCTTCTTTGTCCTCTTCAAGCAGAACCAAAAACCTACCTCTGAAGAGATCACCATTATTGCTGACCAGCTCAACATGGAGAAGGAGGTGATTCGGGTCTGGTTCTGCAATCGCCGACAGAAAGAGAAAAGGATTAACCCCCCCAGCAGTGGCAGTAGTGGGGGAGGCAACACCCCCATTAAAGCCATCTTCACCCCCAGTAGCCCTTTGGTAGGAATGGACACACCTATACTGACACAGAACTTTATAAATGTTTTATCTTTACATCAGAGTGAAAACTCAAGTTTTTCTAAATCCAAGATAATTTGATGGAATAAAACAAAAGTTTAAATTATGCATCGAGACATAATTGAGTCCATAATTTCTCCTCTTCAGGTGGCGAGCACAGCAAGCCTTGTTAGCAGTCCAACTATAAACACATCCACCACTCTGACTGTAAACCCAGTGATGCCTCTCACCAGCACCAGCGTCTCCAGCCTGTCTTTTACAGGTGGGGTTGTCCTTTCTTGTGTCCTCACCAGTAATATTCTTGACTCCCTGTGCGTCTTAGTTAGACTTGAGCTTTAAATCATTCATTCACAGATCTATGAATATGTAGATTGCTTACCTGATCTTCTTAGCTTTTATTCTGGGTTGCTTCATATGAAAAATAAGGGCTTGAACTGAGTTCTGATGTGTAGCATAAAGTCACTTCAGAGCTGAAGATGCGTAGCTGCATCTGTTCTTACATGGGTTCTTATTTGTGTTCCTTTCTTTATGACCTGAAGCTCTAGAATGTTCATTTTGCTCTGTTCTTTCGAAGGCACAACAGTTGGAGCCACAAACACTGCATCCGTCATCTCCACTGCACCTGTAGTTTCTACATCAACAAGCTCGCCGTCTCTAAGCCCAGCTGCCACAACTATTCAGTCTACAAACAGCAAAGCTGGCATGCATACGATTGTCACGCAAGCGCCGTCATCTGTAGCTACGACTTTAGGGACGGGTCAGGTGATGGTGGCGGCCCCGGGCCTTTCTGCGGCACTGCAGAGTGCTGCCCAGCTTCCCACCAGTGCCAGCTTTGCAGCTATGGCCGCTGCTGCTGCTGCAGGGCTGAACCCCGGACTGATGGCATCACCCCAGTTCACACCAGGGTCAGTGAACGCCACGCATAAACTGCCCATTTCTCTGTTCCAGTGTCTTAATGAGCTAATGTGTGTTTAGGGGGGCCCTTCTGAGTCTGGCTCCTGGGGGACTCGGCAGCGCCCTCAGTCCTGCTCTTATGAGTAACAGTACTCTGGCCACCATTCAAGGTTTGTGTTCATTCTACCACAATGTACTTGTTGTTATTGTTGGGGGGGCTCACAAACTATTCCAAGCTTAGAATATTATATTTTTTGTTTCGTATGGGGATTAAAATTTATGCACGCATTATCAAATTTAACTGATAATAATAATTATTATTATTAGTTTCCTAATAATCCCTAACGATAATTGAATCTGTAAGAATAATTGGACTGAAAGATGATGAAAGGTTGAATGGGTTCATAAAGTAACAAATGGAGATAATTAGCACAGTGATTAAAAATCAAATTGGAACAAAACATTTGCATAATAAAAACCAAATTAAATCAGGCCACACCCACTAGGTTTAATCTTATTGAAGAAGGATGATTAGAAAGGTTAAGACGTCTTATTTAGAATGTCTAGTGTAACGTGCAGACTTTTATAAATTTATTCAAACTTAACTGCTTAAATATTTTTTTTCCTTTAGTTTGTTTTGTTTTTTGTTCAAACTGGAGTCGATCATCTGTCTCCAAACTCTCAAACCTTTGTCCTCCACAGCTCTGACATCTGGCGGCACCATTCCCATAATGGACGGCGGTAACCTGCTGTTCGCCAACACCTCGGCTGCTAGCGCTCCCAACCTGGTGACCACGCCGCTCTTCCTGAACCCCCAGAACCTGTCGCTGCTCACCAGTAACCCCGTCAGCCTGGTGTCAGCTGGAGCGGGTGGGCTCCAGGTCACCACAGACGCCCACCACCAAGCCACCACTGCTGCCGTGCCTGTGCAGGCCTCGACCATCACCACTGCCTCCAAGGCTCAGTGAAGCCTCTTGGGTGGTGTCCAGAGCGGACGCCCCGTTTCCTGCGCTGAGAACTACTCCTGTAGGGAACAGGGTGGCGGTCTGACACGTGCTTCACTACCCACCCCCCTTTCTTTACATTGTATCTAACATTATTTAATCCTTTTGCTACCACCAAAAAGTTAGCAACCTCCAATGTAATTGGGTTATAATTTTTATTTTAATTGAACTTTTTTCCACAAACACTGTTTTTGACCTGCCTCTTTGAGGAAAACCATCAAACTGTCTGTATTAATGTACATATTTATCTTCCTGTTTCCAGGTTTCTCTGAAATACTTCTAAACAAAACCAAAAACTTTTCTCATAACATTCAAACTTAACAGTTTTTACTAAACTAAATGTTCATTATCACTAACAGGGGTTTGTGCATCACCCTATCAGTTTTGTTTTTATTCTTTTTTTGTTTTGTTTTCTTTTGTTTTGACAGGCCTTGACTTAAATAATATCAGAGTTATACTTTAGTACCTTTTCTTTATCTTAACTGTCTATATTGCTTTTTATATATATTTTAAAAACTTTGTAATTCTAATATTAAGTTAAGATTTAACTATCACTTTTTAATCGTGGTTATAATGCTTTAAAAACAAGTAATAAGTGGCCGATATATAAAGGTTATCATTGCTTTAAGGGTCAGAGAGACCAGACGTGTCTCTCCGAGTCTCCTCTGGAAACACTGACTTGTACGTTTAGCTGTGGTGGTGAAAACGCCCTCCAGCTGGTGTTGGATGATGGTTTAGGAGCCGTGGAGTTTTGACACTGATTGAAAAAGAATTGAAACATTGTCCATAGTGAGCTTCCTGCCTCTGAATAAGCCAGATCTGGGTTCCGTTTAAAAGCTGTATGATATTTAAAATCAGAGGCAGGAAGTCGACGTTTGATCCACAGACTTTCTGCGGTGTGTTTCTGAGAAGGGGTTAGTTTTAGAACCTGTCGTATGGTGGCTGAATGGGGTTATTTTATTGTGATTTGTTTCCTTTTTTCTTTTTGATAGTAGTACTGTCGTATCTACTTGTGCACAGTATCTGTACCAAAAAAAACAACAAAAACCAACTGGATCGATGAGCTGCAGTCTGCCTGTTCTGGGAGGAATACTTTAAGATATACCAAAAATATTTGTTCAAATAATTGCTGTGTGTAGTCAGTGTAGCTTAGTCTAGTTGATATATTTATGAGTACAAACTCTTTGTTCTCAACAGACTATAGAAATGCAATATTTTGATGATCATTTTCCAAAGATTAGAAATGTTTTATTTGATTAGACGTCTCATTACTGAATTTTTTAAATTGGCAACACAACTGACCAAACAGCAAGGATGATCAGTGGGTTGTGAGAAAGTAGTTTTACTTTATTATTGTTTAATCATCACCACCTGGGCCTTGCCCTTCATGCTTAATCTGGTTTTCTGTGGGCTATTTGACGGCTCGCTTCCTTTTCTAATCTGTTATGGTAGCTTTTTGTGGCGTTTTCTGAACCACAGCGGAGCAGGTTTGTTTGTTTTGTTGGTTTTTGTGCTAATATTCAGCCATAAAACAACAGCTTGAAACCAAAGTGGTTTTACTCAGTAGTTGCTGTGCCTGTCTGAGCACACAAGTTGCTGTTCACACGATTTCTACTCTCCAGAAATAATTTTCCTCCTCTCCCACCTCGGTTGATACCAGATTCCTCCCGATTTGGTGCTGCTGGATACGGATCACACAAAATGAAACTTAGCTTTAACAACTTGCTGCTGGAGCTCCTAGCAGAGCCGAGCTGTCGAGAGGCCTGCATGCTTCCTTATAGCTTTACCTCTACGTCCTGGTAATTCAGGGTCGTAGTCTCGACCTCCCCAGCTGGAGGGCTCAACTCTGTAAATGCATAGATCTGATCATCGGAGAACATCCGTCACCTCTTCTTGTGGCGTTGAACAATTAAGAAAACCTGCTAAACTATACTGAGACCCCCCCCAACACACACACGCACAGAAGTAGCATCTTACAGCAGTGAACATTTAGTGGATGTAAGCAGTGAAAGTTGTCCGTGTTGTTTTTATTTTAATTTTGACTGAATATACCTCAGCAGCATTTCAACCTAAGGCTCACCTTTAGACATTTCTGCGTAGAACCTTCTAGAATGTACCGTCTGGCTCGCCGTTCATAGGAACCGTACATCACAAGGACAACCTACTACTGCTATTCTCTAGTACTACTATTTATGGGGGTATTTCCAGGTTTTAATATATTAATTTAATGTTTTTTTTTTTTTTTTTGCTGATCTTTCTTGCCAAAGTAAAAAGCCTTTCTCTTTGCAGCTTGTTAGACGTTTGGCTGCTGCTGGTTCTGATCTGCCCACGGGGGCCTTCCAGGGGCCCCAGAGCGCTCGGTCCTGGTCCAGTTAGCTTCGTTAGCTTTCTAGCACGTGGAACCAGTTAGCACCATAGGATGTTACTGAAATATTTATCTGAGGAAAGACTTAAGAATTAGAGAAAAGATCTTTTCTTGATTCTATAAATATATATATAAACACCTGTAAGATGTTCATATTTTATATTTGAACTAGTATGCTATCAAGACTGAATGTAGTGTTTATCATGCTAACTCAAAAATATTTCCCCTTGATCTTTTATTTTTCTTTAAACTGACCAAAAATATAAGAGGAAATCACCCCAGCTGGGAGCGAGTGGCTCTTATCTGACACTCCTGTGGTTGATAGGAGTATTTGGTTGCTTTTTCATAATTATAATTTTCTTTTGAGTTGTTATTGTGGACTTGAGTTGCTGTGTCGTCTTTAACAATCATTTATTTTAACTTTATGCCTTGTAATTGTTTTGGATGGTGTGAAAGGACAAGATCACTGGCTTTCTTAGTTGAACAGAGAAGATTAACGTTATCATTTATGCCTTATTGTTACTTAGAAGACATCAGCATTGTAGCATTATGTTGTGTGTGTGTGTGTGTGTGTGTGTGTGTGTGTGTGTGTGTGTGTGTGTGTGTGTGTGTGTGTGTGTGTGTGTGTGTGTGTGTGTGTGTGTGTGTGTGTGTGTGTGTGTGTGTGTGTGTGAGAGAGAGAGCTCAACCAGTGCATTGTCTTTCACTGAAACAATACAATGTACTCTGGGTGTTTTAGAGAGTTTAATGATCACCTGTTTTTTTAGGTTTGTGCAGGTTGGAAATACCTGAGAGGAAAGCTTTATTAATAATTCCAGCAGATGGGTGTGAGTGCGTTCTTTTGAGGGGAGGACAAAAGGTGTCTGCAAACTTTAATGGTGCATTTTCCCCCATCTTCCAGCAGATATGAAGAGCGGCTTTTGTTTTTTCTCTAAGAAAAGTTTGACAATAGAGTACTTATTTTTGTTGTCTGGGTTCCGCTACTGAATAACCAAAGGCTTTTAGCAAGTTGTTGCCAAGCCAGCTCTGGGTTTGCTTTTCTAAATCTGCAGTCGGCTTAAATGGTTGTGGGCTGTTTTCTTGGCAATTACTTGGCTTTTAGTGCTTCACTGTCATTAGGTGAGGGCAGTTTTTAAGATGTTCTTGTGGATCAGCCAGGCACGTTGGCGTACGTTGGCCCACCACACTGGTTTGCTGGTTTTATAGTGTCGGAAAAAGGACGTGGAGCTCCAGTTAGACGAAAGAAACTGTTGTTTACCTCATTTCTAACTCGAGACTGAGTGAAACCTGCTTTAATCTACTTATGAAACAAGGAAAATGTTTTTTTAAATAAATGAATAAACTACAAGAATACTCACTTGTCAGTGGAGAAACCTGCTCATACCTGTACTTCATGAGTTCTGCCACAAGGTGGCGACAGATTACACAGTGATTATGAATGTCTGCTCTTTATTTAATAACTTTGTGTACTTATGCTGCACAGTTTTTTAAGCATTAAGCAAATGATTTTTGTTGATGAACTTTTATCCTAACCTGCAACTTAAGTTACTTTCTAACCCCTCGTTATGTTGGAAAGCTTCTTTTTAAGTTTGACAATCTTGTTTAATTTTAAACTTCCGTCTGACCTAGTACAGGTATGTGCATGTCTCCCCACGTGACCGTGCACCGTCACAGCCCCCTGCTCTCGGCTTCCTGTGGTACCAACGTTAACCAAAGACTTTTAACCTGATTGTATACTGAACAACACCAACGTCTCGCCCGTCCCCGCCTCACTGCCGGCTGCACGCTCTCAGTTGGTCTGTAAGAGTTACATTTTTTGTCCACGTGAATGTGTGTCCTGTCGGTGCAGCGGTTTCAGTGCCTGTGGGCGGGGATCAGAGGGGGGGTTTGTGGGACCGAAGTAGGCTTCTGTGGCGGGCACCATCCAATGTGGTGATCGCTGGGTGACGTTTGTTAATACACACTGAGGGTTTATCCTGTGCACACTGTACCTGCTCAGGACTTTGTATGTTGTTGTCTTGAGCTCTGTTGCTTCCTCCTCCCATCTTCTCTTCCTATTCCTCTCTCTTAAGGACTGTGGTGAGAATTTCTGTTTCTTTCTCATCATCTCGTACACTGTAGTCCCAGGACGCCTCTCCACCCTCCCTCCTCCCTCTTCCTCCGACATCGTCTCTTCTGTACAGACTCGGATCAGCTGTGACACTATGCATCATGGTCCTTCACTCTGCATGGACTGTGTCCCTCGGGCTCAGACCCGATGGGCTTCAGTGACACTTTGTGTAATGCTTTACTCCAGGTGAGGTTCTAGGACCTCACAAGCGCTCTATCCCAAAGCAAAAACCCAAATATTTAACTTTTGACAAATGCAGATACCAAAGAAATCTCTGTCCTGTGTGTCTCCTCTCTCTCCTGCCCTGCAGCATGTGTATTAAAGACAAACCCAGCACTGGCTTTAGTCCCAGCCTCAGTAATTCCAAAGCTTAGATGTATATTTTGGTATATTTCTGAGAAAAAACGTATGTGAAAAGCATCTTTCTTATTTTCCTCTCTTGTTTGATTGTTGTAACCGTTTTTCTGTCACAGCATGGAACTAACTGCAGAGCTGTCTTACTCTTGGTAGGTTGAAGATTAGTATTTTTGTATGTTTTTGGGTGTGTTATGTGTGTGATTATCAGTTCACTGCCCAAGTGACCGTGGCTTTCAGTAAAATAAATAAAAACAAACAGGAAAAAAAATAATGCCAGCCATGTACATACTCTGTCGCTGTAACTCAACAAATGCTTTCTGTACAAACATTTCACATGGGGAGCTTGGGCTTATCTAAAGGAATGTTTGTTTTATTTCCTGTTTTTATTCTTTCTTACTCTGCAGTCTGATATAAAAACGTTCCAGGACTCTAATGTAAAGAGTTTTGGTTTTCACCACGAACACTGAGAGGGGCGCTGCTCTGATCTGATTACATAATAAAATAAAAATCATTAAAAAATAAAGACCTCCAGTCATGGTGGTGTAGTAATGCGATTGTGTAGGAGTTTTAAGTATGTGAATCAGGATACATGGTAGATTTTGAAGCATTTGTCTGCTGTATTTTTGTTTTTGTTTTTATACACATACAAAGATAATCTTTTACTGTAACTGTACAGTTCCTTTTTGTTGTAAAACATCATTAAACCATTTTCCAAACATTGTGACACGTGCCTCGTTTTTGTTGCATCAATTAGCGCAGATCACCACGTTTAAGAGATGGAAGCCAGGTATTTTGTTAAAAACTTGTGACCGATGAATGGAAGCAGTTGTATTTTGCAGAGCTGTCTTGACTTAAATCACGAAGGAGACGAAGCGGGAAGATTGGCGATGGGAATGGACTCGTACAGTTCCTTATCCCTCTTCGGGCCTTGGTTCTGTCGGGTTAAAAGATACACGTTATTTACCTTCAGAGGAGACACGTCTGATCAACTTCATTTAGTCTTGACTAAAGACCTTCAAAAGGGTGATCAAACACTAGTAGATGGCTTAATTTATTTTTTAAACCTTTTCAGATGCTCAAATTATTTCTTAAAATCTTTTGCTTTGTTCATTTTTGGTTTTGTAAATAAACATCTTTTCACTTTATAAAACTGTCCATGTCAACAAAATCCACAAAGAATAATTTTTCTCCGCAATAAAAGTTAGAGATCAGTCGTACCTTTGCTCTATTTCTCTTTTCACCTTTTTTCTAGAAAAGAAAACAAACAGAATGAGTGTTGATGGAGGTGAACAAGAGAGTGATGATTTAGAAAATAAAATGGCTGACTGAGGACGAACTGACCTTTGCTTTTGACAGTTCGAGTGCCTGGTATGGATCTGCATCATGTGGCCTCTCCAGTTCCTGCAGAACAACAGATCAAGAATAAGCTAGAGAATAATCACATCATCAGAGCCACACACAATCTGATCTTACCTGGTAAATTCCTCCTTTCTCCTGATGTTTCTTTAAAAGGACAAAAAGACCAAATGAGATTTAAATACACGTGTGAACCACAGGGATGTGTGACAGCTGAGAAAAGTAGCGACTTACAGGCATCAGTTCGACACGCGGCATGTGGGAAAACTGTAGCCAAACATCAGAGAACATGTGGTTATTAGTTACTTTAAACATCCGAACGTGTCGGTCACTGATAATACAATCTGCTGATCGGATATAAAATATGAGGACACAGAATAAAGTAAAAAAAAAAAATCTTAGATCAACCATTTCTTCCTGCAGCTTATCACTTTTATGACCACTTCATGTGACTGCAGCTCTGTGGTACATTTTTTTTCACGTAGATGTTTGAAAATGCTTTGAATGGATGTGATGTTGCATCAAGAATGAGTAAAAAAGAGACAATCTCTAAATCTCTTATGATAATAATCAGATTTCTAGTGTCATGAAGCTAAGGTTTTATGCAAAAATCCTTATGAATTCTGCTTGTAGAGAGCCAAAACTCTAGCCTAGTGAACTAGATTAAATTTTGCTTTGCAAAGTTTGAATTAAATAATACATTTATTTAGTCTGGCTTGCCAGGCTACCAAAACTCACCTTTTCTCTGAAGAACAGAGCTGTGGCAACGATGCAGTAAACCATCAGAAACGCATCCAGAAAGTAGCAGATAACTGGATCAGTGAAGAAAACCTCTACAGCTCAAACAGAGGAGGAGAAGTTGGAAATCCATGTTAATCAGGATGTTTTAGAGGGAGCTTTCAGAAGAAGAGTGGATATTTCTGCTTCACAAATCACAATAAAGAAGATAAATGCTTCACTGGTTACCCTAAACCAACCCAAAACTCAAAGGATTTCAAAATAAAAGCTAGATAAACTCATGAAAGGATCCAGTAACTGTAACAAAAGTAGGGGACATAGATATAAATGAATTTGTTTGTATGTGAATGTGCACCAAAACCATGTAAACAGGAAGTAAGCCACTACATGTCTGCAGCTTGAACCCTCACATGTCTTCCTGTCAGTGCGATGGGCTGCTGTGAGGTTTTTAGTGAGGCTCACTTATCTCTGTGTGCGGTTGGAACAGGAGCCTCGTTGTGACAGCAACGCAGGCCGTGGTGATTCACCGAGGCTCATCACATCTAGCTCATCTGAGGTTATTCTTAATCTTCTGACATGAAGACTTGTGCAAAAAACAACTTGATTCACGAACCAAAGAGCTGGTCATAAATATGCTCCTGACATTCGTTTCTTTTAAGGTTTTGAATCTACAAACATGTAAACACGTAATTTGTAGTGAAATGTGTAGGAATCCCAATATAAAAACTTAAAAATGTGAATAAAGTTCAATGAATGAATTAATCGTGTCATCAGTTGTTGCATGTGCGATGAGCACAGAGGTCAAAGGTCAATTGGTGGAACATTAGAAAATAAGTTCATGAGCCACTGGAGGGATTTTAGTTAAATTCCCATAACGTCTTGACTAGAAGGGCATCACCTACAGCTGATCTGATCCAAGATGGCCACTACAGCCAGCGGAGGTTTGTAAACAAAAAAATTACTAAAACTATCAATTTTCCAGTTATTGAACAGAAATTTGGGCTTGATCACCTCCAACGCGTACTCTGAAGGATCGCAGATCATTCAGGATTCCGGAATGTTGTGCAAAATCACGTTGCTATAACTTAAAAGGATCTATTTATAAACGTGTGACATCCTTGAATTTACTGGTGTCTTTTAAAAACGTCTCTATCAATATTTGGATTTTGCTGTGGTCATTTTCAAACACACATTGCAAAATATGAAGTCATAGATGGGTACAAATAAGAAAAACTCAGAGAGATAATAATAAAAAAAACAACTGAATATAAGTTTTCACTGAGACCAGATGTTTATGTCCCTTAAACATTCTTTTTACAATAAAATATCAAATAAAAAATCAGAAAACTACATATTTTAATGCATCATTACAGTTTGGCTAATTTTTTGTTCAATATTTTGACCATACCATACCCGCTTTATTTCTACAAAGTAAAATAAAATATAGCATGAGAGATGACCAAAGTGCTGAACAGGCAGGATCAATTAAAACAGAAAAAGATAAAAGCAATAAGGATCTCTAACCATTACTACAAGGCATCAATAGCGGGTAAAAACAATAAGAACAGTAGATAAAACGCAACAATAAAACAAACATCAATATCTTAAAACATACACAGAGTGACGGGGAGCCAGTGGAGATGTGTCAGGACTGGGGTGATATGGCTGCGTTGGCTTGTGTTTGTTAAAAACCTAACAGCGGCATTTTGCGCGACCTGCAGCCAGTCCAGGGCAGACACAGGAGTACCTACAAGTATTGTGTTTGCACAATCCAAGCGAGAAGGGATGAAGGCATGGATGAGTAATTCCAAGTGCTTCCGCATCAGGATTGGTCTTAGACGAGTTAAGCGGCATAACTGATAAAAACAAGAGCACTCGCCATTGAGTTTATCTGAGGTGCCATTAAAAGGTTGGCATCCAATTTTACCTCGAGGCTTATTACACACTGCTCAGTGTTCAGAGTTAAACAATCAAAAGCAAAGTGAGAGCCAGAAGGATTGCAGGGGTCAAAGATGATGGACTCACTTTGAATCATTTAACTTTAGATAACTGGCAGCCAGCCAGCCCTTCACGTCTGCCAAGCACACTGAAAAATGAGAGCCCACGTTTTTCTTGTTCACTGCCACATATATTTGACAATCATCGGCGTAGATGTAATAACTGAGACTATACTGGTTTAGGATTTTTCCCAGTGGTATACAGAAAAAAGAAGCCCAATAACAGAGCCCTGTGGCATGCCCCAAGTCAGTGGGAGTCAGGAGGAGGAACGTTCGCCAATCAGAACAGTGGATCTGTTGGATAAATAGGAGCAAAACCATTTAAGTGCAACCCTCGTCACCCCAACTCAGGACAGTCTAGCAGAATATGGTGGTCCACAGTATCAAAAGCTGCTGAGAGGTCCAGAAAGAGCAGCAATGCCCTTGTGCAATAAAGTTATCGTAATGTTAACTGGATGGATAAGTTTGGTGTGGTTTTTCAGTTTTTTTACTTTATTCTAATAAACATATATGTATTAAAATAAGTTCAACTTTAAAGTATCTGTAAGAAAACCATTCATGTATTTTATCCCTTCACCACAATAAATCATCAAATGACGGGTTAGAAAAGATTTTATTGTAAAGAAAATCTTACCATAATTAGTTTTCATGAATTATTATAATAACACTAAAAACTAAAAGGGAGTGTTGGTAATTTATTCATATTTAATATTATTCATATTTTTAAAAATTAAACCAGGAAAACAGAAAAATAAATTTATATGCTTATATAAAAACTGACATAGAATATTCAAATAATTCATGAATAAAAAAATGTAAGAAATTATTTAAATTTGGGTCTTTAGAGAGAAAGTTGTTTTTTGTTTTGTGTTTCAAGTACGGAAAATTTTTGAGAATGAAGAAAGGATGGAAAAAAAGTTTCAAATCTCCCCCTTTTTAAATATAAAATGATGTTTAGAAGAGGAAAGATGAAAATGAAAACTAAAAGCCTGATTCTCAGAAAGGAAAGGTAAATTTCTAAACTTAGAAATATATTTTTAATTATTCTTTTGCCTTAACTTAACACTTAAGTTGTGTTTGTTGCACATTTAAATGTACAGAAGTAAAATTATTCTGTAAAACTTTAAACGTAAAACAATAAAATTCTGATTCTTGACTGAATATGATTACATTTAATATTTTAAACCAATCTGAAGTTTAATTCTCCCAAAATGCCTTTTGAGCAACAACCTTCTGAATAAAATCCTGTTTTTCCTAAAACGTACTCACCTGAACAGGAAACCGGATCCAGAAGCAGAAACAGGACAAAGACACTCGTCCTGAGCGAGTCCATGTCTTTGTCTCTTTATCCAACGTCTAACCTGATGAAGACGGAGTTCTGCACAACCTGCAGGTCTCTATCGTCTCGTCTCTGATGGTCTCAGCTGTCTCTGACGTTCTTCCTCCTTTAAACTGAACTAAACGCAGCAGTGAAGCAGAGGCTGGGTCATGTTTAGCTTTAGAGAGGAAAAGGAAATAAGCACATAGTTATTTATTCATCATGCATTCCTCTGGTGAGTTGTTCACGCTTGCCCAGAGGATTTGCTACAGTTTCTTCTCAGCTTTCAAGTCAGCAGAAGAATAATTAAGTAAAAATCATCAGTTATCAGATTTATGTTCAGTGTTTCTCTGCTCTTTGAAGTGATTTTCTTTTTGACAGTTGTACGGCTGTAGCTCTAAAGGTCAGGAGAACGACCCCCGACCCCTGCATCCACTCAAAGGCTTACTGGAGTTGCACAATCACACTGATCTGTGAGTCTTCAGGAAACGAGTGAATGAGGCAGACAGACGAGTGAGACCGGTTGAAGTGAATGGAAATGTTTTTTTTGACAGCAGGGTGTAAAACTTTCAGGGGCTTCAGAACGAAGGAGACACACGTTCGTGTTTTCTGGCCCAGTTCTGCAATGAATTTACCTAGAGTTACTTAAAGAAACACACCCTTGTGATCATTATCAGTGTCAATCATTAGGGTGCTATTGTGAAACCATTTCAATCACATGATTCATGCTCATGATGTTGCCCAATTTCACCATCTTCAATTTCAAATAAATTAAAATAAAGCTGAGATGTTGTTGTCCAGTGAAACAACAACAATCCTGCATTTGATGCTGCAAAATATGGATTTTGCGTGAGTAATTTTGTGATGTTTATGAGTTTTAAATCTAATTACTTTGTTTGAAATGTAAATCATGGTGGATTTATGCTTCCTAAAACATTGATTCTAAAAACAAACAAACAAACATACAGGCACATTATTAATTCATTGCACTTGAATATAACAAACATACGCTATGGCACAAATAATTATTTGCAGATCTTTTAACTGAGTTTTCTGAAGATATTTTCCTGGATGTGTGTCCATCGTCATTTGCAGATGATTTTTAATTTGCTTTGTTTAACTAGTGACCTTTCACCTATGAATGATTCGTAGTCACTCCATTCTCAAACTATGCTACCTAAAATTTATACAAATTCTCATTTTTTAGATTCACAGAAAAAAAATGCATCAAACTAAATATGTGAATCAAGCAGCAGGTGACAGCCGTGATGATTAAAGTTACTGGATAAGTTTGTCTCACGATTTAACCCACTGTGTTTGGGAGACCTTTTTAATCCCTGACTATGGGTATGTCAAAGGAATGAATCAATGGATAAATGAATGGAGTTTGTAGAACTTGCAAGTTGTAAGAAATTTGGTCTTCTTGTTTGCCTTGCTTTAAAAATAATATTTTTTTCTTGTGAATATAGAAAACTAAATGCATATTTTTCTGGCGATTCAAAATACTTTTTTAAACATTACTTTAGAACTCTGTTCTGTCCTTAAAACAGGAATTTACGGTTACAGAATATCTTTTATAATAAGTAAGACATTTTTTCACCACATAAATTATGTGTCTTTGCTTTATTTGCAGCTCTACAACAAAAACACGCTTTGTTTCACTGCAGCGGATTTGTCCCACGTGACCTTCTCGGTGTTTCTTAACCGACTGGCTGTCACGTGATACAGACGTCAGCGTTAGCAGCCGCGGTGATTAAGTGTCATGCGACCTTCTACCTGCACATACTAACTTAAAGAGAACCGAGACGTATAAACAGAATTAGTTGGTGTTTTATCACTAACTGCGCCATAACAGCCTTTTTTGCGTTAGCCTCCTTTTCGATTCGATGCGCTAACCTTAGCTTACCTAGCACAACATTAGCTAACTGTAGCTAACTAGCTGTTGTTGTTTGTTGTTGCGGTGATTTCAGTCTAGAAATATGACGCAGATTGTTGGTGTCCAGTCCTGGTGTGCGTTTCTGCTCATTTTAGGTGAGTACCTTTGCTGTTTGTGTTACTGAATTTTGACAAACAATGTAGGTAGTCATCAAAACATTCAAGTCGATAAATTAGCCTTTCTAAATCTTATTGTTAAAAAAACTCAAGTAACAAGCAAATTGTTGTGAAATGAATGTTGGGTTTGAGCTTTTTTAGGGTTAAGAGATTTTGAAGATGACGTATAATTATTTATATATCAAATAATGTCTTTTCTTCATTAAAACGCACAAAACTGATCCAAGACCACTCTTAAATCCATTCATACACACCCCAAGTTTAAATCTACACATCTACACATCTGCAGTGATTATTATTGATTATCTTCTAAATAAATACGCTTTATAGACAGTTAAACCAGATTTTAAATGTGACATGTGACTGTTTTCAAAACGCCACATGTACCAGCATGCATCAGCAAGCTAACTGTGATCATATTTATTGAGAGTTAAGATCAGATGAGACACTACATGTGTAGAATAAATGAAATACCAAGAAATCTTTGCTGTTTGTTTTTCTGAAATGTGACAATGTAAGTAGCCATCAAATAATGTAACACCACCAATTAGCTTTCTTGTTAAAAAAAAACACTTAAGTAAATTGCCGTGAAAAACATGCTTTGGGTGAGCTTTATTATTAGTTAAGAGATTTTGAAGATGAGTTGTAATTATTCATAAATCAATTAATATGTCTTTTCAGTAAAACACAAAACAGATCCAGGATAATTTGTAAATCCATTTATACTACCCCCCCCCCCCCAAGTTAAATCTACACATTTGCATCGATTATTATATATATTGATAATGTTCTCTTAAAGACCAGTTCTACCAGATTTTAACTTTTCCTTATAACATGTGACTGTTTTATAAACCCAACATGTACCAGCATGCATCAGCAAGCGTATTGTGATTATATTTACTGAGTTAAGACCAGATAAGACATTCCAGGTGTAGAATAAATAAAATTCCAAGGAATCCAAAGCAACTGTTTGTAGACAGAACACTGGTTCACACTATTGTGAAATAAGTTTTTTTTTTCAAGCTAAGAAATGACTAAAATAACAAAACATGGCATAAACTTTATTTAGTCCACCGTAATCATTATTATATGCTAGTGTTGACATTCACTAACTTAAAGGGAAAATTCACAGAATTTTGGGGCAACTTGCAAAATCCTGCAGCTCTTTGTAATTTTGTTTTAGACCCTGGACGGTAGCTGATGCTTGGTTGATCATTGATATTTACGCAACACTTCTATCTGTGCTCCAGTATTTCCGGTCTGTTTTATGCATCACATTTGCATTTAATCACATCTGGCTTTGCTCTCATCATACAGAGCTTTTGTAGTGCAGATCTAAATAAACAAATTGGTTAAATCTCCTCTGCTTGGTTTCCATTATTTTTTGTTTTCATGCAGAGGCAGACTTATCTCTGTGTTGCAAATGAACATGAGTTAAAAATCATTACATACAAACAAATAGGTGATATTTATCTCAAGCACATGCATTTGATTAAAGAAATGTTCTTTTGTTATGCTTTACGATCAATTGTCTATTGGACCTAAAACACAAAATCACCTGCGCTAAACTTTCTCTGATCATGACACAACTTTTTTTTTCTTCCACCTCAAAGTGGGGCTGGGTGATACATTGAGGATTTGATCTCTAATGATAAATGGACGATAACTACAGGTATGCGCAGTAACAAAAGTTGTCCACTAGATGGGGCTGTCAAATGTATTACATTGAGTCACATTTTTAAGTGACAAGATGGTACAGCTTCCTAAAGGGACACAAACGTTACTGACCTACACACTTCTTTTTTTTTTTTAATTACTAAACTTGCTGACATGGGACAAATGATCTCCATAAGGGCCAGAAATTTCGATAATGATACATTTTCGATATATTGCCCAGCCCTACCTCAAAGTCATTAAAGGCGAGTAGAAACAATTTTTTGTGTGTTAAAAAAAATCACATTGTGCTTCACAAGAACCAAAATAAATATGTATATATAAATGATTTTAAAAAATATAATGAAAAAGGGGAAAATTGGAAAATTTAAACAGAAAAATGAGAAGGTGAAAATGAAAAAGGTAATACAAGCTCCTGAGAAAGGCAGAATTGATAGATGGCAATAAGGAAATAAGGGAAAAAAAATAGTGAGGAAGATTCACCAGAAGGTCACACCAAAGCCAGAACAGGTGAGTTTTCAGCTGCTTTTTTAAGGAGACAGCTGAGTCCATTGATCTCAGGCTCAGGGGGAGAGTCTTTAAATGCATTTTTACTCATAAGTGAGGGTGATGTGGGTGTGTTTGGAGGACTTGGTCAAAAGCTGAGCACAGGCATTCTAAACCACCTGTAAATGGCTCAGGGAGGTTCTGCTAAGACACGTGAAAAGAGAGTTACAGTAGTCTAAGCGTGAGGAGATGAAGGTGTGGAGAACTGTCTCAAGTTCAGAGTGGGACAGAATGGGACTCGGCTTAGCAATGTTCCTGAGATGGAAGCAGGAATAGCGAACAAGAGAACTGACATGAGAATCCAGGGTGAGAGCTGGGTCAAAGGTCACACCCAAGATTCCTGACAGAGGGTTTGGTGTGAGAAGCAAGCTGACCAAGAGAGTCTCTAACTTTGGGAACCAGCTTGTCTGGGGCACAGATGAGGATCTCAGTCTTATCTTCATTCAGCTGTAGAAAGGTCCCAGCCATCCAGGTTTTAATGGAGTCCAAGCAGGTGTGTAACAGCTGCAGCTTAGAAATCTCATGGGGGTAGGATATTCCTTTAACCCTCCCACTGTCTTTATGGGTGACCCCGCGAGGAAAGTTGACCATTGAGCAGGATTGATGGTTTATCCCTTGAGGTCCACGTTGCAAGGGTGAGGTGGTGCTCACTCCTCACCCCTGCCACATGGACCCAAGGGATGAACCATCAACCCTGCTCAATGGTCACCTTTCCTCGCAGGGTCACACCCATTAAGCTTGGTTTATGCTTGACGCATTCACTTTCCGCTTGGTGATGCGGCTCGCGGATGGAATGCGCTTCACACTTGCAGCGTTTATGGTTCATGCGGCTTGTCTCTGCGGTGAGCCAATAGTCTCCCAAACTGTAGGGGGCAGCATGGAGCTATACGGCATGCATCCAACACTACACCATAGTAGAAGTAAAAATTACTTGTTTACAACATGGCATTCCAGCATTTTTTTAACAACGTCCTCGTCTTTTCCGACAGTGCGAGCTATTTCTCTCCCAAGAATTAACAACATGTTGATCACAGTGATCTTTGAGAGCTGAATCATACAAATGTCTGTATTTACGAACCTCTGCCATACTAGTTCTTGTCAGTCCGCCATGTTTTTCCGCGTCCGACCGTCCGCATGGTTAGAAAATTTCCTAGGTGCGTGGTGCGGAAAGTTTGGGCCATGTGGAGGTGCGGTGGAGGGACGTGGTTGTTAAAATGACGCAATTTTGCCGCGCGGAGTCGTGCGAACCTCGCCGACGCGTCAAGCTTAAACCAACCTTAAGGGGACATTGGGAGGGTTAAAGGAGCTCAGGATGTGCTGAAGAGGAAACAGAGGAAGAGTAGAGGCCCCAGCACAGAGCCTTGAGGGACACCGTGGGCGAGGGAATTCAGCAGGTGCAGATTATTAATATCAGTTGTTCTGCATGATTGCAGATTATTGTTTCAACATCATTTAAGTGGAAAAGAAACGGTTGGCTTGTGGTTATTGCTGTTGGTCATGTGACCATCTCTGTTTATTTTCATTGACAGTGAAGAAGTATCATTTCTATAGCGCCTCTCAAGATAAAAATCACGAGGCACTTCACAAAAACAAAAAATGTAAAAATATAAAACAGCATTTAGACAGTGAAATGACCCTGATGAAGAGTGAACACTGCAGCTTAGTACAAAACAGCTCGGTACAAAGCAGTGGAGATGGAACAGTTTCAGATTTTAGATAAAAATGGAAAAACGGCTTCTTCTGCAGATGTAAGCAATGTGAGATGTAAAACTCCAAATGCGGATCAAGTGTCATAAGAGGAAAGCTTTAAATGTAGAAATATTTTTTTCTAGTTCCTTTAATAAGCCTTTTCAAATTTTTTTTCATGAAAAACCTAAACATATTCTACAGTTCAACAGAATGTTTAGATAGCATAAAACGTGTCCTCAGGGAATTAAGTTTTGATAAATGAAAAAAAGGTGTAAATTATTAATGTTTAAATGTGAATAAAAATACATGATAGCTTTAATTTTAAACATGTTTATTAGATTTTTATAAAATTTGTGGTCAGTAGTTTTAAATTCTAAAATGAGACTCCTCTAAATCGGTTCATAATTTTAGGGATTATTTTTTAATTTTGAATCTCAGATTGAGGAGGAGCAATGTGGTTTTCGTCCTGGCCGTGGAACTGTGGACCAGCTCTATACCCTTGCAAGGGTGATGGAGGGGGCCTCGGAGTTTGCCCAACCAATCCACATGTGTTTTGTGGATTTGGAGAAGGCTTATGACCGTGTCCCCAGGGGCACCCTGTGGGGGAAGCTCCAGGAGTATGGGGTGGATGGCTTTCTGTTAAGGGCCATTCAGTCCCTTTACCAGAGGAGCGTGAGTTTGGTCCGCATAGCCGGTAGTAAGTTGGACCTGTTCCCGGTGAGGGTTGGACTCCGCCAGGGCTGCCCTTTGTCACCGGTTCTGTTCATCACTTTTATGGACAGAATTTCTAGGCGCATCCGTGGTGTGGAGTGTGTCGAGTTTGGTGGCAGGAGAATCTCGTCTCTGCTTTTTGCGTATGATGTGGTCCTCCTAGCTTCATCCAGCTCTGACCTTCAGCTCTTGCTGGGTAGGTTTGCAGCCGAGTGTGAAGCGGCTGGGATGAGGTTCAGCACTTCCAAATCTGAGACCATGGTTCTCGACCGGAAAAGGGTGGCTTGCCAACTCCAGGCCGGGAGAGAGGTCCTACCTCAAATGGAGGAGTTTAAGTATCTTGGGGTCTTGTTCACGAGTGAGGGTAGGAGGGATTGGGAGATCGACAGGCGGATTGGTTCAGCATCTGCAGTGATGCGGACGCTGAGCCGATCTGTCGTGGTGAAGAGGGAGCTGAGCCAGAAAGCCAGGCTCTCGATTTACCGGTCGATCTACGTCCCAATCCTCACCTATGGTCATGAGCTTTGGGTAATGACCGAGAGAGAGAGATCTCGGCTACAAGCGGCCGAAATGAGTTTCCTCCGTAGGGTGGCCGGGCTCAGCCTTAGAGATAGGGTGAGGAGCTCGGACATTCGGGAGGGACTCGGAGTAGAACCGCTGCTCCTCCGGATCAAAAGGAGCCAGTTGAGGTGGTTTGGGCATCTGGTCAGGATGCCTCCTGGACGCCTCCCCGGGGAGGTGTTTCGGGCATGTCCTGCTGGCAGGAGGCCCCCGGGTCGACCCAGGACACGTTGGAGAGGTTACATCTCCAATCTGGTCCGGGAACGCCTTGGGGTCCTGCCGGAGGAGCTGGTAGAGGTGGCCGGGGAGAGGATGGTCTGGAGCTCCCTAGTTGGGATGCTGCCCCCACGACCCGGACCCGGAGAAGCGGGGGAAGACGACGACGATTTTTTTAATTTCTTAAGCAAAAAACATAAAACGTGACTACATCAAATAAAACATTGTCTTGTTTTCATTTTTTATTTATGTTTTTAGAGTTTTGTTGGCTGGTTAAATTTTCCTTTACCTGTAGATTTTTTTTTCCCACCAGTAAATAGTTATATAATTTTATTTTAATGTTATCAGCATTTTATAAAAACAAGATCATTATTTAAAATCCAGAGGATGATCATTTCTAATCCTATTTGATGTCAAACAGTTTTTTGTGAGTCTGGTTAACATTTAAATGTGTTTTGCAGCTGCTGCCCAGACCTCCGCTGTGCTGCAGGCCTCAGAACAACCTGAGCGAGGACACTACAACATCACCAACAGCAACGGCACCATCTGTTTACTGGCACACATGGGTCTTCAGCTCAACATCTCCTTCTCCCTGAACGAGGTACTTAAAAACAACAAAAACTCACTTTTTGAAGCAAAATATCAGATTTTGAAACTGTTTGATGTTTTTACAGACCAAGCAGGAGGTTGTGAACCTTAAGCCCAATGTGACGGTGGCTTCAGGCTGGTGCGAGCCAGAGAGCGCCGTTCTGCTGCTCACTGCAGATGGAGAGAAAACCAACCTCAGCTTTGTTTTCACTCTGGTGAGTTTTGGAGCCTTTTCCTCCTGCTTGTAATTCATAAAGCTGCCACAAGATGGCAGGCTGGTCCCAGACGGAACTTGTTGCACTGCAGGGATGTTGATTTTTATCGTTTTTTTCCAGAATGCTACGACCAGTAAGTACCAGCTGAGTGAAGTCTCTCTGAATGCCTCCTGGCCAGACATGCAAGGTAAACTTCCTCCTCTCTGTAGCCTAATGATCTTGCCTCTGTTCGTTTGCGTCTTCTTTAGTTTTATCTGCTCAGGTGCTTTAAATCCTTGAAAGTTACGGTGATTATCATTTTGAAATTGCTTGAATGTTGGATTGTTTGATTTGCTCAAATTGAATAAAGTCTCTTTTGCCGTAGAGCCAGTCTCGGTGACGAACAGCAGCGTGAACTTCCTGAGGGGAACCCTGGGACACTCCTACATGTGCCGTGAGAAGCAGACTCTGACCGTGTCTCCAAACGTGTCCATCAACACCTTCCAGGTGCAGGTGCAGCCCTTCGGTGTGAAAGGAAACCAGTTTGGAACAGGTAACGACTTTTCCAGAGTGATTTCTGCTGTTCTTCTCTGACTTTGATCATGCCGATGTGTCCTCAGCTGAGGAATGCCAGCTGGACGTGGACGACATGTTAATCCCCATCGTAGTCGGAGCAGCTTTAGCCGGTTTGGTCCTCGTGGTGCTCACAGCCTACCTGATCGGCAGGAAGAGGAGCCATGCTGGCTACCAAACCATCTGATGTCACTCGTCTAAAACTAGAATTAACCACTGTTTTCTGAGATTTAACACCCTCTTTCTGTCCCTTGATCATCTCCTGTTTTTTGCTTCTTGATAACACTCGTCATCCCATTGCAGACGCACATTTGCTTTTTGAACTGACAAAAGGGACTCTGTTGGGAGGTTGTAATAAAATAAGGCACCAAGTAAAGCAGGGGCTTATGTTGATCAGAAGGTCACCGAGAGTCCTCATGCTCTTGTTTCTATTTATTTCTATGAAAAGGATTTTTGTGGGGTTAGATGCCTACTGTTAGATGTTAGCAGATTGCTACTTAACTAACTTTTCATATCTGTTTTTTGGTGGCCATTTTTTATTGGTCTTGCCCAAACCAGAGTCAAAAAGGGAACATTTCATTCATCTCAAACATGAGTGATCCCATATTTATACTTATTCTAGTCCAATGGGTGGTTTTGGTTGCTAAAGGGAAAAGATGTTGCACTGAAATCTCGAAGAAGCTTGTTAAAATAATAAAAGTGGCCAAAACTCTCTGGTCAGTGTTCATCAGTGCCTTCCCAGCTGTGGGGTTCAGGTGAAGCCAACATCAGACCTGCTGCCATGTCTCAATGTCACAAACCAGTGACAATGAATTTTTTTTTCCTCATGTCATCCAAATAGCGATTTAATAATGTTTTAAGGGATTTGTTTGAACTGTTTTATAAAGGAGTTGCCAATAAAGATGGAAGAAACATGCTGGCTGGTTTGTTTTGCATCCATGCAGCTCATCAGCGATCACTCAGACCTGTTCTGGAGACCAGAGTGGACAGAAAATAAATCAAAACAGCATTAATACTTTTATCTGATATTCAAACTGAAACTTTGAGGAAAAATTAAATGTGTGAAAATATTTTTCTTATTTGTAGTTTTCTGAAATGAGTCTTAATGCTTTTAAAAGTATTTTTTTATTCTTGTGCTAAAAGCATAACTGATGTACGAAGCTTTTAGTTTCCACACAAGAAAAAGCAAATTTTCTTTAATTTTTTTTTTTTTTATAATTTGGGACAAATGGTTATAATGTCAAGGAATAACAATCATAAATTGGGTAACCATTAATTTCTGCAAAACTAGTTTTATTTTCATCAAGAAAAAACAAGCCTCTTAAGTAAATAATCTTGTTACTGGATCCAGAGCTTAATCTAAAGCTGACTGGCTGCAGATTGAACACGATAACTTCATTCCTTTAGTTTATGCAGCAGAAACAGTTTCATATGTGTGTTAGTTGTCTGAATGGCAACGATCAGCTCACACTGCTGCTTCAATTTCACTCCATAAAACAATTCTCTAGTGGCTGGATGAATCTGACCAGCCTTGTAATATTAGTCCCAAATGGTAAAAATTACACAGAGTAGCAGATTTAAGCGTGTGTTGCAAAGCACCATTTAAAATAGCAGCAGCAAAAAAAAAAAAAAAAAGAACTATGTCGGGTCCAGCAGACTGGATTTATATGGAACAGATCCAGAAGCAGCCATCTTTCTGTCTGTCCTGCTGTTGAGACTAAAACTCAGCAGGAAGTGGAGCAGTGTTTGTTTCCTCCAGGTGGAACCTTCAGACCTTGTATGGAGTATAAACAGGAAGTAACGTGAATTCCAAACTTCACTTGTTTTGGGATTCTTCCAGAATTTGTTGTCTATATTTCTCTCTCAGCTTCTCAATAGTCGTCATTGAAAGGCTCCCAGGTTCTGAGAAGATTTTCTGCAAGAAACAACATCCAGTTCCGGAAAGAGAGAACCGTATTAAGTGTCTATAATAACAACTGGAGTTGCCGTTTATGTATTTACAGTTTCTTTGTTTTTGACTCGTGCTGCTCGTCTCACCTGCATGAAGGTGTGGCAGTCGAGAGTGAACGCTCCACTTGTGATCTCCTTGAAGCACATGCATACATCAGGCAACGAGCGCGCTCTCAGGATCTCCATATGGTGATGGAGGACGAGGGTCAGAGCGACCCGGAACAGGACTTTAGAACCCTCGTAGAACAGACAATCCCAAACCCGCAGAACCGTCTGTAAGAACAAGAATCAGCCCTGTGAGCTCCATGATTCATCTTTAAACCCCCCCGCCCCAGATTTTCCTCACCTCTATGGGGAGGATGTCAATGTAGAGGCAGATGAACCAGCGTGACACCACCAGGGTCCAGATACCAGGATACTGGGCCATGAGTTGTCCCACAGCGGGGGCTTTGGTCTTCACCAGCTCCCCAAGGACCTCCTGGTCCACCTTCAACCCCAACATGTGTGTGCTGTAGTAGTCTGGATGTTCAGGTCACAATGAGAAGGATGGACAAGGAGTCTTCTTCAACAGTTAACAAGTTCTAAACTCAGATTTATGAACGTTTGAGCACCTGGGAGGATTTTGTCCAGCAGCGCGTCCATGAGCCAGAAGGATTTCTCCTCATCTTTGGTGATGATGATGAGGTAGCCCGCTATGAAGTTCATTCCCTGGAAGAGACAGTTTTCAGATTTAGTTATAGAATAAACGTACTCCCCAAAGAGTCGAGGCTAGTGAAGGAAAATAACAGTTTCATGAGGATTAAGTTGTTGATTCTGAAAAAAAAACACAAAGTTTGTAATCACTCATCATGACTGACGTGGAAGATTACAAAAGCAGAACAACAGGAGGAAGTTAGCATCAGCATCTGTTCTATAAACACTCCTGGTGAATGTAAATACTGAGGGCGTGTCTCAAGATGCAAACCACTCATCAAGAACAGGAAGTCCTGATAAAACCTGGGTAAACAACATCCTTAAGTCTGCAGAAAAGGCACGTCTCAGGAGACGGTTTGAGTGTCCTTCACCTGACAGTAGCCCACGGTCTGATTGTGGTGTCCGTACGCCAGCAGCACGTTGTACAGAGCCGTCTGCAGGCCGGCGTCCGCCCGGCTCTGGAACAGGATGTTGTCAGGAAAGGTCCGATGCAAGTCTGCTCAAAAGGAGGACGGTCACTGATGCAGCTCTGATGGAAAATGAGGAGTTTCTTTATCAGGTGAAACTTGGATCAACCTGTTTGAATGGTTTCCTTCAGCTTGGCGTCATGCTCCATCTCCAGTAGAGACTGGTAATACCCAGGTTTGCTCTCCAGTTGCTCCTGAGCTCCACTCGCTGCCATCCAGATCCTGGCTCGGTGCTCGTTGGGCACACCCTTACGCACGTACCGTTTCACTTTCAAAACACATTATTTTATTCTTACATCCCAATCAGAGTAATAAAACTACTAATTTGATGAGTTTATTTTTCATGCACCTGTTAGGTTTTTCTCGACGTTTGGCTTCACCCGCAGGAGCTTTGACCACCTCTTTGACCTTCTGTTGAGCACAGCTACATACTCATTCATCATCTGATTATACTGCTCAAAATCCTGATGTCTCTCGAAGCCGTAGGGGTCAATCCTGCAGGGACGAACACAGTCTTAAACAAACAAATACATAAAACTAAAGTCCTTTAGTTCTTCTGCCCTGATCCGGTGACCCTACAGCTGCCACCGATCCTGTGCTCAGGTGATCAAATGCCCCGGCTGAATCAACAGTCCAGCATCAAATTACATCAAAGTGGAGTTGGGAGCAAACTCCACAAATGTGCCTGTATTTTTCCATGAACAGCAAAGCTTTTGAATAGGAATCTTGAAAAAATGCAGTCATAAAGAGGACGAAAGCTACTTTGCATCGAAGGTCATGAGTGAGGAAGCAACAAGCTAATCTACTGATGATACCTGTCGCTTTGACCTCCCTCAGTCTCAGCCCCAGCTTTTGTTTCTCCCTCCATTTCGGGTCATGTGCCGGTGGCAAAGTCGTCCAAAATCTGCAAACAACAGGAGGAGGATTATTTCATCTTCACTGCCCGCAGAGGAACAGGCGGCTGTGAGGGTCAATAATGAAGCGGTGTGACTGTGGCTCACCTTACAGAGGAGGAGCCTGCAGGTAACATCCACTGGTGTATTTGCACACAAAACAATTGGAGGAAGAGAAGCTGAACTATTTGCTCTAAATGTCACGGTACATGATAAGCAGCTATGGATCTGGAAGTGTTTTCCTGCATTTTCAGAAAATAACTAGTTTTGAATGATTGTATTATGCATTAAAAATCTTTATTTGCACATAAAAATAAATTTAAAAGCTCATAAATGCCATTTTTGAATAAAATCACCAAACTTAATAGTAAATAAAATATAAAAAGCAAAAAAAGGTAATCTATTGCAAACTCTTTAAGTCATCAAAAATATAAACAAATTTCACGTGCATATTGCTGCAGCTTTGGCATCTTTGTTCTAATTTTCCTTTTTGAACCTGCAGACTCGTTTGCTACTTCTCATTCTAGATGTGCTTTGTCATCTGGTTGATCTGTGCAGAAAAAAGACGAAATAAGTCATTAATCACAATAATTTTATTCACTTTTTGAAGTTTGTTCCAAAAGGTTAAATGCTCAGCTGGAGGAGAGAGAACGCAGTGCTGACAAAAAGATGGTAGAAGTTGGACGAGTTCCTTGAAAGTCAAACTGACACCTGGGAGCTTTTATGATTTACCTTGATGATGAATGAGCGACATCTCAAGGGTGCAACAATATTTTCTGCTAGGAATCCTCTTCTGTAGTTCGTTTGACATAAAATTCATAAAACAAATGCTTATGCTTTATGGGCATAAACCCTTAAATATTTCTCATCAGGACCAGGGTATCACATTAATCATGTGATTAACAAACAACATGATCCTTTAGGGCTGCAGATATTTAAAACCAGATTTATCTCTTTAAGACTAAATGGACAAAAACATGATCTGTTTACTAAAAATTGATGTGCAGCAGGTTTCTGGACAAATATTAAGTATAATAGATGACAAAACTCCAAATGGATGAATTTTAGTGAAGCTCTAAACATTTTAGGACAAAAGAAAGCATCAGTCAGCAAATACTGAAGTTGATCAGAGACAGAAAAACAAACTTTTGGCTCGTTGCTTCAACCATCATATCCTTCTCTGTTTAGCAGCTGGGATATTTAGCATTGCCATTTTCCAACAAACAAGATAAATAATTCTACAATTATGGAAAAAAATAACCTCATGCTTTATTCATCTTCCTTAGATGGGTGATATATTTATGCTACGTACATCAACAATAAAGTCTCACTAGCTACAGTGACACTGAGCGGACCGGGGGTGGAACAGGAACAGAAATATTCAACAGACAGGTATTTTTTCTTTATTCTTAAGGCGTACTTTGTCATCTTGACCTCTGAACCTTATTAGCTTCCTGCCACTATAACATACAGATGTGTGCCATGCAATCTTAAAAGTAGGCTCCTAATCTGAATTAAATGCTGTCTTTTCTGTGCGCGTGTTTAACCCTTAAGGGGGTCACCAGATTTAAAAATAAAAATACAAGACAGTTTTTTTAAGAAACAGTGGAAAAGACGTGACTATATTAAATTTACAAGCACTCCCAACTGAGATTACTCAAAAAAATGAATACCACACATCAGCATCGGTTAGCTAAATTAAAGCACTACCTGTACTTTAGTGAGGATTTATTTCTGAAACCAGTTCGAGGTGATGTAAAATGATGTCAACATGCTTTTGATGAGAAGCTCACAAATCCCACAAACAGTTAAACCAACAGCATTACCGTCCACAATATCGAGGCATCCCGTTAGAGATCTTTACTGTACATAAAACAATCATCTGTTTGCATTTATAGACTGAGCGTATTTATATTATTCTTCTTATAGCTCCCTCTGTAAACTCTCGTTAGATACAGTATGTACAGTTACAAACTGCAACAGCTCAGTCGGTGCTGGTGGGGTGAGCACGCTGTCCACGAGTTGGTGTGAGACGGGATGTTTGCACTCAAGAGCTTCAAATAACCCAAAAAAAAATGACAAGGGAGACTCTTAAAACACACACGGCTTTCTCCCGTCCAGTCAATTCAGAGCAGACACAGCAGGGGGACCTCCTCTCAGAGCCGTGCCCAACGCCCTCGTGGTCCTCCTGGAGCAGATCAGAGGGGCTGGGGGGGGGGGGGGGGGGGGGAGGTGGGTGGCTGGGGCATCCAGGGTGCCGAGAATTTGGCAATGTCTATTACGATGCCTCAGGCTCAAACTGGACACAGAACGTGGCCACTTTCGAAGTTTTTCCACCCAGCTCCCTGAAAAACGGTTTCCTGACAGTTTCAAGTGCTCCTGCTTTCTCTCTCTCTCAAGTCTAGTTTTCAGAATTTTTTTTTCCTGTACAAGTCTTAAAAAAAGAAACAAGAAAAAGAAAAAAGAAAAAGAAGAAAAACTATGAAGTCGTTGTAAAAGAAACAATGTCCTGGCGTTCCAGAGCTGGGATCGGATTTAGAGAGTTTTACGTTTTGATCCTGTAACAATTGGTCGAGCAAATTCCACAAAATCGTCTATTAGAACGGGCCACGCGCCTGAGGGAGCAAAACAAGTTGTTAGTGTCTCAGCGGCAGAAGAGGAAGAGGGATTTTTTGGTGTCAGACTCACCTTCTTCATCATAGTTTGACATGTCATCTGCAATCATGTTACCAAAGTCCAACAATAGGTTCCACGTGTCCTTTGGGATGGATCGTTTATGATGTTCCTGTGATGGTGGAAAAGTATGGGCTCACTGATTTTTACTGGGTTACATTTAATCATATGCATCAGCTGATGTTTGACCTCTCCCACAAAAACCTGAATGTTTAGAGGACAAATTTGACGCTTTGTTGCTCTAATGTGCCCCCTACAGTTGTCTGGATGGTATTAACATACTAATCTGCATAAACGACTGGAATCAGGGACTTTTCGACCATTAAGTTGTTTTTTCCCTGGTTGTTCAAGAGGAAATAAACATTGTTTGGATGCTCTCTGATGGAGTCAAAGTTGAGACAACTGTCTTTAGTACTCAACACTGTTCATTTTGACAAGAAATTTTGTTTTAGTCTTTGACTAAAAACCTTTTTAATTCTAGTCACAATTTAGTCATCCAATTTGTTTTAGTTTTAGTCTTATCGACTAAAATAAATGTATTTTTCTTCTGATGCAATAACTTTCAACTTGTGTAAAGAAAATTATTTCTGCGACTTCAGAGGCAAACTAAAAGCCGCTTGAGAGGCTGAGTCGGGGCGGTGTGACGCGCTCTTTATAAACATCAGCTGCGATTCCAAACGTGCGTTTCCAAAAACTTTATTAAAGTAACTCCAATCAACTTGAAACATAACGTGCTCAAAATCAAACAGTACAATTATCACAGCGATCAACTGACGGTGAACAAAAATATGCGGCAACCCGCTCACCTACTCCTCCTTTTCCCATATTATCTGAGCAGGTGCTGGAGATGATGCTAAATCCCCACCCATGATCACCTGACCTGACATTGATCTCCGTTTACAACAAGTAAACCCACCAAAAACACATCAATAAACATATATATGTCTCCTATTCACCAGCCCCTAATTATTCATTTATGACATAATAATTATCTAAAAATGCATAGGAGACACATTAAAATCCACAAATTTAAGTCCATAACTCAATTGTCTGACAAAGTTAGTCCATTCTACTTTACGAATCTGAAAAGCCTTTAGAAAACCAGTTCAAGCCTGATCAAAAATAGATTGAAGTCCAAACCATGTGTCCATTTATGATGCTTGAATCGATGATTCCCTTCAGCATTCATACTTTACGTTCCCAAAGCAGGCATAGCTTTGTTATGGGACGTTCGATGCAGTTCTTGGTTCTGATGCGCACCTGACGCACAAATCCTCCTCTGTCTGGAAAAGTTTCCAACACTTCCTATAAGCCATGAGTTGCGTGGTGCAGTGTGGTCCATCACCAGAACGATGTCTCCAGTGATGACGTTGAGTTGCACTCCATGCCATCTCTGATGTTCCTGTAGCTGGGAGAGATATTCTTTAACTCACCTCTTCCAAAACAAATTCGACATGTACTGAATTTGTCTCCGGCGCCATCGTCTTTACAAGTCAGTCTGATGAAAGGTTCCAGGTGGTAAAGAAGGTTGTGTCTTTAGAAGCAACGGATGATTCGGTGTCAAAGCTTCCAAATCATTGGGGTCTGCAGACGCTTTAGTGATTGGCTTGTTGTTAATTATAGCCTTAGCTTCACATAGGACAGCGTGAAGTCCTTCTTCATCCAAGCGCTGTACGTTCAGAGTGGAGTTCAGAATCTTCCTCAGTGATTTGATCAATCTCTCCCAAGGACCTCCATGATGGGAACCAGAAGGAGGAATTAAGGTCCATTTAATGCTCTTCTGAAGGAGGAAGTTGTTGATTTGTGACTGGTTCCATTGTTGAATGGAAATCTTCAGCTCACGATGAGCTCCTCTGAAGTTCGTGCCATTATCAGACCGAAGCTCCTTCACTTGGCCACGTCTTGCAATAAAACGCCTCAGTGCATTTATAAAGGAGTCCGTTTCAAGTGAAGCTGCAACCTCAATATGGATAGCTCGAATTTTGAGGTAGGTAAAAATAACACCAAACCTTTTCACTGTGCTCCTTCTGCTTCTCACTTCAAAGGGCCCAAAGTAGTCTACCCCTACGCAGCTAAATGGTGGTTCGTCTGGAGTAATCCGATCAGAAGTTAAGTCAGCCATCTGTTGTAATATTGGCTTATCGTTAACCTTTAGAAAAATGACACACTTTGACAGAATTCTCCTAATATCTGAACCAGCCCCAGCTATCCAGAACCTCTCTTACAGTTTGGATAACATGTGGATGCATCCACTATGTCCCACTTGCTGATGGATGTGCAAATCTTTAGATCGAATGATCAGGTATTTGGAGCCTTCAGGCATAGCTGCCCTGCTTTGCTGACCGCCAACTCTCAGAACACCTTCTTCCATAACCGGACAAAGTTTGTGAATACTGCTAGAGCTCTTCACCCTTCTGCCCTTTTTTCAGTCTTTGGATTTCTTCGGAGAACCTCTTTCTTTGAGAGAATTTCAGTATCTCCATTTCAGCTGTCTCAATTTCCATCACTGACAGATAAGTACAGAATGTCCCCTCTTTTTCCATTTTTTCTTCCAATGTTTGTTGTTTCTTGCTTAGCTCTGTCTTGGTGATGTCGTTTAGCTGTTTCTTCTTCTTAACACGAGACAACAGCCATTTCTTGAATCTTAAGATCCAAGCGACAGATTTTTTCAGTTGAATCCATGAAGAAAAATGCTGAAACATCTTTGTTACAGGATCGAGCACTTCTGTTGTTGAAACAACATTGACAGCAAATGATTTCTTTACTTCAGGGTCATCCGATGAAAGTTGACCCTCATTTGGATTTGTAGGCCAGTTGCTTTCAGACTGAAGAAAAAAGGCAGGTCCTGCACTCCAGGAGGAGTTCTTGAGAAATGTCTCCACTCTTGAACCTCTTGAAGCAGCATCAGCAGGATTACTCAGAGTGTAAACATACCTCCACTGTGAAGGATGTGAAGCCTTCCAGATTTCAGAGACTCTGTTCGCAACAAAGACTTTAAATCTTGAAGTCTCATTTTTGATGTATCTCAGCACTGAAACGCTGTCGGTCCAAAAAAACCGAATCTTTGAGATCCGTGTGCAGTTCCCCTTTCCACAGGGTATCAATACGACTTGCCATTGTGGCTGCGATCAGCTCCATTCTGGGGATGGGTACTTACTTTAAAGGAGCAATTCTTGCTTTTCCCATGATGAACGAGCTGGTCACTTGGGCTTTTGCATTTTGTGACACCAGATTAGTCACTGTGCCATAACCATATTCACTTGCATCACAAAAATGGTGCAGCTGTGCAACGGTCACTTCGCCAAAATCCTCAGGTTTCAAACACCTCCTCATGCTGAAGTTCTCAACCAGCCGTAGGTCCTGTAACCATCTGTTCCACTCCTTGGTGGCTGATTCAGGTATAATGTCATTCCAGCCACATCCTTTACTGTTTAGTTCTCTCAAGATCTTCTTTGCCAGCAACACGACTGGACTTAAAATTCCCAAAGGATCAAAGACTGAGCTTACTATTGATATGATGCCTCTTTGTGTGAGCGGTCTTTCTTTCATTTGGATCCTGAATTTCAGTGTATCGGACTGGATGCACCATTTGACTCCCAGTACTCTTTCAATAGATGAGTAGTCACTGTCCATGTCCAGTTCTTTTACATCCTTGGCTCTTTGGGATTCAGGTATGGCTGCTAGAACAGCGCGTCTGTTACTTGTCTACTTTGTCAGTTGGAAACCACCTTTAGCACAGATGGCAACAAGTTCGTGGTAAAGGGACATAGCTTTCTCCTCTGAACCCACAGATACCAAGCAGTCATCCACATAAAAACAGTGCAACATTTTATCTATGGTATCCTCACTGAAATAATCCTTGTTATATTCAGCACATTTTCTAAGGGCATAATTGGCACAGCTTGGAGATGAAGTTGCCTCAAATAGATGCACCGTCATCCTAAACTCAGAGAGATCTTCCTTTAGGTCTCCATCTGACCACCAAAGAAACCTCAAAAGGTCTGCATCACCAGGTGGGACTTTCACTTGATGAAACGTGGACTCTATGTCAGCCATGATCACCACAGGTTCCTTCCTGAATCTGGTCAACACTCCAATCAGTGAACTGGTGATATCAGGTCCTTGTAGCAGCTGAGCATTTAGTGATGTTCCTTGGAAACTGGCTCCACAATCAAAGACCACTCTTATTTTTTGTTTTGTGGAATGATAAGCACCATGATGTGGGATATACCAGATCTTGTTTGTGTGCTGCAATTCATTTTCAGGTACTTTCTCAACAAAGCCTTTTATGATGAGATAGTTCATTAATGCAACATAATCAGCAAAAAACTGCTCACTATTTAGAAATTTTTTCTTCAGTTGTATTGCATGATGCTCCACCAATTTCCTGTCATTTGGCGTGTTGAATTCCTTTGTTCTCAAAGGCAGACTGATTTCATAGTGTCCGTCAACCAGGTTTGTTGAACTGACCAGTTCCATGAAACTTTGATCTTCTACAGACATTCCAAGCTTTTCTTCAGTGCTGCATTCAGGAAAGTCTGTCTTGAACTGCTTCTGCCGAAGGTCATCCAGGTTCTCCACAAAAACTCTATTCACCATCAAGTCAGGCTGTCGATATTCTTCCTCATTTCCACTTTCTCCTGTCAGTGGTCCATTCACAGTCCAGCCGAGCATGGTTCTGATGGCAAAAGGTCCATTTCCTGTGCTGTAGATTACTTCTAATGGTTCCAAAGCTTTAGGAACATTGGTTCCAATCAGCAATTCAATGTCAGCATCCATCGCTGGGAGCTCAACTTCTCTCAGATGAGGCCATTTCACCAAATCCGTTTGTTTGGGAATATTTCCTTTGTGAACAGGCATGTGCTCTTGTGTGTAGGTCTTCGGTAACTGACAAAAATGATCATGTCCAAGGCCAGCCACTTCCAAGCCTGTTATCACATAGCTGCTGACAACCTGTTCCTGACCCATGGTCCTCAGGAGTATTCGGGCCTTTCTTCCAGTAAGTCCAAGCTTATGCATTAAGGCTTCCGTACAAAAGACCACTGTACTGCCTTGAACTAAAAATGCATACACATGGACAATCGTGTTGCCTTTATCCACATTTGCTTGAACAGGAACGATAGGAAGCTTATAATCTTGATCGCCAGCCCCAGTGAGACCGCTTGACACCAGTGTGTTGTCAACTGCAACCTTTGGCTCACTTTCTGACTGATTTGAATCACTTGCATTTTTTCTGGGAACAATGTGCAATATGGTTGGATGCTTGAGTCCACATTCTTCGCAGGTTATCCGTTTTTTGCAATCTTTGCTGATGTGTCCAATACATAAACAGCCAAAACAGACACCTTTGTTTGTCAAGAAGCCAATCTTCTCTTTGTGAACCTTCTTTCCAAACTCCGAACATAGTGACCATGCATGTTTCCTTCCACAGGCAGCCTTTCTGCACAGTCCAATCATGCTCAACTCCCTTTTTGTGCATTTTTCCTCTCCAAAGGCGCAACAGTGGTGGCAAAACTGCTTTCCTTGATTTTCAAATGAGACTGTGTTTTGGGTTTGCTTGCAACTTTACTCAGTGGTTGTGCAGCATCTTTAATATTTCCAAACACCGGATCAGTCAGGATTTTCACTTGCCTCTCTATAAAATTCACAGTGTCAATAAAGGTCGCTCTCTGGTAGCATCTCTCCTGAAGCTCACAAGCTGCAGTCCTCCATTTATCCCTGAGCTTGTATGGAAGCTTTTTGATGACTGAAATCATATTTGCTGGCATGTCCAGTTCATCCATATATTGTACTTCCTCAATCACGTTGGAGCAACCTCTGAGAAAAAGGCTGTATTCTTCCAAGGCTTTGACATCATCAGCTTTGATTGGAGACCATGAGAAAATTCTTTCCATATATGCATGAGCAATTTTCTGTTCATTCCCAAACTGCTATTGTAACAGTACTTTAGCTTTATTGTAGCCTCTTTCAGGATCCAGGTGCTGACAACTTTTAACCAGCTCCTTTGGATGTCCACTTGTATACTGTTTGAGGAAATACAGTCTGTCACAGAAACTGCTGGTGTTTCTTTCAACTCCATTCTCAAAGGCTTTCATGAATACATTATATTTCAATGGATCTCCATTAAAAATGGGAATTTCTCTTTTTGGTAAAGAAGAAATACACTGTTGTTGAATAAGAAGTGTTGTGATTTCGGTCTGCTTTCTCATGATTTCCAGAATTTTATGTTGGTCTTCATTTCCTGCAATGGTATTCATTTCAGTGGGAGGCTGTTGCTGATTTTGAGGTCATTCTTGAGAATGATGAAAATGAAACCTCTGTAAAGCTCCATGACCGTCAACAAACACAGGGGCAGAATGCCTAGAGTGAGCTGCCCTGGGTTCTTTTGGCCTTACAGCAGGCGCATATTGTTCCTTTTCAGGGTCCTTTAATTTCTTTGCTTCTGGGACAAACGACTTTGCAGTGGGACTCAACCGATAGTCTTTGGTCTTTTCCACACAGGAGTTCATTCCATCTGAGATTTGCTTTGTTCTTGATTGTTTTCCACTCGCAGAGCTCCTTATTTTTTAACACAGATAATTTGGCCATTTGAGCAGCAATTTCCTCGTCAATTGTTCTTTCCTTTTCCGCAGTCTTTGTTCATCCTCTTCCAGTTCATGTTTTTGCTTCATTAATTTCTGTTTCACCATTAAAGCTGCCAGATCAGCTTCAGCTTTAAGACGAGCAGAAAAGGTTGATGACGCAAATGAATTTCCTCCAGTAGATGAAGTTTGTCTTCCAGTTGCTCGGCTTTCCACATTTGACACACTGTCATTCGGATTAATTTCATCTTGTAGAACCTCCACATCTGGACAAACAGCCAGCTTTGACTCAACAGATTCATCTGTATTTTTATTTCCACCATCAAAGACTTTTGGCTCACCAGAGCCTCCAGTTTGAATCCGCTTTCCTGGGTCAACAATCCATTTCTGTACAGTGGTTTTAAAAGTGTTGCTGTAGTCCATCATACTGGCAAACCACACCTTTTGTTGACAATATTTCCGCTGCAATTCCAAACTTGCGTTTTCAAAAACTTTATTAAAGTAACTCCAATTAACTTGAAACACAACATGCTCAAAATCAAACAGTACAATTATCACAGCGATCAACTGACGGTCAACAAAAATTTGCGGCAACCTGCTCACCCACTCCTCCTTTTCCCATATTATCTGAGCAAGTGTTGGAGATGATGTTAAATCCCCACCCATGATCACCTGACCTGACATTGACCTCCGTTTACAACAAATAAATCCACCAAAAACACATCAATAAACAAGTATATGTCTCCTATAAAAATGCTAACTACACCCACTAGAAACTGTAAAGAAATAGTGATGCACGATATGAAATTCTTGGACCGATATCGCTATTCGATATGAATGCTTTTAAAACCATCCGATTTTGTATAAAATGAAAATTAATAAAGCTGAAATTACATTATTATATACAAACACCACACACATTTACGCTTCTGAGATGATTACAATCACTGTCACATCAATCAATCAATTAATCAATCAAAGCTTTATTTATAAAGCGCCTTCCGCAACCCTGTCAGGAAGCACAAGGCGCTGAACATGGTACAGTAGAAAATGACAAATATACACCCCCCCACCCCCGAAACTGATAAATCTTAATCAATTTCCCTCTGGGATTAATAAAGTATTTTTGAATTTGAATTGAATTGAAATAGAAACGAGATGAAAAAAAATCAGTTGTTAATATCGGCCCGGTTTTATTTATTGGACCGACACCAATATGTTAAAAAATGACTAACATCTGCTGATACCAATATTGATGCCGATATTTTGTGCATCCCTATAAAGAAATATGCAATATCCACATTTCACACTTTGGATCAATAAAACTCCATACTTATAATTGTTTTTATAACAATAATTATTGAAAAATACCCAAAATGAACACTTGACAGTTTGAAACTGTGCCTCTCAATATTAATAAAACAAAAAATCCGTATAATGTGCAGAAATATTACATGACAGGATTCAGGAAATGACATCATACCTTAAAATATTAAAATGTATTACTCTAATAATGTGGAGGTATATCAAACCTAAAATTTGTTTTCAGGTATAATTATTGTTTTTATTAGACTGTTTGATCAAGGTGGAACACCTGAACGTTTACCTTCAAAATAACACCACTAGAACACTGAATGCTGATCATATCGGCCATAACAACCACAAAAATGAAAATGACTAGACAAAATGCGTGTTGCGTTGCTCCGTGAGCTTGGTTCGGTTCGATCCAGCACCCCTCTCCCATCCCTCGCTAGCTGCCAACAACACCGTAACAGTTTTATAGCCAAGAGAAACCAAGAATGTGTACTTGCCAAGCAAATACTTTTCAGATCGTCACATCTACTGCTTTTACTCCCAGCTGCATACATTTTCTCCCTTTAGACATAACTTCTACCGCATAAACATCAGTATATGATGTCTGGTTAGCGGTAGCTTGTTCAAACAGCAGCCGGCTCTGGACTCTGATTGGTTCTTTTTGTAAATAACCCAGATTATTTGTTTATTTAGATATTGTTTAGATACTAATATCCATGAGTAATTCATAATTTTTGGATTCGCATGACTCTTATTTTGAAGTTCAGAATGCTGACTTCCGGTTTCGGATCTTCGTCAAATTACTTACATGTAAATACTAAATAAACGGCTCACACTATGTTAACTGCCAACGTTAGTGCTCGTTATCTTGTTCTCAAACCCAAGCGCCAGACTTGTAAGCTATATGACAGAAATATGGCACTGTTAACCTATTAACGGAAGCAGGTTAGGCAGTTAGCTAATCAGTTATGTGTTTGCTGGTAGCTACGCTGGCGCTCTTTTAACACGGAGATGGGAAGGATTTTGTTTTGCTTACTAGAAGGAAGTTAAGGAGAAGGTTAGCGTTTTCCATCCACCTTCAATTTAGCATCTAGCTGGAAGTCGAACAGGTATGCTTATGGTTTCTTGTTAAAAATTTGTAAATATATTACTTATTTGTTAACGAGTTTCTGAGTGAACTAGCAGGCTAATGAAAGCACATGCTATGTCTTTTCTTTGGTTCATTTGGCAAAGGTGAAACGTTATATGAAGTGAATGTTGATTTTCTTGTTTGTTTATGTTATGATTACAGCTCTTACGATGTGTCTGCGGTAATTTCTGAATAAATGGGTTGGAATACTCCACCATGGTCCATCCGTTATGATCACTGAGTGCATCGTCTGAATAAAGTCTGGTTGGAATGCTAACTTTTCTCATCTAGTCCTGCCTGTTCCATTTGCTGATTGGTTCTTTTTTCCGCTCCCCCATCTTTTCTGTTTTCTGATTGGATTTTCTTTTCAGTCAATTTTCATTGTCGTCTCTTATTCGTCAACGAAAATGTCGGTCAATATTCCTCATAAATGAGTCTTTATTGGCGTGTGTTTTATTTTGTTTTTAGTCCGCAAAAATTAATTTGTCACGAATAAAAAATGAAAATTACCACTAGTACTCAATATAAGCATAAATGGAATAAATTTTGAATCGGGTGACTTCATTTTTTTTTTCACTCACCAAAAGAAATCTATTCCAAAGATCCAGGAACTTAAATCGACCCGACAGAACCAGGTTCCAGTAGGCTACAGCCATTTCCAAATCTGCACAAAGAGAGAAGCATGACTGTTTTTTATCTGCACACAAAACAAAAACATCAGCTGGTGTCATCAACATCCCTCCACTTACCGAGTCCCTTCTGTCCAGGATTTTTGGCAAAATTAAAAGTAAATTGGTAGAAATCCTTGAACTTCCCGCTGTCTTTTAGCTCCTGCTCTAATCTCGGCAAAATGGCCTTCAGCTTTTCTGGACTGTCACACCTGGAGAAAAAGAAAATAAATAAAACGATTATAAAAAAATAAACGACACAGGAGGCCACCTGAAACACGAAGAAACCGAATACTCGGTGGGTGACTATATTTAGCCAGCCATGTTTTCCTGGAGCCACACCGACAGAAGCATCATGTGGAGATACTTTGAGGATGTGATTTCAACACTCACCCCAGCTCTGTCATTCCATCCATGAACTCTTTCTTGGTGAACTCACACTGAGTGGCAGCGTGAAACTTCCACGCAACGACCAGCACAGTGATGCTGGCCGGATCCAGCGAGAGGTCATCACAAAACTGCTGGATCCCATCAATACCAATCTTATTCTCATCCTGGGGATCTATCGAGATAAAGTCACTCTACGTCAAATATTGCCTTTAACTGAAGGTAAACTTTTGTAATAAATCTAAAATTGATTGATCTTTATAGTTAGGCTGGAAGTTGATCTGCTTGCCTTTGTAACGGTTGTAGAGCTGTTCCAGCTTTTTCCGATCCGCCGATGTTTTCATGGATTCCTTACAGTAAAGCTCTGGATTCTGAAAATAGTTATCCGTTGCGACTTCTAGTTTCCAGTCATTTTGTGTGAGGCAGTACACAGCTGTCTTCTCCCCAGCCTGTGTGAAGGACATGAACTGCCGTACCTTGTCCCTCTGTGAAGACTTCAGCTTATGCTGTGCAAAAACAGGACAGGGACTGTCAAGACACCGGAGCCACCAGACCAGAAAACACAGGCAACAGAATACAAACGCAGACCGACACGCAGATAAAAACACACAACAGAACATAAACATCTAGAGGCATTCAGGCAACGGTGGGGAGGACAGAAAAGACACTCAGAGACACGTACTTTGTTAGTCTAAGCATACCGACACATACGTTACACAAGATGAGCTAATGGAGGTAAATATATCTTGGCCAAAAGTAACATGGGATTTTTTTGAGGCGGAGTTCTGTGGATACTCAAAGCACATGTTGTACCTCAGAGGCCCCTCAGAGCACTACAGTCATAGAGGAAACACGAGTAAGGAAATGAGATGCCATCACAAGAACCTAGAGGTGTAAAGAGTCTGAAGTAACACAAGCACCCTGATAAAATACCTAAACACGTACAAGTGAATTACTTAATAGCTTGAGATGAGGGAAGACAGCACAGGATAAAGTGATATTAGCACACTTTCCTGTTTATACGTGTTGCTATTTAATTGATAGGAAACCATGATGATTAAAAAATGACTCTGATACAACCAGATCTGGTTTCTTAACAACAACATTAACATTATTTCATTAAAAAGGAAGCGAGTCCTAGATTGGTTATACAGGTGTATCCAGCTGTCAATTATCTCTTCCTTACGTAGCTAAAATTGTTGCTTTTGGACTTAAGAGGTCTAAATTTTACATATATAACTTACCTGGTAGTGAGGAGGTATATTAACATAAACCAGATGAGTAACTTAGCTTTTAAAACTACAAATTAACTTAATTTCTATATAGTTAAAATAATAAATCCCAAAGCCATGTTGTAACTAGCTGTAGCTGACACAGTTCTAAGGAACATCATTTCCTGAAACCGGACTGAAAACTAAAGAGTTCAAAGAGTTGCTACTTACTGCACCGACGATTTATCCAATTTATATGATTAATGACGCGTTAAACCGGCTGTTTGTGCTGGATGCTTTTCAGATAAGAGACATTATTATGCTAACAGGGGTAATGTTGGGTTAGCTTTGTCTACATACACTGGCTAACGTTAGCTGAGCTAGCCAGGTACTGACATTAAACATGAACATAATATCTCAGAAGGCGACTGTCAGTGTTATTATGAATAAGTTCGCATTTCAGCCAAACGAGCCAGCGTGTGTCCGTTTTTGAGGAGCAGCGGTTGACCTGCTCACAGCCGAAGTTCCTACTGCCAAAATGGGACGAGTAGCTAATGCTAGCTGCTCTCAAAATATCAACTGACCTTCCCTGTAAAGCAGCGATAACTGATCCATGTACGCTTGACAAAGCGCGACACATCAAGCACTTTAATAAGACGACAACAGTATTTAAGATAAACCTCCATGGCACTAAGGTTAGTGGCTGGGTTTGTGTTTATTTTGGTTACCTACCATTTTTACACTCGCTGTTTGACCAGTTTAGTAGCACGTCTGTTGCTCGGTACGCGCATGCGCAGAGGAAGCAGCTGAAAAGATGCCAGAGGTGTCTGTACCATCTTTTAGGACCCAGAAACAAGCAATTACATTAATTTAATTGAATTGAATTACCACAAAAAGATATCTAACATTTATATTAGATTTGAACTTGAGTTATTCCATTTTATTTTCGAAAAGCAGCACATTATTTTGCTCAAAACCCCCAATTTTCTCTTTTAACTTCTTTAAACAACAAACTAAGAAACACTGTAGGTTACATCCCTTTTATGTGTGACTATGTTTTCCAAGATTAGCCATTTTCAATGTGGGTGAAGAGGAATAAATTCAATTATCTGTAAAGGACCCTTTTAAAGGAAACAAAATACTTTATTCTATCTAAATATAACAAAATAAAGGTATAACATAGTTCATATTTGGTCATACTCAACAATAAATGTGCATGAATTAAAATAGGTTTAAGTACAGTTTTATACATGGATTTTTGTTGTCTTTTCAAAACGTATTTCAAATGTTTTTAATCAACTATGCAGTCTTAAGTTGCATTTTCTGTTATTACCACTTGTTAGATGGTAAAAGAATAACACATTCATCAGCAAGTAATATGCAACTAAATACACACACATATTACAAATGTACAGGAAAAAAGTTTGGACAACAATTTGAGACATTTGGTATGAAAAAATATATATGTAGGAGAGTTATTTCACAAAAAAAGTCAATAGTGTAAATGGAGCTGGCAGAAGCTCAGCTTTATCTCATGAAAAAACAAGTCCGCCCTTCAACAAGTTCTAATAACAACCCACAGCAGCAGAGCTGATAGAGTATCTGTGCTCATCAGCTTCCTTTTATTTGCGGTTGTCATTTTACAGTGAAAGAGTTGCTGTTTAAACTTTTGAAAATGCCCGTTGCTACTTATTCAAGCTGTGGATGCTTTATTCTTAAATGCTTGTACTTAATATATATTTGTATTTTTATTATTTTTTTAATTATTTTAAGAAATGGAAATGTTTATAAAACATATTGCTGGTGCTTTATCTGTAGCAAATTTTTATGTGTTTGTTGCTATTCTGAACATATATTGGGAGATTTAAAATAGTGCCATTTGGGAATACTTTTGTCTTAATAATTTACAGCATTTGTAAACTCATGAAACCTGAACTTGGCGGCAAAAGTTGTAGACAATAGGGATGTGAATCTCAGAGCAACTCACGATTTGATTCGATTCCGATTCTCGGGGTGCCGATTCGATTCAGAATCGATTCTCGATTCACAATCAAAATTAACAAAGAGTGTCAGTTCCAGGATAAACTACTTTGTTGTGCAAGTTAGTTAAAGCTATGGGACATTTTTATTTTACTTTAAACTGGTCATGCTAAAAAAAAAGCTAATTTACAAGGTAAAATAAAGTGATTCTAAAACTGTAAACAGAAACAATCTTTAGATCAAAAGGCAACATTTATTTTGCTTACCTTGTAAAATGTAACAAATCTTTAGTTACCTAACAGTAGCTTTGAAAGTAATACAGTCAAACACTTTTTAAGTATCTGTGGAAACAAGTTTAACGTTTGAGTCCTCAACCTGTTTAAAAAAAAGTGCCTCAGATTTTTTACAAAGGAAAATATTTTCTCTCATTTATCAACAACTTCAAATAAACTCATGTGTAATCCTGAGTACTCACTTATCAACTTAGAAAATAAGTAGAATATCTCAAATCTCTGAGTATGGAAAAAAAATTAGATTCTAGTCCCCACTTATCAGCAGATTCAAAAATAAATCATCCTGATTTATGGGACCACAAAAGTAAACGGAGTACTGACTCTCCTAACAAAGACCCCCCCCCCCAAAAAAAAACATACAAAAGTGCATCTCAGACCTGTAACATGCCAAACATTTGAGTTCCTGGAATCGATTCTGAACCTTTGTGAATCGATTCTGAATCTTTATAAATAAGAATCCCGATTCAGACTTGAATCGATTTTTTTCAGCACCTCTAGTAAACAACATTCCCCTAGGGTCCATGTTCAGAGGTGGTTCATTTAACAAAAACTGAATTCAAAAGAAAATGATGAAGAAGACAGAATGTCTGTTTGTCAGTAGTTAGTTCTTTTTGTCTAAAAATATCCTGGTAAACAGATTATATTCACTTGTAAATGCAGGAAAACTAGACTTATGTGGACATATAAAGAGATTATGAGGTATCACAAACCTAGTATGTAGCAGGGTGGCTCAGTAGGTTAAATAAAATACAAAAGCTATGACTAAAGGTGAAATAATTATTGCCCATATTACCACTTTGATTGCCATTCAGTAAAATATTCAGTTTTGTGTAAATGTAGAAGAAAATTTCAATCAAGAATGGGATTCCCAATGATAGTTACATAGTATATCCTTGTCTCTTGCTCTCTATTTGGAAAACATATTTTTTTCTTTTTTTATTAGTGGCTTTTAGTGGTTGAAGATTGCAATTCTAGACTACTGCCTATGTGTATATACACGTACTGTATATAAATAATCAATCAATCAATCAATCAATCAATCAATCAATCAATCAATGCTTTATTTTTAAAGCGCCTTCCGCAACCCTGTCAGGAAGCCACAGGCGCTGAATATGGTACAGAAAGTTAAATATAGTGAATAAATCAGAAAATAAAAGCAATGCAAAATACAGATTACAAATTACAAAAAAAGGTGAAACATTCTAGTACAGGACAAATGTGTAAATCAAGGGATAGAGTGAACCATTGAAAACTATGAAATAAAATCAACATAAAAGAGGGCCAAATTCAAACATGTTCAGGGAATGCCAAGCAGAGGACGTGGGTTTTTAGGTGACTCTTGAAGACTGGCAGAGATGGGGACAGCCTAACTGAGGGTGGCAACTGGTTCCAGAGTGACGGTGCTAGGACAAACAAAGCCCAGTCCCCGCGAGTACGACACCTCGAACGAGGGACAGCGAGCAGGCCTTGGTTGGAGGAGCGCAGAGCACGTGATGGGGAATGTCTGTTCAGGAGAGTGGCCAGATAGGGGGAGCACCACCCTGGAAGAAATTAAAAACAAAGACGAGGAGTTTGAAGTGTGAACGATAGCAAACCGGAAGCCAGTGCAGGGAGGTCAGAACCGGACTGATGTGGTCCTGTTTCCTGGTCCCAGTCAGGAACCTGGCTGCGCTGTTCTGCACAACCTGTAGGCGACACATTGATGACTGACACAAACCTGCATATAGAGAGTTGCAGTAATCAAGCCTAGAAATTACAAATGCATGCAGTACCTACTCCAGGTGGGCTCTTGACAGCATAGGCTTGATTTTAGCAAGACGTCTCAGGTGAAAGAAACTGGACCGGATCACAGAGTTGATGTGTGCATCAAATTTAAGTCCAGCATCAATTTTCACCCCCAAACTGGTGACAACTGGTTTTGAGTAGGGAGAAAGAGGGCCAAGATCAACATGACGATCCACATTCCTGCTGTTGGGGTGAAAAACAATGAGCTCTGTCTTTCCCTCATTCAGATGCAGAACGTTGGCCATTAGCCAAGACTCCACCTCGTTAATGCAGGACACAAAGGACTGGATATAGTGACCTTTCTCCTGACACAATGGAGCATCAATCTGGCAATCGTCAGCATAGAGATGGAATGATAGGCCATGTTTACGAAAGATTGACCCCAGAGGAAGCAGATAAATGGCAAACAAAAGAGGACCAAGGATCGATCCCTGCGGGACCCCCCAGCGGAGCCCCTCCCAAGAAGAAAAAACATCACCCAGTTTAACGCAGAATGTTCTGTTGTGGAGATCCAAACCAATCCAGAGCAGACCCTTTGATCCCAACCCATCGTTCCAAGCGATCTAGTAGAATCGCGTGGTCAACTGTGTCGAAGGCTGCCGTCAGGTCTAACAACAGAAGCACCACAGATGTACCCTGATCTAGTGATAGATAGATGTCATTTAGGACCCTCAGTAGAGCCGACTCTGTGCTATGGCCAGACCTGAACCCTGATTGGAAAACCTCAAACAGATCAGCGTCAGCTAAATGTGAGACCAGCTGCTGATAAACGACTTTCTCAAGCAGTTTTGATGTGAAAGGCAGGGTAGAGATAGGCCTGTAATTTTCTATCACATAGACATCAGCATAAGGTTTCTTCAGGGTCGGCCGAATAACTGCTGCTTTCAAAGCAGCTGGGACCACACCTGTGCAGAGGCTCCCATTGATAATCTGACCAAGTGATGGGCCAAGACACGGAAAGGCAGCCTTCCAATTGTATACATTGTATGCAAATGTATTTGTTATTTTTTTAAATCAAATTGTTCTCTTAAGTGTTGGTGCTGCTGTAACAAGTGAATTTCCCTACTGTGGGATTGTTCTATTCTATTCTATTCCATTCTATTCTATTCTATTCTATTCTATTCAGATATATCAGCTGAAATTTGGCATCATTCAGTGTGGTGTGTGGTATTTTTTTCAATCGAATTAAAGAGGAAATAAAAGTGACAGGCCTAAAAACTATTCCTGGTAGATATAATAGCGACTAATGAAAAATCCTCCTCCTACTCCTGCGCAACAGATGGCGGTAAATGCATCCCTGCAGCTGCCTGCTCTCCACCAATCCCAGGAGAAGTAGGTTGTGGGCACGACTCACGTCACTGCTATGGTTACGTCACACCAGTGTTGTCCAATCAGACGCCGCTGTAGCGAGACGCCGCCAAGATCAGATTGTGAGAGGCACTGCTGAAAGCGACAGGCTAGCAGAGAGCCGTGGAAAGGCTAGCTGACGGTGTGCTAACGTGAAGTGCTCTGGTAAGATGCATCCACTGTAGGGTGGCTTCCCACCCGGCGCAGACCAGAGCTCATATACAAGTGTTTAAACGGCCTTTATGTCTTGGTCGACATGAAAAAGTGTTGATATCACACGAAGCTAACAATGGTAAACTTTCTCGATGACAGCTGGTAGTTAGCTTGCTGGCTAGCTAGTGGGCTAACAAAGCGCTGGAGGTTGCGATTTCTCATTGATATCGAGTTAGCTCGTAGCTTTGATAACCAGTTGCTAACTAGCGAAGTGTTGATCATCGATCTACTTAACGATCTTGTCATGGTTTCTATTACCACGGTTATAACTTACTAAACAGAATATGCAACAGGACTTGTTTAAATAGTCCGCAGACATGAAGTTTGAAATATGTAACTCATCTGAATGTAGAAAGAGCTTTCACTTTCTTTTACTGTAACGAATTAAAATAAACAAATTTTATTTGTTTAAGCCACATATTCATTTAAATAAAAATTTAAAGCGTGATTAATTGGCTTGAAACATTTCAATGAAGTTTTTAACTTTTTCAAAAGTGTACTTTTTGCACAAAAAGCTAAAATATCGATTAATTAGATTTGTTTTGTTCTGATTTACTAGGTTGTTGTGACCAAGAGGCCCATGAATGAGATCAAAACTACTGAGAACGTTTAAGAGAATGTGATCAGTTGTAGCAGATAATTGCGGAATCCCAAAATATAAAATTACTTTACATTTGTATAACTTGTTTATTTCCGATTAACATTATATATTAAATTTGCTATTTCAACTGATTCCTTTTGCAGGCCCAGGTCCCTGAATTAATGGTGTCAATATAGTTTTTTATTCACTTCTTTGACTTAATTACTTTAATATGAACTCCTTTTAGAAGAAATGTAGATCAAATCTATGGGCTTGATCCACACATTATGTTGTATGTTTATTAAATTGAAATGTAGTACCTGTTAACATACTGTTGTTTATTTACCATAATATGCAGTTTTAAAATGTTAGGTTTAATTTAACTTGAAAACTGGTTAGTGCATTATATTCATGACAAAAATGTTGTACAGCTCATTTTGCTTGCTTTTGTGATCAGTTTCTCTGATGAGATGAATGATGTTTAATGGTTAGTCAGCTGCCAGACTCGACCAACAGGCAAATCCTGGTATCAGTTTTTGACATAGCGACAAAAAACTGACCTGAGGAAAAACAACTCTTTAATCATATGCTTAAGTTCTTTAAAGGAATAACTTTGATTTATGAATAAAATAGTTTTAAAAGTACATTAGGATTGCTGAGTTTGTTTCCTGTTTGGATGGGATTTAGACCTCCTCTTCCTCCATTCTCTAATGCCAACAACAACAGCCGTCGAAGAGACAAGAGAGTGCACTCGTAAGTGCACGGATTCGCAATTTAAACCCCTCTAATCGTGCAAAACGCGCAGTGCTTTTTTCCAATATCAGTTCTTACTTAAAGAAGGCTATAATCTGCAGCTCGGACCAGAAATCTCTGAATTTTCTGCCAATCGTGTGAAAACGTGCATAAGCTAACTAGCAAGCTAAGGAGCAGCAGGCTGTTAGCAGTAACGGTTAGCCGGCTGTAGTCAACAAAAGATTGTTCATTATTACTGACATGTGGTGTGAAACCTGCTTCTGTGGTGGACTGATTTACTATCTGTAACTATATTTTAATCTCCGTGGAGAAAAATCAACAGTTTCGTCAAAGTTGGCACGTTTTCGTGACCTGTAGCAGAAGTTGGACGATGCCTCTCCTCCGGACGTGATCGGTACCTGAAGTAGGCCTTGTGCACACATAGCTTGGTAAAAGTTGTGGGCATCAAGTGAGGGTTGACTGTGCTTTTTTGTGTTTACATCTAAAGGCTAATGACGCAGCGGTTTGTACAATTAGCTGTAATTTCCGCCAGGTTTGTTTTGCTAACTGAGGAAAAAGTGGAGTAAACATGATGATGGAATTAGCTTAGTGTAGTGTGCTGTGCTCATAGCCAACCATTGAAATGGGCCTGGGTTCATAAATGAGTGCAAAAGCTCATTCAAATCCATCTGTGCCGTGGGGATTTATAGGAAAATGTTATAAATAAGTGAAGCTTGAAACTTTTGCTCACAGCTTTCATTTCTTCTGCAGGGGTCTGAACACTTGAGTGACAGAAGGAACAATTTTTTAATCTGAACTAAACTCCTTCAGGTCCTTTGGGATCATGGCTAAAGATGTGAGTAATTTCCCTCAATATTTTCATCCATATGCACATTATATCTTGTAGCCAGATGAGATGGTTCTTGTTGTTTTAGCATACCTATTATTCTAAACCATCATTAATGTTTGACAATAAACCCAAATTGCAAAATGATCCAATTACCCATTTGGTGTAATTTAAGGAGATATGCACACTTAAGCATCCATTATTGCATCACTACTATCTTATATTATTTTTAATATTCTATATTTGCAGCATAATGAGTTTTGTCTTTTACAGGCTGGTTTGATTGAAACAAATGGAGAGCTGAAGGTTTTCATCGATCAGAATCTGAGCCCTAGCAAAGGTATAACTGAACCATCTTTTGACTTTGTTTTTGTTATTTTCTCCCAGTTTACACAATCTATTTGCACTGACCACCAATCCTGCAAAAATATCGGTAGAACCGATTAAAAGTGAACTATGGGGCTTTGAAGTTTCAACCAGGAGTTTTCCTCATTACCGATGTTCTTGTGTCTTCTCTCAGGTGTCCTGTCCTTGGTTACTGTCCAGCCTACAGCTGTCCCCGGGGCCAAGCAGCTACTACCCAAAACCCTTGGGCCGTCTAACGTTAATGTTGCCACACACATGCAACATTTGCCACACATGGTGAGTGCGTGTGCTCTGTCTGACACTTTTCCAGAACGGTTACATATGTCCTGCATGCTGCTTTTGTCCACACCTCCTTGCTGTTGTGTAAGCCCCCTCCCATTACTGCTGGGAGGTGGAGGCACTTGATCCTAAGCTTATCAACTCTACAGTCAGCAGGATTACACCCATCATCTCATTATGTAGAAGAAATGTATACACAACGGAAATCAGCTTACAGATCACCTGTCTCCTACATCAGATTATTATTAATTTGGGACAAATTGTTGCTTTGATCATTCATCAGATGTATTTGCACGCACGTTATTGTCTTACTGTCTCATCCTCTGCTCTCTTTAGGTTATTGGAACCCCTCAGAGGCCAACAGTATCAAATACTATTTTAGTAAACAGTCCACACACACCAAGTTCTCAGTTCCTCACTCAGAGTCAACCCGCTGATGCTTCTCCTTGGTCATCAGGGTAAGACCTCGAATAGTTCAGTCGTTTTTATTTCTTTTACTTTACACAAGTTTTAGAAGCAAACTATGTGTAACTTGTTCTGTAAACAGAAAACGGGGTAAGAAGGGGGAGAAGAATGGGAAAGGCTTGAGGCATTTCTCCATGAAAGTGTGTGAGAAGGTGCAGAAGAAGGGAGTGACCACCTACAATGAGGTGGCAGACGAGCTGGTGGCAGAATTCAGTTCTTCAGACAACCACATGTCGCCGAATGACTCGGTGAGCGCTGCAGCTTTTATTTTACACACAAAACTCAGAGACGTTTTTTTTTTTTTAACGCTGACCCACGTGTTTTCCATCCCAGCACGTATACGACCAGAAGAACATTCGGCGGCGTGTTTACGATGCGCTGAACGTGCTCATGGCCATGAACATCATCTCGAAAGAGAAGAAAGAAATCAAGTGGATCGGCTTGCCCACTAACTCGGCTCAGGAGTGCCAAAATTTAGAGGTGGAGATTCAAATCAAAGGCTTTTGTCTTCTTTTTACGTAACAAGCCGTTCTGAACAACTATCTCCGTCATGCCTCCAGGTGGAGAGACAACGGCGACTGGAGAGGATTAAGCAGAAACAGTCACAGCTTCAGGAGCTCATACTTCAGGTGGGAATGGCGATAGAGCTTCACCAACACCTCAGCGATTAAAGATGCATTTGTCTGATTAAATGTTTTATATTTTACAGCAAATAGCCTTTAAGAACCTCGTTCAGAGGAACCGACAGACAGAGCAGCAAGCAAACAGGCCCCCGCCTCCTAACTCCATCATCCACCTTCCCTTCATAATAGTCAACACTAGCAAGAAGACGGTGATCGACTGCAGCATCTCTAATGACAAGTACGTGATCATCTGCGTACATTCGAACTGGAGAATTTTAGCCCCAATTTATTGTGCGTCTTTTTTTCTCCGTCTCCAGGTTCGAGTATTTGTTCAATTTCGACAGCATGTTTGAGATCCACGATGACATCGAGGTGCTGAAGCGCATGGGCATGGCCTGTGGTCTGGAGGTGGGGAAGTGTTCAGCAGAGGACCTGAAGGTGGCACGCAGCCTGGTGCCCAAAGCTCTGGAGCCTTACGTTATCGGTTCGTACGTCATGGTGTAAACGGCCAGGGTTTTTGTTGATGCTTCAGGACAACGTTGAGATGTTGTCTCTTTTAGAGCCTGATATGTGTTTAGGGACCTCCTCCCCTCAGTAATCCTGGGGTAAAGGAGCTTTTTCTGGTTGCAGGAAGCCCTCCCTCTGTCCCGAAGCTGCAGTAATAGTTAGGAAAGGTCTAAACATGTCAAGCAGCATGTTGCAGGTTCTGACACGTACAGTGAAGCGTCTGTGTTCACTCAGGAACGATTGGACGTCTACATTAAATATGGTTCCTTCTCACAGAGATGGCGAAAGGTCCCATCAGTAACGTGTACATCACAGGAGGATCCTCAGCCAACGGCGCTCGTTACACTGCCAGCAGGTAGGAAGTCGTACCTAAGATGGGAACGTTTCCCGTTTCAACCTGGTCCCTTTTTAACCCGGTTTCTCCGTTTCTAGTGACGGCTGCACCGACGGCACCATGGCGTCCAGCTCCAACGACTCTCACTACAGCGGCTCTCGCGTGGAGACCCCGGTGTCTTACATGGGGGACGACGATGATGAGGATGAATACGAGGAGAACGACGATGAAGACTAACCGCGCTACATGTCCCCACTCCAACAAGCACAGTCCTCCAAACAGCAGTCACAGCGGCGATCTGGTCCCTTTTAGTGTGTGTGTGCTTCCTTCCCAAGCCCCCCCCCGTCCACGCTCGTGTTTCTGTCTGGTCTTCTCAGGGGTGTAGATGAATTCTGAAAGAACAGAGGAGTTGTTTGTTTATATTTTCCTGTTTATTTGTTGTTTCCACCCCCCCGCTGACTCACATGCTCCTGCACCACACCTACGATCTGCGGGAACCGTCGTCTGTGATCCTTTTTCAACAAGCCATCCCACTCTCCGCTCTCTGTAAAAGCTGTTGCTGTTGGAGAATGTAAAGTGTATTTGTTTGAATAGTTATTATTTTACTGTCACGATGGATATTATGATCAAAATGTTCCGTTAATGTCTGCTGTGTTAGCGCGCCGTGGATCCTGATGGCTGTTGGGGCGGTTTGAAATAGTTTCTTATTCCCATTGCGTTGGGTTGGCTTCCGTATGTTTCGTAGGCAGCTGCTTTCTGATCTTGTTAGTATGTTTTTTTTTTTTTTTTTGTATTCTGGAGTTGAGAAGCTGTCCCATCACCACCCTGTTGACGCCTTTGGTAGTGTTTACAAATAAACGGCTGAAGCGAGGTAAAGCTCCTAGGTAATTCAGCTTTGTTAATTACATATAAATCCTACCACCATTGTAGCTCATAGTGTCCTTTAGAGGCCAGTGGTGAAGATAGACCATCGCGATTTATTGACGTAACAAAAATGTGTGGTTGTATAGGTCTTTGTGTAATCCCTTCAAAGATCGCCCTTTTAAAACTGAGACACATGTACTGACTCTTCCAAATACTTTTTCTGTAATCTAATATAAGTTTGCAAATTAAAAATATAGATTGTTTTAATAAGTCTGTATTTACGGTTTGTGTACATCATCATCAGCAGGTCATGAAGGACTAGTCTCATCTTTGGACAAGTTATTATAAAGTCGTGTGAATGAGAAGAGCTTCCACCCATTTTTCATATTTAAAGATGTGGTTCACTGAAAACCTAATCTGTCACTTTGAGATTTTCATACAGGCTGAACATTAAAACAGTCTCCTAGAAAATAGATGGTGAAGTGCTAGGATTTGAAGATCCTCACATCTATGGCCTCACCCATCTTGGCGCCCACAGGAAGGCTGTTTTTTCTTTTTTTTGCAGCGAGGAGAGCGGAGAGTGGCCAAGGCTCAGTACTCGCACTTCCACACTTGCACCCTTCAAATGTGTGATCCCAGCCAGGGGTGGGAGTGTTTAGGGTGTCCCGATTTTCAAGTGCAGAATGATGCACACTTCACTGAAGTCTGCTTCGATGCTGACTTGGGTGAAGGGTATTTACCCATAATCCATTGCTGCGGGAGAAAAGGCTCAAGTGCCTTTTCTGAAAAAATGCATTTTCAAATAAAAGTAGTTAATTTTAGGACGTTTAACTGATGCTCTGAATGTTCAAGACAAATCGGTAATGAATGTAAATTTATTTCAAAGAATTGTTTGTTTAAAGTTATTAAAGTTTTTTTTTATTTGCACAGCGACCTGCATCCCGGCATGCTTTGCAGTCGATGACGCAACGCTCCCTGTCCCAATTCGGCAGTTATTTGCTTGTGTACCAGTCAAACCCTACTGCACACTTCCTCCAATTGCACTTGACAGAAGACTGTAGGGCGCAGTGCGAGTATTGGGATTAGGCTAGTGTCTTGGTGATGGTGACTTTGCAACATGGCTGAACACTTTCGCTAATCAGAAGCGAGGTGTGTGCATATCATTAATAATAAGTAATCTTGCTGTTTTCTGCACCAGCAAACTTCTGCATCTCAGAACAGGATCATCATAGCTTTATTTTTTTAATGACTTTTTAATAAACCACACCATTATCTGTTTTTAGGTGGAGCATAGTTCACTCTTCTGAAGATCCAAATAAGTAAATAGTACATTTTATTATGTAATATTTCAGATTTTTATTCACCAAGAATGTTTCTGAAGAGCCTAAGCTATTTGGCTAATTCTGCATCAATCACATTTTAACTCAAGATCTGTAGAATGAACAAAGTTAAAGACATTTTTGCACAAATTTAAACAATTCCAGGGGTTTTAGCAGGTCACCTCCAGGTTAGTTTTAAACATCAGCAGAAAGCTCCTTCTGATTTTATAAGTGACTATCACTGCTCTGAGATGTGCTTGCACACTTTGTCTGGGGCATGGAGGTGTTAATGGATTACTGAAAGGTGTTGACTCAGGTGTGTGTGTGATACGATCCTCAAAGTGTGCTCCAGTCTAGTTCAGACACCAGTCCTGAGTTCCAGTTTCCTCCTTCCCTCCTTTCTGATCTGCTTTTTGTTTTCTAACGCTTGACTTGTCCTTCACCCTGCTCATACAAAAGCAGCGTTTATCATCCTCGACTGACGTCCCCCTGCGATGTCTCTCCTCTCTGTCGCCTAACGTTCACCCACCGTCAACATGGACATCGGAGGACTGACCACTGTGGTGGCAAACTCTGCGTACATCAACGCTCGTGGAAGCATCGATGGCTCGAACCCAGCAGCCGCTCGGGATAAGAAGTACCATTCTCGCCTCAAGCTACCCCACATCACCGTGTGTGAGGGTCTGAGGGACACCCTAGACTTGGCCTTTGACTCCGTCTGTGTCCAACAGCCCATCGGCAAACGCCTTTTTAGAGAATTTTTGGAGGCAAATCAAGAATATCATGGTGCTTGTCGTCTGTGGAAAGACATTGAGGAGTATGACCTCGTGGAGGACTCTGAAAGGGCAAAGAAGGCCTCTAAGATCGTTCAGCGGTACATGGACCCATCGGCGAAACACTTCTGTCCATACTTGCTGGAGGACCTCACGTCCAAGGTGAAGGAAAACCTGGAGTCCGTAGGGGATGACCTGTTTGCTGCAGCTTTGGATAAAACCCTGGAGTACCTGCGAGAGGCTCCGTTCACGTTCTACCTGGAGAGCATGTACCTGAAGAGGTTCCTGCAGTGGAAGTGGCTGGAGATGCAGCCCATGGATGCAGACTGGTTCCTGGACTTCCGTGTGCTGGGGAAAGGTGGGTTTGGAGAGGTGTCTGCTTGTCAGATGAAAGCCACTGGAAAACTTTATGCCTGTAAGAAACTCAACAAGAAGAGGCTGAAGAAGAGGAAGGGCTATGAGGTGAAGATACTTTTTGATTTACAGTCATTGCAGAAGTGCTCTGAAAACCTTTTTAAAATGTAGATTGTGCAACAGGAAGTATATTTTGTATCCTTGCAAGCTATTCCAAGCAGTTTCTTGTTTTATTACCTGTTGATTTGAATAATTAAAAATGCATTTAGTAGTTTTTGTGCATTAGAGAAAGTGCGGCTTAATCACCTTTGTCCCTGCAGAATTAAACACTGAGACAGGGATAGAGTGATTACTGGGAGCTTTGCTGAAAAGCTCTTCTGAAGGAAACTCCTTGGCACGGTTGCATCTTGCCCTTGACATGTCCAAGGTCATTTGTTCACCCCCTTTCTAAAATGGCAATGGATCTGACCTCTAACCCTCATGGACAAAACTCCCTTTTAGTTTTAATTCCACAAGTCGCTGATGATGCAGAATGTCTTTTCCTGCTTTTTTCCTGCAGGGGGCGATGGTGGAGAAGCAGATTCTTGAAAGAGTCCACAGTCGCTTCATTGTGTCTCTGGCGTATGCTTTCCAGACAAAGGAAGAGCTGTGTCTGGTCATGACAATCATGAACGGAGGAGATCTCAAGTACGAATGAACAACCTATAAACAAACTTTTCTTCTTTATTCTCATTTTGTTTTATTGAAGTTTTTTTTAGATATTTAAAAAAATAATAATTTTAAGCATACCGTTACACATCCTGGTAGTAAAGTGTTTTTTAATGACATTGGGGGACAGATTGGCATTTTGCACGTTGTTTATAAAACTTGAACAGATGCAGAAAACTGGATAAAAGTTATGCATGTTTGAAGGAGAAAGCTTGTGTAGTATTTACTAAAAATTTACATAAAATGTGTAAATCTGGAGTCAGATTATGTTAATTTGGCTGCAGAGGAATTTTCACAAACACAAAATAAGCTTTCATCTTTGTAGATGACCTTAACAGTAACCCCAAAGAAGCAGGAGGAAAAAACAGGTTTAAAGTGACAGTGTGTATTTCCCCTGGCGATAGGGGGCAGTACATACGTAAATCATTGCAAGCAAGCGGTATTTTTGTGTTTGAATAAGACATTACCAATGGAAGGTCATTAGGGTCAAAACTCCCTGGGAGTGCAACCTCCAGCAAAAGGAAAAGCACATCAGACTCCCTTTCATCACTGGCAGTGAGTGAAGAGGTAAAACAACAATGTTTATGAATGATGAAAGTTTTGTAACCGTTTGTTAAAAATCAGTATCTGTGTTTTGTCCTCACAGGCTCACGTAGAAGGGAACATTGCGACTAATATGGCATCGCTCAGAGACTTAAGCCTATTTCACAGTGAAAGCATCAGCGGTGCGGAATGGCAGCAGAACGTCAGTGCTGCAAATAGAACCCATTATAGTCTATGGAGTGTTTCAAACCAGCCGCGACGCAGCCGTTTTCAGATGCGTCCCTGAAGATGCACGCTGCGCAGCTAAAGATAGGATCGAGTTCTGTCTTTGCCCCGAGCCGCTTCTGGGACACGTCAGTTTCAGCAGTTAACATAGGGCTAGACAGGAAATCACAAAAGGCTTCAGTGTAAAAGTTCCAGTAATTTTCTAAATAAAAAAACTGCAGCAATGCAATTTCATATATATGAAGCTTACGTGTGACCCAATGGCTTATTTACTCACAGTATCGTTCATGAAGTGCAGCAGTGTTTTTTTTTCATGGCTTTAATTCTGGCAGTGGAGAGGAACAACATCTTATGTGACATCAAACAAGAAATCAAATGTGATTTCCTTTTTTTTTTGGTCTAATGGGGGATTGCATGATCAAACCATGACCTTTAAATCTCAAGGGATCTTGCGAGTCAAGCGAGGAGGATGGTGGAAGAGTCGAGGGAATTTTGTGGTCTCGTGAGTCCAGCGAGGAAGTTGTTCCACAGCCAAGACTCTCCTGATGTGAAATGGACTGCATTGAAGCTCGAGGGTTAAACGTTCCGCGCCGCTTGATGCTTCCACTGCACCCTACGATCTTCTGTGAAATGCACTTGGAGGAATTGTGCTGTAAGGCATCAAGTGCGCGGTACACAAGTGTGCAAATTGCCGAACTGGGGCAGGGAGCACTGCGTCATCAACCGCAACGCATGCCGGCATGCTGGTTGCTGTGCAACCTAAAAAAACCGAAACCTTTATTAACAATTTTCAAATGAACAACCAAATAATTCTTTGAAATAAATTTACATTTGTTGTTGCTTTGTCCAAAACATTCCAGCATCAATTAATTGTACTAAAATGAGCTACTTTCATTTGAAAATAGATATTTTCAGAAAATGCCCTTGAGCCTTTTCTCCTACAGCAATGAATTGTGGGTAAATACACTTCAGCTAAGTCAGCATCGATGCGAACTTGGGTGAAGTGTGGTTCAAGGGTGCAAAAGAGGCGTGATCAACTTTAGCACTTGAGAATCGGGACACCCTATGCACTCGCACCCCGGGTCGGGATCGTGTAGTTGAAGGGCACAAGTGTGGAAGTGCGAGTACTGGGATTGGGCCGCTCTCCGCTCCCACGTATTTTAGACTCGATTTTTATGGTTATGTGTTATGAGGTTTTTGGGCGTCATTTAGTTCTTTTTCAACAACATTTCAATGGATATTTCCCAAGATTAACAGTAAAAACCACACATGTCTCCTTAATTGAAACTTTAAAATGAAGAAACCTTACAGATGCAAATGGGATTAATAAACGACAGAGCCATGAAGTTCACATTTCTCTGTCTCTGCCAGGTATCACATCTACCTGGTGGATGAAAACAACCCAGGATTCGACGAGCCCAGAGCCTGCTTCTACATCGCACAGATCATCCAGGGCCTGGAGCATCTCCACCAGAACCGAATCATCTACCGAGATCTTAAACCAGAAAACGTGCTGCTTGATAATGATGGTATTCATTTAGATTAATCAAATTCAAGAATAGAGAAAGGAAATCTGATTAATGACACAAAATATTGATTAACACAGGGAATGTGCGTATCTCTGATTTGGGTCTTGCTGTGGAGCTAAAAGAAGGTAAAACGATGACGAAAGGCTATGCTGGAACTCCAGGTTAGTGTCATGAGTAAAAATCAAGCAGTTTTTGAGTTTGTTTCGCAGGTTTTACAGTAAAATGTTGGTTTCCTGCAGGCTATATGGCCCCAGAGATGCTGAAAGGAGAAAAATACGACACCTCAGTGGACTACTTTACCTTAGGGGTGACCTTGTATGAGTTCATTGCTGCTAAAAACCCCTTCAGAAACAGGGGGGAGAAGGTGAGTTCCTGAATGGAGGGTGAGGAGGTCGTGTGGAATAAACAAGCTGACGGAGGGGGGGTTGTCTTCTGCTCAGGTCGAACGTGAAGAGATGAAGGAACGCATCATGACTCGTGAGATAACATACCCAGATGGTTTTAGTGAGGAAGCCAAGTCCCTGTGTGACGGGCTCTTGGCCAAAGAGGTCAATCAGAGGATGGGTTTGAAGAATGGATGCTGTGATGAAATCAGAGCACATCCTTTTTTTAAGAGCATTAACTGGAGGAAACTGAATGCAGGTATTTAAAGAAAACCTTTTATCTTCCAGAAACTTTCTAAACGTTCATCTAACTCTTACCTTTCACCCCTTCAGGTATTCTCCCCCCTCCTTTTGTGCCCGACCCTAAAGTGGTTTATGCCAAAAGTCTGGATGACGTTGGGGCTTTCTCCTCGGTGAGGGGCGTCGCCCTGGAGGATCTTGATAAATCCTTTTTTGACGAGTTTTCCACGGGGAACATCTCCATCCCGTGGCAGGAGGAAATGATTGAGATGGGCATTTATGGAGAGCTCAACCTTTGGGGCCCTGAAGGAACCATCCCAAACGATCTCCGCAGGGAGTCCATCCTAGAGCAGCCAAAGTCTTCTACGTGCTGCATAAACTGAACCAATATGGACTTTTAATTAGCTAGAATATGCATCTTTCAAACTCCTCAGGAAGGACTCAAAGTTACTTCTGAACTTTCAGATCACAGATTAAAATCATTCTGGGACCTTCATTTCTGCAGGCAAGAAGAAGAAAATGAAGGATTTTAAACTTTGTCACAAACGTAAACATTCACATCGTTAAATTTATGTCTTTTGTGTTCCTTCGTTCCTTTTTCTTCAGTGTCAACCTGCCCACCAATCACTTATTTTTAGGAAGAATCTAATTCTTTAAGAGCTTTTAAAAACAAGCAGCTGTAGTGATCATCTGGTGCTGTTGAACATCTTTGTTTCTGTTGCACTTTTCTGCTTCATAGATAACAAGTTATTTAATGTAAAGTGGTTTTTATTATTATAAAAACTTGTTACCAAATAGGTAAGATTCAAACAAATGCGATGTTTCAGTAAAGTGAATTATTCCTGAAGGTTTTGACTTTTTTAACATTTTATTTAGGAATAATCAAGAGGAGCATCCATGAACAGATTTCATCTGTACATTCTGAGACGACAATAAACAAAAGGTTACAGCATCTCATTTCTTACAAATCTCAAACTAAAGATGGATAATTCAAACGAAGCAAACATTTAGCAATGTTTTGTTGAATGAATTCGCTTTTTCATGAGGAGAATTGTATCAGGACGTGCTTTTTTTTCTGGAAAAACAATGTTTTATGGCACCATCCAGGAATGTCCTGCCAGTTCACACAGACCTACGGGTGCACAGACCCCACCCTTATGACCTGTTTTACAAGATAGAAATAAAAAGTGTATTCTGTTCAGATAATTCCATCAAGATTTATGATGATTTGCTTGTTTTTATTTACTTTCACAGACAGTTAAACCCCAGCAGAGATCACATATCAGATATTTCAGATATTTATTGAAACTAAGGAGAGGAAATCAAACATTCCTTTTAGAAAAAGGTGCAAAACTTTGTCTCAGGAAGTTCACGACCCTGGATCACTCCTTTGCTGTTGCCTTGTATATCCTCACATCCTGCTGTGGGAGTTCAGTGAGCAGCGTGGTGTTAAAGCTGCTGTTAAAGTGCTCTATAAACCTCAGATCTGATGGGAATCGGATCTTGTTGGCCCATAGTAAGGTCGTCCCACTTCCCGTCCTGCAAAAGTGATGCATGGTCTTCAGCAGCTCCTCCAGGAAGTTGTGGTGGTAGACCACGTCAGCCGCGAGCACGTAGTCGTAACGGTAGGAGGGGTAGGGGAATAGACGGTCAAGGTCCTGACCCCAAGACAGGGCAGCCACCTGGGGGGTGTAGCGAGATCGGCCCTTGGTGTTCCGCCGAAGGTTAAAGGTCAGGTTAGTCAAAACGTCTGGCAAATCAGTAGCCATCACCCAAGCTCCTGTGTGAAACAGGAGATTACAAGGAAATTGTACATTCAATGTGTTTTTGTGTTATGTGATGTTGAAAGTGGTGCTGAAATGTAAGATCTGTTACACCAAGATCACAGTTACAATCCTTTAGCATCAGCCATCAGCCCACGGTGTCTTTCAGTAATTTGTAAATAAGAATATTTTAGCTTTTCCTCTTACTTGGACACACAAGAACCACAAAGACTGATCTGTAGGTGGTTTTATTCACAGATTGCTGTTATTTCAAGGGAAAATAAGTTAAGTAATTACAAAACAGTCTAATGTCTCAATCACGTTGGAAGGAATTTTACATTGAAACAGATTTTATTCTCAGCTGGCTGGAGGGGTTGTCAGTTTTTGTCCTTTAAAAATGGACTTAGTTACTTTTTACACTCTGTGAGCTAGTAGGGTTGCCAAGTTTGTGCCAAGCTGGCTCTGCAGTGCCGGCATTTGTAATTCGACACTGTGCGGCAAACCGCAGCAGTGATTTCTAAAGACAGCAGAAAGAGCGATCTGAAAGTTTCTTTTTGTACCTCTTAGAAGCCACGGCATGTTTTTGTTTAGAAATGAACTCGTGTGTTTAGAAAAGGAGCTGCCGTACACAAATTTGACCACAGGATGTCATTCTTATTTCATTATTGCATAATGCATCTTCAGCAGTCTGCATGAAAACCTCCACTGCTGGAAGGCGCTGAAGCACAGCAGAGAGGGACTGGGTTTGATTTTAAAACATGGGTTATTGACTTACACTGAATTGGACTACATTGCTTTGAATTGTTTTCATCCATCCATCCATTTGACTGCTTATCTGGGGTCGGCTCACGGGGGCAGATATCTAAGCAGGGAGGCCCAGACTTCCCTCTCTCCAGCTAACTGGGCCGGCTCCTCCAGGGAAAACCTAGGCGTTCCCTAGCCTGCTGAGAGGCATAGTCCCTCTAGCATGTCCTGGATCTTCCTTTAGGTCTCCTCCTAGTTCACCAGGGGCGTCCAGGAGGCATCCTAACTGGACTGTGTCTCTTCTGTATACACATGCAATGTACCCTCAATGTGTGTACTCACCAAGCAAACTGGCCACTATGGAGAGTAAACCAGTTCCCGCTCCCAGCTCCAGCACTGCTTTGTCCATTAGATTGATCTGCTGCTGGTTGTTCTCCAGGAACTGACTCAAAGCTACAGCCTTTACAGAAATTAAACGATCAGTTTTTTATTAGCTGCTGACTCTGCAATAATCATGACTGCGTACCCCGGGCCAGATCAGAGCACCGTACGTATCCATGGACTCGCGGATGCTGATGTCATGACCTGCAAAATGAAAAGACTCCGTTCCCAGAGCGTAGTAAACACTCGGCTCCCAGATGTTTCTCCTGCTCAGAGCCTCCTGTTGCATCATCGTGTGTTGGTCTGTTAAACCTTAGAGGCCAGATACATTAACGAAGCTGAGTCCATCAGAAATGGAAGCAAAAAACAGGCTCAATATTATCTGAGACGGGAGAATTTCAGGCTTACCCTCTTCTGTGGAACTATCCTCGATCTTCAGCTTTCCATCTGGGTTCCTATCATTATCCTCCTTTCTGTTTTCAGAATGCTTTTGTTGGAATGGTTGGCCAGCCGAGAACAATCCCTCCATGATGACTGTAGGAAGCTGGTACACTTCTGTTTCTGCTGCAGGCTGTCTACTGTGATTTTACGTTCGCAGAGGCAGCATCGTCTCTGACCCACCCCTGAGAGAGATACAACCGGACTCCTCCCTGAAGCTTCAACATCAGCTGTGGTCATTTGAAAGTTAAAGTCCCATAAGTCATCATCACACGCTCGTGAAAGTTATCTCCGCATTTGACCCATCCACGTGGGGAACGGTGAGCTGCAGCTGTGACCACGCTCAGGAACTATTTGGTGGTTTAACCCCCCCAATCCAACCCCTTAAAGCTGAGTGTCAAGCAGGGAGGTATTGGGTCCCATTGTTAAAGTCTTTGGTGTGGCCCCATTGGGATTTGAACCCGATCCTCCAGTCCCAGGGCAGACACTCCACCACTAGGCCACTGAGAAGGTAATGAACATGGCTTAATAACATTTATTATGCACTTACCATGAACAATTACTCCTGGGGCTATGATAAAAAAAGTAATATAAGATTTTGTTTGTTTTAAGTTTATTTTTGTTTAAATCTAAAAAAAAAAACTTTTTTTTCAGATTGCTTCTTGATCAGCCTCCAACAGAGTTATTCCAAATGCAACTATAACAGGGTTGTACAAACTTTTTAAGATGAAAGCCAAAGTTAAGTAAAAATTCCTTTCAGCCACAAAAATGTGATTTTTTTATTGTAAAAACACTAGAAAAACCTTGTTTTTAATATTTATTTATTGCTTAAAATAGACACCATATTTATAAAAAAGATCTCAAATATTTAAAAATTATTTATTTTATTTTATAAATTTTAATCTACATTAACAGCCTGGTGGAGAACCACCATTGTAGTAATACAATAAAACACTGCAGAAGATCACTCTGAGGGCCAGAAACGGACATGACTGAAGTAAAACCTGATGTTACAGCTGCCATCCTAAAGCAGCTCGTGCAGTCTTTTCTTTATTTTTTAAATAAACCTTACTGTGAAATAGTTCAGCTTGGAGCTGTTAGACAACAGCAACACACTTTGGTTTTACACTGACTAGCCGTTCCTGTTAGATGCAGTCTCTATTTTTCTAAACTGAGGCCTTTCAGGAAGTTGTTCGTTTACAACAAGTAAAAAAAACACTTATCACTAAGTTTATTATTATTATTATCATATGAGTCTGAGAGTGAACACTTTGTAGCTTTGATGAATAAACACACACACACACACACACACACACACACACACACACACACACACACACACACACACACACACACACACACACACACACACACACACACACACACACACACACACACACAGGAGCCAGCAAACGGCTATTCTTGCTACACGAATCTGGAAAATGTCTTGAACTGACAGATGGAAACCATAAACAGTGAGTCACTCCCATCTAAACAGCAACACCAATAATCAGTGCAGGTATTAGGGGGATTTCCATCATAATAATGCACCATGACCTCAACTAGACAAATCCACTTGCTTTGATTTTACTCATTAATCACTACTGATGAAATTCAGCAAACAAGCCTGCTTCGTAATGAGCACAGAAACAAACCTGTCTATAAATACGACTCTGATGTGTCGCTGCACAGTGAACAGAGAGAAGATGCACGTTTTAGTGTGATCTCTTGATGTAATTCCAGTAGAAATCCATTTTCCTGGTCGGAGATGGATGGAAAATCAAAAAAGGACCTTCACAGACGGCAGCTATAGCAAGAGAAAAGTCCTTGTCATGTGAATATTAATAATGGTGAACCAGGGCATGCTGGTGGTGGATGCATAGGTGGAGCAGTCAGCAAATACAACAGCAGGATAAAGACCTTAGTGTTTGTAATCCCCATGTCTGTGTGCAAAGGTCAGGAAAAGATAATGTACACTAGTGGAAAATGAGTTACACACACACACACACACACACACACACGCACACACACACACACACACACACACACGCGCACACACACACGCACACACACACACACACACACACACACACACACACACACACACACACACACACACACACACACACACACACACACACACACACACACACACACACACACACACACACACACACACACACACACGGGGGTGGAAAAGCAGGCTCATAGCAGCATCTTTCAGCAGCAAGAGTGTGTGAACCTATCACTAATCGGGTGTTAAGCTGCAGCCATTTAAAGGGTGTGTTATTTGATGCTTTAATGAAAGAACCCCACGTGTAATTAGCTCGCAGTGATGCAGACTGTTTAGATCCGAAAGGTGAATTTCAACAGCTGTGGCAAAGAATTTGAGCCTTGAAATGCACACATGTCACTCAGTTAATCGGCCGTTCCCTGATTCTGTTCTGAAATCCCTGGACCTTCTGGGTTTAGTGTGCAACAGAACACTCGCTGTACATGGGCCGGGATGAGCCGGGGGTTTATGCACATTGTCCTCTTCACAGAGGGATGCCTGTCTCATGGTTTCCTGGTAAATGGGTCACATCAACCCCGCCAGTGTCCAAGCGAACTACGTAACCTGATAGGGAGTTTAACATTCTGCAATAAATCATTAATTCATGAAGGTTTTTAACAAACGTTGTCTCTTTAAGTTATTATTAATCATATCATGTGAAGAGAAAGAAACATTCAAACATTCTTGTAATTATAAATGTTCATATTAAAGTACAAAGTCAGAGTTTTTCAGTTATCCTTTTATAATTATTTGGAGCTTACACTGTATGGTATGATGCTTTTGTCGAGTACGAGGACAGAAATGAGCAAAGAATCAATCAAAACCCACATAAAAACTCTGAAAAAAGAAGATTATAAGACAGTCTGGCCTCATGGAAGCAGACTATAACAAAATTAGTGGTCGAAAAATATTTTACACAATTCCACATCCATTTTTTAAGCTGCCGCTTCATAAAAAGTTGACAGAAAAACCTCCAGAAACAAATAAAACAACCACCAGCTGTCATTATTACAAGTCAAATGTTACTGAAATCTGATTGGAGCATATTACCATGTGACATAATTTCATATAACTAAACTCCACCCATTTTTACCGGTAAAGAAAGCAGAAAACAAACTTAAAACTGCTCTGCATCCCAAAATGAGTCTCGACTGACAGGACGGTTTTATTATTCATTCAGATGAAATCATCCGGGGTGTTTTATCAGATTATGGTTCCTGTTGTTTGACATATGGCAGGAAAACAGTTGAATAAACTTTAAATCAGGCTGAGAGGCAGCTTGTCACGGATTTCCCTGCACAAGTATCAAGAGGGAAGGAGCAGATGAAAGCCTGAGGTTCCCAGCAAGTGAAGTCATTAAACTTCCCATTTCCTGGAAAAGAAAAAAGGAGCAAGAATCAGTTTTATAAGATCAACGCATCAAACATCGTGAGAACACGGACGGATGCAATCAGGCTGCCATCATTGTTGCTAGAATAAAATACTGATAAGTACCCAACACCTCCACGCAGTCCTCCACTCCTGCTGTGTCGTTGGGTTCTCCTGGCAGCCAGTCATCATAGCTCCAGGGAGATCCGTCCATCCAGATGAACCGATGACTCTGGAAGATAATCAGATAGAAGACTCACTTTAAGTACTGTGCTGTTATTGCAGGAACAGAATGAAATAAAATTCCCAGCATCCCTTGAGGGAATCGTGCACATGCACTAAACACACACATCCAGTCGTAGTCCTCCCATCCAGGTGCGTGTGTAAGCTCCGTTTTCCTTTAGTATCAGACTCATCAAATGCATGTGGATGTTCTGGTTTGGGATGGAGGTCAAGTGACCTCCTGGAAACTGTTCCTGGCAGAACATCTACGGAAACAGGGAAAACAGGGATGAAGAATGAGATCATTGCATTACAAGTGTCTGCGGTGTGTTCCCTGCATGATCATACCTCAGCATCCCCATGAGTCTTTGCCTCTTTGAAGAATTGGTAACAAGTTCCTCCAGTGAACGTGCCAGTGCAATACCGCCCCCCTGTGGTGAAACACAAAATTACAAGAGCCTCCACCTCCAGTCTTTGAAAAATAAAATAAACGAAACAAACCCTAAACTGAATTTACCTGAGCTCGTGGCATTTCCTCTCATCAGAGCTTGCTGTTGTCCCACGTTAATCTGAAGACCTTTGTCCTCTGTTGGTGAATGATCTTCTCTGGAGGACATCTCCATCACGGTCTCTTTATCAGAGAAATAATTCACTAATTGTGGCACCTTCTGCGGTTCCATCACCATCATCTCAGGTTCACCTTCCTGGAAATCCTTTTTCTTCTCAACAAGATCCTCCTCTTCCTCATCATCATTCTCCGTGACTGGCTCATATTTTCCCTTCTCAGAGTCAAACAGAACTTCTGATTCCACCTTAAAATCAGCGTCAGTGTGGAGATCGATTTCTTTGTCTGGCTCTACTTCAACCTCTCCCTCCACAGGTTCTAGTTCTTGCTCTGCTTTAACTTGGTCATCCATCTTGACCTCTGGTTCTGCTTTGACCTCCATCTTCTCAGCCACAGCAGCTGGTTTCTCCTGCAGCTCTCTGGAGTTCAGATTGACTTGTGGTCCAGGATCCTTCACCACCACATGACCTTGCTCAGGTACCAGGTCTCCCAGGACAGGACTCTGGGCATCACCTCTAACAGCAGGTGGTTGATCCACATCTGGGGTCAACATCGGTTTCCCCAAGGCAACTGCAGACATAAAAGAAGACTTGTAGACACAGAAAACTTCAGATAGCCAATTACAAAGACACTGTTAGCTTGAATAAATGAAAATACAACAAACAACCACAGATTTGCGCAAAATAATATTTTAGCACTGATTTTAGCTGAAAGAGGATTAGTCTCTCAAGTTGTATCTTTATTTAATTTTACTTAAAGGGATAAAATGCAATATTTTCATATTTTTTAATCATTTTCGTGAGCCAGCATGGGCTATAATGACCCTTCATGGGGTTAATGAATCGTCACTCAGACCCCACTGCCCTCTGTGACCAGAAAGCCGCTATTGCTACTTCAGAGCTGCAGGTCGGTGCTTGTGAGGAGAGGAGCTGACATGGTGAAGCTACTACTAGTTTATCCGTTTAATTGTAGATCCACTAGGATAAATACAATAAAGTTTATCTCTCACCAAATAGAATATTTACTAAGAAATCACAATATAACTATAGACACATTACTCTGTCTTTGTGTGTGTGTGTGTGTGTGTGTGTGTGTGTGTGTGTGTGTGTGTGTGTGTGTGTGTGTGTGTGTGTGTGTGTGTGTGTGTGTGTGTGTGTGTGTGTGTGTGTGTGTGTGTGTGTGTGTGTGTGTGTGTGTGTGTGTGTGTGTGTGTGTGTGTGTGTGTGTGTGTGTGTGTGTGTGTGTGTGTGTGTGTGTGTGTGTGCCTGCTCTGTCTTCTCGATCCCCAGTGAGTCGTGGTGGATGGCTGCTTATACTGAGCCAGGATTCTCTGGAGGTTTCTTCCTGTTAAAAGGGAGTTTTCCTCTCCACTGTCGCTTTATGCTTGCTTAGTATGAGGATTGCTGCAAAGTCACTGACACTAGTCAGTGACTTGATGCAATTTGCTGGGTTTCTTATATAGGAAACATTATTTCTGATCGGCTTAATGAAATGACCTGAATTGGAATGTTTATTATGTGAAGTGCCTTGAGACAACTCTTGTCGTGATTTGGCGCTATATAAATAAACTTGAATTGAATTGAATTCCAGCACGTTTCAGATCGTGAACACACCAGGTGCTAAAAGCGAGCAAAACTGTCAAGTGTGCCTTTAAACACGAATTGTTCAGCGAGCTGTGTTAAAACTTAACAAAGGTGCCTAAATGAAGTCAGAGTGCCAAATATTAAACAATTACACAAATGTGATGATCGTTTAAGATAAATAACAACAGGTTTAGTACAAATGAACTCAAAAATCCACCCTTGGACAGACATTTTCTAGAAAGAAAGACAATAAAAAGCAGTTTTTAAACTAGTCAGAAATTAAGTCTGTTACCTGAGAGGCCCAGTGAGAATAACACCAGAGTCTTCATCCTAATCTCTAATCTATCATCCAGGGTGATGCCTGTTGCTTTCTCTCTGTTTTAACTGATTATGGTTGGTTTCTTTATATCCTCACTAAGTCATAAAGCATGACCGTCCCCTCCTCTTATCAAATGTGGTTTCCCCTCTTTTGTTTCCTTATGGAGGGGAAAAGTTCCTCGTCTCTTCGGGAGAAAATAAACTCCCGTCTGACTCAAGCAGCCTTCTTAAAACGGACAAAAGATGCAGACGTTTTCATTTTTCACTAGTTTTTCTTTTTGGATAGAAGACATTAATGCAACTTGATGGATGATTTTAATTATAGTTGAGGGTCTGACTTGAAGAGTTTTTAGACTCTAATCTGGACTTCAAACAGAAAATAAATAATTGACTTTCTTTCATTGATGATTTATTCTCAGGTGATCTCAGAGGAGGAAATGGAAAGAAAAATAAAAGTTCCCATCAACGTGATGAGCAGATTCAGTGAATTTAATGTGAACAAATAATTAGATTGTTTAGACTTTAGTTTGGTTTATGTTTAAGGAAATGACAAAATTCTGGTTGAGTAAAGATTTCTTATAACTAGTTAACAGGTTTGTTGTGAAGAGCACAGCTGTTTAAAGAAATGACCCTCCACTCACTTGAGCAGGTCTATCTCAGAGCATTTGTTAATGTAAAACATGTCAAGTGCTGCAATGTGTGTGTGTGTGTGTGTGTGACATGACATCAGTGTGTCCTGCTTGAATCAGAGCAGCTGCGGCTGCTGATTGTGAACAGGTGCTGCAGCTGAGATTTGTCTGGTTAGTGTTTCACTGTCCCTCTCCTTGTGTGTGCTTTCTGCACATGCATGCGTGTGTGTGTGTGTGTGTGTGTGTGTGTGTGTGTGTGTATGAGCAGCCTGTTTGTGTGTGTTTGTGTGTGCATGTGGCCACAAGTGTAAGCATGTGTGCACATGAACCAAAGGCAGCAACAATGTGTCGTTGTGTGGATGCTGCTGCTGGTTAGAAATCTAATAGCCAAGGACACAGAAGCTCAGCGGCAGCTGTCCCGTCTCTGCTCCTGCTCCGACACATGGACCCACGCTGTGACATCCTCCTCATGCAGATAGAAAACTGATTTCTTTATGTTGCACAATAACTATGGTAATGTGGATAAATGGTGAGAAATTAATAAAATTGGATAAAAAAAAACAGCAACCTTGCTACATATGCAAGGTCTGGTTATGACTGATTTAATGAAACACAAACTGACATATAAACTAATAAGAAATCCATGCTCCTGGAACATTTCTGCTGTTCAAAAGAAGGTTAGAGTTGACTTTATTTTTTTTTTTAATGTATTAGCCTAATTCTCTAACTGGAAAGTCTGCAGAAACATCTTCATGAGAAGAAAAAATCCTGTTTTGTCCTCAAAACTCAAGATGAATTCAAATTTAACCCATTAAGGCTTCATGCATTCACAAATAATCAGAAAAGTTATTTTTAAAACTAAAATGTTTAAATGCTAATGTGACCATCATGAATTGCTAATAATGAAAATAAATGATCTATGTGTGTTGCAGTACTTACGTCATCCATCAGATGGCAGAATATGGGATTTTCAAAATTTAAATATTCTTTATTACAAAAAATTGTATCATATAAAGCTCTAAAAAATTGGAACTAGCCCTGTTTTCATAATTCATTAGAAGGAAACCTGTAGCTTTAGTTATAATTGTTGAACAAACACTGTAACGCTGGCCCCTAAAACTTTATGTGAAAAAGATTCTTTAACATGTTTATTTACAAATCTGTACAAATCACCTGAAAACACTCACTGTGAGTCTATGCAAGTTCACAGCTGAATGTGTGAAAATGGGATATATTTGGTTTGTTGAACAGGCCAAAAAGTGGGATCAGATTGTTCAGGGAAACAGAATTTGGCATAACACTCGCTTGTTACTTGGCAGATCTCTCTGCAAACAGTTTCTGCAAAAAAACCATGGTCCTTAACCATCTGAGTGGAGTTTGTGCATCAGGCTCAATAATACAGTCCAGAATTTAGTTTACTTTACTTAAAAATAATCTTTTCTTTTATATGGTGGACTCGTTTTTTAAAATCAGAGTCAAACTCAGAAATTAGGGCTTAAAGGAAACACTAAATTTCAGTTTTACTCTTTGTTCTACATATTTTGAACTATCAGAATAAGTTCATTTAGGTCAGATACTTTTAGGTCTCGTCTTTCTGATGACTGTAAATTTTACTGAGATGGCATTGTATTCCTCAGGCTAACATTTGACGCAGGTTAAACCCCACAGACCCCTGTGTGGCTCATATTTCCTCTGCGTGTGTGTGCGTGTGTGTGTGTGGACTCTCGCACCCCTCACAGTTGTCCAGTTGTAAATGAATGCGTGCTCCCCGCCCGCTGCAGATGAAACCTGAAGAAGAAGAAACTTCTGGAGTTGAATCTTTTCAGACTCATCAGACCAGAACACCAGAACCTGGACGGACCATGGAGATGCTGGCGCTGTTTCTGCTCATGTTACACTGTAAGCTTTATTATTATTATTCTTTAAATTGTTCCCTACTTTGTTTTACTTCAGGCTTTCCACATATTGTGAAACAAATGAGTTTGCTGGCACAAGTTATTGAGAAACAACATGAAGATGAAAAATCTGAATTTTCAGCATAAAATGAAAGAAAAGAGTAAATGCTGCTGTTTAAAAAAGTGTGAACTTTAGAATATTTTCACATTTTTCATGGTTTTAGGATGAGGTCATTTATTAGGTAGCTGATTTAAAACAAAACCTTAAAGAGGAAATAATTTAAAGAGAAAATAGCTGCGAATCCTGAACAGACATGTACGGGTGCAAACACGTTCTTTGTGTTCAGCCTCTTTAAAGGATTTGATGAAACATTAATTTTATTGAAATTATTTGCAGCAAAGTCATTTGCAGTGATTTTCATCTATACCTTTCATTAGAAAAGCAGTGACTGGACTTGATAACTGTACTGATCAGTTGTGTGTCTCAGAGCTTGTGCAGACCCCCACATGCACCAGCGGAGGAGGGGGTGTTTAGTGTTTCCTGGGTGTGTGTGTGTGTGTGTGTGTGTGTATGGGGAGGACAGATTGTTGGAGGGAGTGTTTAAGCTTCATGTTTACATTGATCTGGCTCTGATGCTGTTTCAACCCAAGATCCACATGCAGATGAGATGGATCACGCGGTCCTGCAGCAGAGTTTGAGATCCCATTGTTTGAGTTTCACAGATAGCCTCTGACTGACCCGGCTGTTAATTGGACGGGGAGGAGGACCAGTTCCTGTCAGTAAAAATTCATTTGATGTTGCTCTGAAGGCAGCAAACAACTCGCCTTATGTTTGTAATTGCAGCTTTGACGTGTGTGAGAGTGTGTTTTGATCTTTCTTGTGTTTACTTTACCAAAGCAGACATCTATTTCATGCAAAGATGAAAAGACTTAACTGCTCAGTATCTTCACACTGAACGTTCCCCACACAAAGAGTGTTGGGTTCATTTACTTATGTTTTTTGTGTGGTTTGTTGGGTTTGGTTACTGTCATACAGGGTGTCTATTTTATTGCAAAGGTAAACTATATTTGTATGCAAAAAATATACAACTTCCTAGTTCATCCCTCAAACAACCCAGCAAAAAGACGACTTTTAAAGATTTCACACATTTGTTAAATAGACATTGTCTGCTGTATGTGTGTGTGTGCGTGTGTGTGTTTGTGTGTGTGTGTGTGTGTGTGTGTGTGTGTGAGAGTCTTTAATCCTGGTTGAAGGAACACATCTCTGCGGTTATCAGGCTGGGATGAAGCAGCCTGTCAGACAGTGATGCATCACATACATTCCTGTACGCCACCGCTCCTGGCACCAGATCCTCCATTGGTTTCACTGGTTTTGTAAGAACATGCAGGATCTCAGCTTGTTTCCATGTCCTGGCTGTAAAGCAATCAGAACTGATGTGTGAGTGCCGAAAACAACCCTTACAGTTTTACTCTCACAGGTGGAGCATGATAGATTCAGCTGTTATGCCCCGCCTGACATCAAAACTTTATTAGAGATGCTTTCGGTTGTTTTTAATCCCAAAGAACATGGAGGTGGAAATGGCTCAGAAAGACGGGAAAGTAAAGGAGGAGAGGGTTCACAAAAAACACTGAAATATGTACAATAATCTACTTTTAGACCTGCAGAAAAAAAGAGAGAGAAAAAAGGAAAGACAAAAATACAACACTGCACCAAACTACGTAAGGATATATACCAGTGGCAATTTTTGCTGAAAAACACCTGGTAATAATTAATTCACAGTACATTTAGTTCCAACCACAACCTAACACCTGAATCCATACTTGTGAGAGTACCATGCGAGCACCTGGCATGACCTGACATGGAAGTCCTTCACACAACACAAGTGTACCATTTTCTGCAGGTTTATAAGCTCACAGCTCACAAAGCCACCAATGCTTCCATTATTTATACACTCAGCTATCCCATCGTGCAACGCACTACAGCACCCGATACGTCATCTGTCAAAGACCGATTCAGGGTGTGGAAGTTGTTAGAGGAAGTGTTTCTACGAAGAGTCTCTTTGAACTTTGTTAAATCCATTTCCTTCTTCTCTTTCCACTCCTCCTCATTTATATAAAAATTACTTCTTCTTTGTCTAATCCTCTTTCTTCTCTTCCTTAAATTAAACATTCACTATAAGATAAAAAGAAAGAATAAGATTTTTTTAAGGCTTTATTAAATAAGAAGGCAAAAAATTTTCTTCTACGACCAAAAAAGAAAAAAAGGGGTAGTAACATCTTTCGGACACTAGAGGGAAGCAACTCCACATCTTCCCATCTTTTAAAAATGCTGTTGGAAACCAGTGTTGTTTTGTTAATTGCCAGCAGAGAGCGCAACATCTCCATTCTTTCAATGCAAAAATACACAGTGGAAGAATTCAGAGGAAGGTTTTCCACTAAGGATCTCTTTTAACTTTATAAATCAAGTTCCTTCTTCTTTTTATACTACTCCTTATTTTCTTCCTTAACAATAATACTCCCTGGAGGACAAAAAGAAAGATTAAGATTTTCTAAGGTTTCATTAAAGGGACAATGTGTAGTTTTTACCATTCTTTTCTGGAAATATCCAGCAAAATATAGTTGAAAACGAACAAAATGATGAAAAATATTGGCCTAATCAGGTCTAATAAGCATGGGAGCGAGTCTAAGTCTCTTGACAACGCCACATTAGATGCCATGTTTCCTTCTACGGGAGCCCATGAGGACAAAATGCATTTACTGATTTGTGACAAACAGTTACAAAACGTTCACTATTGTTAAACATTGTTGTTTTACACATTTACTTCTTCACTTGTTGTCAGGCATCTGATGTGCTCGTTATTTAGCTGAAGTTAGCACTCCCCAGAGCTTTTTGACCCTAATAGCGATCCATTGGTAAGGTCTTACTCCAACACAAAAATACTGCTTGCAACAATTTAGGTATCTACTGCCTCCTATCGCCAGGAAAAATACACAATGTCACTTTGAGGTACAGTATATTAGGGAACCTAAGTCACATCCGCACCATGGGTCCTCGCAAGAATGAAAAAATGAATGCAAGTCAACGGGGCTAAAAACGCTATTTTCTAATCCGCTTTGCCTTACGCCCTGGATCGCACACACGTTGTACTGCAATTTTAATGAAAACTATTGATGGGTGTTTCAACCATGCCAGTCACGTACTTTGAGATTTATCAGCTTATAAAAGTCCGTAATTAGAATGACTACAAACTAGGAATCGGCACGTTGCATGTATGACGTCACCACATAATCTCCTCTCCCCTAGTGTAGCTGCTACTTCCCTCATGACCAGATTTATGGTGGTTCTTTCCTCCTGTGGGAAGTTTGCTGAACTTACAGCCCTTTTCCCTCAGTTTTCCCCTTGTCTGGTTCGATGACGTCACTTTCATGAAGCACATTTGTAGTCCTGGACTTATTTTCACACAAAACCTAAAATATCGTTCTCGCCATTCGAAAATAAGCACGTTCTTGGTATTAACATGTGTCTAAAATTCACGGACATGATATGTGAAATCCATGGCACAAAACAAGCGGAATTAGAAAATAGCATTTTTAGCTATTTAGCAATTCTTCATTCTTTCAAGGCAGCACAAATAGATGCCCCATTGGGCTCTGGAGAGCACAGCAGGGTCACCGCCATATTGGGTGGGTTCCACACTCTCCAAACTCGACTAGTGCCAATGCAAAGAGAGCAACTGTGTCCATTTTTTGTGCATCATATGGTTGCAACAACTGGCACATTATTATTGAAAACAGATCACTGTTATCTTCCTACCTTTTTGAGAAAAATGTTTGGACAGTTTCCTTATTTCTTTCCTTACAAATCTTATGGTTCTGACTGTCCATGCTAAACTTCTCTAGAATCTGAATCAAGAGTTTTAATATTTAATTATGTCATAAATAAGTTATTTGCAAATTGCTGTAGTTTAAAGGACAAAATAGACAGCATACCAAAATAAATACCCATATTCTGAAATAACAAATAAAGGTGGAAGGAACACATTTCCTAATCATTCTCATTCATTACAAAAACACAGAAACCTTCAAATAGGTTAGAGCAGTCCAGTTTTACCCTGAATGTAAAATTAGTAAAATACATTTTCTGGCAGGAATTGTCCACCTGCATGTTACTGATTTTTAAAAAACACAACTTAAAATACCTGTTCTTGTATAATCTGTGCACATGAACATAAATAGTTTTTTTTTGTTCACAGTTTTATTCATTTCTTGTATTACTTATTTTTGCTAAAATTTTTGGGTTTTTTACATTGCGGAAAGTGATTACAGAATGAATTTCGACTATGAAAAATCAACTGTACCTTAACACCTTTATTTTTCCCTTGGATAATTTATTCAACTCATCAAAGCACACATCCCAATTAACCCCAAAATAGCTAAAACTTGACTTTCTCTTGACTGATCGTGTCATTTTACCAAAATCTGGCATCTAAGATTTCTGTCATGGAAACTTCCAATACACACTGAAGAGAGCAGGCTTGGGGTGCGTCACATCTAAAATGGTCCGGGTGGTTGTCTGGGGTCAATGTTTCTAATAGAATGTGATGATTCGGTGTTATCTGTCCTTTGGTAAATTATCAACACCAGATCTATTTGATCAGGTTTAGTTTATATTTAGTGTTAAACTATTCAACCGATATGTTGCACATTCTATCTTAAACTGCCCTAAGCAGCATCTTGAACATGGCCCCCACAAAGCTGTAAACAACTCTGCATCATATGATGGAATGTCTTTTCAGGATTTGCTCAAACAAGCTTAAACAAACTGCAAACACTGATTTTCTGTCCTCCTGCAGGCCCCGTTTGCTTATCAGTAACGGTCAGCAGCAGCAAACCCAAAGTGGAGATTCATGAACACACAGGTGAGACTGTTTTAATCCCCCAAAGAGTCAAGGACAAACCGATGAAGTCACAAAATATTAACTTTTAAAAAACTGTTGTTTTTTTTAAAATTCAGGTTTCAAGTTAATCCAGTCAATGTGTTTTTTTTACCACAAGGCTGTTGAACAAATTGTGTATTCCAGTGTTCCAACACCAACAGTCAGTATCTGATGCTAAAGGGACAAAGTGCAAAAAGAAAACGCAACAAAAATCATCCAGATGAGAGTTTTATGTTTGAATTGTTATTTTAGATGTTGTGACTAAGCTGAATTTTCTCCCTAATTCGCTAAACTAAAACCACTCTGACTGCTGTCTGCAGCAGGTAAGATACTCACAGGTACTCCACATAACCACTACTTTAATAAATAGGGATCCTTTTGATGTTGTACTCATCAGCCACCAAAAACCACTTACTCAACTTGACTTAACAATTTAAACGAGTTATTCTGTTTTCCTTTCCAAGATGCCGTTCTGTCCTGTGAGTTCAGGACGGAAAAGGATCAGAACCCTCGGATTGAGTGGAAGAAGAAAGGAAAAGGGGTGACTTTTGTTTACTTTAACAATAAGTTTATTGGTGAGTGGAAGACCTTCATGAAGCTTTCTTTACCACTAATCCTTACTTCTCCAGTCATCTCTGCTTGCCTTCCTCTTTAGGATCCTATGCAGGACGGTCTAAAATAGAAGGAGCAACGCTGACCATACACTCGGTCACTCAGAAGGACTCAGGAGAGTACCGCTGTGAGGTGACCGCCAGTGAAGACCACGTCAACCTGGGCGAGGCAACAGTTACTCTCAGTGTGCTCGGTAGGGTTCAAACCTGAGTATGCATCAAAACTCATTTTATGCATAAAATAGATCGTTTTTGCTGAAATAAATAAATAATAACAAATTCTTAAATGACCAGACGAGATGAAGATACTATTCCTGAAATTCGAATTGCAACTTAATGCAAATAATCTGCAGGTAGATTTACATCACCCAAAAACAAACTTAATTTTATTTAGCTTGGATGCTTTAACCAAATATTAAAGGGATACTAAGCAGCTTTACTTGCTTTTCGCACCCCTTAGTGTCCGTTATTATTTATCTGTGGCCAAAGCAAAAGCTAAACTTATCTCCTCGCTGTGCGCTCGTATTTTTAACACCTTAATCTAACAGCTGAAATGTCTCCTCAGCCTTCATTTCTACAGGAGTGGTTCATCACTAAATCAAACAAATCAGCTGTGTTCATGATCTAAAACATGCAGGAAATGTGCTGGAAGCAGACTACGGTTCCAGGTATGTCAGCTCAATTGATCATAGTCCACAGGTGTGGCCTGACACTCTGAAGTTGCAAATGCGGTATTCTGGCCACAGAGGGCGGTGGGGTCCGAGTGACATTTCATTAAAGGGTCATTTTAGCTCATACTGGCTCAAGAAAAGGATGTGAAAATATGAAAAAGTTGCATAGTATCCCTGGTGTGACCTTGTTTACATTTCATATTTGTTTTTAAAGTAGATTAAGCAGAAAACTTTATTTTTTGCAGCCTGATGAATTTTTTCCCCTGTATTTTCCACCTCAGTGCCTCCTCACGTTCCATCCTGCGAGGTGCCGAGCTCCGTGTTCATTGGATCGAGCCTGGAGCTTCAGTGTAAGGACAAGCTCAGCGTGCCACCTGCAACCTACCGCTGGTACAAAGACAACAAGGCCCTGACGTCCACAGGAGAGACGCCCTACAGCATCGACACCAGCAAGGGCACGCTGGTCAGCACATGCAGTTTTTATATTCCTGCAGACAAAACAACACAAACAAGCTGAAATACTAATCTGTTACATTTATACTTGGTTTGGATCAGAAATTCAAAGGTGTATCCAAATCAGATGAAGGGATGTACCGCTGTGAGTCCTCCAACAGCGTCGGGGCTCCCAAGAGCTGTGTGGCTCAACAGCTCAACGTCATTGAATGCAAGTACCAAAAAAAAACTGACTTTAATTTTTACAAAATGAAAACACAAATCTAAACAGATCTACTGTCCTTTCAGATCCCTTCAATACAACCATTTTAATAGCGAGCGCTTCAGGATTTGTGGCGCTCGTCCTTTTCTGCTGCATCTGTGTTTGTATCTGCCGCCGCCGAGGACGCTGCAAAAGTGAGTACTACTGAGTTTTATTTTAATTTTGTGTAGCAGCAAACTCTGAACAGAGGGCTAGCTGCAGCAGGATTAGGCAAGAAACTGAGAGAAAGGCAAGAAATAATCAAAAAGGTGCACAGTATCCAATGGACCACACTGGGACTGCAAGGGGCAAAGACCTTGCCACATCTTAGAAAGAGAAAAAGTAATCAATAAAAACATGAGGCCCGTCTGACCCGACAGGAACGCAGACGGCAATGCAAACTATGAAACAGTTGCATGTTCTGGAATTTGCCTCAAGGACTTTTAATTTAAGAGCAAATAAGTCTCTAAATCATCACAAGGTGTCTTCCCTTCAGTCACAGGCTTCACACTCATGTTGCTGAAATTTGCAAAACCAAAAAGTTTGCTCTCAAAATAGTTGCTGCAGCTTCTTGAACCCTTCTTTTTCCTCATCTTCAGGACTCAGAATGTGCAGGAAATGTGATTGTGACTGAACGGAGACAAAAGAGACAAAACATAGAAAGTTACTAACTTTTGATCTTTAAATTTGCAGAAATGTTGCTCATTTATTTGCAGTTAAAGATAAAACTAAAATGCCAGAAGTAGAAATTCAACATGATTCCAGCTGATGCTTTGTTTATTTTCTCATAGTTTTTATTTTCCCATTTTAGCTGCCAGCAGTTACAGTTCAGAAAACATCAGTTTAGTAAAAAATATTTTACATTTATGCATTTTTCAGCTCACAGACCAATAATAAACATTAAATCTATTTACTAAGCCTCTTACCTTTGCAATCTTGCACATAAACTACTAAATTAATAATTCTGTGTCCAGATTTATGAACAAATTTAATTAAAGTTGCTACGTTTTCAATTACATATTGAAGTTTTACATATGAAGAGACTTAAAGCTGCACAAATATCACCAATTTATCACTACTGCAACATCAAAGTACACAAATCAATATTGCAAAGGCTTCCAATTAATCATAGAATGAAACTAATACACATATTTGACAAATGGGTGGACTGTCATTCCATTAAATAACCACAGCCAGTACATCGACATTTGTTTTTATCGTGTGGGTTTCTCAGTAATCTTGCTTCTGTAAAATAAATGCAAACCAGCATGCAGAAACACTTACCCTGATTTTATCAGCGAGCTGATATGACTGATTTGACGGGGATGTTTAATTACTCCTCCAGGATAGGATTTGTGTTCAATGTGGCGATAACCATCTAAAGCAACACATGTTGAAGCTCTTATTTATTTAAAACATTATTTTAATAAAGTAAAAATAGATAACTGCAGCTGTAGTAAAGACTAAACTCTGATGGACTGAGAAGATTTATCAGATTCCTGCTGCTGACCCAGATCCTTTCCTCTTTGTTGTTCCTTTAAACAGAGAACAAGAAGACAAACAGGTGAGTAGATTTAAATTTCTCTCTTATTATTCAGTTTTTTTTCTTTAAATGATCTCTTTCTGAGCCTCTAATGAGCCGTCTCCCTTCAGCTCCAAGCCCTACATCCCTCCACCACCCCCTCCTCCACCCACCCGCCACGTGAGTTGTTTGTGCTCAGACTTGTTGTTCTTGCATTCATTTGCTGCTAACACTGCTCTCCGGCTAATTAGAGGAAGTGATTCAGTTTTTTTCCTCTGCAGCTCAAACACTACAAACAGACTCGGTCCTTCATGATCTGACGCTGAGCGACAGCTTCATCTGGAGGTCGGACGGACGCCCTCTGGAGTTCAAAAAGGACTTTTTAAAGACTTTTCATGTACAGCTCTGATAATTCTCATCTAAATGCATACCTGAATCACATTTGTCACAGCCCCCTTTGGCCTATTTTGTGTTGAGATGAGGCTTTTTTTGTGTGAAATTAATTTTAAAACCTTTACAGTGTTTTTATCGGCAGGCATTTTGTCACAATTGTATATAAATTATGTCACGTATGACACTGTGCCTTGTATCGGCTTCAGCTAATAGTTTTTATCTTTTAATGTGTATTTAAAAACATTTTTTTAATACTTCACAGACCTGTATGTATGTCTATGGTCTTATGATCTTTGTTATGATTACTGCGTGGTTGAACAGGTGTCTGCACACACTGAACACTCTTTTAAAGCATAAAAACTTTTATACACACATGCTGAAAAATTTAATTAATAATCAATAAAAAGATGGAACCATTGTATTAATTTCATTTCCACACAAATATGTGATTTTCCCTTTAATATTTAAACCATGAAAGAATGAAGAAAATTGGCCTTTTTTTGTGTGCTTTTTTTCTAAATCATTTGGGGTCACAATATAATTTATGTGAAAACATCATATTTTGCTTTTGCGCCCCTTAGGCCAACACTAGAGGGTAGCAGTGACAGCATGAGTGCTTCAGCTGCAGATTCCAAAAGCCTGCGTGATGCCAACTGTTTATCCGTTTTGTCTTTGCACAGATCCACAATTGTTCTCCTCCCATTGTGCTCATTTTCTCCCTATTTCGCTGGCTATGAATCCAAAGAGCCTCGCCTGTTTTACATTTCTGCCCACTCCTTTTGAGTTTTTCTTTGTGTACATACTTGATGATTTTGCACGCGCTTTCCATATAATAGGATTTGATCACCTCGAGTCCATAAACACAGAGACTGAAGAGAACAACAGGATCTGAGAATGGGAAGTGAGCGGATCCAGTTTGTTCTGTAAATATTTAGATATGGTAGATGGAACCTGTCCACGAGTGGCTGCTGAGGCTGCCAACAAAGAACACTGGCTGTGTGCTCAAAGACAATAGTGAATAGTCTGGCATTCTGACAAGTGTGGGTTTCATCAGAAGGAACAGCTTCAGCATTCAGCATAATGACAAAACGAGAACACAACATTCAGATTTTGAATATTTCAACCAGAAATTCAGGGACTTCTATGCATAGAGGACTTAAATATTCATTTCCTCACCTCTTTAGATGATTTTGCTTTTTAAAATGTCAGTTTGTGCACTAGCTCTCAGTCGGTGGCCATTAAATAACCACTTTGCACTTTACATTAGAGCTCTGAATGACTCCAAACAGGCAGATGTGAGACTTTTCAGGCACACAAAGAAGCTATCACGCCAACTAATTTAAATAAAATCAAATTTATTGTATTTATACAGCACATTTAAAAACACCGAAGGTGACCAAAGTGCTGAACAATAAACCAAAGCTACAGCAATAAAACATCACACTTATAAAATAGATTATAAACGATTCAATGTGCTTTCCATCAGCAAGAAGAGCAAGAACATTAATATTAAAATGAAAAAAAAAAGACAAAGTTAAAGGGTGAGCAGTTACAGTGCAGAGGGTGCAGCATAAGAACATTTATTTAAAGGCTGATGAAAACATGAAGGTTTTCAATTTTGTTTTAAAAGTTTGTAGAGTTGGGGCAGATGTGAAGTCATGAGGAAGCAGATTCCATCTGTGTGCATAGCTAAAATCAGCTTCACCCTGTTTGGCTCTGACCCAGAGTTGTACCAGTTTACTACCTCCTAAGGATCTCAGAGCCCTGCTGGGCGCATAAACAGGAAGGAGATCCGACATGTATTCTGGCCCCAGGCCATTGAGTGATTTATAAACTAGCAGAAGTACTTTGAAATAGATTTAGTAGTTTACAGGTAACCAGTGTAGAGATTAAAGAACAGGAGTGATGTGCTCGGCTCTCTTGGTGTCACGAACAGAACTCAGAAGACCCGTGAAGACGCCAAACACAGTAAAAATAGATTAAAAAATGTTTATTTGCAGCAGAATTACCAGGTGGATGAGGCTGGAGACAGAGTCGGAGACAGGCGAAGGTCGTAAAGGCAGGAAGAGTTCAAGACAGGGGTCAGGAGAAAAACAAGGTCCAGAGGCAGAAATCAGGCAGGGTGAATAGCTGGAGAATTTACGGGCAGGGCTGTAAATGATCTGGCAGGGAACTGGTGGTTTACTGGTGAATATATAGTAGGGGAAGCAGGTGTGTGAGATGAGCTGAGGAGTCAGGAGCAGGTGAAGTGGATGAAGCTGACTGTGGTAGTCAGGGAAACAGGGTTTGGCTGGGGCTTAATGAAGAAACCAGGTGTGCTGCATGAAGGTTGAGGAGGGTGAAGGATTGGGAGTCATGACACTTGGTTCTTGTTGAGACTCTAGCAGCAGCATTCTGAATAAGCTGCAGTTGCTCCACAGCTTTTTTAGGAAGACCAGACAAAAGACTGTTGTAATAGTCCAGCCTGCTGGAGATGAACACATGAATGAGTTTCTCTAGGTCTTGTCTGGACATGAGACCTCTGAGTTGTGCTATTTGATGAAGATGATAAAACACTGATCTAGTTTTAGCCTTAATGTGACCAGTGAAGCTCAGGTCTGAATCAATAATAACATCAAGATTTCTAACTTGGGTCTTTGTCTTTATTCCTCTGGAGCCAAGCTGAGCAATAACCTCCATCCTATCCATCTTATTTCAAGACAGTAACTTCAGTCTTGTCTTTGTTTAACTGGAGGAAGTTTGACTGCATCAAGTCATTAACCATCTCCAAACACTGACAGAGTCAGTCTAGAGGACCACAATCACCAGGTGATAGAGCTGGGTAGATCTGGGTGTCATCTGCATAACAATGATAGGCAATGTTGTCATTGCGCATGACCTGACCCAGGGGCAGATTAAGCACAAGTCAGTACATTTAACGGATAATACCACTGCCAATTTAAGAAACAACAGATTAAAAACAGTCAGATTTACATAAACAAAAAGCATCCAGCCAATTAAACAACAGATTTATTTCACACACAGAAAGGTGATACTTGATTTTTGATCCTGCTGTCAGCCTTAAACCACTTTCTTGCAGGTTTTATTTGTGCAAGATTTAATTTACTTTCCCTGCAGAATGCACATGAAAAATGAAAACAGTGTTTATTTGTAACCGTTTTATGCTAAACTGCAGCATTTTCAGAGACCCGTGGAGCTCTTATCCTGAACAGCATGTGCATCATAGTGATTTATCTATGATGCATTTTCTGTCATTACCTGGTTTATTCTGACAGTTTTTCTGTGAAATCATTTCCATGGCGCCGTGTTGGACTGCCTGGAGCTATACGAAGAGGCTGCTGTGCTCTGACAGCTCTGCCAATATTGGACACTGGACAGTGTGGGGAGTTCCCCTGAAACCAGAGATGTCAATGTATTAATAGAAACAAAATGTCTGCGAACACGTCAGTCCGAGTTCCTGTTTGATCTTTGCTTCACACAGAGCAGCTGCCAACAGATTTCCTACAATGTCAGTGCGATGATATCTGTAAGAGGAAACGCCCAACAGGCAAACACGAACAAGGCAATGTTTTGATGTGAGTTGATTTGAATTAAAAGGTGTTTTCAATAAAACATTTCTCCACTAAACTGTTTATCTGGACCAGTTCAGCATCCTTCATTCGAACCCTAACCCCTTTTTCATGCCTTCTGCTGCGTTTGGGATCATTGTTCTGTTTCACCGGTCCCCACCACAGAAGATCAAGTTAAAACAAGCCACAGCCCTCTGCTACCATGCTGACATCTGATAATGCTAGCTGTGTTTCGTCTCTCTCAAAGATGGAACTATGCATTATGGGAAAATATCTCCACTCTGATCTAGTCTGCTCAGATTGTTGACGTCACTCCAAAAGTCATGTAGCTATTTGTTGCTCTTGGCACCTTTATGCTCCAGGACCCAGAGATTTTGTTTCACATCAAATATTTCACATCAGCACGTATGTGTAGTGACCAGGTAGGTAGGTTTTAACGTTGCACATCCGCAACGCCTGCCTCAAGAGGGTTGAAGTTTAAAAACTGCATTATTTATTAAAAAACATGACCTCACACAGCCTATAATCCTGACTTTCTACAGCAGCTGACAGACGTGTGGAGGAAGAGCTGCAGGTCACCAGCTGTAACCTGTTTTCCCATCATGCTCCATCTCCGTCCTGCCAGAACTGGTTCAAGCTATAAGTCACGCTTCAGCCACTTCATGCAAGTTTTGCTCTTCTCTCAGCTGTTCTGTTCATTAATTTATGTTGCTTTAACGCTTGCATCGCCCACCCCTAAACTTTTGTTCACATGTTCTGCTCATCAGTCTGAATAAATCAAGCAAGTTCCTCTTCCTCTTGTTAAGTTTCTGCACAGGACACATTTTGCAGCACATGGAAAACTCATGCAATATTAAGTTGCTATTCTTTCCGCTGGGTGTCTGCAACACAAGTGATAAAACACCAACATCCAGACCTGCCAGCTGATAAATGGTACCATCATGCTGCATCATGCTCTGGTCTTCTCCTCCAAACATCTCAGCAGGCCTTTCATTGTGGCTGCTCACTCTGGATCGCAGCTCGGGGGGTTGTTACATCACATTTTTAAATGTGAGTACATGAGAAAGATAGTTGAGATAGTGTGAAAATATGTGAGAGGGAGCAGCTGAGCGTGAGTGGGTGGCGGCCGTTCGATAAAGTCTGTGTCAAGACCACTTTTTTTTTTTTTTACCTTTTTCACCAAGATGTTCCAATTAAACTTGGAGCTGGCTTTATGTGCAGCTCGGTGGAGAAGTCAGCTTCCCCGGGTTGATTTCTTCTAAATATAATTTCTAAAGAGAGCCCTCCAGGAGCGGCGAAGAACAGGTGGCACAATGCTCACAACACACGGCCTCACAGATTCAGACACTCATTTCTTTTTTACACCAAATCTGCAAAAATAATCTGCTTTGTTTCCCCCACTCTCTTTGCATTCTTTCACACAGCTTCCTTCACTTTTACAGTCCCTCAGTGTTAGCAGCTCTCGGGTTATGCAAAGCTTACATCACACACACATCAATGTATTTAGGCCTAAGGGAAATTTGTTGTGGTGCAGGGAGACAACTACGGACACAGAGGTTACCACAGGAAACTCTCTCTGTTCCCACCGTAGGAGTAAAGAAATAGCAACATTTAAACATTTAAACTTCACCAGACGACATCCCCTGCAGTTTCATTAAATCTTTATGCTGCAGGTCTCTCGTAACGCGGGGAGTCCTGCTGAGAGTTTGCATGAGAACCAGAAAGGAGGGGCTGCTAGAAGGTTTTTCATCTGTTATCTCAATGTTGTCTTCCTGCTGTTGTTCAGCAGCATTCACTGACAGCAGAGTTATGTGTAATTACAGCAGAAATGGAGGATGTAAATGGTTTTGCCTTGATGCGCACGCGCACACACACACACACACACACACACACACGCACACACACACAGTCCTGCTTTCTTGCAAAAGCAATTTGCCAGGACTTTAACTCTCACACAAAACAAAGTGTTTCTTATTTGAGCTCAAACAGCAGCGTCTTGTTCAGATGAAACGTTTTGTCTTTGTGTGACTGCAGCTCAGGCCTTTAGTCCTCATTCATGTAAGCGACTAGAGGCGTTTCCAGTTTTTCAACCTATGTATTTCTGAAATCTAGCTTCACAAACGGTGTCAGAACATACACATGTTCAAGTTTATAGTTCATTTTCTCAACCTTAGCTGTTACAAATGGCTGATCTTTGGGTATATTGGTTTATTTTTATATATAATTCAGGTTTCTTACGTTATTGCACCAATAATACCATAAAAACACTATTTCTAGTAAACTAGCACATTAACCAGCATAAGAATTTGAAGCAACTATATTGATCAGATATGAAAAAGAAAAAAGATGCTTAACCAAACAATTAAAACTCTAGTTTAGAGTCTGACTCAGCCACGTCCCATTTTCTTGTGTTTCCTCTGTCTTGCTGCTATGAATCTGAAATCACAAGAGATTAAGTGTGATTAAGTGTAACCACAACTCACATTTTGCCTTTTCAAACCAGTTGTTTAGACCTTTGAGGAAAGAAATCCTGCACCGTCCAGTGGGAAAACTGGTGTTGGCTTGTATAGAACCGAGTGATGTGTAACTACAGTGAAAAACAAAATTATGATTTTCTCTCATCAGACCAGTAGCAATCTGCATAAAATCTGCAAGTCCACATTCTGTTCAGGTTATTGAAGTTTTCATGAGCTGCAGAAATCTATTTCCTCAGTACAAAAAAAACCTGAGTGTGTGCTGCAGCCTCTTTCTCCGTTTCACTTCTGTTTTCAAAACTCTCACAGTTTGTAAGCAGACGTGATGACCAGATGCATGATTTTTATATACCAAAAACCATTTATCATGAGATCTGCGTTGTGTGTGAACAAGATCGTTTTGTTCTGGGGTGTTTTTGAGTCTGAGCTCCAACAGATGGCACAAAATCCAATAATATTGTACACAGCAAAATCTGCAGTGTTAATTAGTGTCAATTTTCTGGTGAAAATGATTTAGAGTTGATGGTTGTTGAATCCTGGTGTGGTTTGAACACCCACGGTGTCCAAATAGCTCTTGGGGTGGAACTAACAGCGCGAGCTAAGCGCCAACTCTCCTGTCGAGTTCATTTCTACATCCAGTCTGAGAGGAGAGCAGGCAACTCTAGAAAGTTCCAGGCAGCGCGGGCTAGCAGATGCAGTGTCAAGTTTTCAACGTCAAACGGTAAGTACCACATATATTTATTAATAAAGAGCCATAAACAGCACATAAAATGGGACTTTAATGTAATTTCGGTTTTAGACTGTAAGATGTAAAATTTTGTATCCAGCTAAAGCTAGCTTAGATGCTCGGTAGCCTCAGAGTTGATTAGCTATAGACTAGCGCCGTTTTGAATTTTTTAGAAATTAGTTCGGCTGGCCCTAAACCCTGAGAAAATGGACTGGAATTAATTAGTGCAGCACAAAATGTGCGGGAAATTATCGTGAGATTCCCGGAAGTCCCGTTGCACCGACTTAATTTTAGGCGCCTGTCCGGTTTGGGGAGCTAATTCGCATCATGCTAACATAAAATGGTCATACACAGACAAACAACACTTTCTCTTGATAGACGTTTGAGAACGGGTCGCTAGAATCTCAATGGAAAGAACAGCCACTCGGCAGCAGGCGGACGCGCTGCTAACGGCAAATGTTTGTGAAGCTTTAGCCCACTGCTGCAGGTTACATGACTGGTAAAAATAGCTCTCCGAATGGGAAAAAGATGGAGGACACAGCGATTGACATTGTTAAAATATAAGGGACAGAACAGTTCAGTCGGGTGTGGACGTAGTTCTGCTTTCCTCGTGTAAACTACCGAGGTAAACTACAAACTGCTCCTGAAGCAGAAACACCCGCAGCCGAATGACTCAGCGGGATTTAGAACTTTATAATTCCAGATAAGAGCGAGCTCATCTATTTTCTTTAAGCACCATGCATGTAATTGTTCTTCTTTGTGCTTAAACAGTAGAGAAAGTCACTACCAAACACACACAAGCGGATTTAACGAGTCGATCCGTGCACATTGGATAAACGGAGAATATAAAGATTTTCCATTTCTGTTCTTTCTAAGCATGAATAATGTCTTGTTTTAAGTTTTTTCTTTAAATATTGTTTAGATTTCTACTGATTTAAAACACTTGTTTGTTTGAAATATGTAAATTTTAGAATAAGCAACAAGAATAAATATAGAGACTAAAACTTGAGAATTTTTCATTTTTATGCCAGCTTTGAGTTTTGTTTTGTTTAAAATAAATCTATTTTATTATATCAAACACTAACTACTTTTCTCCTTTTGACATTTTTTCCTAAGAAATCATCATGTTGCTGAAGGTGAAACACCAAAGTTCCAAGAAGTACATACGGTTACAGCCAGGGTTCACATATTTGGAGTTCATCAGTGAAGGTGGGTAGCTGTCTTGTGTACCTTCACAACAATCTGAACAAGCTAAATCTTTTGTTATGTTAAACTACTTATACTTATTGTACCTTTTTCTTAGTAATTTTATTTGGTCTTCGACAAAGGCAGAATTTGTAGATTTTCACATCACATGTAAATGTTTACTTGCAGTGTTGAGTTAGCAAATGTAAATAACTGAAATTTGTTTTGTATGCACATAAGTTAGTGACTGAAGTGTCACATCACTAAACTTCATTTTTAAGTGAAAGCAATGTGGAATTTTAGAGTAGCTTTAGAAATACAGTTCTTCTTTCTTTCAAACTAAATTTTGCATCAGACATATTTACCTCATGTTATCATCTTCTTTTAGTCAAAAACAAGTTTGGGCTTCCTGATGTCACAGAACTGCACATTTTTGATGAGACTGATACAGCAGTGGAGGAAGACATCTTTCTTGAACTGATAGAGGCCAATCCTGACATATGCCTGACTGTAAGTGACAGCTCAGCAGGTGATGGTAAGTTTCATTTCATTGTTAAATCTTATTTTAATGAATGCTCATGGATTTTCAGGTGCAGATTTTTATAATACCTTTTGGCTGTAACAAGCTGGCTATTCCAATAATATATTTAATACTACGATCAGCAACAGTATCCAAAAGGCAAACATTTAAAATTGTGGTTGTTTGCAGTTGCATAAAATCCAGCCAAATTGAATTTTGTTAAGAAATCTATTTTATTGAAAAGATAATGCAAATTGGTCTACATAATTAAACAGATAAGGACTTTACACATGATATGCGGATAACACATGGTGCAAACATACAAGAATAAAAGCTATGTTACACATGCACTCAACAGCCCATACACCCTAATCACACTTTACTCTGTCTACCTTCATGAAAAATTATAGCTTAATCTCTTTAATTGAATATGAAATGTTAGTATAAAATAAACAAATGGAATGAAACTAACATATTTCATACTTAGCTGATTTTATTAAACACATATACTTATGGCAGAATTACCTCAGAACTGCACTCCTCCACCAGGTTGGCAAGTTATTTTCTTCTTCATGTTTGAAATTATAATTTTTTTTCTTATAGCTCATTCAACCTCATCCTCCCTCACGGATACCGTGTCACTATCGTCTAGTGACAGTGATCTTCACAGAGATTTGGGGATCCCTGTTACTGGAAGTAGATTGAGCTCTGGGGTCAAGAACAAGTCTACCACAGAAGTTTCAGAGTCTGAGGCTGCAAAAGAGGTACTTCAGATTCATTTAAAAAAATTCTACTGTAATTGGCATAATTCAGATTGCTACAATATAAATATGGTTTCATAAAAAATTGTAAATTGTATGATAAGATAATCTGAATGAATAGCTGCTGCAGGTATTTATTTTTTATTTTTACTGGCTGGCAGGGAAGTAGTTCTGTCTGTTTTAGTATGAACTAGGAAAGGGCAAAATGACCTAAAACTGATATTGCGCTAAATTTTGAAGCACATGTTGTAATGATAAATATCTCGATTTATTCTTCTCTTCTGTTTATAAATGTAAAAATCACTGTTTTTGAACAATCTGACATGCCCAGTTAAATTGCATAACAAATAATTCTTAAGTATACAATAAATTTCAATATATATTATTTATTATAAATTGCATTTAATTTTCTAAACTTAACTAAATACAACATATCTCAGTTTTAATGTTAAGGTTATTTTTCCTAACAATGCAACAAAATTATAACATGAATAAAGATGAAGATATTTTAAAAAACAAGCTAAATGTGACAGACTAGATTCTAAATTGTCTGAACTAAAGTGAAAAATGCAAATAACGATAATGATTCAATAATGTATCATATTGTTCTGAGGATGTTTTTCTGCTCAGCATCAGACTACAAAACAAGGTCTGTGTAACCAATGTAACCTCATGCTCTTTACAATCACATCTTCACGCTCTCTGCTCTCTGTGTTTCGTCCAGAGCTGACGCAGATTGACAACATTCATGTAAAAGCGGGACAAGTTTACGCTCAGCCTTGTTACTTAAAGAGCTGAACTGTCGCACTCCTCAATGACGTCATTAGCAAGCGCCAGTTAGCCGATAGTAAATCTTTATCGTAGGCCAAAATCATACCGGTTACATTTTGTACAGTTTATACCATGCATTACTAGTAAGAACTGAAAAATGATGGTTTATACTTTTTGTTTTATTTCGCAAGACATAACCTGTCTCTGTTAATTGACAACTTGTTGTAGATGGTAGAGAATGCATTGCATGTAAAACCTGGAGGTGAGGATGTCTTGGAAGAGTACAAGTTGGAGAAATCCCTGCAGCATCGCACGCGCAGGCAACTTGTTAACATACTGGCTAGTCATATGACTGAGATGCACGGCTAAGAAACTGGACTGATTCAGATTAAAAGGATCAATCTAGCAAAAGGAATGTTTGGTTTTCAAGATGTACTGAATTATGGTTTTATAAAACCTTGTTATAACTTACTAATTTTTGTTTGTATTCGTTTTCTTTGTTGTAAAGGAGGATTCCTTCACGTAAGCAGAAAGAGAAGTATGCCCTGGGAATCATTACGCTTTTTCCTTCACTGAAGGATCCTTTTTCTCCAAAAGGCTACGTAAGTAAAAATAAATAAATAAATAAATAAATAAATATATATATACCGTATTTTCTGGAGTATAAGTCGCTCTGGAGTATAAGTCTCACCAGCCATAAAATGTATAATGAAGAAAGAAAAAACATAAAAGTCGCACTGGAATAAGTTGCATTTTGGGGTGAAATTTTATTTTTCTTACAAAATCTGAGACCAAGCATTTCACATTGCAAGACAAGTACTGGTAACAACAGAATAAAAAAACAAGCTGTTGCATCAGCGGTACGCAGCAGCGTGCCACGATCTCCAGCAGAGTTTGGCAGTGTTTGAAACCCTCCTAGCGGGACAGGTGAGTTCATTCCTGGGTCGGAGCCGGCCTGCAGCAGCGCGGTATAGCCTACATAATTTGGTATATAAGTCACTTTGGCTGGTCCTGTGACTTATATACCAGACTATGGAAAAAAAAAAAGTGCAACTTATAGTCCGGAAAATACGGTATACCTGAAGAAAAATCTACTCAGACTAACTGTTCAATGTTTGTAGGGATGCACATTTTGAAAATTTCTTTAACCGGCTAATGATGCCCCTTAACGATTAATAGCCGGTTAACCAGAACCAACCAACAACGCTCATTACATTTATGAACAAAAAGAAAAGAGTGAGATGACAGCTGGAATGTCCTTCAGACTCAGAACTAGTTGTGCAGTGAACCGTCTGGCATCAAATACACATCGCTGCTGGCAATTGCACGCTCATAAGCGCATTCTGGAGACCACGGTTTAAAAAAAATACTTCCTTTCCTTACATTAAACGAAATAATTACACTGGCATGTTCTGCCAGGCTCAGCACTTTGATGGGAGGCCTATTGTGTTCCAGGAATGAAATAACGAAGAATAAACTGCTTCCACAGTGCTAATTGCTCAGTGTTTGACAAGCTAATTTCTTCTGTGGTTGCCCGGGAAACATTATAATAGTGTTACTATTGCGCCCTCTAGTGGCACATAATATATTACACGGAAACGCAGCAGCAGGATATGAAACTGTTGACCGGGAAAAACTATTTTACCCGGTTACAACATTAACAGCAATTAAGCGGTTAACTAAGTGCATTCCTAAGTTTTTAACATAATATAATTCACCAGTTAGAAAAAAGGTCTAAAAAATAGTGTGTGTGTGTGTGTGTGTGTGTGTGTGAGTGAGTGAGTGAGTTGTACCCAAGCCCCCACAATGCCGCTCTAAAAATGGTCCCATCCCGGAAGTAAGAATAATTGCAGTTCCACCCTCATCCGCTGGGGGCTGGTGCCAGAAGCGAGCAAATCCTCATTGACTCCCATGTTAAAAATGCCGATTTCACAGCAGAAATAAACATGTTTACAGCCTGGTGCCAAAACATGTTTTTTGTCTAAATTATCTAGTTTATACTCATGACAACTCTGAGGGGGGTGAATTTTTTTCTCACTCTTCTGTTTAAGTGTATTGAAAGCCTAAAATTCTGTATAATTAATGAGCATCCGACACACGTGACCGCCGCCTCAGACCCACGTGACCACAGAGCTAGCTCCGTGGAAAGGCCTCAGTACAGCCTCGGTCTGGCTTGGAAACTGCTCCGGCATTTTGAGTCTCTGTGTTTGTGTATTCTTCTTTGGATATTATTGGTGCAATTGTTGGACAAAATGACTTGCAGTGGTATTAATTGCACTAATAGAGCGTCCAAGGAGTCTCCACTTCATTTTTTTTCGGTAAGTTAAAATCTATATTCGTATTTTATGTCACTGCCACCTTTAAACTAGCTTAGTTTACCGAAGTAGCTAGCTAACTATCAGTTTAACATGTAGCATGTACTGTTTAACCATGAAATTTAAATGTAAAATACGGTAAAATAATTAATAGGGCATATTTAGATGGGTAATAGGGTAAAACCCAGTGCATTTAAGATAAAAATGGGTTGAAATATGACGGAGCGCTAAGAGGGAGACTTCTGTGTCCATTCTTCCATCCGGTAATCCCCAGCGGTCAGGCCGGGCAGCCTGACCGATCCGGCGCCTACTTGCTGCGCCTAGCTGCTGCGCGGTCTGACCGCTCGTGGAGTTTTTCATGTCTGACTTTAACCGCATCTACCGTATTACGGCGTGAGTGCAACAGCGACAACTTAATATCGATGTGTAAGCAGCCTGAGTGGTAGGGTGTTTTCATCTGAACCCTTAAAACCTCGAGCAGGCTATGCTGCACTATTGACGTGTTAGCGCGCGGCGCAACTTAGCAACGTGACATGTCTCTGAGAAAGCGTAAAACACGGACGCTTCTTCTGAAGCGGAAAATAACACTTCTTCTTAAGCAGAGCAGGATGTCGCCTCGGCTCGTTCACGGCCGAGCCGGACTGAGCTCGATAACATTGACCAAGCACAGCCACTGGGTCGTTGTAGCTGCCACCAGGCCTGCTGAAGGAACTCCAGCGGGTTTCATCAGACTCGTAAAGTTTCTTGTTTTTGATGGGGATTTCTGTATTTTACCGCTCCCTCCTGCAGTCTTCCCCTATTAAAATTTAAAATGTGTAACTTTATGTATTGTGATGAATGACTAATATTCATGTAAAACTAAAACGTTAGGCATTTAGGGGGAAAAAACAAAATAATAAACATTATACAGATGTCAAATAAATCAAACTGTAATTAAACTATATATTTTCAAAGTCATATAGACAGCATGATGGTTTGTGTGATCCGCGCGGTTTCACTTACACCCCTTTAATGATCAGGCTGTTTTTTATTATTTTTATCAGCTGATAGCAGTTAAAATTATGGTAAAAAATACTTTTATCTGTTTTTGATAACTTAATGCCCAGGAAGAGCATCTTCCTGGGCATTAAATATAACCCAAATGTTTTATTATGAGCAGATCTGATGAAGGTGTAGACAAGCAGTCTGCAAAGTAAAACTTGTTTAGAGTCCAAACTCTTACTAAAGCTTTTGAAAAGAAAAAATGGTTGAATTTTGAGAAGTATCCACAACAGGGGAGCGAGACCTCTGAAAAATGTATATTTTCTCTGAATTCATAGAATAATGTGAAGATTCTGGGAAAAGTTGGGATTCTGAGATTAAAACGTAAATCTTTCTAATCATAATTCTGGCAGTTTTTGTGTCCTTCTGCTGTGGAAAGTCATGCAACATGAAGATACTGAGAAGATGCTTACAACCTGTATTTTTATTCCATCCATAAATAAAATCATGAGCTATTTTTTTAATCCAAATTTGATCCAAAGGGCCATCGTTGGTTCCAGACCCGTTCTAGAACATTCCTCTAATCTTAAAGTCATCATCAGTTTCTTCCTTTTAACAAATATTTATTTGTTCAAATATTTAATATTTATAACTGGAATATTTGTTCCTCCCTCTCCCACTGCAGTTAGTCCTGTCCTGCAACCCTGTTTTTGCAGCTAGCGAAGCCAACCATCACTAACCTGGGGGTGGTTTTGGACCCAGAGATGCGGATGGACTCCCACATTAGCCAGGTGGTTAGATCCTGCTTTTCCCGGCTTCGCCAGCTACCAAAGATGAAGTCCATCCTGAAAGACGTGTCATATTTTCTCCCCAAGCCGGACCTGACCGTCATGTATCGGTCCAAAATAGTGTGATGATATTGTGTTTTTTGTACATAACAGACTTTTTAACAGACAAATTTGTCGCATTCTCCTACACCTCTTCACGGGCTCGCCACAGTAAATATTCTATTAGGTGAGAGATAAACTTTATTGTATTTATCCTAGTGAATCTATAATTAAACGGGTAAACTAGTAGTAGCACATCCAACGTCAAAGAAAGTAAAATGTTACTATCAGGAGAGGGAGAATGTTTAAGTGGTTAGCAGCAGTGTGCTAGCCGATGCCCCCCTCCATGAGGCCACCACAGCTCAGCAGAACATCATTGTAGCTTCTTCTGGGGAGAAAAACACTTAGAGAGAAAATAAAGTTAACAGCTGAAATAGCAGGAAATAATACAGTTAAAGAGCAGATTGTAGAAGAAAGAAACCCCTGGGTTAAACTGGTCTGTCTACTGCATAATGCTGAACTCTAACATGTGTCCTCAGGGAAGGACCTGATTGGTGTCCAGAACCTGCTGAAGAAGCACCAGGCTCTGCAGGCTGAGATCACAGGTCATGAACCTCGCATCAAGGCTGTCACCCAGAAAGGAGAGACCATGGTGGAAGAAGGTAGAGCAGGTCTGGTCCTGACATGTTTCTGAGGTGTCTGCAGGTTCTGGCTCACTTTTTTTGGGTCCAGGTCACTTCGCTGGTGAGGAAGTGAAGACTAAACTGTGGGAGCTTCATGGACGTTGGGACACGCTGAAGGCCAAGGCGTCCCAGAGGAGGCAGGACCTGGAGGACTCTCTGCAGGCCCAGCAGTACTTTGCGGATGCTAATGAGGCCGAGTCCTGGATGAAGGAGAAGGAGCCCATCGTTGGAAGTCCAGACTAAGGGAAAGACGAGGACTTGGCCGGGGTATGGAAGTCCCTTCCTGAGAAACTCCAATCGCTTTTCTTTGCTCTCTTTCCAGTCCTTCATAATTAGTGTTTCTGTATTTGTCATTTCCTTCGGTTGTCTACCAGACGTCGTTGCTCGTTTGAGCGTCTCATGGGTTAGGGGTAGAAGTGCTGGCCTCGCACAGGAAGTGATGACAAACGTGTTCCCGTCGCTCTTATTTCAAACGGTTTACAAGCTGTGATGTGTGTTCCCGCTGCAGAGCAGCCATGACACGTGGCAGCCGGCAGAAGGCTCACGCTTTTCCACTAAACACCCGCAGAGCTGCGTCTGCGGTGAACTGAGCAGGGTTTGTTTTACAGTGGCGGATCCGATTGGACCATCGCTGCGAGAAAGCTCCACTTGTGTCAGACGAGCTGAAGGTTCTGATGTTCTGCTCCACAGGCTCTCCTGAAGAAGCACGAGGCCCTGATGTCGGACCTGTCGGCTTACGGCAGCAGCATCCAGGCCCTGAAGGAGCAGGCCCAGTCCTGCAGGGTGAGTTCAGAACCCTCGGCCCGTCAGAACATTCTTATCCACCACGTTCTAACACCAGACCTGTTAACCCGACAGCAACAAGGTGATCAGCAGGTGCTTTTGTCCTGCAGGACCTGAAGGCCAACGAGTCCCGCCTGAGGGACATCAACAAGGTGGCATCTGAACTGGAGTCAGAAGGTCTGATGGCTGAGGAGGCTCCTATGGTTCCGGCTCAGGTGAGCGTCACCTGTCTGCAGCAGCTGGTCCCTCTCACCTCCTGGTTTAACTCTGCTCGTCTATGTTTGTAGCAACAAGAACATCTGGGTTCTGCTCCTGGAAAGGTGCGTGTTGTCCTCCGCCTCCACCAGAACCAGACGTGTTTATGTTACCACTCATTTGTTTGTTTGTTTGTTTACAGGATGAAGCCGACTCTAACACGGCGTCACCCTGGAAGGTGAGTTCATTCAGCTGATCAGAGGTCACCTCTGATGGCCGCAGTCACGGCCGACCGTGCTGACATCACACAGGAATTCAGGTGACCCGGCAGGCACCAGGTGCTGGTGAAAGTGGGGACATGTCAGCTGGTTGCCATGGCTACAGTTATCTTTATGCATCTGTATGACTGCTGACTGGTGTGTGTTTCCTGTGACCTTTGACCTCAGACCGTACGGTTGGGCGTTCAGACGACGGCTAACTTTAATTCCATCAAGGTAAGAGGAAGCTCTTCCCTTCCTGTCTGAGTGATCCGTCTCCAGGTTTCTTCGTCCGGCGTCCAGCCCGCTGGCATCCACCTTCATCTCACCTTCATCTCATCTCACTTCATTTATAGTGCAATACTTTCACATTATCATTTTCCCACACTTCTGTATACCTGTATTTTGTTGTTTTTCAATAAAGAATGACAAATTATTTAAGTTTGGTTTTTGTTGCACACAAATATATATCTGTAAAAAATATCTACAAAGCTAATGTTTACATAACAAGTATGATCGGGTTTTGCAATACGGCACTCAAGTTTATTTTAGTAAGATTTTCAAACCAAGTAAAGTTAGTAAAGAACACATTTCTATTGTCTGCTAAGAAACTGTTGGGATTTAAAATGGGCCTGTTGTACAAATAACTTGTAAATGATTATTCCTCACTTTTGTCTTAACCAAAGAAATTCCAGTAATTGAGCAAAAACATTTATTTTTAACACTACATTTTATAAAACAGGGCGCAAAGTGTCGGCACATGTATGTATGTATGTCGATGGTCCGCCCCAACCAAACCAAGAGACACAGACGTCAGGGAGGCCAAGGTTGTCTCTGCAGCTCTCTGGGCACCACGCCTCACTCAGCTGTCTCCAATGATCCAAATGGCTATGGAGAAAAAATAACAGGTTTGGCCTAGCTGTTTAAAGTACAAAACCATACATGAAGTGGTCAAGACAGGTACTTACACTTGCTTTGTGTAGCTGACGTTGACACACAGGCTGCCATGGTGACCTTTTAATAGATCTAAAAAAAATGTAATAAAATAATGAAACTTAAAAACTCCCAAACCTCATGTCATATTTACTAATCAGCTAAGGCTGATTCATTGTTTGGATCACAGTGAGTTACACTAATTCTAATATATTTTTATTTCTATTATACATACATACTTTTTAACTGTTATTTTCACATGACTGTTATCAGGCTCTCTTGTTCTGGTTCTGATGATAATCCCGTGTCTTCCAGTAAGTTATCTTGTGCTTACTTCATCTGTATAATGTCTCTTTACTTTTGGTAAATTGTACTGAGTCCAGAATAAAGGCTAGTTGGCTGTACAAGATACAAACAAGTATTACGTTTTGGAAATATATGAAACACCGCCAGCATCTGTTAGAGCCTGTGGCGGGGTGCTGAGGGCCGGCTCCAGCCCAGGAATGAGCTCTACACGCCGGCCGGGAGGGTTTGAAACACCGCCATCCTCTCCTCTGCTGGCTGTTCATTCTGTTATGGTTACCGGTGCTTGTGTTGCAATGTGAAACGTTTGGTCTCAGATTTTGTAAGAAAGATAATAAAATGTCCCCCCAAAATACGACTTAAATATATTTTCTCTTCTTCATGATACATTTAATGGCTGGTGCGACTCAGGAGTGATAGCGCCGAAAAAAACTACTGAAAACTTGCTCAAAGCAAAATGTATTCATTACGGAAATAAATTATAAACTTACCGATTTAAAACTTTTTTAATACAGGTACTTCTCACGAACAGGCGCAGAAAACCTCCACCTAAACTCCGTGTGAGGTTCAGGTTGATGGGTGTTCCAGTTAGCTCCGGTTGGGTTGAAGCTAGGTGGCTACATCCGTTAGCTCGGCTCCCACCTCCACTTTAGCTTTGGGTTAGCCAGGGTTAGCTTCAGGTTAGCTCGTAGCTAGTTCGCCTGGGTGTCGTCACTCGAGCCCAGCCTTACAGCCACACCCTCAGCGCCTCCTCTCTTCCCTTTTATGGAATTGTCTGGGCTGGACGGAACCTGTGACACGGTCAAAATGGCGGTGGTGGACACCTCCCATTATGGACAGATAACGTGTTATTGAAGCCTATGGAATCGAATTGTCCAGTATATGTACAGTCTATGATGTAGACCTAACCCCACACAGTTGTGTTGCAGCTTCCTGCATAGCAAACTATTCAATAAGATTATCTCAAAAAGTTGGATCTGAAACAATTTCTCATAGTCATTATTCACGTATAATGGTGGTTGTTGAGTATGATCTCATACAAGAAAGGGAATGAAGTCAATTTGCTCAGTCGTGGATGTTTTTTGCATGAAACCAGTTTCTAAATGTAAAATGGGAATTCCAGTTCCTCAAATCTGACTGCTAAAGTGAAAGATGTACAAAGGAGAGTAGTCGTACTGAAATTGTGTTTTTTTATGTATTTCTCCAAAGAATGTCTCAATATCTGAGTCAACCTATGAGATCTTTTCATGAAGAAGACGTCATAACAATTTTTCAAATAACAGAAAATGTGAGTGTTGACTGTTTTTGCATCATTTCGCTCCGACATAAACCTCAGCTGAAAAGCTGCTTCATGTTAGACAGTTTAGAAGTGCTGTAGACCAGGCTTGTAACCAGTATAATACGTACCTCAATAAGCTTCATCAATGATTGTGACATATCATGATCACTTTGCCCTGACCTTCAGTGGGAAACTGAATCGTTAACTTTCAATGCAAAAAAGTGGCAAAGCAAAGGAATAAAACCAGGCTTGTAAGTTACTAAAGATACTCAAAAATGGGACTTATTGCAAAATGGAAAAAAATAAACAGCCAGCTTGTTAACACTACCTTAAGCCGGGCGGACACTGTGCGACTTTTTCACTTGTAGCACTCAGCTTCAGCTCAAACTGTACGACTTCCTCGCAGGGCAGATCTCACGAGTCATGCGACCTGACTGCTCACACTGTACGTCTGGTAGCAACACGTCAAACCTAAAAATATGCTAAAAATAGCAGTTTTTACTCAACACGTCAGACTTTTTTGTCTTGCCAGTTGTCCTTCAGGAGTGCTGCAGGAGGACACACAGGGATTTATGGGGGTTGGATGAGGAAAACGAAATAAAGAAAGTAAATCTGTTTTTTGTGATCAGTTTAATTTGACAAGAACACGACAAACACGCTTTCTTGACAATTTTTGTGAGTAAAAAAACGTGTAGAAACAAAAACGAACAACGTGTGTTATTAGAGAAATAGCGGGCGAGCGGTGTTGATGCAGGATTGCGCATGCGCCTTGAGCGGTTCTGATACTTTTTGGGTCGCAGCTGCTCGCAGCACCGCTTCAACAGTGCGGTACCCTCACGAGGGACGAGCAAAATATTAAACACGCCAGAAGCCCGTGCGAGCTCACGATTGCTGATCAGTAGCTGGTCACGTGCTGTTAATCGCCTCTCGTAACCCCCTGTACACTACACGATGCTCAGCGCAAAACTCTTGTGGATTCTCGCACAAGTGGAAAATCGGCTCAAAAAAGTGAAAAAGTCGCACGGTGTACGCCCGGCTTTAAAGAGCAAGTCACCCCCCTACCAGAGTCTTACTCCACTCCAATTCCATGTTTGAAAAATCCAACTAAATGCCAGGCAGACCGAGAGGGCGGAGCCAGCGACAAATACACACACACACAGGCTCACAATGACATTGTGACATCATAATGTACCAGCTAATGTCATAGACTACCTCTTAGCCAATAGCCATGGCAGATTTAAATTTAAATGCAGTGCAGAGTTTTTACCTGAAGACGGCACAACACTGACAGTTTTAGGCAGAAAATTTAAATTTTAACTAAGATGCACCAAAGTGCCAAATACATGTTTCTACAGCACAATTAGAGACACTTTTTATAGTTTATCAGCAAAAAAAACGTTGATTTGGGCGTGACTTGCTCTTTAAGTAGATGCCTGGAAAAAAACATTTGCAGATTTAAATGTTGAAGTGGATTTGAATCCACTGGAACAGAGGTGTAATAATATAATTTTTGGCTAAAACCACATCGGGCTGCTCTTCTGATCCAGATGTGAATGAAAAGATACAAACTGGTTCACCTTCACATCCCTGCTCCATCTTTTTAGTATAATTGTTGTTTTCTGCACTTGTTTTGAATCACTGAGGGACTGAACAACGAAACATCTTTTCATATGTAATTTATTCATTTAGTTTTTTTAAATAAACGTAACCTATTGCGTACCTGTGCTCCAACCCTTGCAAGGCTCTAAACTAATGTTTAAAATTTAATCCCAATTCGCAGGAACAGACTAGAACAAGCTGCACATAATTTGATCTCAGGTGCCACACAAGCTCTCATACAGTTGTCTTGATGGGAAGATATGTCTCATGACTCAGATTGCATAAACGCTCCCCGGGGTGTTCCTCTGCTGATCCTTTGCGACTAAAACACTCAGACCCAGATCTTCAGCTGCAAGTAACGTTTGTGTTGTTTAACCTTGATGAAAAATAAAAGTGGAAGTCTGCAGGGAGTCGGAGGCCGTTGCTGCTGAGAGGAGTTCAGTCACATGAAAGAGCAGCTAGATGAAGGGAATGCTCCCCCCAGGCTTGACTGCTGCTTCTCATGCACCACAGAGAGAAGCTGAATAAGCATTTAAAGATGGTGGAAAACACGACCTTCAGACCTGACTCATCTGCAGGCGTGACTCCACCCAACAACGCAGCAGTGCACTTCTTCCTTCCTCTGAAACTCTAAAACGTCCTGCTGTGTGGAGATAACTTTCTTCTAAAGTGTCTTTTTCCTTCAGTTTCCAAGGGAAAGAACGTCTGTCTGTTGAACTTCCTGTTGAACTTACAGACAGGAAAACCATCAGCAGAAAGTTTACAGAGCTCAACATCAGCTGATGAAATCTGTGTGTGTGTGTGTGTGTGTGTGTGTGTGTGTGTGTGTGTGTGTGTGTCCTTGTTTCCCTCACAATAAAAGTATTTGTCACCAGATTGTTTGAGTCTTCTGTACCTTCGTAGATGATAGGACAATTTATTTTTATGATCTAAAGTTTTAAATGAAAATTGTTTTTTGTGGTAGAACAAAAAAAAACTTTCCAGATGGTGTTTTAAATTAAATTTTTATTTTCCAGACAGATGAGCAGGTTAAGGCCT